ATAAGGGACTGCTCTTCAATAGGGCTGAGCTTTTGGTTGACTGATGTTGTCTCGTGTTTAGGACAGATACCCTTAAGACGCGTCCGCAGTGTTGATTCTGGAACATCGTAGGCTGCAGCAAGGCAACGTTTAGATTGATAAGGATTATTTTGAAAAGAAGCAATAGCAAGGCTTAACCTGCCTTCTTTTGAACTTTGTACGGGTAGTTGATGTGGTGTCATAGTTGATGAGATAAGACGCGTTGAGCGCGTTTTGGTGGGGTGCGCAGGATACTGATATGCGCAGCTTACTGATAGAACACGTTAAGAGGTCCCTTGAATAAGCCGACCCATTTGCGGATGCATCACGAATGCCCCGGATGCTCGGCCTATGACGTGCGGCCGCTAAAATCTGGAGACTGCCCAGGTGCACTCGACGGCCACAACTCGGTACATAATACCTCCAGCTCGTGCCCTTGCACCGCGACAACGCCAGCCATCTCATTCGCATTCATGTACTTAAAAGCTCAAATAGTTGTTGAATCTACATGAAAGCCTGAAGGTAGTCAGATGGAGACGCATGTCAGATCAAAAGAGGACAGAAATCTAGAACAATCGCATGCATTCACAGGCCAAGCCAGTCTCGGCCCCGTGGTAGTCTATCTATCTAGCTAATCATCTGCTCGAAACTGTCCTTTAGATGATTCCCTTGCCCAAGTCATGACCATCACCACAGATCCAGGGGTATTTCCTTCGCTCAAGCCTTCTTCGTGAAGGCTCATTGGAAAAGGGTTGTAGACCCTCGAGAACGCCATCTATGTGCGAGACTAACCAGCAAAACTTTTTCATCGTCAAGGTGTATCGCGTAATGCTCCCCAATCTTGGGAGCTATGCGACGGGAGACAACGAAGAAGTGTCGCCGTGGGGTATGACCAGGGAGAGGAATCGCTTTTCCGTATGAAATAACAAAACAAGTCGCCGGCGTGGAATATCCGGAAAACGAGATCTATGGCTCCCCAAGCAGCATGCTTTGCAGAAAGAGCGAAGACGTAAATGTTCGTAATGCATGCCTTCAGGGGGAAGGCGGATGGCTCTGCCATTCATACTCGAGCTCGACGCACTGTCGTCGAATGGGTATCGTGATGCAGCGAAGCTCGAAAATAGGCAGACCCGCAGTAAACACTCGCTGTCTATATGCTGATGGGGGTATGAGATTCCGGAATCCGTGGCGTTCCGACGTAACCGAGAAGGGATTCGCAAGGAGATGCTCGAAACAGATAGGAAATCACAAAAACATGTCGCCAGGCGTTGCGGCACGATGGTCTAGGACATCAAAACGTTCCTAGAGTGGCGTCGTCGTGCAGCGTAGTGGCAGATTTACCACCAAGAGTTGCCGCCAGGGCCGGAGGGGTTGCCGTAGCCACCACCACCGAAACCACCGCCGCCCATGGGGGGAGGGGGAGCGCCGTAGCTGGGGGCGCCACCGTAGCCGCCTGCACCGAAGCCGCCGCCCTGAGGAGCGCCTCCCCAGCCGCCAGCGTTGCCACCGAAGCCGCCGCCGCCGCCGCCGCCACCACCACCCATGCGACGCACATCGCGGGTGGCAGCATTACCGCGGCCACGACCACCTCCGCGACCTCCACGGCCGCCGCCGCCGCCGCCGAAGCCGGAGCCCTCGCGAGCGATGGACTCGAGGAACTGAGGGATCTCCTGGTTGGCCTCCTTAAGGAGATCGATCAGGTCGCGGACAACACCACGGTTTCCACGGTTGAAGAAAGCAGTGGCAATACCAGTGTTACCTGCACGTCCGGTACGACCGATGCGGTGGACATAGTCGTCGATGTCGGTAGGCAGATCGTAGTTGACCACGTGAGTGACATTGGGAATACTATTTTCAGCAGTGGTTAGCAGGGCAAACGGTGAGAGTACTGGTCAGAAAGATGAACGTAGTGTGAAAGTCGTCAACAAAAGAGATCCTAGATCCTGTGGTGACGGCCTATTGCATCCGGGAGAGAGCCGGGACACCGTGCAGCGACGTGCCCTCGACGTAATTGTATCGCCCTGAGACAGTTGCCGAGATGCTGGAAGCACTCGTGAAGGTATGCTGCTGATAGGATGATGCAGCCTGTAGGCAGTCGCCAAGGTGTTGGAGGCACTCATTGAAGTAGACATGCTGCCATCGAAGTGCGCTCAGCGGTGAGGTGAAGACAGGCGCATGAGTGACTCCAGCGATGGCACAGGGGGTGGGCGCAGGAGACATGGTTGCCAGTGTCCGGATATCCAAGTAGAGTCGTTGACAAGACCCTTCAGGTAGTCGGGGCAGGTGCCAAGCTTACCAACAGCACCAGGCCACGACAAAGGCTGACTAGGCCTTGGAAAGCGCAAGATGACGAGGTACACGCAGATGGGGAACAAATAGGAAAGGGGGAGGGATGCACTTACTCAAGACCACCTGTGCGTGCGTTAGCATGTGAGTGTGATCGTGGTGGGAGAAGAACTTACGGGCAGCGACAGCGGTAGCGACAAGGATTGGGCAGCGTCCAGAACGGAACATCTCCAGAGCCTTCTCACGCTCGCGTTGGGTACGGTCACCATGGATGGATGTGGCAGGGAAACCCTGATTGATCAGGAAATCAGAGAGTGAGTCGGCCATGCGCTTGGTCTCAACGAAAATCAGAGACAGACCAGCACCGTGGGTGTGGAGAATATCAAGGAGGACGGAACGCTTGTCAATATCCTCGACGTACTCGATCTTTTGAGTGATGTTCTCGGATGTGGAACCGACACGACCGACTGAAAGGAAGATGTAATCCTTCAGGAAATCGCGAGCGAGCATCTGGATGTCGCGGGGGAAGGTAGCCGAAAACATGAGAGTCTGGCGGTCGGCGACCGAAGGCATATCCTCGCCCTCAACAATGCGGCGAATCTGAGGCTCGAAACCCATGTCCAGCATGCGATCAGCCTCATCGAGAACAAGGTACTTAATGTTCTGAAGGGAGATCCGGCCACGCTCGATCAAATCGACGAGACGACCGGGGGTAGCAACGAGCAGATCGCAGCCGCGCTCGATCTGGCGAAGCTGGGAGCCAATATCGGCACCACCGTAGACAACGCAAGGACGGACCCAGGAGCGGTAGGCGAACTTGCGGGACTCTTCGAAGATCTGAGAGACCAACTCACGAGTGGGGGCCAGGATCAAAGATGTGGGATAGGCCTTGCGCTGGCGGCCGTATCCGTGGCCACCGTTCTGGGCAGCGGGGGCAGCGGAGGGACCGTTCTTGAAAGCCTGGGCGAGAATGGGGAACAAGAAACCGCCCGTCTTACCAGAACCAGTCTGGGCACAAGCCATCAAGTCACGACCACCCATAACAATGGGGATGGAGTACTTCTGGACTGGGGTAGGGACCTTGTAACCGGAAAGCTCAATGTTGCTCAACAAGTGCTCGTCGAGAGGAGGGTTTGTGAATCGAGTAACGGGCTCGGGGACACCCTGGCCAGAGGCCTCGACGGGAATATCGTCGTACTTCTCGAAGTTGATACCAGTCTGCTGCTTCGTGGGGTCGTTTGGTACACCGTAGAGCTCGCGCTCGACACGGGGGTTGGAGGGACCGGGGATGTGCTTGCCATCCTTCCACTGTCCATCACCAGAACCACGAGGGGCACCACCGCCGCCTCCACCTGAATTGCCGTAAGCATTTAGATCGAATTTGCTGGGTTGTGTGGCACCCCAGCCTGCGCCGTTAGGGGTATCTCTACCTTGTCGAGGAGTGAAGTTGGGGGCGCTGGCCCAGTTACCGCCGCCGCCGCCGCCGCCGCCGTTCATAGGTGGGGGACCGCCGTAGCCGCGACTGAAGATCGTTAGCAAATCGTTTTTCGCCGAAGGTGAGTTGTTATCGTACCCGCCCTGCTGGGGAGCGGCACCCGGAGCGGGACCCCAAGCGCTGCCGCCAAGACCAGGACCGCCGCCGTTCATGGGAGGAGGTCCAGCGTTCATAGGAGGGGGACCGCCGCCGCGGCTGCGAAGGTGAGGAGGGATGTAGGCAGAGCGCTCCTGGTGGCCGAAGCCGTTCTGCTGCGGAGCGTGCTGGGATTCGTTCAGGTTGAGACGACCCATGTCGAGTTGTTCAGCCATGATGGATGATTGGATTACAGTGATCGCTGATCGGGCTCGATGTCGTGGTCAAGTGTCGCAAATTACGAGGTAAAAGACTTTTTGGCTGGCTCGGCGGTGAGCGACAGACAAACTGATGGACGTCTGGATGACGAACGTGTATAGTCTTAGGCAGAAACGCGCCTGAAACTCGCTGAGCAGGAACGAGGTAACGCCTCTGTCCTGAAAAACGAGAATGAAAGGAGAGTGAAGACCAAAAGAGGGACTTCACCGAGACTGTGCTGTTGAAAATCGTGCAATACACACAAGTTGGATGGTTGGAGGGTTGGGGGAGGTGCGAGGGCCAGCACAGATAAATTTGAAGGCCCTGAGCAAAGGCTGGCTGCGCTAAGCCTGCTCGGACCTCGCCTCTTACCAAGTGGCAACCTTGTCGGTGAAAATGGGCGGTGAACGTCACAGGCCACGCGATATCACTGGCTGCTCAACGTGTAGTTCCGGCTTGCAGCGCGAGACGACGTTGTCCGACGTTCTCGTCATCATGGAGCGGCCATATGCGGGCAGAGTGCGGCCAGTTCACGGTTTACGTGCTCGCACAGGGCAACCTCGCCAGATCTACGCTACGGCCGCAATCAAGCACATGCTTGCCGTTGTGCTCGAACATGAGGGTATCGACAGGGTGCAGATTACACACAGCTTGCGCGACTTGACACGCAGTCTAAATAATATTCACGATCCTGTCGTTTCCACATCTGCTAGTAATGAGCGCACTTTCATTTCGTCGTATCGCATCTATGCCATGCTCTTCTGCTTAAACCCACCGGAGGTGCTGGCACCTCCACGCGAGCGTAAAAAAAGAGCGCAAACTGCGACAACGGCGCCAATGAAGAATAACTTTTGTCCCCAGGACAGACCCTCCTCCATGATGTTAGAACCAGGGATGGCAGGGATGGGGATCTTGCTGCCCTGGCTTGTGGCAGGAGTAGTTGCGACATCAACGTTGCCGGCGGTCTGGTCTGCGGTGACATCGAGGTCGGTGCCATCATCGCCTGCGGTGCCGTACAAATCTTGAACAAGGAAATATCAGCAGCTCTCCTGCATGTCGCCCGCTGAGTTGCTGGCTTAGAGTTCCGCGTGAATACCTTCCGCTGGGACCTCGAGCTCTCCGCTCTTGGCAATCTTGACTGTCTTGACAGGCTTGTCGCCGGAGCCCTTGGGGACGTTCTCGATCTTATCGACGACATCGTAACCCTCGAGGACCTCGCCGAAAACGACGTGACGGCCGTCGAGCCAGCTAGTGATGACGGTGGTGATGAAGAACTGGGAGCCTGGAGGCAGTCAGTGTTTATTCGCAGTGTGATGGAGAGATTATGTGACGTACCGTTGGTGTCCTTGCCGCTGTTGGCCATACTCAAGAGACCCTTGCGGGTGTGCTTGAGCTTGAAGTTCTCATCGGGAAACTTGGCTCCGTAGATGGACTTGCCGCCAGTGCCGTCGCCTTTGGTAAAATCACGTTGGGGGATTTAGCTGAGCCTTCGAAAGTGTGTGAATTCGACATACCCTCCCTGAATCATGAACTGCTTGATGACGCGGTGGAAGGTGGAACCCTCGTAACCGAAGCCCTTCTCGCCGGTAGCAAGGGCACGAAAGTTCTCGGCGGTCTTGGGAACGGTCTTGCCGTAGAGACCAATTGTGATGCGGCCGAGCTCCTCATCGCCATGGGTGATGTCGAAGTAGACCTGCTATTGTCAGTTTGTAGTTCTGGGAGTAAGTCTACGTTGCTGAAGCATTGTAGCCAATCGAGAATGTTGTGATCGTCCAATTGACCAGCCGAAATAGCAGTAGCTAAACAACTTCTCAACCGCAGGAACAAGCTCTATACACACCTTGTGGGTGATCTTGGGTCCCTTAGAAGCCTCAGCTGACTGGGCAAAGAAGACAAAGGTGACCGAGAGGATCAGGAGCGCCGAGACGACAAGTCTCTGAAGGGAAATCATGATGCCTGGTATGCCTCTTCTGCAGCAAGAGGAGGTTGCGGGGTTAAGTAGGTGTCGAGTCCCTGGAACGTCGGAGGAGACCTTTGTTTCCGAGACGTGGTCCTTGGCCGTCTAGCGTGAAACGGTGCTGGGGCCGGTTCGCGCTCCCGGAGTGTGCCCGAGATTCGCGATCCTCGTACAGGTACGGTTACAGAACTTCAACACCACGCGAATAGCTGCCTGAGGACTATCGGCGCCATGGTGAGTGTGCAATTGGAGGTCCAGGGGGCTGCGCTGACGGCTTCTAGGTGTTTATCAACGGTTTCAGTTTCACAGAGGCGACGCTCGTCAAAGTATGTGCAGCTCCTCCGTCCGCCGCAGCAGGCGCATCAAGCGCATCGCTGATCTAACGCCCTGCAGCGCTCGCTCGAGAGCTTCTTTGGCATTGGTCCCAAAGTTTCGCAGAAGATCATGGCCAGATATCACATCCACCCTTGGGCTAAGGTTGGCGCGTTAAAAAACGCAACCGTCATGGACCTCACAGCCGAACTATCGACGATGAAAATCGAAAATGACGCACGGCGCGAAGTACAGGACAACATACGGAGGTTAAAGGACATGGGTGCATACAGGGGAAGGCGGCACGCTATGGGTCTGCCTGTACGAGGACAGAGGACAAGATCACAAATCCTTACAGCGAGAAAGCTAAACAAGGTCGAGCGCGGAGGCTCTGGGCGAGTGCAGATGTAAGGAGGTGGAACGTATACCAGTGTATGATACTACTGTACGGGGGGGATTCGATGGCATCAGCGATACAAATCAAAAGAGCCACATTACGAACACCTCGATATCCATGTTTGGTTTCACGATGCAAGTGACTGCTGAGCAGGCTGCACCTATTCGTGCACTTGACCCATTCTTCCTGCAGGGCACTGCATCTGCAAACCATGTGTCCATGTACACCAGCTGTAAGTTTCTACTTGGGTGTTATGAGGCTTCACGAGTTGAAAATGTTCTTATCCTCACTAACGATGTATTTGACAGTACTGCAAGCACCACAACCTACTCAATATGTCAAGAGCAACTTTGTCTACCAGGTCTCTGTATCAGGCTTAACGGACAAAGAGCCCTTTCGTAGGAGACCGACTCGGACCACGAACGATGAACGGATTGCAATCACACAGACTACTCTAAACTTTGCCGAGCCCCTCCGTTTATTTGTATCGTTGATTCCTGATGACACAAGCGTTAAGCAATTGGACTTGGAGGACTGGACTTTTCCAGAAGACCATACGGCAGCCAGTACGCACACGATTGTAGGCGATGCGGCTCACACTATGACCATGTGCAAGTTCGGAGCCTTCACACTTGTATACGTGGACTCATCTCGCATCTAGTCCGCGGCGCAGGCGCAAATCATGCTATAGGCGACGTGCTGGAGCTGAGGAATACGGTTTTCTCGAGACTTGGGTCAACTGCTCCAAAACTCCGGTCCGACGTCGACAAATATCAACGCAGCATGGCTAGCAGGACACTGCCATCAGTACTTGCATCTCGGCAAGCATGTCTTGAGGCTCATGACTGGTCATATCTGACTTCTAAAAGCCATTTGCTGTCCGTGCGGCAGATGGTGGTGGATTTTGACGACTGTCGTGTCACTTCAGACCAAACATGACCTGCATGATACTAAGCCGAGCTCTCCCTCGGAAACACGGCTCAAATCAAATCTACAATGTCTTGGTGCTGAATTTATCCAAGTGTGGTTCTGTGCTGTGCGACGCATGTCAGCAAATGGGTGCCTTGTTGCGCAGGGCCTGAAACCTATCACCCTGAATGGGACTGATCGTATGACGCTGCGAGCTCCCGCATCGGCTCTGCACGGTAAGTATATACCAAGAAGTTCACATGCGACCTTCTTACAAAGCCTTCCTGTCTCTTGCTTATCGTGTTCGACCTCCAGTCATCACGAACGACGAGGACTGATTTCCAACCTTTTCCAAACAGTCCACAAGGTAATATCGCCATCAATACGAAGGCGGACATACAGCCTGCGGTCAGTCAGACATCGCTGGAGACAAGCAGTGTGGAGGATGCATGGTTACTTCTCCATAAGTCGCACAACGCCGAAAACGTTAACAGTATCGACAAATGGGCGCTACGCCGGAAAGTGGATTAGGCATGTTGTGCCATTGATGTTCTGTTGCTAACGTTATACAATGCAGTTTTTTGATAAATTTATACTCAACGTAAGTCAATTCCAGTTTTACGTTGTTGCACCAGGGCTGAACATCTTACAGTATGCAGCTGTCATGGGCATACAGAAAGATCTTCGTCTTGTTGGCAACGACTTCTCCAATACTGCAACATTCCTCTTTGTAGGGCTGCTGTGCTTCGAAATACCAAACAGTACGGTAAAGTGGCCTCCAACGATTTATGCATTCTGACATACATAGTCTACTTCTTCCAGAGGGTCCCGGCGGCGAAGTGGCTCGGTCTTAATGTTGTCCTTTGGGGTGTCGCAACCGCCAGTGGTGCAGCAGCAGCCACCTCCTACCGCACCCTCCTTGTCTCCCGTGTCTTCTTGGGCATCTTCGAAGCTACCATTAGCCCCTCTCTTCTTCTCATCAACTCACAGTGGTATACCAAATCTGAGCAAGCCCCTCGTTTCTCATTCTGGTATTGCGGACTTAGCTTTGGACAAATCATCGGCGGCGCCATTTCCTATGGTTTCCAGCATGTAACGCCTAGCTCAAGTCTTGCTGGATGGCGTATTATGTTCGTCACCCTGGGTTGCTTGACTATTGACATTGGACTAGCAACCCTTTGGCTTGTACCAGACACCCCGATGCAGGCACGATGGCTCACCGGTGCGGAGAAACTCGCGTTGCTGAAGCATGTCAGTGTCAACAGAACCGGTATCCAGAGCAAAACTTTCCAGCCCAGGCAGCTCTTAGAGGCGTTGACAGATCCACGGCTTTACTTCATGGTTCTTGCTGTGATATTGGTGAGTTAAGGACCCCTTCTTGATACGACCTAACGTGCTGACTGTGCACAGCTCTCCGTTTCCAGCGGCGTGCTGACCACCTACTCGGCAACTCTCATCCGCAACCTAGGTTATGTGCCCAAACGTGCAGCCTTGATGAACATGCCGTCCAGCTTAGTCAGCATTTTCTTCACGCTCCTTGCTGGCTTCGGCATCCGGAAGCAGTCCAACCGCTGGCTCTGGATAGTCCTTTGCATCATACCCGCTATTATTGGCGGAGCGCTGATGCCCTTTCTCCCCGTATCCAACCGCCGCGGTTGCCTTGCTGGTATCTACCTTGTCAACGCTGTTGTCGCACCTCTCCCGGTCCTTTACGCTTGGACTGCAGCTAACATTTCCGGGTCTACGAAGCGCGCATTGGCTGCTGCTGTAGTATCTGACTCTTTCAGTATTGGCAACAGCATTGGGCCGCAGACGTTTCAAATGAAAGATGCACCGAACTATAGACCTGCGAAGCTTGCCGTTATGGGCACACAAGCGGGCTGTGCGATTGTTACAGTATTATTGTACGGGTACTATCGATGGCAAGATGCTAGACGGGGCGGAAAAAAGGGTGAGGTGCAGATTGGAGAGGAAGCATTCATGAGTGGGAGGCCTGGAACACGGGAACGGACCGAGAGGATTGTGAGTTCAGGTACTCATATTGAGGGTCTAATGGCTCATCGATGTCATTCTCCCAATTCAGATACGACCTCCCAGTCGATACGCCAACTCTTGATCACTTGATCTTGTCGGTGTCTTACCCAGCTCACACGTCCTGTCGACACTGTACTCTGACCGAACTAGAATACCACCCAATGGCTGCCCCATCTGAGCCCCCGAGTAGGCGAATGGCAGGATGTCCTCGTTCCACTTGAACGCTTGAGTCAAGGATCTCTCGAAAGAGCTTTGTGTAGGGCTACTCTTCCCCTTTGACTCCACATCTCCCTTTGTTTCAAACTCGCCCAGTTGTAGGAAGTCTTCCTTATCGGCTCGACTTCTGCCAATCGAGCTGAAGATGCGCGAATGTGAGCGTTTACGACTAGCTTTCTTGTTGCTGTCTTTGGACAGATCCTCATAGTAGCTTAGCTGGGTGGCAGTTTGAGGGAAGAACTTTCGTTTGAGGGAGCCCAGGAGGGAACGGATCGCAGGCAAGCAAGCGACCATGACGCCGACATGCGATTCCACAGCCGACCAGTATCCAATAGGCAGATAGTCCCACGTCAAGTTGGTCGTGTGCGCGAATTCGACGAGGTACTTAAGACGTAGCATGCTGACGACGGTGATACTAGACCCATGTTAGAACGAAGCAGACCAGATCGTGTGAGCAGACTTACAATAGTCCACCAAGGAACATGAGCATGACACCAAACTTGCGACGGCGACTCATAGCCAGGTTCTTGATCTCTCTCATCGGAAGCACAATGACGATTAAGTCAAGGACGATATTGAAGGCAGCGGAGCACCAAGCGTCGGCGTTGAGGTCGATGCATTTCCCGTGGTGCTCACCGTCCCAGCGCTCCCAAGCAAAGCGAATGGGAATGCATTGCAACGCAGTTGCTGTGACAAAGGCAATAATGTATACAACACAGAGCACAATCGTGAACCAGATAACTTTTCGAAGTCCTGGCTGCGGGAAGATGCGCAGGTAGAAAAGTAGAATTGAAATCTTCGTCAGTGCGACAGCCGCCAGGTAGAGGAGCTCGGTGTAGTAGAAGATCTGGAATCCCATGTTCATTAGTCTCGATCTGGTAAGGACTTCGGGTGCTGATTACATACCTGTAAGATCTTGGTGATGTTATCGAAAGGCACTAGCCACATGTCTGTCCCCAGTCCGAGTATGTTCAAAAGGTACGCGCAGATGGTCTCCGGAATGATCAGTATCATGGCTGCCGTCATGACCCAATCGTCAAGACCCCAGTTTCCTCGAAAGATGGGTAGTCGAGCGATCACTCGTAGAAGATAGAATAACACAGCCATTCCTCCAACGATCAAAGTCGTCAGGGTTCCAAGCTGCGTCTTATCACGAACTGGCGCTTCCAACAGTGTTTGGAGGAACTTTTTCGCAGCTACTTGGATTAGCGAACAGTATAGTCGGAGGTGTTCGATGGCTTACTAAGTGCGTCCTTGACGTTGCAGCTCAACTTGACGCATATACTCAAGTCGTTTAATAGCACTTCGTTGCCTTTGATGCAGGAGATATCTGTGAGGTCGCATGATGACGCGCGAACAGTACTTAAGGTGCATTTCAGCTGCACATCGAGTAGTCAGACTAGGTCGCGCAGTTCTGATCTTCTGTACTTACTGCGCAAGGGGGCAGCTCTTTAATCGCAAGTTGCAGGATATCAGCACCTGTCTGATTCTGCGCGCAAGAGACGTGCGCAAAGACGAAAAACAGAATTGCCATGAGGGGCTTCATCTCTGCCCGCTCCTGCAGCAATGCTCGGCTTGAAAGCCTTACTAAGCAGGTGTATGGCGTCGCCTTCCTCGGAGGATGAAGTAGAATCAGGATAAGCCAAACATAACAGACATCAGCTAGAATAAGACTTATAGCGAAGCTTCGAGCTGTCACACCCATTAGGCGTAGCAGCTTTGTCTCTGCGAGTCAAGGTGTGGCGTTAGTCTGTTATAATGTTTGGTACCTACAATCGGGGTCGTTCGGCCGTCAAATCAGCCGGTCTCTAGTCAGGAAGTTCAGAGCTACTTCGACGCTGATCCTCCAGATCCGAGGAGCAACTGAGTGAGAGATGAGCAATGAGGTCTCTGAAGTCTTGCTTTGCTACACTGGCCTCAAAGGCTAAATGCGTTCCGCGCACATATGCTCAATGACACTCATCGGGGTGCACTCCGGAGAAGGCACGTTTCACTACCCTCATGTATGCAGGGAGGGTGTAGCAATGCGGATTCTCGACATTACCCGAAAGCTTCCGCGTGTGAAGCATCGTAGTTTGGCTTGGTACGTATGCCAAAGGAAAGCCTCGACAATTGCCATGGCAGTGCTCTTTGAGCGACGAATGAAAGAAGCGATGATCTCACTTGTGCCCACACGATCAAGACTTTTGACTGTGTGAGCACAGGTAGATACGAAAACAGAGGAGTCAATAAGGACAATACCTCCGCTTTTTGCGGCTGCTATGTGCGACGGCTTCAAGTAGTAAGTGATGTCGTTCTCATGAGCCGCAGAAAACCGTATGGCAGTAGCGAGGATCATCCGCTACCCAGGCAGATGGGCGAATGCATGGAAGGGACCACCGTCACCGACGTTGCCGTCGGTGTCCGACATGCATGGCAGTCTGCATGTACGAATCACAAACTCTCCACGCTGCTCCGATCTGAGATTTAAGGATTCCGTGGACTGCAGATCTACGCTAGTGACAGAACCGGAAACACTTGCGTCGACTCCAGCGCTACCGGTAGGTAGCGTAGGGAAAGCCACCGATTAGGGAGAGAATGGCTAGTGTTGACGCATCATAACCACCAGTCACCTCCTAGTTGCAAGTCTTCCATGCAAATCTTGCATCGTCCGTATTGGAACACAGATGGCCATCATTCAGAGATTTAAAGGTTACCATTTGGGACTAGCTTCGCTCGAACTCGGCCGACCGACATTTCTTCTTCTCCGGCGAGCATCAACATTATCAATGACACCGCCTAAGTAGTGCGGCCACCGCCCTTGACGAGGACTGACACTCTTCATACCTACTCATATTGCTGGATTGAATCTCTGTGCACTTAAGACTCTTCAGCCGAGACGGGTCGGTCCGAGTCGGCGCGGCTCACGTCATTCATTTGAACAGGTCGGGAAATGACATGGACAAGCCGCATGCTCGGTGTCACTTCTAGATGGACTGAATACATTGCTGACCACCATGCTGAACGAGACACGCCATGATCAACTTATGCCGGGAACTCGATCAACGTCGGCTTGCCACGCCTGCGCGCATGCCCGCTTTTTTGAGGGACCTTTCACGTGCATTGCTGTATAGGTATGCCTACTGTGCTGCACACTAGACAGTCTATTGTTAGACGACCCGTTGTGTTGTGGCAACCCCTCAATTCAAGGAAGTATCGTCAACAAAGGTTTGTTCTTTGAATCGTCTGACATCCCTGTACCGTAGTTACAATCGCCTTTTGACCATTAAATCTTCTGCAGAAACCTTGAGGCGGTCGCCTTCATTGAGCATCTCGTTGCATGCTTCCCGAAACACCTGTTCAAGTCATCTGCTGTACTACTCGACGCGCCTACATGGCTCGCCATGGCTTTGCCTCCACTCGGCATGTATGCCACTGCCTCGGTTGCATTTCTGCATCATGTACTTCGCCGCCCTCCTGAAGATCAAAGACCTGTTGTCTAAGTACTCAGTGGCAAAGCTCGTGTACATCCACTCAATACTTGGCACATTCTTTATTTAGCAACTACGCCTGACTATACGAGGTTTCTGGCTCTTTCATTCGCTGAGCATCGCACTAAAGTGCCGAGTCGGAGGTGCAAGTATACGAAGAGCCTCGTATCGCAAACCCCCAAGCTGGGCCGTGCACGGAATCTTGTTTCGAGGTAAATTGTGCTCATGTGCAATTACCCAATTTCGAAATGCTTATTAGATGCGAGGGCACTGCCCTGGTTGACAAACGGCCAACTTCCATCATGTATACTTCACGGTCTTTACTTCTCTCTTTCGCAGCATTTGCGGCTTCTCTCCCCACCAATGAACAGCACTTGTCGCTCTCGAGACGCAATGCGACGATCGAGCAAAGCGTGTTCTTCGACATCAACGGCGCCGAAGTAGAAACCAGAATCGCAAAATTGAAAGCTGAGGGATACCAACCAACGTCTCTCAACATCCATGGCTCGCCCAACGATGCCAAGTACGCCGGCATCTGGATAAAACAGAACGGCAGCGCGTACGAGACCATCCTGGGAGCCAACAAAACCGTGTATGATGCCTGGTTGGACCAATGGAAGGCCAACGGATACGTTTCCACCCACGTCTCCGCCACTGGTTCAGCCTCCAACGCGATATTCGCGGGAGTGATGCAAGATATGTCTTCGGCTGTTAATTGGACACAGCTGTGTGGTCTCGACAATCCTTACTTGTACCAAAATGCGACTTTGGACTCCCCAATGACTATCAAGGGCGTGAGCATGTATGGTAACCCGAACGAGCGTCGGTATTGCATCCTCGGACACGAGAACACGGACAACCATCAACAGACCGTGTGGTACCAGAGAGACGCTGTTGTGAGAGACTACAAGACGTTGGCAGCAGAAGAGACGTCAAAAAGATTCTGGAGACCAGTCTATATCGACCTCGCGGAAGACTTGCTTCTTACACCCATTTTCGATGATACCAGCGTTGGACAATGGACTGTGTTTACAGATCTCACCACTTCGGCATTGCATTCGGAGATTGCCTCGCAGAAGGCCAAGAACATGTATCCCATCCACATCTCGGGCGCAGGCTCAGCAGGAGCAAGATATGCTGTGATCTTTGCTGAACAGACTACTCCTCTGGAGCGCGAATGGCACACCACAGGCGCCGTCACAGGTTTCGATGACAACGCCAAGGTCAGCAACGCTTTGGACCAAGTCATGCAAACCTTCATGAAGAGGAACAGCGTAAGACAAGCCCAGGTTGCCGCCTCAGTCAACGGCACAGTCATCGCTTCCCGCGGATTCACATGGGCGGAGAGCGACCGCGCCGTCGTCCAGCCCTCGGACAAATTCCTCCTCGGCAGCGTGTCCAAGGCCTTCACATACGCAGCAACCGACCACCTCATCTCCACCGGCCTACTCAACCTGTCTACGCCCGTCTACCCTCTCCTCGGCTACAACGCACCTGCAGACCCGCGCGCGCTCAACATCACAGTCCAACACTTGCTCGACCACACAGCGGGTTATGACCGCTCAATGTCGCCTGATCTCGGCTTCATATTCACCATGGTCGCGCAGTCGTTGAACCAGTCCACGCCCGCGACCCTGCGCCAGCTCATCGAGTATGTCTACGAGCGGCCGCTGGACTTCACGCCGGGAGAAAGGAGCGTGTACTCGAACTACGGGACCATGCTGCTGAGCTACGTGATGAAGAATCTGACAGGCGAGTCGTACGAGAGCTACATTCAGAAAAACGTGCTCAACGGGTTGGAGGTCGAGTTATATCCCACGGCGGCGGAGCTGCATCAGAACGATTCAATTGTGCAGGAGTCAAAGTACACGAGTTTCTCTGCGTTGACGCCGCTGTCGCAGGTTCAAGTATCGGATGTATTTGGCGGTGATGGATCGATCAAAGAGGAGGCGATTGGCGCGTTTGGACTGAAGGCCTCTGCGGCTACGATTTCTCAGTTCCTCGGAAGCCACGCTGCTTATGGGATCGGAGGTCGCCAGGACTGGACCAATCGCGATGGCAGTGTGTCTGGTGCGCGCGCGCTTGCGTACAGCTTGTCTGAGCTGGACTGGGCGATAATGCTGAACACTAGGGAGTATGTCGATGAGAACGCGTGGCAGCGACTGGTGTTCACCGACATCGTAACTGCATGGGGTCGCTTCTAAAGGGCACCATGTTCGGTCTTCTTCTTCTTCCCTTGTAGCATATTCACATTGTAGATGTTCTTTAATGATAGAATGGAGCCACCTGGCGACCCTCATTGCCTATGTGCCCTTTGGAGACAAGCGAAAAACAAGATGCATCAGTGAACACAAGCTCGAGGTGGCACTGGTGTCTAGAGGAGCAAAAGACAGTCCTGCCCACAGACTGTGCTTGGAGATGAGGTGAGCAAAAAGGCAAAAGACCAAAAACATACAACAGCGGGTATTCGCTAGTGGTCACCCACCTAACTACTAATCCGCCGGTACGTTGCTTAAATAGGGCTGAGCGAACGGGAAGCCTTGTTTTCAACGTCCTATGGTCGTATGTGATAGTCTCGGCGAGCTGTTCTTAATATAATGTAGTTGATCTTTCCAAACCGTCTTCAAGGCATGATCGCGAAATTTCTGACAACACATCTTGCTCAGTAACTGTTCAATAAGTAACTGTTGTCTTTTAACTGACAGCTAGGCTTGCGGCGCTTCATCATAGGGCCGTAGCACAGCATATTGGCCCTGAAGCCCGGTCAACACATGGTCCCACAACCGCATTGGGGAAGTTGTCGGATATGACTTTCAAGCAGGGATAATCGTTGCTTTTCCTTCTTGCAGGGTGTATAGTTACTGCTCAACAGATAGCATTTGTCGGGATGTATCCACAGTGGTACATGGCGTCTGTCGCCGCGGGTATTGCTGGTGTCATTGGAGATGACGGCCTAGACTAGAGGTCAGTGATGAGGCTATAATCAATGTGGTTCTGCAAATCTAATAGTAAAGCTGCTGGATGAATACAGCTTCGCCGGTGCTCATATCCCGTGCTAAAAGCTGCATGTGACGGTTCATTATCTTTCCAACGTGAACACCAGGGGGCGAGAATTGTGCGAGCGGCTGAGATCCTTTGATGGATGACAGAGTGAGGCATTTATAGCAGTAAAGTCCGAGTAGTGTGAGATGATGAGAGTGTCTGGCGTATTCGTGTTGCTTTTTAGCGGTGTTTTTCTATGCGTGCCAACTTTGACGCTATCAACATTTGAACCACTGCCCCCGCGTAGGGACCTACAACACGAACCTACCAGTGTCAGAGCATGTTATCACATACACAATTCTAGTGAGGCGGGAACTGAGTGTTGTTGTGCCGATGCAAGTATTTGAGGAATTGAAAACATACACTAGTCATAACCGATTGAGATGTGGGGACGTGTTTCGCAGGACCGGGAACCATAATTCCATTGATCTCCGGAAACGTTGTGGTCTGCATACGGGGTCGAGTTGTTTGTCGTGCTTCTGCTACGGCATCTGCCTCAGGTTACCGCTGCATGGCGGCGAGCATGCTGAAGCATGAGCGCGCTCTGCAAATAGACCTAAAGCTTCATCAGGCATTCATCATTGCCGCTCGTTGTAACTCATCTCGACGTGGAGATTGGTGGTGACACAGACAGAAGCAAAAGTGAGATGTTCCTCACTTGAGCCGCGGCCGGTGGTGCTTCTGTGTTGGATCAGCAAACTTCAGCCACGAGTCACGTCCACTTCCTGCTGCCGACTGCACGCCATGCCTGGGATGGTGATTAAAGTTTGCTCCCCCAATCTGGGGAACGGTGTGAAAGTGATCTGCACCCGCTTGCTGTCCAGCAGCTGAGAAGCGTTCACCTGCAGTGAGCCGGCCGTTGAACGCACAGCTGCATGGTTCGGGCTCGAAAGGGCAATGGACGGGGGGTGATGTGATGGAGGTGCAGAAAGCCGGAGGATCTGCGGGGTGTTCGGGTTCCTGCCGTTCCTCCTCATCTCGGGTGTTCACACTGCAGAAAGCTTCGAACGCACCTTCCCTCCTTGGCATGATCAAATACAAGCAGAACTCAGGAGTGTGGCCAATAATGAGGCGATGGCGACGCAGCCAGACACGCCCCCTGGGCTCACCGGCGCTGCGCCGTGTTTCTGTTTCCGAAACGTGGGCTCGCGGGCCAGCAGTATGCTCGACACCACCGCTCTCTGCGCGTGCCGAGGATGCCAGGCTCCAGCCAACAGAAGACGTGCAGAAGGGAGCTCCGCTTGTCAGCTAGCAATAGCGTGCTCGCCCAGGGCCGCATGTGCAGGGTCAAGCGGGTGCGGTATGGCCGGCCGCAGGCCAATCAGAAGGCCGCCCGGGCGCATACAACGAGACAGCAGCCAGGATCGTCGACGCGGTTTCATCTTGTGTGCACGCGGGCAACAACGAAATGCTCCTGCTGCCAGCGTAGTAGGCCGGCCTGGATACAGGAACCCACTGCTTGGCCGGCTGTGTTGGCCACGTGTGTGGAATGCAGCGGGTGCTGCGAGGGATGCCAGGTTGGATTAAAGATATCGCTGCACCGCTAGGCCCGCTGGACGGGCGCGTAGACGGGCGAATGAGCAAGTGGGTTCAGGCACCTGACTGCGCAGCCAAATTTCTCGACGTCGTCGCCGATCGCACGCCTCCTCTAATCAATGGAGCGCGGCCACGACTCATTCTACACGGCCAAGCGCTGACGAGACTGCTGGAGGCTCCAGGACCCAGGTGCTGGCCCATCGCCCGCCCTACTGCCACTGCCAGAGACACAGACGGTCGCGGAAAACACCGCGGCTCCACCCAGCGTGCACTCTCGACATTGGGCATAAGGTCCATCCTGGCTGCTTGGCTAGCCTGGTTTGAGACGAGCGACCCGTGGTGCACGACGCCGCCATGCTCCAGCACGCCTCTCCCGCGCAGCAGCAGCACCGGACGGTTGTCTCCCTGGCCGACTCGATCCGCGCTCTTCGCGACCAGCGCCCCCTCGCAACGGACGTGCCGGCCACCGAGCAGCAGCAGCAGCAGCAGCAGCAGCAGCGCACTCGCGCAGGGCGCCGCAAGCAGGTCCCGACCGTTCTGAAGACCGCCGCACACGCAGTACCCGCCCACAGCGACGAGCCCCGGTCGCCGCGAGAGCGACTCGAGCGCCTCCTCGAGGAAGAGCACAACCACAGCACCGCTGCACCGCCGACAGCCTTCACCTCCTCCCCGCGCGCCCTCCCCCCGCCCGCGCATACACCCCAGCTGCGACACGCCGCCTCGCCCTCGCTGCCCACCACCTCACCCTCGCTGCCCACCGCCTCACCCTCGCTGCCCACCGCCTCGCCCGCCATGCCTCCCCCCTCGCGGCCCTTCCGCCCCGAGGCAAAGCCCACGGCACCCCCGCGCAACCTCTCCATCGACTCGGCCGCCTCGTCTGTCACCTCAGGCGCCTCTGCTGCTCCACGAGCACCGGCCGGCCACGCCTCACGACCGTCTCAGGACGTGAGCACCGCCAACCCCCCGGACATGGCTGCCCTCATCGTCGCAGCAGGCTCGCCTGAAGCAGCCCTGCACGCCATGTGGAGGGAGAAGCAGGGCCAGGCCAGCCACAACCAGCAGCTCTGGCGCCTGGTCGAGAAGCAGCGCGCCATGGTCATTGGGCTGCAGAAGGACCTCGAGCGTGCACTGAAGGACAAGGACCGCTACCGCAAGAAGGTGAAGGAGTACGCTGAGCAGACGCCGCCAGTGCCCGGTGCATTGGCGAGAGCTGACACGTTCGACTCTGTCGTGGGACGTGAGCACAGCGAATCACCAGCACCCAGCGACAGGCCGGAGGAGCCTGTCAGACCAGCTGAGCCAGCTCCCGCCGAGCACAAGGCTGCCGCCGAGACACAAGCGCAGTTTGCGACCCAGTTGTGTCCGGACTCTCAGCTGGCAACATCGCCCTCTCATTCCTCGGTAGCGTCACCCACCACATCGAGCATCAACTCAGCAATCCACTCGCCAACCGACTACTCGGTCAAACCTCTTGTGCTTGGCAGCAAAGGACTGGGTCTGAACGTTGCCCTGCATGAGAACACGCTCGACTCGCAGATCACGGACAAGGCCCCACGGTCTGTAACCCCACCGAGCCCTGATGCTGCTACATCGTCAGGTTTCAACGGGGCGACGTTGCAGCCACAGCTCGCCGTCATCCAAGCGACACCAGAGCTTCGCGGTGGGGGCTTCAGCTCTCCCCCACGAAAGCCAGCACAGCCTCTGCGCAAAGCACCTCCTGCCCCTCTGAACCTCTCGAAGCCAGTCACAACAAGCGCACACCTGCGTCAGGCGAGCCACGACTTGGATGATGACTCCGACTACGACGACACTCTGGAAGTGGAAGAGATACCGGTCCTGGCAGAAAGGGGGAGAAGAAAGACACGCGAGGACGATGATCGTGCCCGCGAAGTCGTAGTGTTGAAGGACGATGAAGCTAGGAGCAAGTCCGCGAAGAAGATGAGTGAAAGTAAGGGCAAGTCAAAATCGACGCCCGTCGAAGCTTCCACAGACGACCCCGTGCCCCAGATGGCTGCGATGTCACAGTCTCCTCGCCAATTTAATCCCCTTCAGGCCGGCCTGCCCCTGTCCCCACGTCACCCTCCAGCAGGCTCGCTGAATGCTTTGCTCAGCCCTATGGGGTCGGACAGTTCGATGATAGCAAACAGAAGTGCCTTTGTTTCACCCTTACTGAGCCCTGGTTTGCCCACCAGTCCTCGTCCTGGAGACAGACCTCCCGGTTCACCGTTGCCAAGGAATCCCAAACAATCAATAGCATCCCCACCCTTGTCTCCAACGGCAGTGATGCAGCCTGGTTCGCGGACCCTGCAACAGCCGGGCCCACTTCCACCAAACACGCCACAGTCATATCAGTCGCCTCCAGGATCGCAAGCTGAGAAGCCTGTGCAGTCAAGGAGGAGCCCAGATCTGTTGACGGTGTCCAATGCGCAACCAAGCCCTGACTCGACATCAAGCAGCCCGACCCTGAACGACATCCCGGATGCCGAGCACGTGTTCCGTGGGCTTGTCTCTGAACAGTATCCGGGCTACTTGCTACCGCCGAACGCATTGCCGTCGATCGAAGTAAAAGTGTTCTCCTCCCGTCTGCGTCCATCACGTCTAAGCATCTTGGCACCCAGACCACAAGAGGAAGACCCTGTCTTTACTCTTGCCATCTATGCGCGATCAAACAATAAGCAACTCTGGCGCTTGGAGAAGAACATTGCCTCTCTTCCGGCCCTTGATGCGCAGCTGAGGTCTCTGTCGGATTTCCAAGGGAGACTTCCCGATCGCGCCGTGTTCAGCGGTCACGCTCCAGCTAGAATCGATGCCCGAAGAGCTGCTCTCAACCAGTACTTTGACGCAATGCTGGACATGAATATGAGCGAGCAGGCGGCTCGAATAGTCTGCGAGTACTTCTCCACTGACGTCATTGGTGCGCAGACCGGCGATAGGCTAACACCCGAGCCTGCTCTAGCTCCCGCTGTCTCTGTTCCGCGTACCAAAGGAAACAAAGAAGGATACCTTACCAAGCGGGGTAAGAATTTCGGAGGTTGGAAAGCTCGATACTTCATTCTTGAGGGATCCGAGTTCAGATATTACGAAGTTGAGGGCGGTGCGCACCTGGGAACGATCAAGCTGCTCAATGCCCAGATCGGCAAACAGTCTCAACAACAGACGAACCAGTCACCACAACGCCAAGAAAACAGCGAAGACAATCAATATCGGCACGCGTTCCTGATCTTGGAGCCAAAGCGGAACGATTCAGCAAGCCTTGTGCGCCACGTTCTTTGTGCGGAGAACGACGAGGAACGGGATGCTTGGGTTGATGCACTATTGCAGCACGTAGACTACCGCGAAGAGACCTCTCCAGTCGACGCTAGACTTGCCGTGCCGCAGCGTCTGCAGAAGCCTCAGCACAATAAAGTCTCCGACCGCTCACTGAGTCGTGACAGCCCGGACGTTGATCAGCAAAACGACAAGCTTCGAAGTCTCAGCTACGACGACACTGTAGCAGCCGAGGCTCCTGTTCGCGGGCCCAACTACCGAGAGGTCATGGGCATCAAACCCACAACACGATCTCCAAAGAATGCATCTTTCTCCCAGGACAGCATGGGTCACTACCCTGCCATCTCAGCGCCGAGCAACGCTACCCCTATCCAAAACGCCGAGAACTGGGGGAACAAGCCTGCCACTGGTTCCACCCCAGTCAAGGATAAGAAACGCAGCATTTTCGGATTCCGAGGTCGCGGTGGCTCTTCAGACCTTGCACCAATACAGGTTAATAACACGCCGCTGCAATCCCTCGCAGAGTCACGGGGGGTGCCACAGAATCGCAACATTTTTGGCATGACACTGCAAGATGCGGTCGAGTTTTCGGAGCCTTTACGTCTCGGCGCCCAGTTGCCGTCAGTGGTCTCCCGCTGCCTTGAGTACCTGAAGGACAAGAAGGCGACCAAAGAGGAGGGACTTTTCAGGCTCAGTGGCTCTAACATAGTCATCAAGGGTCTGCGCGATAGGTTCAACAATGAGGGCGATGTTCCGCTTGTCGATGAGCCATACACGGACGTGCATGCAGTTGCTTCTCTCCTCAAGCTGTACCTGCGAGAGCTGCCAGCTTCTATTCTGACTCGAGAACTCCATCTTGACTTCCTCAAAGTTCTTGGTAAGTCAGTGTCCATCTTTGAAATTGCTTGCTAACTTTTGTAGATATGGACGAGCGCATCAAGAAGATCCAAAGCTTCAACGTGCTAGTGCACAAGCTTCCCATTGCCAACTTTGAGCTTCTCCGTCACATGTCGTCTTTCTTGATTGAGGTCGTGGACAACGCTCAATCCAACAAGATGACTGTTCGAAACGTTGGCATCGTCTTTGCACCAACCTTGAATATTCCAGCACCGCTCATAGCCTTCTTCTTGACCGACTTCTTGGACATATTCGGTTCGCCTCTTGACGAAGCAAGCTCTCCCATCCACGAGATTCGCGTCAACAACAATCATCTCGGAGATGACGCTATTCGCTCCCCGCGACGTCAGATGTTCTCAGACCTGCCTACGCCGGCTTATAACGAAACCACTTTCCAGCAACGCTTCGATCGACGACCATCTCAATTTCAGGATAGCATGCCTCCGCCATCATACCCAGCACCGCAGCCCCCCCAGCAGCAGCAGCAGCAGCAGCAACAGCAGCAACAGCAACAGCAACAGGAGCGAGGTCGCAACGGCAGCTATGACTCCGGTTTCATCCCAATGCGGCCAAGCTATGACGCCCCTCAATACGAGCAAGCTTACCAGAACGGTGACGGCTATGGAAGTCTCAATAGCGCTGTTCAGGGCAACTCGAGAGAACAACGACAGCGCCGACGCGAGAGTGGCATGCTTCTCATGAACATGAATATGGGTGGCCAACGAAAAGGATCAAACAGCTCCATCACATCCAGCAACCAGCGGATTCGCGAAGATGTACGCGCAAATCCAATGATGGTCCGCGAAGAGACCGCATTCGACTAATTGACCTACCTCACGATCTACTACATTCTGTCTAATTTATGATACCTAATCCCGAAGACCCAGGACTGGATCTATGGGCTGTGGCATCTATCATCGTTATCTATCCTTGTTCTTTGGTTCTAAGCAAGCGAGACAGACTTCATCATCGGGCGTTATTGGGACATGCAGCGTTACCGTTCTTTACATATTCTTCGCATACCCGCTTGCTAGCTGCAAGCACTTTGTTTCCATACGTTTCGGAGGTTCAATTGGGTTTGGCCTTGGAACAGAAGGACTCGTTACTACTTAGCAATTTTCGACGGCGCATAGTGATGGAATACATGACGAATTGATTTCACCCTTGGTGTCAGACTGCAGTGCGCGAGTTCGATTGTTGCTACTATAGTCCGCTTCAATATCATGACTACTTCGCAACCTGTCCATTCTACAGGATCAATATCACAGGTGGATGCATAGACTATGGCAGAAGAGCATGCCCAATACGCTCGGTTCCGATTCATAGCTATTTTGTTGCTTGGAAAGGTCGAGGCACTCAAGGGCCCTAATTTGGCAAGCGCGAACGGAGACGCGACTTCCCAGGACGCGCCTTCTTCCGGCGTCGCGAACAACTCGAGTCTACTCAAGCAGCAAACAACAACGCCGTGCTTCACCTCTACCGCCTCTCCAAGTCGCATAGGCTGCTTACTAATCACGCAAATGATGGCCGGTAACATGCTGAAAGGCGCACCTTTGTAAGTAAACGCCTGCATCTGCTCAATCGCCGTCTGACAACTACAGCGGGGAGGCGCCTTCCATACCCAGTCGAGCCGAGTCGAACTACAATCCACTGCACACATTCGAGCTTCCGAAGGGCACAGAGAAGAACTATGCACACCAATTTGCCGACATGTACTTTCTGCGGTTGGCGCAATTGAAGAAGGCCGTGAAACAGAAGGCCCATGATGCGTGGGACGACTTCGAGCTGGGTGGGGAGAAGGCGACATTTGTCGAGCGTGTGCTCGATGTACGGCAGGGCGAGCTCTGCTGGATAGTTGGCACAGTATACATGGAGATGGCGCTGAAACCCAACGTTCTGGATGACATCTCGAAAGAGCATTGGATTGCCGCACCGCCGCCTCGCGAGACATATGTGTCTGGCGCACAGGACGAGATGATGCTGGAGGACGAGTCTGGGCGTCTGCGTGTCACTGGCGAGAGCTTGAACTCGACATACGTCACTGGCTGTGTGCTTGCGGCACTCGGGACAGAACAGGCAGACGGCACATTTCAAGTCATTGCGACTCAATATGCAGATCTGCCACGGCAGCCTGAACGTTGGGAGCGCGACGATGCTGCCATGACACAAGCGAAGAAGCCGAAGCTAAAGCGAGGGCAAGCTGGAAAGATAGCAATCGTGTCTGGGCTAGGAATCACAGGAACAGATGATGACGAGCTATCACTCGATCTACTCCTCGAATATCTTACAGGCGAAGCAGCAGGACCGCCGACACAGACTGCTGCAAGCTCGATATCGCGGCTCATAATAGCCGGCGACTCACTCTCACACGCCAGCCCCATCCTGTCTCGCGAAGACTTTGCCGAAAAGAAGAGCAAAAGGCACGCCTACGGCTACGACGCCTCAGCGTACAACGCCTCGCCCGCCGAACGCCTCGACGAATTCCTCTCCGACGTTCTGCCCACTCTCCCCATAACACTTCTCCCCGGTGCAAACGATCCCGCCAACGTCGCTCTCCCCCAACAGCCGCTCCATCCCGCTCTCTTCCCCAAGAGCAGACTCTACGCCGAACCGCCCGTGAAGACAAACGAGACAATACACGGTCTAGACGCAGTCACCAATCCGTGGGAAGGGGACATAGAGGGCTACCGCGTGCTCGGCACAGGCGGGCAGACCGTCGCCGACCTGCTGAAATACGTCGACGACGTCGATGCGCTGGAGGTCATGGAGATGATGCTTAGGTGGCGTTGTATTGCTCCTACGGCGCCGGACACGCTGTGGTGCTATCCGTTCCAGGACGATGACCCGTTGCTGTTAAAGGACTGTCCGCATTTATATTTTGCGGGGTGTCAGGACAAGTTCGGAAAGAAGGTTATCGAGGGCCCGGCGGGTCAGAGCGTGTTGCTGGTCAGTGTGCCGAGGTTCAGGGAGACGGGGCAGCTTGTGCTGTTGGATCTGGAGTCGAGTGAGATCGAGGTTGTCGAGATTGGGATCGTACAGCCTGGGTCATGATGGCGAACATATCTTCAAGAATATGAGGCCATAAAGACGGGGGACACGACGTGTACGATACCCATGTTGTGGGGGGTGAATTAGCTACTTCCCTGCCGCAAGAGATAGAGGCATACTTTGGACTCAGCTAGTCCGACGTGTACCACGAACAATACACCATGTGAGGAAGCGCCCACATGATGGTTATTAGCTGAAGGCATATCCACCATACCAATCTCTTATCCATCTCAGCTGTGATCAAAGCGCAAAGTGCAACAATGAGCGTGGCGCAATGGCGCCTCACACATCCAAGGTTCACCAAGGCAAAAATAATTGTTCAGTGTTCAAATAGAATTCAATACACTCGACCGTTTCTCAGGTCTTGAGTTGACATTACATCCCCAACCCTCGTATCTGTCTGAATCTTGACTAAATTCCTTCCTGTACATGGACCCCCATGCAACGCAGCGCATGCAATGCCATGCTCTACATAAAATCCCAAACGCCTTCCCAAAAAGACATGGAGCTTGTTCAGCTCGTAGTCCAGTCCATACCATATATGGTTCAATAGTGTGCAGTCGAAATGCCAAATGGCCGGCTCCCCAGTCGAGACCACGTTCGCATCCACGCGTCATCGAGTCGATGCGTGCGTGCGTGTGTCGTACATGAGATGAATGGATGCTTACAGCATAAGCGCAACGCCGCCGGCGACAATCAGCCCCAGCGCGCTGCCCGTGAGCTGCGTGCCCGCGCCCTCGAACGGCGCCGTGCTGCTGCTGGTCGGCTTCACTGCACCGGTGCCGGACGGCTGCACTGATACGGTGCCTGAGGCTGACGGGTAGGGCATGGCGGTTGCTGCTGCGCTGGAGGCTGAGGATGGGTAGGGCGCAATGGCTGAGGACGCCACGGCTGAAGAGGTGCCGTTTGTGACTGAGTACTGGGCCGAGGCGGTGGCGGCGAGGGCGAGGATGAGAGTGGAGAACTGCATATTGGATGTGTTGTGGTGTTTTGGTTGGAGACAAGAGTGGTGAATAGATGATTAGGTGATTAGGTGGTGGTTGAGTGAGGTGGAGCTGGATGATGGCGTTGATTCTGCAGAGGGAGTAGATGGTGAGTCTTATATTCGTCCTCGCCTTTCCAAGGCCCTCAACAACAAGGCAGTCGTCCGACAGCCAATCTTTGCTAGAACGTCCCACGGCATACGTACGCACCGGGGCTGCCAGCCATGGCCAGCCTCCGCCCCCCGGTGGGCATGGCCGAGCATCCACTCACAGAACCCAGGCTCGGCAGGATCGAACTGCAAGGAACCCGCAGCGTGGCTGGGCGCTGGGCTAAAAATACTCGGAGGTTAGCAATCTGCCGACACCCTGCCAATCACGTCTCGTACTCGGTGGAATGACAGGTCGTGTGGCGGGGCCACCCCTGCCACAGGGCTGGACTTGCGGCTCTGCTGCGCAATTTGCCATCTGCGTTCGGAAATCCCGCACGCCGCGCAACGGGTGGGAATCGATAGAAACTTTCGAGTTGTCCAAGCTAGGGCGCGATATCACGGCCTACACGCCCCTCGCGAGTTCTTCGATCTTAGGCTGCTGTTTGCCGTAGCCGGGCGTGCTAGACGGTGCCGGTGACTCAACGGTCGGCAGCAAAGTCCGTAATGAGCCTAATCCCCATCCTTGACTTTTGTTCGCTGGCCGGCGGCGATGATGGGGATCGCCAGGCACATTGTTTCAGTATGTGGACACCCTTGCCGTTAATCGTTGCCGGTGACGTGTGCTTGCGCAAGACGATGGCTCGGCCATTTTTTTTCTCTACGATCCATGATGGTCGTGAACATGTGACTGAGACGCGTGTTCATTGTTGTTGCTGGCCATCGTCTGTTGGTTGTTTGTCTGCTTGTTGCTATTTATGTTTCGGGATCGGGAAGAGATTGTAATGTGTAGGATTGGCGGTGTTTGATTGTCGTGGATCTGTGGAGAAGGAGAGATGATGGCAATTTTGTAGTCTCATGGAAATGGTCTGGACTCGAAGGTTGCGTGGTCGCTCCTTCCAGCAAGATCGTTTGAACATCAGGTAATTATGTGTCTTGGTATAATGCAAGCATACAGCGTAGTGATTTGCTTCCTACCCTTTGACATCGGCACGTATCATGGCATTACTGCCAACGCAGTCTCTTAGCAAAGTCTGGCGAAGTGCATTTTTCGGCTCGAGTAACACACCGTTTGGCATCTTTCCGTTTGGAGAACTCGGCCTCCTTTGCCGCTCCCCAGTCGGTAGTCATTGTGCAAGACTGTTCCGTGCCTGACGTAAATGAAGTCAAATCAGTAATGTCAACATAGGATTACGTCTATCTAGAATGTCTGTAATTGTCCACGCTTAGTCCTTGATGGACGGCGCAAAATCTACTCTTCCATCTCATCTCCACTCTCATCTCCCTCGCTGCCTTCCTCGCTATCGCCTTCGTCATCATCATCATCATCGTCACCGTCATCATTCTCATCACCTTCCAGACCATACGACTCGTAAAAGTCAGCGAGAACCTTGCTCTGAGGCTGGAATCCTGCGCCCTCAAAGTCCTTCTGCAGGCTCTGCATGCTGTTAGCGATTGTTGACTTCCAATGATGCGAGCTCCACATACCTCCTTCAGGATGTCACCACAAGTGACGACGACATCGACCTTCTCCGGCTCAAAGATAGCGGATACAATTTCCTTCAGGGTGCGCTTGACATCATCTTCGGTGATCTTGCGCACTTCACGTAGGACCCACTCCTGCCAATCTTTGTCGACGCCGCGAACTACAAGATCAATGAAGGAGCTCTTGGCCGCATCGACCATGGTGTCTCTTTCATCAACGAAGCTCCTGACAATCGTCGAGATGGCCCCTTCGAGAGCCATCTTATCGAACGATTGTGTACCGTCAGCAAGCTCCTGGGTCAGTTTCTTCGCTGCATCGAATGCCTTGAACACGTTCGGGCTGTTGTATATCACATATTTCAGCTTTCCTGTCTCGACGTCACGGTAGAAGGAGCTGCCGTAGGCGAGACCTGTGCCGCGAATGGCGACCCACATCGGCCCTTCGACTGCTTCGAGAATCGATAAGGTGACAAGCAGCGGTGGTAGCTCTGGTGCGGTGTAGCCCTTAGGGCCCGCTGACGTGAAGATGCCATACGATGTGTCGATCGGCATGGTGACGATGTAGTGCGCGCCGCCGGGGTTACGGCCAATCTCGGACAGTAGCAGATTGCGGTCATCAATTGGGTTGACGGTAGGGTTTGCTTCTGGCTTGATGGCATCTGTGAGGTGCTTGAAGGTCGTCACCGGTTTTCGGAGGGTCTCGAGGTTGGCAGTAACAAGCAGACGCATATTCGAGAATGTAAGAAGGTGCTTTCGCAGTGCTTCAAGCTGGTCGATAACCTGTTGAGGATCCGACTCAAGGAGCTTCAAGGTACGCTTCAGGTACAGAGCCTTGACTAGAGTGGTTGTTGCACGGACAGATGAGGTTGTGTCGTAGTGGATCATCTTATCGATGGCGAGCGCCATGCCGTTGCCATCACGCTTCTCTTCTGGCACAGTTGCAAGTAATCTGATGACAGTAGCCTTGATCCTCTCAACGTCGAACACTGAGTCTACGAGCAATGTCTTGAGCCACTGGACGACGGTCTCAAACTTGTCTGACTCTGCAACGAAATGGATATGGAGCATCTCAGAGTTGCCAATGTCGGTGGCTCGGCCGAGTGTATACTCAATCGTGTCTTGCTCGAGCTTGGTGATGACTTCTTCAAACTCAATGCGTTTGCCATCTCTGACAACTGGTGTAGCGAAGAAGTTGGTGAGGTAGATCCCGAGCAGCGGCTTCAGTTCTGTGGGCAGCTTAGACGTTCCAAGGGCCAAGCCGAAATGCACGAAAGAGGTCGGGATGTGCTCATAGTGGATAAACAGTGGAAGACCGTTCTCGTCCTTGTCGATGATCTGCTGAATTCTGGTGTCGCTAGTACCGAGCTTCTTAGCAAGCCCCGACCGCGCCGGAGTTGTTTCGAAGAAGTGTATCGAATCTGTACTAGGGATTTTGAAGCTTGCAATCAGCTCCTCGGGGATGGGTCTGTTATTCTGATCTTGAGCAGCCTGTAGCTTTTCAGCGAGCTTCTTCAGACCTTCATCACCGAGCTTCTCTTGCTGTGCTTTGACGCGCGCAACTTCTTCTGCCTTCATCTTCTCGTTCAGAGCCGCGGAGGGCTTGCCAAACAAGGTGACATGGTGAGCGTCCGATATCCATTTCTTGGTAAAGGTGCGCCACTGATCTTCGCTCCACCCGTCGAGCTCGTCAAAGTCTTTGAAATCAGCCATACCAGCTTTCAGGTCAGAGCCATCGCGCTTTCCGAAGATGTGGTCCTTGACAATAGGCGTGTTCCAATCCTCATTGCTGACTTCTGATGTGAATTTAGCCTGGCGCTTGAAGCGGTGGAGGCAGTCGCGCAAGTAGCTCATGTCCAGAGGACCATCCACGTGTTCCCTGAGGACTTCGAAGAAACGCTTCTCAGCTGTCTCAAGCTTCTCTGTGTCCACCGCGCTGAGAGTGAACCAAATGATTGAATCGTAGTGATCCTTCATGAAGTAGTACACCTCACTGGCGAGGTGCTCCTTCTCCACCAAAGTGTTGACAAGAACAGACACAGACGATCCAGCAAGGTACGTAAGAAGTGTGTTGATGGCTGTCTCGGCCAGATCGTCCGTTGATTGAGGGCCAAGGAAGGCGATCTGCACCTCTCCCGTAGATTCGTCCTCTTCGGGGAACTCGAGCGTGTCAACGATAGTTCTGCTGAGCGGTGGAGTGCGCTTTGACTCAACCCAGGGGCGCTTGAAGGGTGCATCATATGATGGCACAGAATCGACAATATCGTCTTCGAACTTGTCCAACACCTCCAACAGGTTTGCGTGATCAACTTCACCGATAAGGATAAGACGCATGTTTTTGGGCTGGTACATCTCTCGGTGAAACTCGCGAATGCGCTCAGCAGTGAGAACGCGTAGATTCTCCATCAGACCACCTGTCTCTGAACGAAATCCATCGTCTTCTGGGTACAAGAGACGACGCATGCGAAGATCCATCATGTCGCCTTGCAGATTCTGCCTTGCTTGCATCTCAGCGTAGACAACACTATGCGTGTTAGATCAAATTATCCATCTGAATGAACAAGAACGTACCCTGCATCTTCACCTTTGCCATCAACGTGGTGAACTTCTGTGTAGCATGCAGCATCTGTGTTAGCAGGCAGAATCAGGTGATCGAGGTAGACCGGAAGAATCTGTGCAAAACTCTCCCAGCCAGCCGAGGAGAGAGTGTAGACTGTCTCGGAGACATCTGTCCATGCGTTGGTATCCGAGTATGAGCGCGTGGAAAGTTTGTCCAGCAAGCCTTTGTATGGATACTTGCGACCTCCCATGAAGATCAGATGCTCCAGTGTGTGAGCTGCATGTCATCAGTGCTGTTCGATTATTGTGCTGACTTCCTTACGAGAGCCAGAATCATCGTGAATTTCTGTAGCGACAGCAAAGTATCCGTATACTTTAGGGCCTTTCCGATCAACCACCGTCACTCGTAGTCCCGTACGCTGCGATTCATATTGAGTGAACTTGGCATCGGCGTAATCGGCCTCGAACTTCTGGATCTCCTTGAAGTGCGACGACTGCTCAATCGACCCCATACTTGCGTATTTGATACTTGCAAAGTCCTTTGAGGAGTCTGGGAGCTCAAATGTTGAGTTGCTGGTCGCAAGGCTATCCGCGATGCGAAGTTGCGCTTGTGCAGGCGCCCCTTTGTGCAGTGCCGAATTGGCGCTACCATTGTTGTCAGCCAAGTATTCTATCGTTCATGAAAGCTGGACGCCGAAATCAAAGCATAGGAAAATCAATAAGACATAGCGAAGAAAAGGTTGTCGTTGTTGCAGGTATTACTCTGGTGGCAACGTACGAGATCGAGCAAGACGTGAAATACCGAATGCAGAACTGGTTGAGTGGTGTGTAGAACACGTATCTGAACTTACATGGAAGAGAGGAAGGTGAAAGGAAGGAACAACTTTTGGTAGCTGCGATGCAGTTTGGTGTTCGGTCGGCGGAGAGCGCGACTGTGCGATTTGTTAGTGTGTTCTGTACCTACAGGCGTGGTTCATGTATGTACCAGATGATGCCTGCCAGATTGCAGCAGCAGTTCCAGACACACCTAGCCAATGTCCCGGTTCTCGAGAAGATGGGCTGTATATGCAAGATTTCGTATATTGGTGGGGTAGACAGGCGCGCAACGGTCTGCCCCTCCATGTGAATTGAAGCTCCGCACGGACGTCATCGTCTCGTCGATTGCTCGACCGTGGCGCGCCAGGAAGTGTACAGCGCACGTCACTTTACTCTTGACAACGACATGATACGTCGCTGATCGAACGCGATGCCCCCAAAAGTCACAGATGCCCAGCTCGGCGACGCAATCCTCGAATCCGCCAAACACGGATCGTTTCCTCAAGATGAAGATGTGGCATCTGCGACGGTGCCGTCGAGCGCACTGCCCAAGTTACTAGAAAAAGTTGGGAGGGCAAGAGAAGATGCCAAAGTAAGACGTATTGATATCTCGAAGGACTGGAGCTGATCGTCAATTCAGAACGAAGTGCGTAAGGTCTCCCGTGAAGCGGCCTCTGACGTCGATGGATGGATCTCTCAAGCGCGAAAGCTACAAGACGACATCAAACACTCCCAAGACACCGCCAAAGAGATCGTACATAATGCAGAAGAGGGAAAGGCGAACACACTACAGGTCCAGGATGCGGTCAGCAAGGTCAGCCTGCTGCAAACCGAGATTGCATACAATGAGAGTCTGGCACGGGTAATTGAACAGCTGAGGGACATCACTGCACTCCTAGACTCGGCACAGGAAGCTGCCGTGCGGGGGCACGTCATGTATGCCATCGAGCGTCTTGAGGACGTGGGCAGCGCTTTGAAGAGCATGGGTCCGTTCGAATCTACACGAGTGGTGGGAGTAGTGAAAAGCAAAGAGTCGCAGTTGCGAAAGGCTATTATTGAGACCGTTACCGAGTCATGGAATGGACTGCTGGAAATTGACGCAGCGAACAACAAGGTCTCTTTCCGGGACGCGATCGAACGAGAAACCACCATCGAGATCAACGCGGTTGTCGAGCAGCTCACAAAGCTGGGTCTTCTGGACGACTTTGTCACCCGCTTGAGTCGCGACTTCGACAGGACTATCCTTTCCCGCCGCCTCGTCATCGGTCGCGATCAAGTGGTGACCGCTTTCGAGATCCACGGTGATGACATACAACTCAAGGGCCCTGTCAACGATGGGAGTGTCAGGGTTACGCTGGAAGACATACACAAGATCGCAGAGTACATAAGCACACGCCTGCCACCTTCTATCACCCTACCGCTCTCGTCAAAGTTGGTACCCGCCATTACGTCGCGCCTCATCACCCACTATCTGCTCCCCGCGGTCCCAACATCCACGGATCGAGTCCTACAGTTCCAGGAAACCCTGTCATATGTTCTGGGTCTCGTTGAATATCTTGACGAGCTGGGCTGGTCTGGCCAGAACCGTCTGACAGAATGGGTTGACAAGTCAGCCGAAATTTGGCTGGCAAAGCAGAAAGAGAATGCAATTGCCAGAGTGCAGAAGCTTTTCCCGAAGCAGATCAAAGTCAAGAAGACAGTGGAGAAAGTGGAGACGCAAGTCATTTCGAAGGGTGACGCGTTACATCCTGCGCAGGAGGAACAGGATAACGATTGGGGTGCCGAGTGGGGCGATGAAGATGAAAATGCGAAGGAGAATGCGGACAAAGCACCTGAAGACGTAGAAGAAGTGGATATGAGCGCATGGGGAGTGGATGAGGACGAGTCCGAGGATGCACCGAAACCCGAGGCCAAGACAGAAGAGAAGAGGACTGGAGACGACGAGGATGCAGAAGACTGGGGCAATGATTGGGGCGACGACGAAGATTCTAAACCAGCTCCCTTGCCACAAGCATACACCAAATCGCCACAGCGTAAGACCAATGGACAGCCAGCGCAGCAACCACTTATCGACCAGCATGTCACCCTGAGAGAGACATACACCGTCACAGCGATTCCCGACTCGATCATCGAAATCATACTACAGGTTATTGCAGATGTAGAAATACTTAATTCGCCCGAACTTGTCAAGTCCGCGATAGCACCTGCTAGTGGAGGCTTGTTCGCGATTCCGGGTCTGCTCCTGGCGATGTATCGGGCCACCGCTTCTGTTCACTACTCCACCGAGATTGCAGGCAACATGCTAGTCTACAACGACTGCGAACGTCTGTCGGATCGACTCCGAGGATTCATTCAAGAGCAAGCAGAAAAAGATAGTACCTCGAGTCTACCTAAACTACTTCGGCCCTCGGTTCGACTAACACCGAAGATCGAGGCGGACATCAAGACGATAGATGGCTTCAGTCGTAGGGCATATGGGCGGGAGATGGAGTTACAAAGACAAATTATCAAGGACCATCTTGAGGATGCGCAAGGCTTTCAAGGGTGTACCAATGTCCCTTTTGCGACAGTCTGCGACGATGCCATCGCGACCACTATCGATCGCATTGCAGAGGTCAAGCGACAATGGCAGAAGATGGTATCTCAAAGGGTACTCGTGCAGTCGCTCGGGTCGCTGGTGAGCACTGCGTTCACGAAGTTCATCAACGACGTAATGGACATGTCAGACATTGCCGAGGACGAGTCGCGGAAGCTGCACAGCTACTGCATGTCGCTGGCGACGCTAAATCAGCACTTCCAGACTCAGGACGAAAGCGGAGAGAGCAGAGACACAGCAAGCCTGTATGTGCAGAACTGGTTCAGGCTACAGTACCTCGGTGAAATTCTGGCCGGCAGCTTGGCGGACATCAAGTACCTTTGGAACGAGAGCGAGCTCAAGCTTGAGATGGGAGCCGAGGAGGTGGTGGGCTTGATCGAGGCTCTCTTCGCGCCGAGCGACCTTCGACGACGAGCCATCGCCGAGATCAGGAGGACGAGCATGCACTAGATAGGCTTCGACCACATAGACACGATATCCACGACTTTCCATGTTGCCGTCTCAGGGAAGCAAGTCTGCAAGGCTGCCGCGGGCAATATGAACGCCGACTGGCTGTGGAGACGTTACGAGCGCTGACCAATCAGCGTGTCTGAAGTGGAAGGCAACACCGGAGTGAAAGCTTGACTCAGGTCTTCGACGCTTTCCAAGAAGTTGCCCGATGGGGTAGGTTAATGGGCCCCACTCTATTCTCCGGTCCAAATAATTTCCAGCTGCGCGAAGATCGCAACAGCCAAAGCCCTCAGCAACGCATACAATGGAGTTCCCCGCCGCCGAAACGAAGGTGCAGATTCGCCTCAGCACTCGCGATCCCGGGCTTCAGATCGCCGACGAGCCAACGGTGCTGCTGGTACAGACCTGTAAGTGGTGCTCGTATGCGCGCAGGCACGCAGAAGAACGGATGCAGCGCGCAAATTCTAGACAATTCTGTCCCAAACGCGGTCACTAACAGGGCCCAAAGCGCTGAGCAGACACCAGCTGTCCACCCTCGTGAACGACCTGCTGCACCGCGAGACACGCATCCCATTCGATATTCTCATCAATGGCCAGTTTCTGCGCACGTCGATTGAGGAATTTCTCACCAAGAATGGAATCAACGCCGAAAGCACATTAGATGTAGAGTACACGCGAGCACTGGTTCCCCCGCTGAACGTCACGAGCTTCGAACACGACGACTGGGTCTCGGCCGTGGATGTGCTCTCGCAATCCTCGTTGGCAGGAATATGGTCAGGTGGAAACGTGCAGGGCGGACAGGAGAGGATCCTCAGCGCGAGTTACGACGGCTTGGTGCGCGTGTGGAACACTTCGGGCGACGTTCTGGCGACATCAGAGGCACCGAACAACGGCGGCCGCATCACGAGTTTGAAGACGGCGAAGTGGATTTCAGACACGAAGTTTGTGGCCGCGGGCCTGGACAACACAGTACGGGTCTACAAGTATGACGACGACTTGCGCACCATCACAACGAGCCTCGAGCTCTTCAATCACCGATGGGCCGTCGAGGACGTCGCCGTCCATGGCCCCTCGAACCGCATCCTGTCCGCCTCCTCCGACTCGACCATCTCCCTCTTCTCCAGCAACGCCAAAGAGAACCCCGCGGCGCCCTCGAATCTCCTCCCCAACTCCACAGCCGCCTCCAACAAGCGCCAAAAGCTCTCGAAGCCCGACCGCACAGTGCCCGCACGCGGCGCCCTCGCGACCTTCACGGGCCACGCGGCGCCCGTCTCCAGCGTCGTGTTCAAGCCCGACGACGCCACGGTCGCCTACTCGGCGTCCCACGACCACACGCTCAAGACGTGGGACTTCCCCACGCAGTCGTGTGTTGACACTCGCACGACTAGCCACGCGCTGCTCTCGCTCTGCGCCATGCCCACGCGCAATCTCCTCGCAACGGGCACGAGTGCGCGCCACATCACGCTCGTCGATCCGCGCGTGAGCGCCACACAGATCAGCGTCATGACGCTGCGCGGCCACAAGAACGGCATCGTGTCGCTCGCCACCGACCCAGGGTCCGAGTATAGCCTCGTCTCGGGCTCGCACGACGGGACGTGTCAAATCTGGGATCTCAGGAACGTCACGACGAGCGGACAGGTGGGAGAGGGCATGACGGGCGAGAGCGTCTACACCATCAACCGGCAGGGCCTGAGCGGGCCGGCGAAGAGCCATGGCGAGGGCGTCAAGGTGTTCAGCGTGTGCTGGGACAAGCAGGTGGGCATTGTGAGTGCGGGCGAGGACAAGAAGGTGCAGATCAACCGGGCGCTGGACTTGTAGGGCCCATGGAGGAGCCCGGCACGGTAAAAGTTTGGCGGGCGTTCGGGCGTGCGATGGGTAGATACCACGATGAATCGATCTAAACGGCCTACCATCTACTCGTCTGCTTTTTGAACGCCGCTCCATGCCCGGAAAACGAATGGGTATCATGCCTGTACTTGCTCTGCTTGCACGCCTCCCCCTCCCATACGCACCACTCATACCAAGTGCCCCGGCAGCAGGAAATTCGCAACCCCCTCTTTCACCGCGTACTCGTGCCCGCAGCACCCGCACACCAGCGCGCCCTCTTGTATACACGTCTCCAGCAGCACGCGGTGGAGGTCCCGCGCCGTCTGACTCGGCTGCGCGTCTACCGGCTGTGCGCCTTCGGGTGTGTCCTGGACGCCGCCTTCGACGAGGTCGTTCGGCGTCGGCGCGGTGGGCGGCAGGTCTGGAAGGCCAAGCTATTGATATCGTCAGTCGGGCTTGTGGTTTGGGCGCGGCTTGCGCGAGGGGCGATGACGTGCCTCTTTGCAGATTGTGCGCAGCTCTTGCCACATCAGTCGCGGCAGTATGTTCTGGAGGAACGGCAGGTTGACGTCGGCCTCGACCACTTCTAGCTCAGCGCCTTTGGGGTGCAGCGGGAATGAGGAGGCTTGTGTTTTGCACGTTTTGATCGCGCAGGTGAGGAAGTTGAGCGTGAGGAGCTTCATTTTGGCGGATTGGGGAGAGGGAAGCGTCGAGGGAGTCGCGTGTGCGTTGCGTGCGATCGAGGTTTGAAGAGCAGTTGGCGCGGTCGCGACTGGAGTGGCATGTCCGATAAATTTTGGGACAAGCCGACGAGGTGGGGTTGCAGGGGTCGCGTTTAAGCTTATCTTAGTACGTCACTATGGCTTTTGGCTGCTGAGATCGTTGCACTTCGTCTCACCACACACCCACCACCCTGTAGACATCTCGTTCAAAGAGCCTTCAGATTCGACTTCTTCTTGTTGTTGTGCGCGAATCTCATCGGGAGACGAGCGACAGTAGACCATGATCTGGTTGTATGGAGCGCTTGGGCTGACCGACTCGCTCGAGTCACACGATTCTACGTGGACATTTCATGGGCTCCTCAAATGTCGTTGGCCAAGCTGATCTGGACGCACCTGATTCTATTGCGCTTGATGATCTCCGGTATGCAGTACTGAACGAACTGAGAATAGCCATGCTATCCTGACATCTACCGGAAGAGCCGTACAGGCTACCGCATGGCTATATTTCCGCGGCTGACAACTGGGGCACCGCTTAGTTGAAAATGCTCTGTATGAGCCATCGTTTCCAACACGAAGGAGGGTTCAGCAAGACGACAGATAAGGAAATAGCCACAGTCCTTGCAGATGCCCCTTCGGACCCTTCCACCTACCTAGCCCTCGGCCTAGCCTCAACCTTTCGTGACAAATGGACCGACAGCGATATCGCGATGGTATTCAAACATATGGACAGATCAGATCTATATGAACAGGTCTGTTCATTTGTGATACAGGTACTGTACCGTACCGCAGTAGAAAGTTCATGACCCAATCTGGATACCTGGGATTTGGAAACATCAACATACGGCCTGGGGATAGAGTGTTTCTGTCGTCTAAAAGCAGCCGCCCTGTGATTTCAAGACCTGTGAAAGGCAGTGTAAAAAAATGGGAGCACACGACATACAGGATTGTCAGCGCTTATTATCTGCATGGCTTCGTGGACGGTCCCGATGAAGGAGTCAAGTTTCCTTGCGAAGAAGTGTGGGTCGAGTAAGCCACGCGTCTATGATTCACACCGCTGATACCGCCCCAACCTCGAGAGGACGTGTTGTGACGAATCTTATAGCATGCCCATCCGAATGTCGTCACGAGATAATTAGAAAGGAGGTCAATACACGGTGTCGATGACGAAACGATCAAGGTGAAAGCAGCTTGTATCCCCCACAGAGTGCGCCCTCGACAAACGCAATACACGACGACACAACACCACGCCTTCAAGACATATCACTCAAATCCACAAAGCGCCGCAGCAACCAGCTGGTTGGAGTATATACACATATCCGTCCCGCCGTCACTCTTTCATCAAATCCAAGCAGGTTGGAATACCTCTTGGCGGATCAACCACCTCTTTCAACCGCACCGTGTGAGAAGTCGAGCGTACGTTCGAATCGTGACAAAACCGTCAGTAACAACAAACGTGAAGTTGGTTTTCGGACACTCGATGGGTACGCTTGCCTCGTATTCTGTATGTCATAGAGCGACCTCAAAATGAGGCCTATCGTATAATAAAGTCGGATGACATGTGCATACAGCGCAGCGAAAACCAGCGCCGTGGAAGTGAAAGGAAGCGTCCACCGCGACACCTGCCATAAAGCCTCCTTCACCTCAATTTCGTACCCATCCTCACACACACACTCCTGTCTCCAACCCAAATACAATTTCGGACACCAGCCATTCCTCCATGTGCAACCCTAAGAATACCGAAATCTACGAGCTCTACGAAGGTTGCGGCCACCGCCTTCCGCAGCACACGTGCGACTACTTTGCCGACGCCTTGCAGCAGTGCCTTGCTTTTCACGATCTTGCAAAAGATGTGAGGGTCTTTGAGTGGGATAACGGCGAGCTTTACGATGGTGTTTGCAGGTTTTGCGAGGAAGGGAAGGATCTTGACGGCGTGTGGAAATACGGGAAGAAGTGGGTGGGGAAGCAAGTGTTTATGAAGAAGAAGAAGAAGCTAGAATGAGACGTTGGAGTGTTTGGATAGGACGGAGCCGGTGCCGCAAGTTGATGTTCACGAGGTGACACTTGACGTGTCAGAAATGGTGGGAATTGAGAACTTAGACAATTCGGAACTTCATCTTGTTTGTTCTCGACTATCAGCGACATGGAGCACATGAATAAACCCATTTGTAGAAAGCAGCAAAGCACCATAACGTTCCTTTTCGGACAATACCGCTTCTGCTCTTTCATTCTCACTCACTAAGAAGACCTGAGATGTTCGCCAGTGTATGATGGATACTTCCGTTCAGTCCTTGGTCCTGATCGATTCGACTGTGATCCAGAGCAAGTAAATACGGATGTCCTTGTCCCTCAGGAGGTCAAGGGCATTATATTCAGTGTCGATACGATAGTGTTGACCAACGAGTGTAGAGGCTAGACAAACCGTCTCGGCTGTACAGGCGGCAAGGATACCTGTTCTGTAGTCAATATCAACCCAAGGACGTGAAATGGGAGTGAGAGAGTCGAGACGAAGGTTAAGATGATCAAGGAGTGACAAGTCAAGAGTCTGTCGAGGAGAGCAAATATCTTACCCCTGTTGTCATATCACTGGTGATCAAACGCGCTACTCGCGAGTAGGCGCATACGCTAACAAATAAGGATGAGGTCTTGTTAGCTCTGGGTAGAGTAATGTGAAGCTGGGCGGGATGTTGCAATTAGCTGCAATACTGCTTGTAGAGCGAGTAGAGCTATGGTGGGATCTTACATTAAGTTAGTTCGTAATAAAATCAACGGATTGGAATCGCTCCGCAGACTTGTGATAGCAATAGAGCTTCACGGCACCTAACATCAAGATGTTGACCTTTTAAGTACGCACTACGTATCATAGTCACGTATGCTTGCAGTTCTCAACATTTTCATCGTTTGTGTTCTAGTCACTATTTGTATGTCTCCATCCTGCCATTGTGCTAACTAGCGAGAGCCTAAATGAATCTATAGCATGCCAAGTAGAACTCAAGGTCACCCTTTTCTCACATAGGGTAATTACTTGCAATGTGGTCTCGGCTATCGCCTAAAAAATCCATTGCTATCAGTGGAAATCTGTTACTATGAGTCAAGGTTACTTACATCTATAACAATGAGATTCATCAGCACAATGGCCGTACTCACGGCCTGAACGTGTTAGTACAGATGGACTGTATAGAAACTTCCAGGAAACAGCATTTGTAGCAATGAAGTTCATTAGCAAGATGCCCATATTTGTTACCTGCGGCACTTAGCAAAGGTCAAACGCCTAGAAGCCTCTAGAAACTTATGTTCGAAGCAATGAGGGTTATTTGCGTAGTGACAGAGTTCACCACCTAAAAATTGACAGTCAGCTCAAATGCCACCTTATTTTGTTAGAGAACGAAAATACCGACACTTGAAGCAGACAACATTATGTTGGACGCTCTGCGATTCCCCGTCATCACCGCGTCTTCGTTTCGGTAACTGTAGAGGGAGCGCTGTCGGAGGATCATGTGGTTCATCCTTGAGAGTCTCCTAGATCTCTTTTCGCAGTCGAGTGAATGCTCCTCTCTGTCCTTCTCCATACATAGGTAGCATATTGAAGAGACTTCATCAGCGCGTGCGATTTAGACCTGGCCGAAGCTATAAAACGGGTATATAACGAGTCAAGGTCTACTAGATGTTGTTGAAGTGGGGTATGTCTATTTTTTAAGGGATAGCCGGATCCAATCTCCCGTTGTGGCCGTTGAAACTGACGGTGAACATGCTGAGGCTAAGGCTCTTGAGATTCAGGCCGAGAAGAGCATCGAAGGGGACAGCAACAGACACTGTCTTCGTCGAAACCAAAGCAAAGGAAGCGCTGGTCGTAGGATCCCGATTTAGAAAGCCTTTTACAGTTAATTTTGTGGCGAAAGGCAGTCCGATCAACGGAGGCCGAATGCTACTGTCCGTGTGCAGCAACGTGACCCATTTCGCTTTCTCTTCAGCTGCTGCAGCCCCTGTTTCAGCATTGCTTTGTTGCAGAGCAGCCATTGCGGTAGGCCCTCGATATGGTCTCCGGCAAAACCAGTGTATGGAAAAGGGAGTTTTTGTATTGCAATGAAGACGAAATATTCCTCAGAGTGAAATGATTGATATGAGCGTATCGAGCCAGAGCGCGTGATAAATCACATCGCGCAGCTCCCGTAGAAGACCCATAAATGTGACGGCAACACTGACAGCCATGTTGCAGCTCCAGAATGTTAAGACTATCTTGTGAAAAGCTGTGGTGTCCGGTAGACATCAATAGCTGAGTGGGAAGAAGCGCTTCATAACCTTACTCGCATGATAATCCAACCACGTGTCTGACCCCACTCTTCCAGATTGTACGCCTGAAGACGGACAACGTCTTATTTGCACCATGCTCTATCCATTTTGTGGTAGTGTAGTTTGTCGCTGTATTGGTAAGAATAGTGACGAGGCCGGGGAGTACTTCGTAAAAGCTTCAATGTCGATGCTAGACTCTATCAGCCTGTCTTGACCAACGAGGCGCGCATCAAGACGTCTGGTCGCGATTTATATGCGGCTTGCAAGGTCGTAGTGTGGTATCTAGAATTGATGCAGCTGTGACCGGTGCCAGCTATAGGCGTAGAGTGTTCAACCATGCGCGGAGTCTGTCGAGGAAGGGAAGGTTCACCTTCCAAGTCATCGGGCGTGGTAGATCATGTCGTGCAGCTCCCTCGGAAGAGTCATGAGGCCGACCTGGCTTTCACCTTGTGTCGGAGCTGATGAGCTCAGTGGAGATGCGGCTGGCACGATCTGCACATTGTTGGTCCAATGTTGTGTCATGGAGGCATTCGCGGTGCTGAAGAGCAAAGCGGGATGGAGGGCGCACATCTTGGACTGGTAGGCGCTAGCATCCGTGCCATCTTCCCCAAAAAGAGCAAAAGGCAGGCGTCTTTTCCATGAAGTGAGCCGCAGCTCACCGACTAGTGTGCAACAAGTTGATTGTGCTGCATCTGGATCCCTTAGGATGTCCAGGTCTCAGTGAACTACCCCCAACGATCTTGATCCTACAATTCGTTGACTCCATGCTATCCACTGTGCTCCGCGAAGCGAGTTATTACCTTTTCCACCCACTCTCCAATACCCCCAGTCTCCTTCCAATGCTACCGAAGCATACACAACTGCAAAACAATACACTGCCTACCCATGTTACAACTGCGAGATTTTCATAGCTAATGATTCCAGCGAACAGATCCGGTCTAGGATGGGGCATCGAGGGTGCATGCGTCGCGTTGGAAGGGGAGGGAACGCTGGGTGACGGCAACGCGGTGGGATTCGAAAGGAACATGACTGAGGTAAGAATGGAGGTAACGATGAGCGAGAACGACAGACCGGGCTTGCTGCGATCGAGGATGTACCACAGAGCCGGATTCACGAGGGCGAGAGTAAGGGTAAGCTGGAGGGTAGACTGCCAAGGTAGGCGGCGCTGTGTACTGTCAGCATGGACGGTCAGACTTGGCGGGAGTGATGACTTACAATGGCGAAAGCAACGCCCAAAAATGCCGCTACACTTCGGACAACGTCGTTAATCTGCTCGCTGATGGGGCTCTCGGCGTCCTTCTCGTCCTGGTCTTCCTTCTCGCTTTCGGTCAAGGTGCTGTGCCTGCTCCACACCAGGTCGACATACGGCAGCAGACTCCCTAGAGCTACGCCTGCACACCCCCATGTCGTGATGTAGAACCAGCTCTCGCGGTCCACGCCCTTGACATGCACCGCAGCAAGCTGTCTCGTGTCGTGCAGATGGCTGACAATCGTGCCATATAGGACACCAAACGTGAAAAGTGCCGCCAGCTTGGCGATCAGCACTGCATACTTGACTGTCGAACTCCTTGGTCTTCTCGTCTGACTGCTTCTTCTCTCATTCACTTTCCCCTTGCCACTGCCCCTGCGCGCGGCCTTCCTCATGCTCAGACCAGCATCTGCACCGCCCAGCCCACTGTCATATACTGTTCCGTGCCAGCCCATGCCAGTATGCCCAGGTGTCTCTGCGCCCGTGCCCCAGGGTGTTTCCGCCACGCTGGCTGCGCCGTTTGTGCTTGCGCCTTCATCGCCGTAGATACCGAACAGGGTGCTGCTGTTCATGTTCAGGAAACTCTTATTCTGACGTGGAAGCCTGGCGCTCCCAGCGCCATCGACCGGCGACTCTGGCGCATCGTCATAGCGGGCGTTGTATGTGTGGAGGAGGCGCGCATTAAGTTGGGCGAGGAAGTCTGAGCTTTTGGAGTTCTGGAGGCTATTTGCGTTGGGAGAATGCGGTTGCTGGGAGAAGGCGTGCGTAGGGCTGTCTGCTGTGTCGTGCAGCACTTGTGGTTCGAAGGCCCTTCGTGGTACGGGGCGGTATATGTGTGGTTGCTGGCATGGACTTTCCCGGCGCTCGTCTTCTGCCATTGCGGAGGTCCGTCCCGTCTGCAGATTCGGCGAACAACAACAAATGCTCAGCCCAGCTCTTCGTTTCCAATTTGCCCCAGACTTCAAAACATGGAGCCAGAGAAGTCGTGTACGTAAGGATACTGGAAAGAAGCAAAGACGTCCGGTGAGCGCGTCTGGGCGAGTGACCGCGTCTCCGCAATTAACAGTCTGTTTCTGGAATGGAAGGTAGCTCGAAAGGTTAGCACATGCACGCGCTCGGAGGGCGGGCAGCTAGGCCCGCAACGGCCCGGACCAAGGCTCGCAAACATACCTCGTATAGGCAATGTACGTGGTACGGCTGATAAATGTGGCAGCTGAGATTCGTGTGCTTTTCACGAGCGTTCTGGGGAGGGGGAATTGGCCGCATAGTGTTATAGCGGGCTGGAGCTGGGTCTGACGTTCATGCTCCACACTTGCCCTTTCGTGTCAGATGTGGCTTTCATGTGAAAGTCGGCTGGCTATGCAGATCTGTGAACTCCGCACGATCGCATGCATATCTCACCTCAACAACTTCAACTGCAGGCGCAGTTGCGCACTGCTGAATGGGTGCATGATACATGTTCTCATTAGATCTGGCTTTTCTGGCTGCTCCTGCTCGGATACACGGCTGATACACAAGAGCCGTGGCTCTCCACCGAATGCTAGCCTCGTCGTACTGTGGCTCCCAAGCCGCTATCTAGACCTCAGCTGCAGAGGCCTTCTTTCATCTATTCTCACATGTTGCGACCGACTCCTGCCTGAAATGCTCAAGAACGTAATGCGCAGAATGCTGCCGTCGTCGTACCGTTGGCTCGCAGGTCGTTTCGTCTCCACTCCTCGTATACCCCTCAACCTCAGGGCGCGTACCGTTACGCTTGCACTTAATCGACGATAGGCTCGAGGATGTTTCCGCTGCAGGATGTTAGCGAGTGGGTACATATTAACGCGGTGGAGAACTTACGCAACAATGTTGGCCCAACCAATGAGACGCCAGTGTTTCTCGATACGTCGGGACAGAGCAACCTTCTCACCGATCTCTGTGCAGGCGGGCGATGTGAGAGTTAGACGGGCAGCGTCAGCCTTCACAGCGACAACCTTAGCGCCGGTGGCAGTCGAACCAATGTTGACCATGAGAACCTCGTTCTTTGCCAGTTTGGCAACCTTAGCCTGCTTGCCGTCGGCGGTCTTGACACCGAGCAGTCTTCGGAGAAGGAAATAGTTGACTTCGATCTCGGTGTAGATGTTGGGGAGATGGCCACGGAGACCAAGGACGAAACCGACAAGACGATCGGCACGGCAGAGGGTAGGGTCGACGCGGGTACCAACACCAATAAGACCACCAGGGACGGCGAACTTCAAGTCATTGTGCTCGGCGAACAGAGAAACAACTCTCGAAAAGATGGGCTTGCACTGAATCTTGCCCTGGTTGTCCTTGGAAACGATACCGGGCCTGATCTCGACCTCGTCGCCTAGCTTCAATACACCAGTCAGGATAGATCCACCAGCAACACCACCCTTTAGCTCGTCGATCTCGGCACCGGGCTTGTTGACATCGAAGGATCGAATGACGATCATGTGGGGCTTTGTGGTGAAGTCACGGACGGGGACGGGGATCTTGTTGATAAGCTGCTCGCAGATGGCGTCGATGTTGAACTTCAGCTGGGCAGAGATGGGGATGACGGGCGAGCCGTCGGCGACTGTTCCACGGATGAACTTGAGGATCGACTCGTAGTGGGAGGCAGCGCTGTCTTCCCGCATCAGGTCAACCTTGTTCTGAAGGATGATGATGTGGTTGAGTTTCATGATCTCGATGGCAGCCAAGTGCTCACTTGTCTGGGGCTGAGGGCAAGTCTCATTTCCGGCGATCAGCAGGAGGGCGGCGTCCATGACGGCGGCGCCTGACAACATCGTGCTCATGAGAATATCGTGACCGGGGCAATCGACGAACGAAACGTGGCGCTTGAGGCGGTATTTGCCCTCACAGCCCTCGCGCTCGCACGGCGGATCGACCTCCTTCTCGCTCTTGTACGATCGGTAGCATGTCGGACGCGGACACTCGGGGTTGTCGCACTGGTAGATCTTTGCGTTTGCGTATCCGAGCTTGATGGTGATGTTCCTCTCCAACTCGTTCTTGAAACGGACTGTCTGCACGCCGGAGATGGCCTTGACGACGGTCGACTTTCCGTGGGCGACGTGGCCGATGGTGCCAATGTTGATGGTGGCCTGGCGCGAGATGATCTCGGGCGACAACGGGCTCAGCGTGGAAAAGTCGATTGTATTTGGGTCAGGCTGCTCGCTGCCGTGTGTTAGCCACGCTGCCTTCCTCTTCTGCGCAATTTCCTTCTTACGGCAGCTCAGGGCGCTCGATCTGCACCGGCGCCTCTCTTGGCTTCTTCAGCGCCGACTTGGGCTTTGTCTCTTCCACTTCCTCCTCGGACTCGCTCTCGACATCGTTGACGTCGCGGTGCTCGTGCTCGGATTCGGAATCCATGCTGGGCAGTTTTGTGTGGTCGGTGAAGGTGTGGAGGAAAGGGCGACGGGGTCCTGCGAACGGGGCGTCCGGGTGCGTGGGTATCGATGCGGCGGCGTGCAGCTGTTTTCCCACAGGAAACCTTGACAGGCGAAAATGCGTTGACTCAGCATCTGCCCCGCGGCCAGCTCGCACGTCCCCACGCTCTGGCCGGAGGTCAGGTTACGCCGAGCCGCTCGCTCGATAAAAGTTTCTCTGCCGCCGCGACTCTTTTGCTCTCAATATTGAACAACGCAAAATTCAACACACCTACTTTAAAGCATTTTCTTTGGAGAGACCCGTCATCTACGGATGGTGTGAGGTTTCCATGAGCACGAAAACCGTCTGTAGAGTGAAGAGCAGAAATTGGCCGATCTTGGGTGCGGTTTCCTCCGCTTTCGAGCAGATGGAGGAGAGCGCAATGATTGACCGTACATTCTTTCATTAGGGCGCTGTCTGTTATCGACGGTGTCACCGTCCTCACTAGGCTTGTGAGTCGACATGACTCGACGTAGATGGCAGCAGCATGCTTGCTGCAGAAGCTAGGTGTCTCTCACTTGCTCTGACACTCACCGCAACTAAATATCGTCGAGACCGCGTTCCCATGCCTCGGCGACATTGTACTTGCGGCAGAACAACTCATTTGCTCTTATAGACGTCTAGGACATACTCTCCCGTTCCAAACGCGTTTCGAGGAGCCATACATATCGTCCTTTGTCGACGTTTGAACACTTACGGACACGGGACCGCACTGTGTGCAACCACATTCGCGAGGTGAATGCTCTCACAGCAGCTATATTGACTTGCCATTACAACTTTGGACCCTGCTCCCGGAAGCGGAGGCAGAATGAATCGGCTGTCTCAAAAATGCGCCCAACCCTTACGGCCCAACAATACTGTACCGTGGTACACCACGCACAGTGCTGCACATTGAACCTGTGCATGATTACTGTTTGTAAGGCCACAACACTCTTTGTGGACGCGACACCCTGCCTACTTATCTGCATAAACACTTGAAACCATTTGACTACCCTCCCAACGTCTCTTCTGGAATTGGATACACCATGGAAAAAAGGCCACTGCGAACTGCGGCTATCCGCCGATGCGGCTTCAAGCTGCCGAATGACAAGTACCAGTGTCAAATGGCAGGAGGCAAGTTCCAACCTGTGGTGGAACTATGGTATTGCAGGCTGCACGACTGTCACGCGCAAGACAGATGCCAGGTGCTGGTTCACTGGGCTGGGATGGGTGCGCAGTGCGAACACTTCGGCGCTCTTAACGAGAGCACCGGAAAAAAGCTATGCGAGCGGCATGCCATGCAGAATAGAAGTGATGCCCGGCCGCATAATGGGCAGCGCAACGAGTCCACCGAAGAGAGTACAAACCACGAGGGCGAGAAGCAAGGCGTCGCGATTTCAAATGATCCAAGTTCAAGCCAATCGACAGTATCATCTACCGAAGATGCGATGACTGACGCACCGCACTTTGCACAAACTACCACAGAATCGTCTCCTCTTCTGCCCAGCACAGAGGGATCTACGGACTCAAAATCGTCAAAGCTGGTGCCGTCGGAAGGAAAACACTTCAGTGATGCTAGAGAGGACCTCAACCTTAAAATACCGGACCAAAGTGAACTGAAAGCGGCCTCGGTCAGTCCACCGGATGTACTGCGTGACTCGAAAAAAGCATCGCATACGCGTATCGACTCACTCGCGCCATTCTTCGACTCCAGCCTCCGAACAGAGGGCGGCAAATGCAGCACGCCTACCACCCCTACTTACGATGGTCGTCGAGGCCTTCAGAGTACACTCGGAAATCTCGTAGCAGCATACGGCGCCACGTCGTATAGCCCGGCAGTACATGCGCACATCAATTTTTTAAACGCAATGCGAGATGGAGGGCCTTCAGAGTTGAACCGTATTGCAGCTGTGTACGCACAATGCTGTGTATGTCTTGAACCACATGGAGAGTACAACATGCGGCAAATCGAGCCATGCAAACACCAATACCGAGAGCTCTGTTTGAGGAAGGCAATAAGTATAGACGGCGTGCGAAAATTCAACTGTTCAAGTTGTACAGGCTGGATGCAAGAACGAAACAGAGAGATATTAGAGCGCGGGAGGCTATAAAGTTTCGCCACTCATACGCTGGTCATCTAAAACAAATGCAGAGCGCAAGCCAAGCGTTCCTTGCTACCACCCACGCGAGACGATTGCGTTTGAATCAACATGCAGTGTAGATGGATTTGACAATCAGTCATTGAGCACGACTAATAGTCCACTTCAACTGAGTGATAGCTTCCAATGCCTACAATAGCGCGTTATCAGGGTGTCTGGACATCTCCTACATCCACCAGGCTCACGGGCTCTCAATCCCCGTCCCCTCCCACGGGTGCTCACCCTTGCCAACTTCGCACTCGTGAATGATCAACCTCTTCTCAACAATCTCCTCCCTGTGACTATCCATCTCCTCAATATCCCAACTCACGCTGACCGATTCGCCTCTTAGCCACTCCGCCCTCTCCGTACTCAGGAACAAACTGAGCCCATGCCAACATTCAACATCGGACCGTCCTTGGCGAAGTCTAAGTACTGCCTTGGCGACGTCTCAGTCGCCATGAAATCAAGGACAACACTGGAGCAGCACACGTTAAGTTGCTCGGCGTGCAGGAACTCCATCAACTTGGTGGACGCGAATTCTGCTGGGGACGTAGAAGGAAAAGTCGTGGTAGATACCGCCGAGCGTGCCGGCTCTGATTGCCTGAGAAAGTGGCGCTGCGCTCCAGGAGTGCATGTACAAGGTCCTGCCACCATTTGGAGGGTGAATTCTCTCCAATCTTAGCCTGTGTCAACTGTCAAGGATCCAGCGTTGTTGATCAAGACGTCGATAGTTCCAAGCTCTTTCGCTGCTTCTTGCCATAGGCGCTCCACGTCCCGCTCTTGCGTGATATCTGCTTGTGCAACGACGATCTTTGTCTTGCCTTCAGCATCCTCGTTGATTTTGGTATATAGGTCTCTCGGGGTCTCAAGTTTACGGCCTACGATGACCACGCCTTTGGCTCTGGCAATCGTCTACGCCCGCGCAATCGCACCCCCAATGCCGCCCGAAGCGCCCGTAACGAGGACAATCTTGCAGGTAGCTGAAAGGGCAGGATTTGCAGGCTCAAGAAAGGGGTAAATGAAGCAGTGCATGCCTCTTGTGAGCTCGCTGGTGGCGAATGCAGTCTTCTACACTGCGGTGCTGTTCATGTATATCTTCACCTGTTGGCCTCGGAAGAAAATATGGAACTCAGCAATCGAAGGAAACTGTCTTGACAACAATAAATTGAACATTGCGATGGGAACGCTGAAAATTGTCAGTGAGTTGGGAGCACTCGCAGTGCCAGCCTGGGCGATTTGGCATCTGGATTTGGAAATGAAGCGTAAATTTGGCGTGTTCGCAGTCTTCGGCGTCGGCGCTGTGTAAGTGTCTCAACTCATTCTCCTGTTGGTAAATTGCGTATCATCCTCACAGGTCTGTACTACCAAACCATATTGCTGCAGCAGCCAGACGTCAGTCGGATCTTGACGCAAGCTAGCCTGATATGGTGAGTGAGATTGGATGGCGGGATGATGAATGCCGAAATTGATAGCGACAGCACGGCCGAACTTGCTTTTGTAATCATTGTAGGGTGCAGTCCTCATGTACCCCGTTTCCTCCGGAGTATCAGGCTCCATAATACTGGCAACAGTGATGCTGCCGAGAAGCGCTTCAGTACCATCAAAGTCGAACGGAAAGCCCAACATATTTGATAAGTACCTTTCGTCCAGATCAGGCATGACAAGGTTGCAACCCACGATCTCGGAGAGGCAACTCGATATTGTTGCAGCAAACGTAGCCGCTGTATATCGATGGAAAACTGCGCTGAGTTGCTTGCTAGCTAGGAGACGACCATATATACATGCCCTGAGACGTGCTAGTCCAAGGTAGTCAACAAAGGTGACGATCGAGGCCTGTCGGACCGACTTGCACCGCAACAGATATGCACCAATACACAGGCGCTGAGTCGCAGATGCTTCTCTGCCGCTGATGACCAGGCCCCAGTACGAACGACACAAATGGTGCAGACGATCGAGTAGTGTTATAGGCGGCAGATACTTACAGAGCGGTGGAAAGTGTTTGGTGAGGGGTTGGTGCGATGACGTCATAAGCCGTCTGATTTGGTTGGTGAGAGAGACTGCAAAAGGGAATAAGTATGATATCTTGTTGTGCTTGTTATAGACTATTCGTCCTCTGATATCTTTGCAGGAAAAACATCTGAAGATGCTTACAGCTGCACGGGGTAATCTGTGGTCTCGATCTTCGACGGGTACTCAAGACCACCCTGTTTCCTAACCTCATCCATGATCTCCATGATCAAGATGCTCTCAGCAAGGTTCTCGTACTTGCCCTCTTTCCTGTCTGCAGTCACTGCCTCAGCAGCCTCGTCGGCCTCCCAGAACATACCCTGGCCCTCGCCCTCTGATTGCAGTGAGCCACCGAAGCCGTTGTACCAGTTGGAACCCTTACCGGGCCCGGGAATAGGCCAATCTTTTTCCTCAACCTTGCCGTCGCTGCCGATGATCTTGGTCTTTGTGGGGCGAAATGAAGGAGGGAAGACCTGGATCTCACCCTTAGGACCCTGGATGCGGACACAGGGTGTGTCTTGGTTCTGGCCGGGGCTTGTGGCGACGCGCAGAGATGTTGTAGCGACGGCATGCGCATCACCACCCTGCTCTTTCGATCGTGGGAAGTTGAGGATCATAGTGCTGTGCTCATCTGCCTTGCCGGTAGCCTCGTAGTTCTTGACGAACGCAAGGAGCTTGGGTGGCTGGCGTGTTTCCTCGGGCTGAGTGTGGTAGAGTGTTTGGAACACCCATGTCAAAGCGTAGATACCGAGATCTAGCAGCGCTCCACCAGCAAGGTCGGGGTTGACCATGCGGTTCTTGCCGTCTGCGAAGCTGGTCTCGGGGTCCAGAGCCATGCTGTTGTCTGAGATGACGCGCGCAACCGGGCCGATGCGGCCGGATGTGATCTGCTCGCGGACGTAGATAGACAGAGGGAAGTAGCGTGTCCATACAGCCTCCATCAGGAAGAGGTTCTTCTCCTTTGCCAGCTCGACCAGCTTGCGTGCCTGGGGAGCGTTTACGGTGAAGGCCTTCTCGCACAGGACGTGCTTGCCAGCCTCAAGACAAAGCCGGGCATTCTGGTAGTGGTGGGAGTGTGGTGTGGCGACATAGATGATATCGATGTTGGGGTCCTTGACAAACTCCTCGTATGAGCCGTAGGCCGTTGCGCCTGAAGGCGCACCAGTCTCTTTCAAGAAGTTCTCAGCACGCGATTTCGAGGACGACGAGGCAGCGGCGACGACGGTGTGCTTGACAGAGTTGACTCCGCGTGTCTTTGGGTCGACCAGGAGGTCCTTGGTGCTTGAGAAGTCAGTCCAGAGCTGACAGCAGGGTGGGCCGCGGGGTGCTCACAAGGTGAGGGCAATGCCTCCTGTCGCGAGGATGCCCCAGCGGATGGTCTTAGGTTCCGGCATAACTGCAAGTGGTGTTTTTAATTTTTTAGGGAACAATTGAAAGCTTTATGGCTTAAGTGAGGAGCGGCAGAGCGAATAATATAGCTACGTACGTTGCTGCACGCAGCACAACTCAACGTCACGACCGGCGACCATGCCGCGATTGTGAACCCGCGTTAACCCCACTCTTGCCCCTCTCCACACAAGCTCTGCGAGCTCCAAAAGTCAGCCCAGAAGACACGGCCCATATCTTGCGGCGAAGGCGCATCGTTGATTGGTGGTGATGATGTGAACGCAACGATGGAGAAGGAAGTTTTGCGGCGAGTTGTGCCTTCCATTGGTTGGATCATGCAACTCCCAAATAGGAAGCGGCACCAGTCCTGACGAAGCAGATTCGCACAGGGAGACACGCATTACGAGAGTCTCAATTTACTCAGCAACACGGTGTTAGGTATGGCGCAGGATTTTTTTCTTCAGGCGATGTAGCTAGCAGTCCGGTCTTCTCGCCGTCCTTGCACGTTACACTACACAGCCAGTCGCAATGGGCTGGGCGGCCTGGTTTTGTTGAATGCTGATTTCATTCACCGAGTACGTTCGAAGCTTCATTTTAACGCTAGAAATGCTGGTGCGTGCCCAGGACGTCGTGCCCAGGACGTGATACGTTGAGGATGTCTTCGCGAGTGCGAACGCGAATTCGGAAAATAATGTCTACAGAGAAGCCTCGAGCTCGTCCAGGCCAGAGACCTGATTGACGACCCACTTCCTCTTCTCCTCGTCAACGTACCTAGGGTATGGCCTTCTGCAGTCGGTGCTCGACTCTGAGTATCCCCTCTTGTGTGCGACCACATACTTGGTGCCGTTGATACCGCCCTTTCCGAAGCCCCACTCGGTGACTGACAGCTTGACCTGGAGCGCAGATGCTTCCTCGTGCTTGCCGGACTGGTAGAGGTTGAACATTTGTACGCAAGTCTATGTCTTGTTAGCGTTGCGATTGTGACTTTGGACTGGAGGGACTCACCTTGGGATACAGGTTGGCAACGCCAGTGATTGTGCCCACGCCGCCAACGCTCAGAGCTGGGATCAACCAGTCACTCTGCCCGGCCAGTGCGACGAACTCAGACTTCTTGAAAGAAGCAGACACTCTCGCGACCTTCGCGATACCGCCGCATGTGAGCTTGACGGCTACGATGTTGCGATGCCTGCCCAAGATATCTAGCATCTCAGAGTTGATGTCGAGACCAGCCACTACACCAGGGAAGTTGTACAGCACGATGGGGATGGGGCTTGCGTCTGCCAGCTCCTGGAAGAACGCAACAATTGCGTCCTGGTTCATTGCGAAGTGGAAGTATGATGGTACGAGAGCAAGGAACGCGCTTGCGCCTGCTTCCTTAGCCTCGATTGTCTGCTGAATAGCATCGCGTGTTGAGCCTGCTACGCCGCCGAGTGTGATGGGAAGGTCGCCGCGCCCTAATCTCTGAGCAGTCTTGCGTGCTTTCTGCACTAACTGAATCTTTTCAGCAGAAGATAGTGTTGCTGCTTCGCCGTTTGTGCCTGCAATAACAATGCCGTGTAGGCCGTTGGAGATGAGGAACTCGAAGTGCTTCTCCTGGACATCCCAGTCGATGTCCTGATTCTGATCGTTCTTAAACCAAGTCAGGGAAGGGACGTGGATTCCAGGTGGAAACGAGTATTCCTGTGCGGCGCCGTTGCCATTGGAAACAATCTTGTTAGAAGGCATGATGTATCGAGATCTAAGGGTACCTTCCAGCGAGGGTTTGGAGCAGAGGGAACCGCGGAACAGCGAACAGCGCTCAATATGACCACCATCTTTCCGACACACGTTCCGACACCCGCTACGAATTCCGATGGTGTCTCCACGCGTGGGCAAGTGGTGGAAGTGCACACAGCCGCATGCTCGAGCATCGCGAGGCTCAGACGGCGTTGCGATTCGCTATGAGAGGCTGTCGGCAGGCCTCGCCAACACCTTGCCCGAAGAGTGCAATCATTTCGGCACCAACAAGCCTAGCGCTCGCGACAGCCGACATCTAGTCACGGTTCCTTGTTGCTCCGCATCCTCGTCTCGCGACCCAGAAAGCGCTACTAATGCAATCTGGAGTCCCCAGTGGAGTCTCCATACGCCATTGTCGGCAGGCTCTTTCTGCGCATCTGCCAACGGCTTCGCCTGGCGGCTAAGCCTGTCTGAAGTGACTATGGCCTGACCTGCAACCATCCGATCCCAGCGCCCTTCTGCTCGGATACGCGCCCAAGTGCCTGACCAGGTTATTTTGTGGAGAAGCAACCTGCAAGCCGGGGTCGGCATGATCTGGAGCACTTAAAGAGACATTCGTACCCCGGATTTGAGATTAGCTATCGCCTCCCGCGATCATCTTCACCCAAACACTACTAGTTTCTCTTTGGACTTCATCTATTATGGGAGGTTTCGCAAGAGCACCGGAGGATAGACCTACGCCGCCGGAAGTGGTACGTTATTAGCCCTTAACATGAAGCATCGAGCATGTGCTGACATGGATCAAAGTACAACTGGAGAGTGTACATGGCAGCTCTGGTCATCTCTATGGGTGTTTTGGCCTATGGCTACGATTCTGCCTTCATCGGTACAACCATCACACACGAGAGCTTCAAGCGCGATTTTGGCCTGATCCACATGTCAACATCTGAAAAGAATGAAGTCACAAGCAATATTACTTCAATCTGTACGTTGAAAGCATTCTCGGCGTCTGCAACGAGCTTAATGCTGATCTTTGCGCAGACTCCGCAGGAGGTCTCGTCGGTGCCCTGCTCATGTACCCTTCACTCGAATTGCTCGGTCGCCGTATGACAGTCATCATCTCTGACACAATCTTCATCATCGGCGCGATCCTCTGCACTGTACCCACCCACCAGATTGGCCTCGTATATGCCGGACGTTTCTTCACCGGAATGGGCGTTGGTGGCATTGCCGCTGTCTCTCCTATCTACATCGCCGAGATTAGTCCTCCAGCTATCCGCGGTCGATTGACTGGTTTCTTCGAATCATTCTACCAGACCGGTGCCGTCATTGGCTTCTGGATCAACTACGGCATCGTACACAACATGGACCGATCCAAGTCAATTGCCTGGCGAGTACCCATGGCTGTGCAGCTCATCCCCGCTGGACTTCTCGCCTTCATGATCCCGTTGCTGAAGGAGTCGCCCACGTGGCTCTTGAAGCGTGGACGCAAAGCAGAGGCTCTGAAGGTCTACAGCTTCTTCCGTAACCTGCCCGAGGATCACGAGTACATTACTCAGGATGTCGAGTTTGTTGAGCGCGAGATCGCCAAGGAGAGAGCCGCTCTCGTTGGGGGCCAACAACATGCCAGCTTCTGGACGGTCATCAAGGCTGCAGCCCGGGAAGCCGTCCAACCTGGCATGCGCAACCGCTTCCTACTTGTTTTCCTCATGTTCATGTGGCAAGCCTGGTCGGGCGCAGCCGCCATTAACTATTACAGTCCTACGATCTTCACATCTATCGGTCTTTCGGACGTAACCCTCTGGACTGGTGTCTATGGCATCATCAAGGCTGTGGGCTCGATTATCTTTTTCACCTGGTTCATCGACATGTTCGGTCGCAAGTGGCCTTGGATCCTTTCATCTCTCATCTGCGCCTTCTGTCAGTACTACTTGGCCATCTACATCAGTCTCGGCAAGCCCAAGGTTGGCCAGCCTATGTCCGACTCTACAATCGCTGGTGGTAAAGGAGCCACGGCTATGATCATGATCTTCGGAGCTGCCTGGGTAAGTCACCTCCCCCCTCCCCCTCCTTATGAGACTGGTAACTAACGGAAGCATAGTCTTTTGGCGCCAATGGGCTGCCCTGGATCATTTCAGCTGAGATCTTCCCCACCACTCTGCGCTCCGTCTCGGGTCCCTTCGCGGCCGCAAGCGTGTGGATCTGGACCTTAGTCGTCACCAAGGCACTGCCTCAGATGTATACCAGTATGGGCTGGGGCGTGTACATCTTCTTTGCAACATGCTTGATCTGCGCCAGTATCTTTGCTTGGTTCTTCATTCACGACACCAAGGGTCTGCGTATCGACGAGATGGACAAGGTTTTTGGGTTCGAGAGGACGACGGAGTACGACATGCCTATACCGAGCAGCAAGGCAGACGATGAGAGCGAGCATAAAGAGAAGGTTGCTGCTGTTCATACCGACAACACTAGAGTCTGAGCGCTTACTAAGTAGATGGAACCATGTCATAGTGAGATGTTGTTAGCTTGAGCCGTTGTAGCTGTTTAATCATGACTTTACTATGGTGACCCATATTGACCTTTTCATGCCTAACGACTCTATAACCGGTTGTGGAGATCGATATTGTTGCGCTCTCCGGGGAGCGTTCGAACATCACTCAACACCACCGAACGTGATCACCTTCCTCTTTTGCTTGATATAGCGGGCAAGTTTGTCATGTGGTAAGCTTTAATTTCGATGCTGAGATGTTCAGGGACACAATCATGTGCTCGGATCGATTGGGCAGAGGAAAGCTTTTACAGATCCGTCAATTTACCGCTCTCTAGCACCAAAACATTTGGTAAAGGCCTCAATCTGAATGCACTCAAACAAAGATTCTGTTGCTGAACTCAAAACATGTCATAATTAATGTTTCACGCTCTCAGGCAAACCGGTCGGATCACTTTCTCTTGTTGAGGCACACTCGCCATACGTAACTGCCGTCCTCGAAATAGAAAACAAAGGGCGAGCCGCGCTAGGTGCTTATTTCCTTGTAAGAGGAACTATGAAATCTATACAGTCTACGGAACCTGTGTTCGGTCAGAGTAGCTGCGAAACTAGTCCAAGAGTGTTTCCGGTCCACAAGTCAAGCAAAGCAGTGGCTCCGAACGTAGCGAGAATCTCAGGCACTGCCAATGGCCTCTTCGGCGACAACCTTATACCGCTGCCCGCTTCTTCAATAAACCTAATTGATGCAGGCATGTATCATCTTCAGCGTCTTGTGCTCCAAGGCGGGCTTGTCCTGCGCATAATACGGGTAGTGCTCTAACTGGTGGACATACTCCTTCTCCGCCATGCAGCGCTTCTCGGACCCGTACTCACCCCACCATTCGAGGAAGCTTTGTTCTCTCTTACTCTCAATGTCCGACAGCCGCTTGAATCTCTCATCATTCTCGGCGAAAAGCTTCTCGACGGGCCCCGGCAGAGCGTGGTATTTGTCATATATGGTCGGGATCACATGCGTGGTGTATTCTTCAGGCTGGGCAAACTGGACATTGCAGTCTGGAGCTTCACAGCTGAAAGGATCTTGCGAGCCATTGAAGTGCAGCTTTTCCATCACTGCGATGCGGTGGATTCGGATTGCTCGCTTTTGGCGATTGACCTCGTTACCTCTGGTAAAGTAATCTAGGAACGCTCCGACAGGCCCACGATAGATTTTATTGGGCGGGGTGATGCTTGGCTCACTGCGGCTTGGATACAATTTCCATTCTTGCGAGACGTCGGTGGATGCGTCCCCTTTGGTAGTGACCAGTTGCCATAGGACCCTGTTCGTTCGGCGGTTTATGGACCCATCGCCTTGAACCAAATCAACCAAGGCACTGATACCGAGAGGACACATCTGTCCCACATTCTTGTACACATCTGGTGGAAGCCGGCCATCATGGTAGTCAGATCGATCTTGATCATCGTCGAGGATGACATGTTTCACCTGAGGGACGCGTTGGTGCACAGTCCGCCAGAAGTCTTGCATTCTTTCATTCATACCCCCGTATGCAGTGGCTATCGCGTCTTCTTCTTCGCCTACCCAGTGGCCGAAGCCCTCTTCAATAATCCAAGTTCTTTTGTTCATCCAACCAAAGTCGACACAAAGCCGCTCTACACAGGTCAGGAAATCCATATCGTACATAGTATAACCAGCGTGGCCGCCTGCTAGGAGCCATTTTAATTCAACATGATACCAAGTGTCAGATAATCTCCTAGTTCTAGAACAGTGTGTATTAGTAATGCGTGTGGATTTTAATAGCACGCTTTAGACTATTGAAGCAGTTAAGGAGGGCTATATCAATGATACAGTCCTCTAGGAGTCCAGTGCGGGATTGAGCAAACCATTCAAGGAAAAGCTTAATCTGAAAAGTCGTAGGAGCCTCTGTAAAACGTTGCTCAGCCATCGGCTTCTCTTGGACATTTTCCGAGAAGCTTAGTGGCCAGTTAGCTATCTTTGCTTCACTTTTAGCGATGCGGTGTAGAGCTTACTACAACCGTTTATCCATTGTAAACCTGTAGGAGTCATGACTGGATTTTTTAGGGCTCTCTTGATATCCTCACAGCTGGAGGTTGCGGCGCTATCTCCTGTCGAACGCGCTTCTTCAATGCCTCGGGATCGATCGCTCTACCCGCTTTCCCTTTGATCATGGCGGCAAGGGAAGAGGTCTTGAGTTGTTGTTGCTGCGTGTTGCTCGTCGTAAAGGCAGAGCAGTGGGGAGCGAGCGGATGAAACGATCTATAGGTGGGCGCCGGCAAAATATCGCAGTCAGCAGCATGTCAGAGGTCGGCATATTGTAAAATCACAGACCAGAATTTTGTCTCTAGTTTGTATGAAGAGAGAGGGAGCAACTTGGTCAAGATAAGGCCTAGCTCACCAGAGGTGTGGCTACTGAGGACGGGAAAGCGTACCGCGGCATCCCCAAAACGGTCCCACGACAGACGGCGGACCGGACAGGAGACCTTGTTTTCAACGTCCTATGGTCGTATGTGACAGCTTCATCAAGTATTATCGTACATATCACCGCCCATTCCACCAGTAGTTCTCGCTTCGGGCACTCCAACACAAGCTCTCGGAACTGCGTACATCCGTTGCGAAATAAAGCAAGACGGGCCGCGGCCTCATTCCAGATCGATGTATCCCCTTCCTTCGTAGTACATCGTATCGTACACCGTGCATCTCCTCAACGCACATCACAACACCAAACTCCGACCCAATGCCCAGAGAGGAATATATACATGCGACCCCCTCGCCGTATCGTGCGCTGCCTTAGTCTACCTAGAACCATGGTTTATTCCGCTTCGCCTCGGCGCGAGCCTCCATCTGCAGCTGGTCAGTCATTGTGGCTCTGAACCCAGGCGTGGTGCGACCTCAACACAGGGCGACGCCGCAGTCGTAACGTACCCACTGCTTCTTACAATCCCGATACGCCCTGGAAAAAAATCAGCACCAGCACCAACACCAGCACCGGCAATAGCATCAGCAGGCTCCCCTGCCCCCTCTCCACACGCAGCACTCACTGGAAGAAATCACTGCACATGGCCCGCTCGCCGCCATTCCGCTTCAGGCATCGGATACTCTTGTCCGCCGCCTCCTGGCACGGGTCAAAATACTCGCTGTACGCTTTACTATCTTCGGCATCAGCCCGGTCGGCGCTCTCGTGGACTGCGGTCGCGTATGTATGCGTACTTGTCGAACTTGGTGGCGGTCGGGCCTGACCAGTCGGGCTTATCGTTTTCGCCGAGCTTGTCCTTCGCCATTGTGTAATTATGCGTTCGTGAAACGGCGGGGGTGATCGGGGTTGGGCGGAGACGCGCAAGGCGACGCTGGGGTTGGAACTGTGGTGGGTGGTGGAGAAGACCTCGGTGGTCTGCGGAGTTCGTTATCGATTAGCGTCAACGCGAACCATGCAAGAACCAAGTGCGTCATAACGTGACAGCGCGTGTTGGCCGTGCGTATGCTACGAGTCAGACTCTCTGAGTGCTTCGCGGGTATTGCTGGAGGAGCGCAAGTTGTGACGCAAAAGGATTGTATTGCACGATAGCCGTGTATCTTTCTTACATGAACCCGCTCAAGAGTGTGGTATAGTGCAGGGTATTGACGCCGAACAATGCACAAGGAACCAAGAAAACCGTTTTAATGCCGCTGAAAGACAGAGTCGTAATCGTATCCTCATAAAGTGATGTCTCATCCCAAAGCACCTATCCATGCACCAGACCCTATCAAGATACTAAAGAAAGAAATGAGCGAATTCTCAAGCTCCATTGTACGATGGCACTAATCATATGAGTTGACCAGTCACTACAGGACTGACTGTCCTGTTGTTGTTTTGCACTGGTTGCTCGAAGGCTGCCAGTGGGCCGATGTTGTTGCCCTGTCGCGCGCGGTACGAGCCGGTAGTGTACGCCGTAACTGGGGATGTGAAGGCTTGTGATGGAGGTAAGACGCCCGACGGTGGCGCATTCATCATGTTGCGGTTACTTCTGCGCCGACCTAGTGACGGGCCAGAGCCACTGTGAGCAGTACCAGCTGAGTTTACTGAGCCTGCGGATTCGTTCGAGTTACTCCGCACGTGCTGGGGAACACCTGGTCCTGGCGTGACAGCAGGGTTGTTGCCAGCATTGCTTTGACGGCGAGCAAATGGATTGGTGCGCGCTGGGACAGTATTGGAGAGACCAAGAGCCTGTTCTCTGGTGTTGCGAAGCTCTCGAGCACGAGCACTCACGTCGTCTGGTGTCAATCCTGGCGGAATCCGCGCCATTGAAGGGCTGGGTCCCGGCGAAGGAGTCGTCCGCAAGCCCCTGACGGATGGCTGTGAGTTGAGTCGGCGCACTGACGGCTGCGACCGCAGCCCAATTCGTGATGCCTGCGATCTCATGGGGGGCATGACCGGAGCAGCGGTCGCAGCTTCATGAATGTTCGCACGTGAGCTCGTTGGTCTCAATGTTGCCGTTGATGATTGTTCTCGGAGACCCAAACGGGAGTTGCGGGCTCTGATGGTGTGGACATAAGCAGCCCATGGATTGGCAGGGCGAGCAGGTACCGCAGAGGCAGGAGCATGCACGTTCATATTAGGAGACGGAAGGTTCTGGTACAATGGCGAAAAGTTACCGGAGCTCCTACGATTGCTAGCTGCAGACGGGGGACGAGGACCGACGCGGCTCTGAGGGCGATCGATCATGTCCATGGCTGCAGCAGTGTGCGTACGAGCTGTCTGATCAACGGAGTATTGCGAATTGGATGTCGAGGTGCTGGGTGTCATGATGACAGAGTCGGTGCTCGCTGAGCTCACAGAAAGTGTACGATCGTGACGGAACGCGTTCTCCATAACATTGCTCGTGGGCAACGCTGGAGACATTGCGGTCCGTCTATTGGGAGACGGCAAGACACGCAGGCCGAACGTGTTGTTGTTGTCCATCAATGGAGTGCGCATCCGCGCGGGAGGCATGAACGGCGAGAAGGAGGCTGGCGCGGGACTTTGGCGATTACGGTTGGAAGACGGCGCCCGGTTGAGGGGTGTGATAGAGCGGGTCCCAAGATCTATCAAGTCGCCGCCCATCGAGTGTTGTTGCAGTGCGGCTTGGTGGGCAGCAAACATCCAGCTGATACGGGGATCGTACTCGCGGCGCTGAGTGCGCGGCGCGCGACGCCCCAGGCCGGCTTGTGAGTTATCCGAGTTGTCATCAGTGTCTGCTTCGTTGGTGGCAGCAGCTCCCCGAGGGAACACAGTGGGAGCGTTCTGCAAGGCTGGTCCATTCCGCATCAACAGTTGAGATCGGCGACTGCGAAGAGAGTTCATTGCCATGCTGACATCGCCGTCTTGCTCAGAGTCGTCGTCGTCTGCTTCGCCATCTTCGTAGTGTGGATTCGCGCTTGATAGCACAGAAGATCGTCTCCGAAGGCCACGGGAGGCGTCGACTGCTCGAAGATTTCCTACGCGCGAGGGGGGACGTATGGGGGCACTAGGCCGAGGACGATCTGTAGTAGGTGTTAGAGACCCGCCCATTCGGCTTCTGTCATTTGAATTCGCAAGCGGTTCCCACCCAACGGTCGTAGCTGCTCCATCGCTGTCCCCATCTTCTTCTTCATCCATGTCGTCATCGTCCGTCTGACGCATCCAGCCTTCTTCTTCCAATAGTGCTTGTTCAGCTTCGTCGAGCTCGTCGGTTGAGGCTTCTTCAGAGGCTGACGGGGACGACGCTACCACGCGAGCAAACCGGGACCGAGTGCCGTTGGCTCTGTTGAGCACGTGGGTTTGCACTCGTGGTCGAGGAGCTTGTGGTCTTTGCCTACGACGCACGGGGCCAACGTCTTCTTCCGTATCGTCGTCGTCGTCGTCCTCTTCTTCCTCTTCGACCATGCCCGATATCATAGAGCCGGTCTCAGATTCTTCGACGACAGGTCGTGCTCTAGCGCGTACTTGAGGCCGGTTTGCTGGGGCTGCTGCAGGTTGTGGCGTCTGGCCAGGCGTTGAAGAAGCGCCACTGGCAGAAGCCGAGTGCTCTTGAGCTGCATCGTCGATGAAGTCATTCATCTCGGAGTCTTCTTCTTCGTCTTCTTCGTCTTCTTCTTCGACCGTGTCCATCTCGTCGCCGTAGATATCCGAGACGATGCTCTGAGAGTACGAGCGCCTGCTGCCGGCTTCGCTGTGAGACATGTGCCGGCGGGGTCCAGCGTTGCCGTGTTGGAGGAAACGGCGCATGACGAAGTCGGCGCCTGGATCGCCCAGGTAGTCTTGCCAGCCGTTCATTGGGTCGCCAGAGCCCTCGAACTCGCCTTCTTCGTCGTAGCCCATGGCGGCCTCGAGGTCGTCGGCGTCCTGCTCTGACATCTCGTCCATGTCACTGAAGCCTGTGAAGCTGTTGTCCCAGGAGACTTCGCCTGTCTCGTCAAAGACCAAGCCGCACTGCGTGCAGCCGCCGTCCTCGAGCTCCCACGTGCATATTGGACAGCGGTCGACGCCGTCCTCTTGGTCGCGGACGATGTGGAGGGACGGGCGGGGTGGGTGGGCAGGCGCGTTGAACAGGCCCTTGAACAGGCCGCCGTTGCGGGGGTCGGCGTTCTCGCGGTCTCTCTGGACCGCATCAGCGTCGTCTTGCTGCCATTTCTTGTGTTCTTCGAGCGTCTCGCCAGGCGGCACGAGTTCGGCGCGGGCGATGAAGACGGCGGCCATGTCCCGGATCTGCACACGGCGTTAGAGGTCATGCAGCGTCTGTCGAGCATCAGACTCACGACGTAGGCGGGGGCCGGCATGTGCTTGACATCGACGCGGCAGTCAGGACACGAGCACTTGGCCTTGTTCGAGCGGCAGTTAAGGAACCACGTGCAGAGGCACTGTCGCAGTTAGCCGCTGTGCGCACCGGCAGGGTGCAAGGCATCCTACCGTGTAGCAGTACGTGTGGCCGCATGCTATCGTGTATGGCTGGTACAGCAGACGGTCGCAGATCTTGCACGTGAGATGGGCGCGCAGCCCTTCGAACTCGCCTCTCAGCGACTTCAGCTGCTGTGTGCGGTCAGTCCTGCGCTCTCCAGGCCCCGCTTCTGCTTCACGGCGCACCTCGTCTGCTTTGCTCGGCCGCGGCGGCTCGTCGCCCTTGGCCGCCGTCTTCTGCTTGAGGCTGTTGCTGCTCGCCGCCCGCGCCGGCCGGCCTGCGCTCGACTCCCTGACCAGCCGCGACGCCGAGCGGCTCGCCGTAGGGGTGCTGCCGCGCGATGCTCGTGAGGTCGACGCCATGGCCTCTGCCTTGGTGGGCGGGGTTGGTGAGGCGCGTGGATTGCTGTCCATGGCGGGCGATTCTAGTGCAGCTACCCGCTCCGGCGACAGGAAAGAACGACTGCCCAAGGTGCCTGCATGAGCTGCACGGCGTTGCAGTCACGTTGGGTCGTCGGTGGCCGCCGCAAGTGATGCACGCACTCCCAAGAAGCCGCCCTAGCATGTGTACGGCCCGCCCGCTGCCTCCGCCGCCTCACTTTGAGCGCCAACCGCGCATCTTGCTTGGCCAATCACCGCGCCGCCATTCTTGAAAATGCATGCCAATCACAGTGCCGGACTTTACTGTCCTCCATCACACGCGTGCTGACTGATCACATCAACATGTCATACGTGAAGACATTGACACAATTGGTGGTACGACTGTACATTGTCGAAGCTCTTGCGCAGTAGATGACATGTGTTTATCAATCACTTCCATTCCCTGCATTATTCTGTTCCGTTCCTGCATTATTCTGTTCCGTTCCTGCATTAGGTGTACCTAGTAATGTGTACCATCATTCCATCATGGCGCAGCAGTCTTATAGACGAACAAAGGGCATGGTCGTGCCGTGGTATACTCATACAGAAAAAAACTCCCCCACCACCGGCATCCACTACTCGACAATCTCCAACTCGGCCGTCCTCTGCTTAGCGAAAGTATCCTTATGCTCATGCCACAGCCGCATCAGCTCCTCAATGTACTTCTCGTGCACCTCGTCCATATACTCGGCACGAGGGTGCTTGTCCTGAACGACGCGGATCGGCTTGCCAACCACGATGTTGATGGGCCTGCGGTACGGCATCATGCCAACGTCGTAGTTGAAGATGCCACGAGCGTGGAAGATGGGCACGGTGAAGCCCATGACCTTCTTCACGAGCATCTGGAACTTGTGAAGCAGCGGGTGCGATTCGCTATCGACCTGGTCGTAGATATCATTTTCGCCGAATGCGAGGACGGGCACAAGGTCGGCGCCGGTGCGGATGGCCATCTTGACGAAGCCCTTGCGACGACGGAGGACGAGACGGACGACGCCAGGGCGGGCATCGAGCGATTCGCGGGCGCCGCCAACGACAATGGTGATGGCGCGGCCCATGCCTTCGCCGTTGTGGCCACCCTTTGACAGGATGTTCTCGCAGGACTCACGCGAGACTGAAGCCATACCGAGACGCAGGGCATACTCGCGGTAGATGGGGTAGCGAAAGTTGGAGTCGAGCGTCAGCAGTGCGTTGGTGATGCCCGGGAACAGCTGAGAAAATCCAAGCGCCTCGGTCGCAAAGGCAGCAAAGGCGCCATGGGAGATGATACCGTGCGGGTGGTAGCCGAAGATGTACTTCCTAGTAGGCTCCAGCTCCTGCGAACGGTGCAGACGGGCGGGGAAGTACGAGGCGAAGAGCGACCAGACCTTAAGCCGCCTCAGGCGCTCGCTGCGGAACGACAGCTCTCCAGAGGTGCCGGCGTTGGAGAATAGGACGTAGACGGTGTAGGGCAACAGGATGGGCCAGAGCAGGGGTACGCTGCAGAGGAAGAAGAAGATGGCGAGGGAGCCGACGATGCTCAGCGTGTGCATGAGCACAGCGCACGTCTGGAGTCGGCGCTGCAGGGGGACATTCATGGGTGCAAATCGTATTCTGGACGTGGTCAGTGGATACGTGCGGTTGAGTCGTGGTGGGCTTAATCGTACTTGCTCTTTGCCCATCCAGCGCCTGCCTGCCGGCCTGCCTTGAGCTCCGAGTTGCGGCGCTTCATTGGCCTGTCGGTGCGGCCGCCCTTCTGCACCTCCTGCGATGCCTTGACCGTCGTCAGTGTATCGCCGTTGGTGAGACGAGGCTTCTCCTGCAGAAATATGTCGTCCAGCCGTCCCTGCGTCTCCTTGTCGGCCGTCTCGCGTGTGCCGTCGAGTCCATCGGCAGCCTTCTTGGCCTCGTCTGCAGCATCTGAGGCGGCTTGCTTCAGGTCGTTCTTGACGGACACGCCGTATGTACGCCCCACCGAGCCGAGCGAGCTGCGGGAGCCCTTCCTGCGGTGCGTTTTGCCCTTTGGGCTCTTGGGCGTGTCGTCAATGCCGGTGCCTTCGTACGACTCCTGGTCCTTGATCGACGACGAGTCCTTGGTCGAGTCCGCCGTCGACTCGCTCGCTGGCTTCCTGTCGTCGTCGTGTGCGTCTGCGCCCGTGTCGACGATCTTGAGGACCCTGACGCCGGTGGTGGCCTTGGGTCCGTTCGTCTTGCCGTCATCGTGCGGCGCCTTGTTGTTGCTCTCAGCAGCGCCTTTGGTGCCATTCGCATGTGATTGCGGCTCGAGCGCTTCCTGCGCCGCGTCTGCGAACGTCTTGGGCGGCAGATTACGCGCCTCGCGCTCCTCAGGCGAAGCGGGCTCCGGGTTCAGCGACATGGCGGCGGGCGATGAGCTGTGATCGGGGCGGTAGTCGACCCAGAGAGCCATGCAGCGAGGTTTTGTTGAATCATGCAGCGCGTTTTTGTTGAACCATGCGCCGTTCGAAGCTGCCCCGTTGATGACGTACGGAGGAGTGGCGCCCGGAAGCAGCGGGTTCATCCTACCTCAAGCAGCGGCATTGTGTAATCACTGTAACGTGCACGCATCAGGGCCGATTAAGTTTTGCGCACTCGGAATTCCAGAGAAGCAGCACGCGGCGCGACGTGACTGGCAGATCGGTCCCAGTACAGAGATGTGGCGCATAACAGACCGAGGCTGGACGCTTGAGGCTCTGACTGAACATCGACTCTCACCTTGCCACTCCTCTAACTTGTCACTTTGAAGACATGTTTTCGCCGTAACCTCACCCTGCCCTACCATGACTTGCACCTGCTTTCCCACCAGAGACTCTCGCCCGCTCGTCGCACCCGATTGATCTCTGTTGCTGCCTTGACACAATACGCCTCATCCTAGTACTGAAAGACAATATGCAAACAACCCCAGCACGCTCATCTCGTATAACAACGAGCAGAACACGAAGCGCAGTATCCGCTCTGCGTCTCAAACGCACAAATTCCTCACCATCAAATGCCAGCCCATCTAAAAGGTCGTTGCGCACTGAAGAGTCGACCGCCTGCGATGAAGACGAAGAGCTGGATGATCTCGGTTTCATCGTCTCCCTAGCATCTGATCTCAACTTCCGCGACGTCCCACAGTACATGGAGTACATCAGAAACCGCATGTTCAGCGACATGCCCGAAAAGGCCGGCATGAACAGCACCAGGATTGCAGAAGTCCTGAACTTCCGGAAGTCGCTGCCACCGTTTGTTACCATTGCGCATGTGGACGCACTGAGTACGAGCTCAACCGTAGTGGAGCGAGAAATCGCTGAGTTGGCAAAGAAAGGCATAGTACGAAGAATCACAATCCCACATCGAGGCGTTGGCGCCGCAGCAGTCGGGGACGGCATCGCCAGCGTAAGAGAATGGCACGCACTCGTCAGAACCCACACTGGACTGTCCGACCACCTCAAGGAGAAATACACCAACCTCCTATCTGGCTCGCCAACATCCACCACCATCCCCGGCTCAGCATTCACGCCCGCCGAAATCGCCTTACTCACCGGCACCGGCTTCCTCACCTCCAACAGCCCCCTCAGCACCACAGCGTCCGCCTTCTTCGCCTCCCCCGGCGCCGCCTCCCTCTCGGCAATCTCAACATCCGGCTCCCGCCATGCCGCAGGCTCCCTCGACGCCGTCGGCGGCCACCACGCAACGCAGCACATGCACGGCGGCACTGCGCTCGCCCGCGCCCCAGCAGCAGGAACCTTCTCGTTCGCGCTCCCGCACACGGGCATGCACATCAAGTTGCTTGTCGCCGCGCGGACGCACCTGCTCGGTCTTCTTAAGAAGAGCAGGTTCCGCGCCGCGCCGCTCAATGTGCTGCGCGAGCGTTGGGACGGCGGCGTGAGCGGCTCTAGCAGCGCCGAGCGCGAGGAGAGGAAGAAGGCTCGGAGAGAATTCACGGGGGTACTACCTGGCAGGACGAAGAAGTGGAAGGCGTTTTATGGCATGCGGTTCGAGTGGGTGTTGGAGGAGTGTGTGGGAGCGGGGCTGGTGGAGCTCTTTGAGACGGGGAGCGTAGGGAGAGCTGCGAGGTTGGTGTCGTAGATGCTGAAACCGTGCGGGACGTGTCGGGTGTATAGATGTGTATCTGCAGGAGAGGATTATGTAAGCTTTCTTGGTCCAACGGTAGGATAATTGCCTTCCAAGCAATTAGCTCGGGCTCGGCTCGACTCCCGAAGGAAGCAGTATCACGGCGAGATGTCTGTTTTTCGATATAGTGCATTTGTGATTGTGCGGTGATGCTTGGGTGCTTATTGTGACCGGAAGAGGTGTAACGGCGCAGTAAACGTTCAAGCAACGTCTCTCAAAAATTAAGCAGACTAACATATTCCGTGCAGCCATGTAAAGTCGACAAATCCAACAGACCTAACCATCCACCTCTACCTAGCACCAACCTTCTCAGCCAACCCCCTCCACTTCCCCCTCCTCTGCGCCTCTGGCATATCCATCAACACCCCCCGCACCGCCGACGCTTCATACGCCATCTTCTCCAGGGTGATCGCTTGCAACACATAGCTCCCCACCGTGCTCTCTGGCAGCGCTGGATTGCGCAGCTGCGCCGCTATTGCACTCAGAGCCAAGTGCTGGTGGTGCCACATGTGGTAGGCGCGGAGGTGAGGAACCGTGGCCCGGATATGGCTTGGCGTGAGCGAGCCAGGTGGAGGGATGGAGGAGGAGAGGTAAGACCGTGCCCAGGAGGTGGCGAGGTTGTATTCAGGGGTGTGGGTGGGCTCGGCTTGTTCTCGAGCGGATTCGGTGGGAGCTTGAGGTGCTGACGCTGGTGCTGCTGCAGCAGGGGCGACTGTGGGAGGAGCATAGAGGTATTCGGTGACTTCGTGGTCGTTAATGAGGTCAATGAGGCGCTGCTCTTCTTCCCGGAAAGCGGGGTCGTCTGTCATAGGGGCTGGTCCCGCCTTGGTGACTCCCTCGTCCATCTTTTTATGTTCGATGATGTCTTCTGCTGTGAAAAACAGTTGCTCCGAACATTCCTCTGGCTCGATTGCGACAGTCTCGCTTGTGGCTTCCTGCAACTTCCCATCGCAGTCAATGCTCAGATCTTGCATGGCCTCTTCAAGCTCTGAGTCGTCAAACTCATCAGTCTCTTCGTCTTCGTCTTCGTCTCCAACCAGGTATCCAGCTTGTTCCAATTTGCTTCCAAGGTTTACTTTATCAAGCCAGTCAACGACGGCGATAGTTTCCTTGTTTGTCGAGGAGTCAGCGCCTTCGCTACCGCGCAGCTCGGAAAGCTTTGGATAGTCTGGATCGGGGCCTCTAAGCCGACTCAGGTTGATGCGACCGACTCGTCCCTGGCTCGCGTTTGTTGCAGTTGTTGTCTTCCCGTTATTCAATGGTGCCTCTTGGTCTCCCGCTGCATCGTCAGGACTGTCGTCGGTCGGCCCATGACTTTCTTCCGGTGAAGCAGGCTCTTCGCCTTCGAGCTGATGGCTGTCCAAGAAATCCTCCTGGGCAGTCTCGTAGCCTGCTGTATCTTGTGATTGTTCGGGCTTTTCTTTCGCCTCTTCGCCTGGCCCCTCCGTTTGATCAGCAGCTGTAACGGACTCCTCTGTAAGCGCATTTGTAATCTCCTTGTCTTTCGCGAGGGGCGTGCGCTTCTTGCGAGGCTTGCTGACACTCGACCTAGGCTTAGGCTTCGAGTCATAGTCGCATACCAAGGGTCGGGGCGGAGTTGGCTTCAGCTGCTTACGCTTTTCCTCTAGAGCATCGAACAAACGGAATCCAGCATATGCATCGGCAGCAGCATAGTGAATCTGTTGGTGATTCAACGGCAGACTCCAATCACTGGAGCGAACATTGTACATGTCCTCAGGGTCGTCAATCAAGTGGCCTCCTTTGTACAATGGCAACTGAAGGTGCTGCTGAACCTGCGGAGCCAAAGCCACAAGCTTGTTGTTGACTTTGCTGGGATTGGTCACATAATGCTCCACCAAGTTATGTAGTCGGCTCAGCTCAAAGACGCCTTGAGACTCGATTTTGAGGTACTTGTTAACGCGGCTGAAATCACCCTTTATTGCGACACCGACTTTGTAAATGTCTGGAGACTCTAGGATCGCCTTCAGTGTTGGGGGCATGAGTTGTGCTGCAGTACTTCCTTGAAACAGGGCCACGTGGAATAATGCAATTCGATCTTCGCAGGCAAGTTGAATGAGAGATACGTTCTTCTTAATCGATTCGGGAGAAGAATACGGTTTCCACTCAATATCGAAGCCAAGAACTGTTTCGTTGACAAAGCGCTTGGCCACACGCTCAGCTACTTCTTTGGTCTTGCAGTAATGTACCAGTATCTGCGAGCCTTCTGGATCGCGATATAGGGCGCTACTCCAGAAGCTTGCTTTAGTGTTTTCAGGGGCGGTCATGGCGGCTCGCAGTACATCTTTGGGGATCTGGTACTCGAGAGGGTTGTGAGTTTCACTCGGCTCTTCATCAGCCTCCTCAGCCTCAGGATCACCCTGTTCGGTGTTGCATTCGCCCTTATCAGAAGAGGCTGGCACATAGTCGGTGTCTGAAGTGTCCCCTAGTCCACCGTCCCCAGAAGACGAAAGTACAATACTGTGAGCAAGTGCGGAAGGCGCAGCGTTTTGAGTCGCGAGATCAAGACTGGGAGGATTTACAGGCGGACTCATGGTCGCATTTGCCGCAGAAGCTTCCATCGGTGAGGGGTTGCCATTCGCGACATAATCAGTCTGCGTATGTGCATCACCGTGTCGTACAATATGTGTGAGACGACCCGCACATACGCATTGCTGATCAGCTGTCCCAGTGTGTCCAGCTTGTCCACATTGCTGGCGCAACTTGCCGAGCGATGTTCCCACGTCTTCATTGTGCACCTGAGCTGCGACTACCGACACTGCAGGCGTGCTGACAGTACCGCTTGACTGTACAGTGTGCTGCACTGGCTTTGTGCTGAAGGCGCGATCCGAGAATGTCACAGGTCGTCCGCGCTTCCACCGACAGTCGATCAGAGGCAACGAAGTCGGCGTAGACAGAGAGGCGGGCTGATTCAGTCGAGGTAGTGACGTTCTGAAGCTTGCTGCCTCTGATTTTTGGTAGCTGTTGTGTTGTCAGTACATGATGAGCTTGGCCGCCTGCGTTGCGCGGTACCTGTGAGCTCCATGTTGGGCATCCGTAGGCGCGCTGTATGCTGCCATTTCATTGTAAACGCGTCGACGAGCATTGAACGCGCCCTGGAAAGACACGCGCCTCTGGAAGAGCATAACCCTCCATTGTAGTGCTCCAGCTAGGCACCGATGTATGCAAGGTGATCGAAGTGAATGAGGCGGCGTCTGCCTCGCACCATCACGCCGGCGGCTCGAGGTTGACCACGAGTGGAGAATGGTTGGCTAGCGCGTGCCTGGCTCTCGAACGCCAAGCACCAAACGCAGCCAACGATAACTTCACCATCGCTCGAACGTCAAACAGAACGATAGAATTGAGACTGCCACATAGAGCAGTCGACCAAATTGTAATCACCGCCATGTCATCGGAAAACTTACTCCCTCTCGGTTCGTGGCATCGAGTTCCGCTCAGTGGAACCCCGCTAAGTCTTCACAGAACTCATCGACAAGTGCGTCGGTTCGCAGATATGGGTTATCATGAATGGCGGGAAGGGTAAGATTGAACGTTCCGTCCATCGCAACCCTTTCACTCAGACAACACAGAGTTCACCGGCAAGCTAGTTGGCTTTGACGACTACGTCAGTGAGTACAGCAAACGCGTTTTTGAAAAGCTCAACTGACCAGCACTCTAGACATGGTTCTGGAAGACGTCACTGAGATGTGAGAGACACGTACCCCGGAATAAAAGTGCCTGGAACTGACTGGCTCGACAGTGATCCCGCCGAGGGCAACAACAAATTACCGAAGATCCTGCTCAACGGCAACAACATTTGCATGGTACCAGCCCTTCAAACTTTATAGCTGCAACGCTAAAGCGATTTCAGATGGTTCCCGGAGGTGATGGTCAGACAGTCCTTGAAGATTAGATTATCAACGCCCAAAAAGCTGTTGGTGCAAGACGTCTGGGTTCGGCACCAGTGCCACATACCGTTCTGTATGGGTGGTCTCAAAGGCAGTGCTACGCTGTTCAGAGATGGACGGATCAGCACAGCGCAGATAGCATGCACATCAGTCTGGAAGTGGACAAGCAAGCTATGTCACAGGATCCAAGCCTCTAGTTATGATGATCCATTGAAGCAACTGGGGCCGCGAAAGGTACCGAAAGGTGTACCGTGAAACATGACTCCACACGTGACTCGGCCTTATGTGCCGTACTAATAAGAGAACCTTACAACACACCAGGTGACCATCGGACAGATGTGAGAGATTGGTGATTGCTGTCCAGACTCATGAAGTCATGTATTATCGAGACGGCAGCTAAGTTTGCGTACGTCAAGAATCTGGCTGGTTCGATAAATTTCACGGAGCGGTACGAAATGAGCCAGCTTGTCACACCCCTACCCATGGATCGCAGCACGGCCACATGGAGTAAACATCTATGGATACCGTATCTGACTTCCACCCAAGAACAGACAAATATCCATCCTGCACACATCGAAGATCACTAAATTCGATACTAACTAATCTAGCGGTCCAAGGTCTATCCACTAGTCGAGTGTCTCACGTGCTGTCCTAGTGGTGCTACAGCCTATTCATGACTGTCTACACGGTCAGTCTCGTCGCAGCGGCCAGCCGTAAGCGTCGACACTTAGCATCGAGATTGTCAACACGAGTCGTTTCGCGCTCTGCTGTTCACCTCGATGCTCTCGATGCTCAAATCCGATCACGCTTGTCTTGGTGCCTTGATCCAAAATCGGTTCACCCTCGCGCCTAATTGAATTATTCAAACAATAAAGCGGGTGTTTACTGGTTGCCCATGGGGATGCGTCAAATGATAAACTGACAACAAGTCATGGGCGCAAGCTCTACCCAGAATCTACGATGCTCGGTAGACTTTGTAGTGGCAGCGCAAATGCGTGCCGGGTCAAGGGCCCCTTTTAGACATGGCAAATGCTGCAACGGTCGAGCAAGTTCGGCCGCAAGTCGTGCATCGAGATCCTGTTAGACTAGGGCCCTCGCTAAAAAGGGGCACGTCCACAACGACGTCAACGCTGTGTGCAACTATAATTTCAACCAATGATGTTGAGCTCCGACTGGCAAGGAGGAATTTCTGATGTGTCGACCAAGACACTGCTTTCGAAGATGGTGTCGCAGAGCCTGCTCAGCGCGGACCGGACAATCACGGTGCCATAGGTAATCTGCAAATCATGCGAATCATGCGATTGTCACTGCAGGCACCAGCTGCAAAGCCCCTGCAAATCAGCAGCCAAGGGTCCGTCATCTCTGCGCATCTGCTGTCGCAGCAGTGGGCTTGTTGCGGCGGTGCTGCTGCTCCTGGCATGGCCCTGCATGTGGTCAAGGGCCGATCTGGTAGACATTCACGATGCTGCCTGCCACTCCCAGCGTCCCTGCTCGCGGTCGCTGGGCCACTAATAGCGATACCTCACGCGGCATTCCCGCTCCCTGCACGCTCGCGGTTCGTGCTCCTGCCTTGGCTGCTGAGGGCCGTGAAAGGCCCCGGCGCGCCGATTCATCCCAGCGCGCACCTCTGACCTCACGGCCATTATTGCCCAAATATTCGCTCTCCTGTCCTCACCATGACCGCTCGCACTGCCCTCACCAACGCGTAACATTGACGCACCACCCCATCCGCCCGATCTTGCCGCTGCAGCTCCGCCATGCGCGTGCCTAGCCCTGCGTCCTAGCCGTTGCCCGCCCTCCTGGATCCATCCGTGCCCGCCTTGGTCTTTTGGACTTCGCGCCGGCCTGTTCATGCTGTGGTCGTGTGGACGCTTCCTCCATAGAGATCCTCGCACTCTTCTCCCGACCCGCGCCAGATGCTCGCCGGCCGTTTCCTGACTCTGCTCGGCCGCTACTGCTCTGGCCGCATCAGCCCTGGACGCCCGCATTGCCTTATTATCCCATGACGGCTGCCGTGATACCTACCAGCGCCGCTCGGAATCATCACAGCATAATTCCAGATTTCTGTCCTCTGGGGTCCACCTTCCCCAATCTCACCGTGCCCATCCACTTATGAGCAAGCACTAGTCGCCGCTCACCACTTACTCTTCTTGCGCCTCGCGCCCTGCAACACTTACCCCTACCTAGTTTTTCGTCACGAAACGCCAGTAGCTCTGCCGCCGCTGAGTGCCGCGCCAATCATCGTCACGGATCAAGAATTTACCATTTCCTACTCTGCACTTTGCCTGTATATTATTTCTGCTGTACACGCCTCTGCTCTTTCTCCTACATACCCTGTCGCCTTTGGCCGCTCCGGGCCTAATATCAAAAGGCACGTTCTCGCGCAGTCCACCGTCCTGGGTTGCTGGATCGGCTCCAGTCAACCAACAGCCGCTTTGACCTTATCGATACCACCAACACCTTAACGCCGTCGGCTCCACCTCGTTTCTTCAACACCACTCAGGCATTTTCAAGTGTGTCCTTCTACATGAGCGATTTGAAAGAACGCCTGGCGCGATTGGGTCTTGCCCAGTACTCCGAGGTATTCGCAATCGAAGGGTTCGACACTTGGGAAACTGTCCTCGACATCACCGAGTCCGACTTGTAAGATCTCCGGTTGCGCGCGAGAAGCATCATGCTCACTCTTACATAGGAGCCATCTCAACGTCAAACTTGGGCATCGGAGAGTATGTTTTGTTTTTTACATTGGTCGTGCATGTTCACCCCGAGCATACAGCCACTAACGACTTCCACAGAAACTCCAACGAGCCATTGCCGAATCGAGAGGGCAGTCCTCGGACCGGCCATTGACAATCGCACTCGCGAGAGGCGCCAGCGCTGAAGGCTCATATCGCAGTGACGATTCGGCAAATGAGGCCAAGGGCAAGCATAACCCAGCAGCAGGGGAAGGCAGCACCGGCACAAGTACCAAAAGGAAGTACCGAAGGCACCCAAAGGTTAGCATCTCTTCGCCTCCAACATTACATTGCTGGGTCACAACATTGCGAACTGTCTAACACTGCCAGCCTGATGAGAATGCTCCGGATAGACCCCCATCCGCATATGTCATATTTTCGAACCGTAAGTGCCACACGAAAGTCTCATGCTACAGTACTAAACATACGTAGAAATCAGAGAGCTATTGAAAGGACAAGACCTTTCCTTTACCGAGATTGCTAAGGTCGTTGGCGAAAGATGGCAGGTCCTCCCAGCAGATGAACGCGAGGCGTGTGAGCGTCAAGCCAATGGCGCAAAAGAGAAGTACTATGCTGGGCTTGCCGAGTACAAAAAGACCCCACAATACGAGGCCTACCAGAAGTATTTGGAAGAGTTCCGAGCCAAGCACAATGCGCCCACGAAAGGTTGGTCTTCCCCCGAACTCCCAACTTTTGGTAACAAAATAGTGACCATTCCAGAAGGCAAGCGATCGAAGTTGGAGACAGAGACGAGTATGTCGACTCGAGCAAGCAGCCACGACCAACAACATGACCGAGCAGCGAACAGGCGACTCAGTACAGCAGTGACGGATACTGTTCATCATGTGAGGGGGTCCACTCCTCCCCTTGGGTCCACACGTCTCCCCCAGGGGGCATCGTACCCCTCTAAACCAACATCACCTGCAACGTATTCTTTGTCTGGTTTCAACTCGCCACGAAGCAACGAGCTATATTCACCAGTCACTGCATCTCCGCACTCTGCACTGCCCAGAGATACCCCATATGAGAATACCGCCAATCAGCTAGGACGAGACATGAGAGGGAATCACGATCTCTCCGCTCCATCTCCCTCTGCATACACGCACCCACATCTGCCACCTTCGACTGTGCCGACTCCGATGACTCGCTATGCTTCCCACTACCAGAGTCCCATGGATCTACCATCACGACGATCGAATCGGGAGCCCATGTCGCATTTGCCTGGACTTTCGCATGAGGATACCACGTTGTCTTCTGAAAGCGGGCACAGCAGTTACAGTCTTTCGCAAGCACCGCAGCCGCTTCCCTCGATGGATCCTGCCAAATCGATGAGAATGCTTCCACAGCCAATACCCAGCATTGGATCGACACAATCGCCACTAGATCGCACACTGCACCATCTTCCTTCTGGACCGCCAACACATATGCAACTGCCGCCGCCCGATTATCGTACCCAGGGGTCTCTTGCCGCTCTTGTCAGAGCCGGAGAAATAGCAGCGCGGGTAGCAGATGATGAATCGATGGAGAGGGGCGATTCACCTTAAACGCCGCCATATCAAATTGGCTGCAGTTGCACAGCATGACTGCTATTTACCGATCAGTACAACATCAGAGACGACACGTCTAGTTCCTACACGGATTTTAACACAGTACAAAACAGACTCATCGCAAGCCCGTGTTAAGCTCGACTATTCCCGGGTCGACCACACCACACACGGCTTTGCGAATCTTGGATGATACCCCGCAAGATGTGGCCAACACAAGATTTCTTGCACAACACTATTGATACCAGCACTACAGGCGTACAAGTCGATGTTCATAATGCATATTTGGTACATAGAGGCTTGGCAGTTCATGGTAGTTGAAGTCTCGTTTTGAAATTTAGCCGGCGTTCTGGGCCTTCAGGGCAATGAACGCATTGGAACGCGTATCAAGGGTCAACGTTCATTCGGGCTCACTTGGAGCTTGCCTGATACCTCAGGCTACATAGAATTCAGTCGAATGACACGACATTGTACATACGGACCCCAAAGGTCCATGCATAAAATGTAACGCCGATAGATCATGCGAATTCTCTTTTCAGGTCTAGATCTGCATGTTCGCAATGTCAATTAGCCATGTCAGCCTGACCTTGGGCATGGAGGATCTACCTGTGGTACAAGCGTACAGACGTCCTAATACCACCAATCACCATAAACGAGCCACCAGCTGCGCGACTACTTCACTACAGCTTTCGACGGATACATGGTCAAAGTCAATGGTGCTAAGAATTCGATGACTGCAGACACGGCAAGTCTTGACGCACGATCCTCGCGATTGGCATTCAATGTAGGGCTGCCACTCCAATGTGCGTCGTCGTGAGCGACAAACTAGCTCCCAACAGTCGAACAGTTGTTCCACTTGCCCTGCAGCCACACGCTTGAGAGGCACATGGAGTCTGGAAGTGGAAAATCGAATCGAAAAGTGAGCATCGACGATCGACTTAAATGAAGGATGCAAGGTGCACACAAGTTTCGCTGCGTGTGTTCAGCAGTGGAGATATAAGCCAGGGTCCGGTTCCTTGGGATAAGGATCATAATTACCGCCTCTGTCCCGCGCAGTTCTCGGCGGAGGGGCGGTTCGTGCATATATCGGCGGCTATGCGGAATTATAGAGCTGCATGTGCCGCAGGGCAAGTGTCCAGTGTCTAGGACAGTGGTTCACTCTGGCGTGTGGCTGCATCAGGCGGTTCGCATGACACGGTGGCGATTTGTGGTGGGGAAGTGCTGCAATTAGGGTGCGCGTCAGATCGACATCCGGAATTGCTGTGTGTGGAAGCATGGGATTTGCAGAGCTTTTCGATGTGCACGGTGCGACGCGCTGCCTGTCTGATCAACATTTCGATACGTGCGACTGATCGCCGGCTCCGTGAATCGAAGATTGCTGATTGCCAGACCGGGGTTTCGAGAATTTGTTTCTCAAACACCCGATCCTACAGGATTCGAACTATCGCAGATACAACGGTAACTTCGTCTTACCGCGAACGGTCAAACCGTGTGGATATTTCGTTTCCTGTGTCAACCCGCAATTCAGCAAGGCTTTACAGCCTTCCCGACATGCACCTCGCCGAGTAGTGCGTTGCATCGGTCAGCCATGTAGCAGCGACTTCAACAATTCCAAGCATGCTGTATGTCGCACTGTACATGGAATGAGCCGCGATGCAAGCAGCAACCCATGCTGCGGCAAGGCTATCAACGGAGCAACGTGATGGACTAACGATGGCGTGTGCTGGAACCGTGTTCTGGAACTCCGCATTCGTGACCCTCACCGATGTCTGCTGTAACACCACTTCCCCACTTCGGTAATCCCAAGCCTTCCGCCCCGCTGTCAACAATAACACCATGGCTGGACGACCTTACCTCAGCCTGCAGCGCGTTCGTGTCGAGGACGTTCCACAGCACCCCGAAATCAAAAATCTCGCGGCAAATGCTCCGGCTCCGACAACGTTTCTCACCGCCGTCTTCAGCGAAGCCTTGAAAGAGGATTTCGAGACGGGTTTCACGGTCGAAGGCATTTGGGCGCCTACCGGCAAGAATGTCAAGATCACGGGACTCGAAGGTGGCTCCTCAGCTGTACCTGTTTCGGTTGAGCAGCGCAAGAAGGGCAAGGGTGACAACACGTGGTTTGCAAGACGCTCAAAGCATGCGGAGACCGACGTAAGACACACGGAGCTTGATGCCTTGTTAATGAACGACCATAGCTGGTGGGAATACCAGTACACCCCGGATCTGTATGATGGCAATCTGCTCTTGGAGTGGGATGCCAACATGTTGGCAGAAGCTGAGGGCAGCCTGAAGCAAGATTTGGGGATAGGTGGTGTGGAAATGCGCGGTAAGCTTGATCTCGAGACTACTGAGCACATGGACCACTCTTGCTGACACAGACTAGTCGTTCAGATGTTCCATGTTCTGCCGGGCCCACTGCAAGACCGTGTGTTCCATGCGCTCGCGATATCTGGCAAGCAAGAAGGTCAGTCTATCAACATGCAAATACCTATCGACTACTCGTCTTTCGTTGCAGTGGAGACGATCCGGGCCAGGAGCCGTTTGAAGCCCCAGGGCAATGCCTTCCGATACAACACAAATGCGAACCGCCATGAGAACAGAGAGCCCAAGCCTACCAAAATGCAGCAGGAAAGGAGCGGCAAGAGAGTGACGGAAGGTATATACGCCTCTTTGGAGCGCATTCGCATACATACAGGCACAGAGCCTCAGTACACGCAGTGGGACATGATGACGCTCAGCAACGCAGGAGGCGTCGTTTCTTCAGTCCCGGTAGCAATGCAGAAGGGCCAACTACTAGAGGCCGTGAGCAAGGATGTACAGTTCGTAATTCAGGAGGTTGGAAAGCGTAGAGAGGGTGGAAAAGTATAGTGGGGCTTAGTGGTGTGCGAAAAGGTCCACGGGACGGAACACATGCCGCAGACTGCAGATGCGCGTGGCTCCATGCCAAACCGAACCACACCAGGGCTTTCGCTGTCGAGCTCCAGCCCTCAGCCTCATCGCACGCATGGCTAAGCCACTCTTCCTGTATCTACACTCCAAATATAGCAGATGCCTGTTACCCCATACTCTTGCTGTGCTCCATTGATTCTCGTCTCTCGCTGCGTTCCTTGTTCGCAGTCCTGTTAGGCAGGCGCTCCCCTCTTAACACCACATCCGCGCATCAAGCATGCAGAACTACGGTCGGCCTGCCTATGACCGGCCTGGCAGCACGATGAGCTTCGCAGGGCAGCAGCCGCCTCCAGTGCCGTCATATCAGCAGCAACAGCAATGGAGTCAGCAGCCCCCGCAACAGCACCAGTCAGCTCCCGGATACAATCCCGGCACATACGGTGCGATGGCTGGTGACTACGGTCAGGGTGCCCAGGTAGGGCTTGCAGACCACAGATGGTATCTCTTATGTTGCGCTGACAGCAGGTCCAGTATCCACCAACGTCTCAGCCATCAGACCCTTACGCCCAGCAACCGCACAGCGACATCCCGCCTCCACCTCCACCCAAGCCATACGGGTTTGCAACTGCAGTGCAGCAACAGAATGAGCACCACGTGCAGTATGCGCAGAATACCCAGAGCGCTCAAAAGTGGCAGCAGCCACAGCAAGCGAGTACAGGCTTTGCGCCGCAAGCACAGCAGGGAGGCTACCCTGTATACAGCAATGCTGGACCTCCACCGTCTTCTGCCACAACAGTTGGCTCGTACTATCCTCAATCGCAAGACGGGCGGCCGGGGTCGATATATGGTGCAGATCAGGTTGGGGCTTCAGCATCTCTAGTGCATCAACAGCCTGGCAGCACCGTCATGAGTTCAAACGAGCAGGATCCCGCATACAAACCGTCGTCACTGTCAGGGCAAGGCGTGCAAGCGTACATAACCTCGAACCTGAACCCTATGCCCGGAGTCTACGTGCCTCCGTCACCAGACGTCCCAGCGTGGCAGCAGGCGCAGCATGCACCTCTACAAGGAGGGAATAAAAGGTTCACGTATACCAAATCAACAGTGGACCCTAGCTTCTATGCACAGGGCTATCAGGGTGTACAGCCAGCACAGCAACAACAACAACCTCCTCCTCTGCCGCCGCGGCTTGATCAGGGTGGCGTGTCCCAGCAACAAACACAGCAATACGGGCAGCAACCCCCACAATATCATCTCCAAACACATGTACACCCGCAGCAGCCGCAGCAACCTCCGCCACTACATGATCAGATCACCCAACAGCAACAACAGCCCCAGGTTCCGGCACATTTCGGGCAGGTTGGACAACCCGTTCAGCCTCTCCAGCAACAATGGGGCCAGCATTCTCCTGTGCCACAATCGTACATGCAGCAACAAGCTGCACAGCTGGAACAGTATGCCCAAATGCACCAACAGCAGCAATCACAGCACCAGGTGCAGAGTCCAGCTCAGTCGCAACCTCAGTGGCAAGCGCCGGCGCCTGCGCAAAACAATTACGCACAGCAAAAGCATCAGGAACCACCTCCAGCAATGCATGGCTACCAACAGCAGGATCAGCAGTATCATCAACAGCAGCCACAAGAGCAGCAGTATCAACGTCAGCCACAGCAGCCACAAGAGCAGCAGTATCAACGTCAGCCACAGCAGACACAACAGCAATCTCAGCAGTTACCGCAAGCTTCAATGGGGCAGCAGTATTACCCAGCGCTAGAGCAAAACATTGGAGCGCCGAATCCGTTTGATCGCACCGACACCACCCCACCAGGCCTTGTACATCAATCGAGCCCGCACAATCATTACGTGTCTCCTGCCGTCAGCCACTGTGTATCGAGTTTTACACTAGGCCGCCCAGTGTCTGTAAGCACTGACTCAGTAAGTTCGATCGCGTTGGTCAACATACACTCGCAACGTGCAGCCAATCGAACAGCGTCGCCAAAGTCACCTCCATTTAACCCTGCACCTCCACCACCTCGAGATGACGTATCCAGGTTCAGCGCCCTCGGCACTGGCGGCCCGTCCGATTGGGAGACCTTTGGTGCAGGCGATGAAATTGATGATGAGGCTATATTTGCGAGGAAGCCTAGGCCTGTGCAGCTGGACAGCGTAGAGCTTCCTGCTCCTCATCAACCCTCACCTCCACTCACGCAAGACTGGCCGAGTCCTGCCAACACTGCTCCCATCAGTCAGAGTGGTCGTCGTGACACCTACCAACCGACACCACCAACTACTACCATCAGTCCTGTACACATACACCGAACCCCTTCGCCCAAAACACCGCAACAGCACTCTTTTGCAAATAATGCGCTTGTGGCACCTCTACGAGCTTCACCTCAACAGGTTCAAACGTACGAGGCGCCGCAGGATGCTCGGCATGGTTTTGTGATGGGCGAAGTGCTTTGGGGCGAACCAGACTCGCCGAGACAATTACACAATGCCTCGCAAAGAGCTCAGCTCGAGGGCCTTGGTGCACCCAGTACAGGGTCGCAAGGCGAGCAGGTTTCCGTCCCTGCCCAGACACCCGCCACTTACGCGATGGCGCCATTTGTCGAAACCTCCTTGCAGAAAAGGCCTGGCGCCTCGCGTTTCTTCTCTGATGTTGGCACAACTTGGGGTCTCTCGCCCAAAGACAAGGAACAACAGAGCAGCCCCTGGGTCTCGAGGGACGACAGTAATCTCCCAGCCAAATTACAAGCCAAAGATGAAGAGCTGTGGCGCCTTCGCAGAGAGTCCAAGGATGAGATGCAGAGAGTACAGGCGGAGATCGAGGCTGGGAAGGCCGAGTTCTTGGCTGAAATTGACCGCCTGAAGGCTGATGAGGAGGCGGCCAGAACGCTTACAGGTCAGCAGAGTGCGCAGCTAAACCAGCAGGTTGAAACTATGAAGGCCGCTGCCAAAAAGGCAAAGACTGATGCTGATGCATTGAAGAAGGAGAATGATCTGACGATCGAGAGGATTAAAGAGGATATTGAGGGTAAAGAGGACACGATCAAAGATCAAGATGAGACAATCGTAGATCTGCGCAAACAGCGTGATGACCTCCGACAACAGCTCGATGATGCCCACAGGCAACTTGAGATTGCTCATACGCAATTTGACAATGCCCAGAGGCAGCTCAAAGAGGAGAAGACGAAGGCGGTACCGGAACCTCCAAAGCCTAGCGCTTTAGACCTCGTTCCGGACTTGGACCCCTGGTATGCCGGTTCTCTCGAACGATACATTGACATGCTTCGCGGCGAGGCGAACGAGCTGCAGGTCGAAGATAAGATCAAAACCTTCCAGACATTCCTGAAAGCTGAATCCACCATAAGAGGCATTGAGTACTACGACGCTCCACCAGCTACATCGGTCACAGAACATTCACAAGTAGCTCAGTCTGGCGGTCTCCAAAGTGAGAAGCGCGACCTGAGTATCGCCGTCCCGCAAGATTTACCTGACGATGATGACTATGATTACAGTCCTGGAGGCCGACCCCTTCTGAAGCGTCCCACCGCCTTAGCCGAGGTGATCATTCCAACTCATGCCTCAGGCATCGCTTCCTCGCAGTCGACTGCCATCTTGACCCCAGCAAGCTCAGTTCACGATGACTCGACACCCATACAGTCTCCACCTGAGGAGCAACCACAGCCACTATATAAAGCTTATGTCCCACCCATCCTGTCAACAGACGTTTTATCATCCCTTGCGCAGCGACATGCCACGGGCCCTTCAGCCCTAGCGAATACTATCTCTCCGATCGGTCCTGGAAAGAACCGCGACGAAATTTTCTTCGGGGCGCAGAAGCCCAATGGGCCTCGCGCGGGCCACAAATCGACATTGAGTGACGATACAGGAGGTGTGCCCATCGTTGCTCCATTGAATCTCGCATCTAGTCGCCCTGTCTCCGTTGGCGCGGCACCCAATGGCAATGCGCTCGATACACTCAAGAGCCTCTTACCAGACCAACTGAGGCCAGACCCATTCCGACCACCGACGCCAAGTTCAGACCTTAACGGATTTCGAAAGAAAGCTGCAGGCATTAAAACTAACTCGAAGAACATCGAAGAGCTCACGAAATCATGGGAAAAATCGACTTCTCTGACTCGCAAGAAGAACGATGACGCACGTCGAGAGCGCCAAGAGGAGAGCGAAGAAAATAATGACGATCTCTTCAACTCTGATGAAATCTCGTATGCCGAACTGAAAGATCTCGAGGCCGAACAGAGAAGTAAAGAGAACAATCTGACGATACAAGAAGCCCAGGCCGAGGTTAAAAGCTATGTCGAGACTGTCTTCGATAAGGTCTATAACGACCTCCAGGAAGACATCGCAAAGCTCACAGACCTGTACATCGAGGCGGAAACGTTGCTTCAAACCTCGGTTTCGGGCGTCAGGAGTCTAGGAGATGGCCATGCGCCAAGCACCAAGGCTTGTCTTGAAATACTCATAGAGTTGCATGAGCAAATGGAGAGCACTCATGAGCAGATTGTTCAAGCTATCGCTGAACGCGACAAGCGATACAAGAAGACTGAGGTTCAGCCTGCGTATAACGCTGGCGACAAAGCCAAATTGAAGACCATGGAGAAACACTTCGAACAGGCTGAGAAGCGAGCTGTTAGCCGCGCGAAGAACGAGAAGGCGGAACGTTTGGGCGAAGTGGTCAAGACAGCCGAGGAAGCCATTGTTGGTGCCGCGAGGATCGAACAAAGCGAGCGGAGTCGCATCATCGCTGCGGTCCGCGATCTTGAAGACGGCGATAATGCGGATGTACTGAAGCGCACACACGAGACTCTCAACCTGCTACACGACTCATCCAAGTTACTCCTCGCTATCTTCAACCGCCTCGAAATTAGCCTCAATATCGCAGAGGTTGATGCTGACGTTGCGCAGGCGCTTGTCGACAGCGCGCCTGAGTCTAAAGTCAAGGAGATGCAATCCGAGATGACTGCAAGGGAGGCGCAGCTGAAGGAAGAATTCGTGAGGCGGATCGGCGTACTTGATCAAGACCGAGAGGAGTTCGAGCAATTAATCAAGGATAGAGGAGGTAGTGTGGAGAGAAGCGGTGAGCAAGAGAAAGAAGAGAGACTGAAAGCCGCACTTGAGGAGGCTAAGAGGAGGAATGGACATGCATGACTGGAATATTCCTAATATTCCTGGTTTGTAACACTGACATCTGTCCGCCTCTCATTACGATGATTTTCTACACGTAATTGGCCCATTTTTAGCATGGTACACTTCCACATTCGGGTTTACACATAATGTTGATTCGAATTTACCATAGGTATTCGCGCTTTCTGCGCATCATGACTCCAGTTCTTCAAACTCCTATGGCTCTTGCTGTTCATATCCTGCTTCGCCTTCTCCTCCTGTGCAAGGCGCCTCTTGCAGTGATCATGCGACCGCCTTTCTCGCATGGTCAATATCGTCTTAGTCGTACTTGCTGGGCTCCTTTCTTCTAGTTCCTCTCCAAGATCGTAATGATCTTGCGGCTGGAGTCGTGGCCTACGGTCTTTCGATGCATTTTCTTGCTTAGTCGTTCGTTCGGTGACCATATCGCCGGCATGGAAAGGATTAGGATTAAGAAGTCGCCTACTACGTTGATAGCTGTTCCAATCTTGTGAAGTAGCGTCTCGTCGATACAGCGGCCGTCAAGTGTATTGTCCCAGTTGTACGCGAAAGGTTGACACTTTGTCACCAAAACAACTAACTACCATCCCGTCCCAAGCTCACCGCAATGAGAGTCCATGCGCAAATTCTCATGCATGTCATGATACCGAAGTTCCGCAGATACTGCTTCAATATCGAGAACTTGACAACGAATATTACAATCGCCCGTTTACTACCGTCTTCGGCCAATGATCTTAGACGAACTTGCGATCCCGTGTACCTGGTCTGCGGTCGAACCTTGCCTCGATATTGTCGCGGCTTCCCTCGCTGCTACTCATCCGCTTATCGAGCGCCTGAAGGAGAAGTTTCGGTGACATATGTGTTCACAATCATCAATATTAGTACCAAAGAGCAGCAGGGATCACACCTCCACTCTTCCACCATTACATCATCCATTGTACAAGTTGGATAGATGTATGTGATCCACGCTGTCACTTCGCAATGGAGGTACCAAAGCGAGCAGCGCACTTTTCTGTCATTCTCCAGGGCATCCTGGGTCTAGCGGCCCGGCATTTGTGGCTTATGGGTAGAGAGTCAGTGGATCACTCACAGTCTTACGTTGATCAATGTCTGAACGCGCTCATTGTAGCGTTGGAAGACCCTATTGCGCACTGGGACGAGAAATTCCTTGTAGCAGTAATCCTCTTACGGTTGCATGAAGAGATGGGCGATGCGGACGAGCAGTGCCATCACTTCGGCACAGCGCGAATTCTGAACAGTATCTCATCTTTCGCAGCAGACGGTGGTCTTCGTGAGTCTGCAAGTTGGGTTTCGCTTCGGCAACACGTCTGTGTGTCTCTCACGTCGCAGCAGCCACTCAATTTGAGCCTCGAGAACTACCGCCACTCGTCAGTGTTCCGTGAGTTTGACGACGAGTCATGGACGAACCGACTCATTTTCCTTTTCGCCACAATTCTTCAAACCATCTTCGAGGATAGCGACGGGGTCAACACCAACACCCTGACTAAGGAGAAGTGAATGAAATTACATGCAGAGGTCGATGAGTGGGAGCGTATAAAGCCTTGGACGTTCACTGCACTTTACATCGAACCTGATGCTGGAGAGAAGTTCAATAACGCCTGGCCGCAGCTACCCTGCGCACAGGGGGTAGTTGCTGTAGGTTTGCAATACCATCACCTGAGCAAGATCATTCTCACGATTTACTCCCCTAACGCATCTCTGGTAGGACTGGCGGGAGTCCGAGCACGAAAAGCGACAGATACCTCGATACGGAAGCACATGCGGATGACAATTGGTTACGGCATCAGCAACGAAACCTGCGGGAATGCCATGTTTCAGCGCAGCCATATTTTCAGCGCATGTGGCGCATATATTGTCGATCCGCTGGAGCGAGAGGCCTGTGTAAAGTATCTAAGAGGCCTGCAAAGCAGGATAGGTTGGAGGACCGACAAGGTTATAGCGGATTTAAGAGAGCAATGGTCGGCTTAAGCACTCAACTCATCGTTACACAATTGCAAAATGGTGGCTTGCAAAATACTCTTGGCTGACGCTTCGTATGTCGACTCGTCGTTTGCTTTCGTCCTGTCGTCGGATCACCTCCTCGAGGAGGTCGCCAGTGGCCTTCGCATTCGATGCAATACTCTCAAGGCTCCTAATAGACTCGAGAATCCAGCGCCTTTCCTCTGGGTTCTCCTCTTCTGCCGCCCATATCATGAGCGGCCACAGCAAGTTGACAGGAAGTGACTCATCAGTCTGTGCCATAAGGTGCGATAGACGTTTGATGTTGGTGATTGCCGTCGTGACGTCCTTAGTTTTGGGGTACTGTACATAAGCCACTCGATGCAGGTGTATGAATGACGCATAGTAGTTGGCAAGGTATGTACGAAAGCTCCGTGTGAGCGCTACAGCCAAGTTCCGAGCGAGGTGTTTTTCGGTCAAGCTACCTGCGACAGCGTGGTCCATGAGAGCCGGCCGTTGTCCGTAGAGCGCATGTAAGTCTTTCGATATTTGCGCTGCGAGAGCCATCACTTCGGTCTCATCCTGCACTGTGCCGCGACTTCGGTGCCACGGGTCGATTCTGGTGATTCTGCCAACAAACGATTGGACCTTTTGATAGAAGACAATACCGGGATGGTAGAGTACATCAAAAAGTATCTCATCTATCTCAGTGTCTTGGGTTTCAGGGTCTGAAGCGGGGTTGGCGGCAGGTGAGGCGTCGAATAATGTTTCGTCGGTGTCTGCAAGGAACAGCCCTTCACCTCCGTTGGTTGACACAGCGCGTGCATCTAATAGACGAAGCCATGATATTAGTCGCCTTTCTGGCACCGTAAAGGCCACCTTGTTCGCGCTTTGTATTAAGGTGTATGCTTCGCGCAGGTTCGCGTGTGCCCTAGGAAGGGTCTCCGTCAGTAGCTAAAGTTGTTGTCGTTAGCGACGTGCTTGCTGTATCAGACGAGGTCAACTCACGTCCGTATATGTCAGAAGAAATAGAGATGCCAAGACGTGCTTGAGCCTGCTCTTCGGGGTCTCGCTGCCTTCTGCTTTACGCCTCTTCGCAAGCGCGCCTGACAGCTGTCTAGCAGCGATATCATACAAAGGCCGCCAATCGGTCTTTACGGCTTCACCGCCCAGTTCGCTCCGCTGCATTTGCATCGCTGCAAAAGCCATGATGGCGCTTCGCACGACAGGGGTTTCAGAAGCCATAGTCCCGAAGAAAGCTCGTGTGGACGCCCACTTGGGACCTGTTTCTTCAATTAGCCCTAGCTACATGCTCGAAAATGAAAACGCACCAATCTCCACTGGAGTGAGGATGGGCGGCATAAGCATCTGCAGGAAGGTGTTGACGAGCAGATCGCCATCGACTGATCCATTCTGCATGTCTTTGTGTGAGAAAGGAGATGTCGAGGCTGGATCTGGCTGCTGTCCTGGGCGCTCTACCATTGCCTGACAGCTTGTTCGGGGCGTGACTGGAGCAGCTGCCACCATTGGACCGGAGGACTGGTGACCAAGCGGGAGTTGATAAATAGGCTGGGGCACCGTATTCAGATGTGAGGTGGCCGCAGCGATTGTAGGATCCGTAGGCCAGGAATTGGGGCTCAGAAGCATAGCTTCGTCCCATGTACCGAAGCCCAGAGGCCCAGAGAAATCGAAAAATGCACTGCCATTCATACCGAAGCCTTCTATCGGGTCTGTGCTGGGGTGGTAAATATGCTGAGAAGTTGAGTGAGGTGTAGCAACCGCGAGTGATTGCGTCGATTGTATGCTACTGCTACGTGCTTGTATCGGCCGGTTCCACGTACACTCCAGGTTCAATCTTTCACAGTGACCACAGCGAGGCCGTTTCTCGTTGCAGCGCACCTTCCGTCTCCTGCAAGCATTGCAACCATTTTTGGACCTTGCCGGTCGGGTTGCGGAAGGTGGCTGTTCTACAGCAGGCCCTACAGGTGTCGCGGGCAGCTGCTGCTCCTGTGGAGGCTGTGACATGCGGTTTGACTTCGTGTGAGTGCGTGTGCCTGTCACGTGATGGTCCAGGTCAGATACTCTATACTCCGCGAGTAGGTGTTGATCTCTTTCCAAGGTTTGGCGAGCAAGTCCAGAAGGCGTCAAGTATAAGATGTCGCGATTGGAGCGCGGAGGTTTCGGCTATCAAAAGATGGGATGGTTTGCGGGGGTCGACGAGTGGGGCGGCTACATACCTACCGGTACCTACCGATAGCGCCTGGGCTCATCACGCCCACGCACAACTTTCGTGAACAGTCCTTAAGATCTATCGGTGTATCTCAACAAGTGTCCTGCAGAAATGCTGAGCAGAAAGTGCGAGTGTAACGTGAAAACGTTAATCAAGACAAATGGTCGCGTGTTCCAGCTAGCCGCTAAGCGCCGATTTCGGATTTCCTCTCCCGCCTCCAGACCTTGACCGGCACCTCGCCCAAAATCCAGTTCATCGTCTCCAGCCGCTCGATATTCCAATCTGGAGTCTTGAGTACAAACTCATATCTCCGCAGAAGACTCGCCAATACCACTGTCTGTTCTAGGTACGAAATGTTGCGTCCAATGCAGCCACGCGCACCAGCTGAGAACGAAAGGAAGTACGGCTGCAAGGTCTTACCTTCCTCACCGAGCCAGCGCTCTGGTATATACTGATCGGCTCGTGGAAAGACAGAGTCTTGCCTATGTGCAACATGCGCCGACATCGCCACGGATATGCCACCAGAGATGCAGTCACCAAGGATGTTCGCACCGTCTGCGGGTGTCTCTCGTGGAAGACCGTGTGGCGTGGGCGTGAAGAGTCGGAGCGATTCGTCGAGGCAAGCACGGAGGTATGGCAGGTGCTTGACACTGTCGTATGCGATCACGCCAGATTCGTCAATATCCTCGCTGTCCTCGAGCGCAGCGTCGAGCTCCTCCCTCAGCTCCTTCAGGCATTCCGGGTGCTTGATTAATTGCAGGGTGGCGTTTGCAATGGCGATGGCAGTTGTTGCTGAGCCAGCGTTCAGCATGATGCTAACCTCAGCGACAATCTCACCCCACTCGAGGTTATTCGGCGATCCATTCTTGTCCTCCATCAGAGCCTGAAAGAAGTCATCGGATTTCTCGCCAGCACGATATCGCTGTAGACGTCTCCACGCCAGCTCGTTTGAAATGCCGTCCCACTCCTTGGCGTAATTGTCCATACGGCGATAAAAGGGGATGATGTTGACAATCTTGTTGATGATGGAGTACCGTTCATAGGACCAGATCGGTAGAGACTGCTTGCGGGCGGTCTGGTAGAGAGCAGGTCGAAGATCGCATTGATATGTGGTTCCGTCAGTCTTGCGACCCGTCGCCGTACTGGTTCCTTGGTCGAGAAATCTGAGCTTCTCAGAAAGTCCAATATCGGCGATGGCATCGAGAGTGAAGAAGTTGATCCACTTGCGGTAGTCGAGGTTGACATCTTCAGACTCAGGAAGCCCGCCAGGGGCCAGAGGCGCGGTGCAGCATGTGTCGATGTGCTTGATTAGTCTCTGTGTCTTATCGGCGACCTTGTGCTCCCAGCCCTCAAGGTTCTTGATGGCATATGCGGAGCTAAGGGTTTTGCGCTTGCGAGCATGTTCATATGTTATGGCCATAGATGTCCTTGATCGCACGAAGGTCGCCGTACGACAGCGAGTTAGGACCGGTACGGAGGACAGGGTACTTTCGGTGCAGCTTCTCAAGAAAGGTGGACCTTGCGCCAGTGTGTGCGAGGATCATGAAAGGTATGTTGGAAAATCCTGCAAAAGAGTGAAAGCTCGGGTATCGACGAAGACCTGGATCAGATTAGCATAAGACTCCGAGCACAATCAGATATCTGCATCCCTGCAGTGTGCCATGAGCTGGTATACGCGGGGTGATGAAGAAAGGTCCATTGATCGTTAAGATCTCGAAAATAAGTAACAACTGGGTAAACGACGAAGTAGAGGAAGACACCTGCGCCAAATGCAGCGGCGTAGGGACTTGAGAAGATTGGAGTCGACATGGGGAATGCTCAAGTGGGAGCTGTGTGGTTTGCAAAGTCGGAGCACTTGATCAATGCCCGATTTCAAGGAAGACCGACAAACCCTTAAGTGCTCCAGGAGACTGTTCTGGTGCCAGTTGTTGAAATGCAACCAAGTGGACTGTATGTCCGATTCAGTATCATACGGAGGTTAATTCCAGATTGAACATGACTCGCAGCGCGGACGATGTGCGCATCCGGCAATGTAAGTGCGGGGTGGACGTGTGGTGAGTGCTGTCCGAGGCCAATGTGGACAAAATCTAGCACGTTAGCCTGAACTCAACAAGCACGAACGCAACGTAGAAGTCTTCGGATAACGTCTTTGACGCGGTGGATAATACGTCAGAGTTAGAAGTTCTCCCCTTTCAGTACTGGGGGCACTTACCAAGGTCCTTCAGCCTCAAAGTTGTTACGGGGAAGTTCAAGTATGAGCTCCACAACTTGGCCTGATGAATGCTACTGAACTTTTCGTCGCTATTCGTCATGAAGTCTCTCAGCTTTCCGGTCGATTTCCCAGATGTGCAAATGAAGCTGCACCTCTTCTTTCAATCTATGCTCGCATCGCCAGCAGTCCACAGCACCAAGCCATTAAGCACCGCAGATGGCGTCGCTGTTCTTCTATTCCCTTTCTCTGCTTTCGGGTACCTCACACATGGTCGTATCTGGGACAGACCTGACCCGAATCATGGCGTCTGGTTCGAGCGACCACAGTTAGCGATTGGTGCATCGAGCGGCAGAGTCGCTGCCACACGAGATATCTCCCAGAAGCTGGCTGAGGGCGAATATCACTGCGTTGTATTCTGGGGCTCTCAGTCTGGTACTTCGGAGCGATTTGCCGAGACAATTGGCCGCGAATGTCTGTCACATTTCGGCATCAACGCTCTTGTAGCGGATCTCTCAGACTACGACGCCGAGAGCATTTCCAAGATTCAATCATCACACTTCGCGATCTTTGTCCTTAGCACATATGGCGAGGGCGATCCCAGCGACAACACAGCTGGACTATGGGACTGGATCAAGCAAGTGAAGGATAAGAAGACCATAGTTCAGAACTTGCAGTATCTTGCCTTTGGTCTCGGCAACAGTAACTACAAATACTACAACCGTGTGCTTGATGTTGTCGTCGACGCACTCGACAGCGCCGGCGCCAGTGCCTTAATGGCAAGACAGAAGGCGGATGATGCCAACGGTGGCACCGAGGAAGATTTCCAGGCATGGAAGGACGATGTTTTTGCTGTGTTTTACCAGCTTGGTTACGAGCAGAAGATAGTAGAGTATCAACCGACCATCAAGCTTACTTTCAGCGGCGAGACGAACAACGACAAGGCGGCGAACCTTGCGACATCTTCAAACCACCAGCAGACCTCGACGCAGTCTGCCATCGTACCGTTGACCATCAAGAGCGCCCACGAGCTGTTCGCTGCTGGAGATCGAAACTGCATACATATGGAACTCGATCTTGGAAGTCAGGATATTGTGTACAAGACGGAAGATCACATCGGCATCTGACCTTGCAACCCTGAGGAGGAGACTGAGAAGCTTCTGAACGCACTTGGAGCACAGTCAAAGAGACACGAAACCTTCAGTATTAAGAGCAACAATGACTTAGTCAAGCCAAAGCTCCCTTCGCCGACGACGCTTGAGGCTGCATTCCGCCATCATCTCGAGATCTGCGCCCCTGTTGTACGTAAGACTGTCCAGGAAGTCGCTCAATTCGCACCAACGCCTGCAGCGAAGGCTAAAATCCTTAATATTGGCCAGAACTGTGAGCATTACGAGCAGCTTACCTCAAACATGCACATCATACTTGCTCGCCTTCTACAGCTGACCAGTCCTACGGTACTATGGACATCACTCCCGCTGGCTTTCGTCGTCGAGAATCTGCTGTTACTGCAACCCCGCTACTACTCCATCTCGTCTAGCTCCATTGTCGCTCCTCGCCGCATTGCTGTCACCTCTCTAGTTGTCAACAAGACTGTCAGCGACAAGTCATCGACATCCACAATCCACGGTCTAAGCTCGAACTGTCTCTTGTCTGTATCCGATGTTGTATAACAAGATCCAGAATGAGCTCGAAGACAGGTTCAAGATCATCACTGCCTTCTAAAGAGACGGTCCGAAGACCTACGTGCAGGGCTGCGTCAGTCAGCACGCTACCAAGACCCTTCAGCTTTTAGACACTGGCGCAAATATGTACATCTGCGGCAAGGCCAGCATGGCACCCGAGGTTGACAAGAAACTGGAGGGCGCGGTGAGCAAGGCAAAGAGCCTTGGTGAGACTGAGGTTATAGCATGGGTAGACAGTCTGAAGAAGAGAGGGAAGTGGCAAGCCGATGGCTGGGGCTTATTGTTCAGCGTTTCTAAGAAAGATAGTCGCCACAATCCTCTTCATCATTTTTCTCCCCAATCAGCCCATACACTTTGAATCAATTCTTGGGGAGCAGGATTGCTCGGCTTGCTGTCTGATCGGTCGAGGCAGAGGTCGGTGAGGTTGGCGAGGGAGCTGTAGAAGCACGTAATGCTTCATTATCGACGCATGGGACTTCGAAAGCCGCCTGACCAACGACACAGCTCTGCCCGAGGGTTGAAGGAGGTGATCGCAGTGCATTACTTAATGCGAGAGGCGGCGTATGCTGATTAGCCTTGATCTCGACCTCCAGTGTCCCATCGCTTTCCTTCGAGCTTCCATACATGAGCTCTGGTGTTTGCGCCGGAGCTTCGCATGCTATTTCCTCATTTTCACCCTCACTCTCAGTGACGATGCGGTGCAATTCTCACGGCGGCTAGGTGCTGTTCCTTCTGCACTCTTTGCCATGTCTCGTTGTATGCGTGCTCATGCTACCTTGACTGTAGCCTCGCAGGTCATCATCTTGATCGACAGCTCTGCGCTGACAGTCGGAGTCTCCCTGAGTCATTTGGCACCGCTGGTACCCACGGTGTCTCACACGTTGTGCTCGGCATCAGAAACCCGCGAACGAAAGAGGAGACTTACCCCGATGTCAAACATAGTTGCTAATTCCGAATGACCTAACAACCTGGATCGTTCCGCACTTTTGAGGGTCCAATCACACATCAGCGTTCTCTGTCTGGAGCAGCCAGGCCCGCTCCAGCCAATGCAGCGCCGCGCCATTCCCACGCGTGTGAAGTCTGAGGCTTTCAGCTGGCGCGCGGCAGAGACAGTTCGCAACAGCACCCATCCCCGTGTCGAGTAGGCCTTACACCCAAGGACTGAGATCCTTTAAGACACGGATTGAAGGGTACCTGTGGAATATGGAGCTTTTAATTTGTTCGTTTCAATTACATTGTATGGTCCAATAGCGGAGGACCTCTTATGACCGTGGTAGTAAGATTGTCGCGGCAGACGTAGTCGCTGTAAGTCGATGGAAAACTGCGATAAGTTGCTTGCTAGCTAGGAGGCGACCATATATACATGTCCTGAGACGTGCTAGTCCAAGGTAGTCAACAGAAATAACGATCAAGGCTATAGGACCGACTTGCACCGCAACAAAGATGCTAGGATACTAATATTAACATTGGTATTGAAAACTTCCCTTCTTCTCCAAACTCGGCTCTTGCAATCTAACAGTAATGCAGACAGACAGCGCAATGTCTTGCCAGCGCGTAGTGAGACAGCCGCTTGCGACCTCAGATCTTCGGGGATTACTGTCTCGTCGCAGGCATCGACGATCGTTTGACTTTACAATCGGTCAAATCAACATTTTTGAAAGTCTGAGAAAGCGGTACATGCTGAGTCTTGCTTCATTTTCGACTTCGTGAGATCAGGGCAGGAGCTTTGCACCAAACCCACAAGACCATGCCAAACCTACCCAAGCCGAGTGATTCGTCACCGTGTACCCATCCGTCTACCATGTAATGCCAGTCGATGATAGATAAAGCAGAATATGCAAACGCCGACAAAGGCGATCAGCGCCCCAGAGTGGTATAAAGCGCAAAGAAAATCAAAGGTCAAATGCCGGCCCCACTCAAGAGCCTCACTTCCGCGCGCGAGCCCCAGTAAGTACAGTGAGGGAACTCCCAGACTCAATGAAGTCCAAGACGTGGTCTGCGAGTGAAGTCGGGCTGATGAATTCAGTCTTGCCCAAAGTAGTCACGGCCGTGAAGGTATAGAGACCTGTTCTCCTTGCTTCCACTGCGTCAAGACTACCGCGCATAGTTATTCTCTCTTTTCTCAGATGCAGAGCCTAAAGTCGAGTCCATCCAACATCCACCTTTGTAATGTAACAACCCCTTTGCGACTCCACATGCGCGAGTCTGTCACTCCACAGTAAGTGCTGCACCGAACAGACATCCTCACTGCTCAACGCGAGAGCCCCATCACATATTATTCCGTGCGCCATGCCAGGCATGCCACGCTAGATGATTAGACCGCCCTGAAATGGATAGCAGTACCCTGTCAGCGCATCAAAGCAGTGTCCGGTACGATATCGCAATCGCTCAGCGCGCTCATACTCTTCTTCATCCAGCCTTCTTGCCGCCTCCGATTCTGACGTTGGCGGCGGCGGTGTCTTTCTGAACTTCGCGTGCGCAGCTGCATGCATATCCCAGACCTCCTGGTCCGTGACCTCCTCTGCACTTTTGTAGGCTGTGGCGAAGGGCATATCCTCAGGGTTGGGGTGTTTGGCGTACCACTTTCCCCAAACTGTGTTGGTGCGGTCGAGGAAGCGGGCGTTATTGTGAGTGATGTACGAAGGTAAGGTGGTGGAGGAGCCGGGAAAATCTACTTGTACTTCTCCGGGGGTGAAGATATCGGGTGCAACGTAGTAGGTGCCGAAGAGCCTATGGTCTTTTGCGGGCTGAATGACTGGCTGGTCGAAACGCTCTTCGAAAGGCCGATATGGACGCTGTCCCTCGAGAACGACAATCGGGAGGGAGAGTGGGGGGTTCTTGTGAGCGTTAGTCCTGGCGAAGTGCGGTAGCCCTCGTCGCGGTGGCGGCGGGCGTGAAGAAGGTGAGGGAGAAGTCGCTCCATCGCCAGAGTATACTGAGCAGCATGGAGACCCAACAGAGAGTGGAAAGAACTTCCTCAAAGGTGTCGTCGACTGTTCAGCCTGCTCATGCGGAACCTCTTTCGTAGCTCGCAACTGACGGCGGCCTGCAAAGAGAGTAACCACTCGTTTCATAAAGGTCAGCTGATGCTTCTGAATCGGTATTGGTACTATTGACGATTGCAGCCATATTGTATCATCCTCGTCATTATCCTCAATAGCGCAAAACTCGGCAGCAGGTGTTATATCGTCTTGAGACAAGTCCGCTCCTTCAGCATGAACATTAAAAAGTGCTTGAGTGTGTCCATTTATTGTTGATGACGTTTGAGCTAGTGCCTCTTGCTCACTGCGGTCGTTGAGCGGTGTGTATATTGCTGTCGTCGCCAGCAAAGATGCTGAGGGCCTATCGCCAGCATTATTCACTTTGTTCACAACAGCGACTCGTTCAGTAGCCCTAGGGTGATCGCGAGCTGCATATTCCAAGGGCGCAAGCTCGAGGGGCGACGCCGGAGGAGTATCGTCATCGTCCTGCAATTGCTCGATATGCTGACAATCTGGCGACGGCGGTGAGTACTGTGCACTCTGCTGTTCGATATGAGCCTCATCTGCTGCAATCGAAGTACTGAGATTGCTGCGCAGCAAGTCACCAAGCTCATCGGTCAAGGGAACGCGCTTCTTTTCAAATGTTGTCTCGTCAACCATGTCATTGAACAATGGTGATCGCGTTGCGCCATCAAAGATAGTGCGTGTGGGCTTAAAATGCGTCTTTCCGAGGTTTCCCTGCTTGGCCTTCTTCCCAGGGCCTTGGTATCGAACGCGCGACTTGACCCTATGAAATGGCATTGTGGAGCTGTCAGGAGCTGGGAGCTCGTGGAAAGAGAAAGACGGAGAGAACAGACAAGGCAGCTGTAGTTGAAGCGTGCAAGGGCGCGCATGAGTACGGGGTAGTAGAGCGGCGCAAAGAAAATCGCGAACGCGTGTGGGAAATATGGACTTAGGTTGGTGAAAGGGTCGTCTTACGGGCAAGTGAAAGATGGGCAGATAGACGCAGCCATCATTACCGGCCTTCCAGGCGGCAAAAGCATCGTTACGTGTAGGTGAAGATGTCGTGAAATGGTTACTCACCGAGGGAACATGAGCAACGATAAACTGCTATCAGAAAGCAGTAGGGGAAGGGATGTTGGGGTTGGGGGCGAAGCCCATTTTGTCATTGAAAATGATTGGATCGTACCAGACTTGAAAAGATGTTTCCCTTGCTCTTATACAAGTCGACAGTTGGTGTATCAAACATGGGCCAGGTCATGACCTTGCAAAGACCAAGTGGCAAGCATCTGTTACAAACGGTCAATGTGATATTTTTCATTGACGGTGTGGATGGGGTATCTTCATGTTGTCGTTATTCGAGATCCCCCACGTGCTTGGATTTCCATGGCAAGTCTGACCAAGGAGTCATTCAGGCATTGTCAGCGCAGATGTATGTGACTGTACGACGTCAGTTCGAGTAGACCTTTACGGGAATCTGTTCACGTACCATTGTTGCCTCGTACAAACGCATCACCCCAATTTCGAGTGACGCGACCTTCTGCGACCTCCTTGCACCGCTCAAGAGCAATATTCATGTAGCCGTCGACGGACTGGAGGTCGCCTAGACAGAATTAGCTTGCGTGCGATTATGATCACGTGCCTACAAACCTTTGTACACAATTCCAGAATTCAGCTTAACAGTGACAGGAGCGCCGATGATCTCGCTCAAGAAGCCACTGGGATCTCTCGAGTCGCCGTTGCTCTCTGGTGCCGGGCTTTGTGACATGGTCGCTGAGCGTGACGTTTGTAGGAAGAGTTTTCTGTGCACGAGGTCAGATCTAGCGCGCAGAACTGCGAGAATTGGCCTACAGGCAAGATGGACTACAAGAGTTTCCTGTGTTTCAAGACCTGATGTTTTGGTATGCAAATGTCGTAAAGGTCGAGCTGTTATCGGCGTGAGAGGTGAGAGACGCCGACTGTGCACAGACCACCGCTTGTTCTCCACACAGCAGGTGCGACAAACGTGACTGCGCGTCACGTCGGCGCACGCACCCCGCATCTTTGCCAGACAGCCACCGCTCTTCACCCTCTACCACCCAATCTGACGACTCGCTTTTCCGCATTCATGCATCTGAGACACCTGAGATGACGGACGCCACTTCAGGCGCCCCTGCACCCAAGAAACGGTCCCTCTTCAAGCGAGCAGCATGGCAAGATGCCGGAAAGAAGGAAAATGAGGACATATTCAGTCACTCTAACGAGTTCAGTAATATAGTCGCAGAAGAGAACAGGCAAAAAGAAGAAGCTAAAAGGAAACTCGCCGAGGCCAAGAGAAAGGTCGAAGAGGAGCAAAGGCGCGAACAGACTGAGAAGCAAGACAGGAAGGGCAAAAGGCGCAAAGTTTCAATCGACTACGATGAACCAATCTTGCTTTGTGACGACTCTGCAGAACCTGGGAGAATAATTCAATCACGGAGAAAAGGGTAAGGTGATCAGTGTGGGCATCTACAAACTCTTGCTGACAGACATCCGGATGAAGCAGGACATCCCTCTCCCCAGCCGCACCCGTACCACCGCCGAAATCGCTCGTAGCGCGATATGACAATGTTGCAAGGACTACTCGGTCGCAGGGACTGCCGACCCAGCCCATCATTGTGGACCTGGGCCCCTCAGACGATGATGAAGATTCTGGGTACAAATCGAAGTCTTTTGGCGACACGGAGGATGACATCGCGTACGGCTTCAACGTTGAGCATGGCATAGCCTTGCGCACGTCGAACAGTGCAGTGCCCGACGACGATGACCTCGAGGAGGTTCAGGATCCAGAACTGGCAGCTATAGAAGCGAGGGCAAGAGCAAGGGCGGCAGCAAATAAAGCAGCAGCAGCGAGTGGCAGCAAGGCACCTATCGCGGAACTCTTTATCGCTTCGGAACTACCGGACACGAATGCACTCATGGTGAAGGTTCGCATAGACAGTACAATCGAGAAGTCGCGTGAGGCCTGGTGCGCCAGGCAGAACTTCACAACAGAGATGACACGGGATGTCTTCTTCACATGGCGGGGGACAAGAATCTACGACAGCACAACCGTCAGGCGTTTAGGAGTCAAGGTAGACGATCATGGCAATATCTCTATTGAAGGCGACGACTCGATATACGACCAGGAGGGAAACACACCCAAAATCCACGTCGAAGCTTGGACAGACATCGCGCTCGCCCAGCACAAGCGAGAGGTCGCCGCAGAAGAAGAAGCGAAGCGAAAAGCAGCTGAGCCGACCTCTATAGTCGAAGAGCGCGATCCTACACCCGAGCCTGTACCCGAAGCAAAGAAGTACCGCCTGTTCCTGAAAGCGAGGGGGATGGAAGACTTCAGGATTCAAGTCAAGCCGGATACGACCTTCGAGAAGCTCGCCAATGCATTCAAAGCAAGTCGTAAGATCGCCGAGACACAGCCTCTTACACTCATGTTCGACGGCGAGCGTTTGTCCCCGATGGATACTATAGCAGATAGCGAGCTGGAGGACATGGACTCGATCGATGTACTGCTCAGGTGAGCTATTTGTGCGCACATTCTCGATTTCATTTGGTCTTGGATCTGTTCACTTAGTTTCGGACATTGCAAGCGTGGCGTTGGTGGTTAATATCCAAATGGTTTCCGGATTATTACTTACTGTTCGAATTAAATTTCCCCCAGACCTGGATTCTGCGAGAATTCTACGAGACGAACAGGCTTGCATTCGATCACAGACATCATGAAAATGCGCCTACTCCAAGTAAAGCTGCGCTCTACAGAGTTCCCCAATATCTACGAGCAGCACCCTATACCACACGTGGCTCACTTGTGGGCTCGATCAGGACCGCCGTACCATCTTCAATTGTAACAGTCTGTCCACTCGTCGCGGTCATCTCGCCGGTAACTATGTACGACATGCCTGACTTGGCACTGCCATTAGTCACTATGGTGATGTAGGTAGGGACTAGACTTGGTGCGGCAATAACAGTCGGCGTACCCTTCAAAAGTAACTCTCTGCCCGACGAAGACTGTTGACGAGCCGCTGATGATGTACGCTGGAGTCAAAGTGGGTACGCCGTTAATTGTGATTTGGAGATGGGTGAAGACAGCATCAGGGACAGAAAGGATGTCACTTTGCTGTTGGCTTTAACTATCTGGCCAACCGTCGCAGTAGACTGGCTGCTGATGGGGTATCTGAAAACCGATATTGGAACACCATTGATGATTTTTGCTGGGTACGTTGGAAGCAGATCCGGTAGGGCAAGCACTGTAGTCTTGCCATTAAAGGCAAATGGCTGACCAGCCATTACATTTGAAATCATGGGCAGAACGTATCCTTGCACAGATCTACCTGCTGGAGAATCTTGATTGTGAAAAATGCTCATGAAGTGATTGAAGAAGTGAACGGGTGTTTCAGAGTCAAGAGGCATCCACAAAGACCGGAAATCCTGACCAGACGTGATCGACTCATTATTTCTTGCGGCAGTAGTCTCAGGATAATGGTACCTTAGTAGCGGAATGTATCTCCTCAGATATGTTGTCGAAAGTTCGGGCATTACAGCGAGGTACACGGGAACACCAAATTTCTGTGCAGTTCTAATTCCAGTAACCGCAAGCACTAAATCGTAAACGCACTACTGACACATATACACAGAGTGGGTCTGGCTCACATGATCGTTGCTGCCTTGTGCCTTGAGGTTGCCGCAAGGCCCACGACTGCCGCAACGATGTTCGAACTTTGCCTGAATATAATGCAGCAAACCGTTAAATCTTTCGCCTACGGGCAAATGGTCACTGGAACGGTACAGAGAAGATTAGCATGGCCCTTGCAGTAAAGGAAGCTCTCTTTTTTTTGCACATTCGAGTCACGCTTGTGGCGAGTCTCCCACTTAGTTGTATTATCATGCATTCTGTTCCCCTCTTGGTTAATTCCAGTCGACTTGTCCTTCCTCGCTCGCTAGTTTCAAGGGTCATGTGTTACTAATCAAGGCACTAAGGTTCTCGGTACTCAAGGGTTCATTCATTTACGCGTTCTCTAACCTACGTGGTACCGACAGGATCAGGGTTTGGAAAACTTGCATAGCTCAGGCACAGCACGTTCAGTCTTCGTGAGGGTGAAGTTTACACTACATCAGACCAGGTGCCGCACATAGCAGCCAGGGGGCGTCCAGACGATTGAGCACGACAGTCACCCGACGTACAGGACCTTGGGTCAACAACTCTCCTTCAAACATGAATACTCTAAACCGATAACTGGTGATGCGGTCTGGTGGACCCACGCCAACACCCTGGTTCTCAACAATGTCCAACCACTCTTTCCAGCATCAAAAAAATGCGCACAGTGTACAAGTTTTCACCATGTTGTGCTTCCAGACCATTAGCAAAGCGAAAGACTGCCCATCTCAGCTTGGAAGAATCAACTCGACCGGAGCCTTGAATGCCTACAGCCAAACCGAAAAAACCATCAACATGGCTGTTACATTCGAACTCCCACCTCAGATCCACAATGGTCCACAGTTCTCTCGCCTCCGCCGCTCACCAAGCCCTCATCCTCGAGCGACTCGAGCCAAGCCGAAGAGCAGCGTCAAGAAGGTCGTTGAGGCAGTCAAGAATCACCTCTATCTCCCTCGCGGCACTATCAAGCACTTGCTACTTTACGGACCGCATTACTCAGAAATCTTTCCCCGGCGCTATCCAGTCGACCACCAAAGCCGCCTGAAGGCCTCACGAATGAAAGACAAGAACAGATACTACGAAATTGGGTTGTACGTGCACGAGGAGGAGTCGGACGATGAGTCGAAGGGTTCCTACGGGTCGATCGAAGATGATGCGGGGCTCGATTCGGGAGTCGACATGTATGAGGAGGAGGCTCTAGAGCAGTTTCACGTTGTGAAGGACGGGAGCGCGTGTGCCTGGTGGAAGGCGTCGGTGTAGGTTGAGCGTGAACGGCGCTAGTGCAGACAGTGCAGCGCCGAAGGATAGTCCAATGTTGTACGATGAACCGTTCAGGAAACATTCGTTTAATTGTTATGGACGAGAACTTCATGGATCAAGATCTGAGCGCACATGTCGCGTTAACTCTATCTGTAGCTTTCCATGACGACTCTACCGTCATTGTTTATGTGATAACCGTGACGTTCATCGCCGCAGTCCACGGCTTCCAGAACTCCTCAACGCCCTTCACATACTGCCATGCCGTCCAATCCGGCGTTGTCAACCCCCATGTGTCCACGAAACCCTGCTGTCCAGATCGAATCCTGTAGCTTCCTGCAACACTCCACATCATCCAGCTGATCTTATTATCCACTGTGTACTCCCTGAGGCAGTTCTGCAGTGTGTCGTTGAAAATTGTCACATCCTGCGCAGTCCCGAATTCACTGATAATGACTGGTGTCTCGGTAACGGCCTTAGGGCAGTCGTTGGTAATGTTGCACGCAGCTGGGGCCTCAATGCCGAGCGCGTTCATACCATTGCGGTAGAGCCCCGCTTTGATTATGTCGCAATTTCCGGTATCGACGTCTTCGCTCATCCGATACAAGTGCAGTTCCCATACCAGCTTGTCTGACCAGGCGTGATCGGCAAGGTTGAAGACCTTGGGTTCGCGGCGTGCGGCGTCGCGGACTGCGGTGCACTTGTAGCATGGCGCGGTGAGGTAGTTCTTCCCGCTCGTGAGCGCGGAGAGGTCCTGCGCGTACTGCATTCCCGACCAGAGGATCAGCACATCCGGGTTGGCCTCGTGGATGGCGTCGGCGCCGGCGGTCATGTTGCCGACCATGGTATCCCAGTTGTAGTACAGGTTTGTGACGTTCCAGGACTCGCGTAGCTCGTTGCGCAGGCTCATGCTGACGATATTGGGATGCTGCTTGGCCCAATTTGCGACGTACGAGATGCCGCGGCGCCAGTGCGTGGCGTTGAAGTTGAGATCATCAAACCAGGAGTTGCCGTCGATGTGCGAGCAGCACCATTGCGCTTTGCCGACATGCACGTCAGGTGAGATGAAGATGCCCTTCTGCTCGGCGACGGAGGCGATGTCGGACCAGATCTCGAAGCGGGTGGTTTGGGAAGTCCAGCCGGGGTTCTTGGAGATGATCTCGTTGGTGACCTTTATTCACGGTCAATACATCTGATCTGTGATCATGACCTGTTCAACAGACCTTTGTGCCGTTGACGTAGCCTAGGGCGTGGATCAAGGCCACTTCGAGACCGACGTCAGTGCCGTTCCTATCGTAGATTTGATCGACCATCTCAATAGCGTAGCCCCTGTGAAATTCAGCTTCAGGGCCTTTGATAAAGCCAGCAGCACACACATGCGGATGTAGTTCCAGCCAACACTCTTGATGTCGTCAAGAATCTCGTCTACAGAGGCCCATTCAAGACCTTCTGGGATCATGGTCTCACCTAGCACAATCGTTAGTGATTGCGTAGCTTGGAAGAGTGCTACACATACCAGACATGGGCCAGTTGACACCGGCCCAGGTGATCTTCTCTCCACGGTTGTCGACGATGTCCCTTCCCTGTGTGCTATACGGGCCATGGAAGTTCGTGCCATTGCTCTGCCTCCTCAGGTGCTGTGAGAAGTGGGGCTCTTCTGCCATAGGCGGCAGATAGCTCGCCGACGCAGTAACAGCTGCGAGCGCCGTTGTGAACAGCAGCGTTGGACCCAGCATCTTTATTTCTGGAGATCTTCACTCGTACTGCCCAGCATCCGGGGGCTCAGTGCGCTCTTATACTCCCCGCAACACTTTCCGTGCAATCCTGCTCTTCCGCCTGATGACATGCACAGCTCTTGCAAGCTCTCCGAAAGCTATCCCAATTGACGTACTTGTCTGCTGATCATGGCCGGCTTGTCGGGCGATTGCCGTCCGAAGAGCCTGTGAAAGACCGGTGCTTACTGGGAACGGTAGACCGTCCGGTGCTGCGCCTGTGGGGAAGCGATTTTCTAAAGACGCAAGGCCTTCTCCGCGCTGGAGGATTGCGGAGAAGTCGGTGCGCTAGAGCTCAGGAACCGGCGAGGGTGCCGAGGTCGAATAAGCCAAGGAACCATTTTTTTATGCTGCTGTGCAGATGTCTGATGGCAACGGTCTACTGTAACGAGGTGTGTCCATACCCGGGCTTTAATCTAGGCCTAGCGTAACATCTTCAGTAAACCAAGGTGGTTGCCGACTCTGTTGTTCGTTCCGATGCCGATCTGCAGATCGTTCCGCGACCAGACTAGAAGTCGCACAGGAACGTTTTGTGCATATGAGATTGTGGACAGTCTTGAGCTGCGATTTTGCATGAGTGAATTGCCATGGTCCTACTGCGAGAAGGACCTGCCCCTTACAACTGCAAAGCTGCAACGCTTGTGACTTGATCCAATTGTAATGATGCGGTCTTCCCAAAACATCCTTGCCATCCGTCAGGTCACATCGCCTCTTCCGCGGACTGACCCGTGGAGCAAGCGCGATATTCTCACGGTAAATTTGAACGTGTTTTACATTTGGTATCTCATTTGTAGTAATGGTTGTCGACGGGTGCCATGCGATATGCGCACCGGGACTCTGTCCTTCGTGTTTTCAGAGCGCCCAGCTCTCCGATCGATGCATCAATGGCCTCAGAGGCCTTTGGGTGTTTGTGTCCACAATATGTGGTTCTGTGCATGCTCAATGCCCGAGTGAGCTGTTTATTTGCCCTTGGGGTTGTTGTACTGCTGCTCGTAGAACTTGGCCGGCCACACGGGCTGCGTAAATGTTAGACATAGAGTTTTCAAGATACTTATTGAGCACTTACTTCACCCTGCTGGGACGAGTGGTTGCTCCTGAAGTGCTCCGAGTCCGGGCCCTTGTTGCTTCCACCCTCTTTCCTACCCTCGTTGTCCGTTGATGTGCCTGCAAGGAAGTGTTAGCAACTGCTTTTGGAGCAGCGACTTGCGCTGAGTCCCTCCAGTCATACCTCGCATGCTGGCCTGGGCGGGCGCGTGTGTGGGGTGGCCTCCGCCGGCGGAGAAGCGGTCCTCAATGTTCTGAACTCCCTGTGTCTTGTAGGGGTTGGGGAACCAGTACTGGCGCATGTACAGGTAGTAGCCGAAGCCCACGGCACCGCCGGCCATAAAGATCTTGGGTACTGAAAGAGGAGACATTGTATGCTGTCGTGGTGTGGTTCGAGGTGTGGGGTTTGGTGGTGAGAGCTCTAAATCTCTTAAAATGCAATGGTGTGATGAATAACGGGAGAATGTGAGCGGAGGATGGACTTCAGTGTCTTGGAGTCCGGGGGGCTGCAGGTGATATTAGTCGGTTCCAGGCCAATGGCACGTAGCGGCAGCGCGTCACACAGGGCTGTTCAATCTTCCTGAGTGGTGTCGTCATATAATCGTAGAGCTTCGTCGCGCCGTTAGCGCGGGAACGCGGCTCAATCAGCCACTTGTGGCTGACTGCTTGTGGCGCGACCGCGATTTTCGAGACCATGTCTCCTTGCCAGAAATAGCAACTGGACACGCAACCTTCAACATTCACCCCTTGCGCGAGATATTGGAAAGAGGAGGGTTATCGCACTCGACAGCCCTGGGTCACGACTACTCCATGATTTTACGGCAAGAACAATATTGGGCAGCAGCGACCACAACGGCATCCAGCGCATACCAACACCATGGACGTAAACCCGGCCGTTGAGCCAGAACTCGATGGCTTCAGCCGCGTGTTGCCATTGCCCTACCGGGTAGCCTTTATCATCGTCCTTGGTACGCCTAGTCGATCTACATCACGAGTCCCCGGCGCTTAGCCCACAGTTGCGCCTGTTCGTTCGTCTGAACTAACTTCGGATCAGGCATCTGGGCATGGGGCCTCAACCTCCACTACCTCTCTCTAATCCGCATCGACGTCCCCTCCCTGATCCGCTACCCCTCTCGCACCTCACCGCACCACCTCCCGCACCACCTCTCGACCTACCGCATCGCGACATTCCTCTCAATCCCGCTCGGCATCTCACTCCTCCTATTCTGGACACTCACCAGCGGCAGCCCCACCGACATCGCAGCCTGGGAAATTTTGCCAAACCTATACCTCCTCATGCTCGTCGTGGGTTTTATCGCACCCCTGCCCTTCGTCTCACGCGCCGGCCGCAGCAGGACGCTCTCAACGCTGAAACGGATAAGCATCGGCGGGATCGCAGAGGCCGCAGACGGGAAGTTCGGGGACGTACTTCTTGCTGATGCGCTGACGAGTTATGCAAAGGTGCTTGGCGATTTGTTCGTGAGCCTGTGCATGTTCTTCTCGTCCTCGCACAGCAGCACAGGCCCGCCGAATCGCAGTTGTGGAGGCGCGTTTTGGGTGCCATTTGTGATCAGCATACCCTCGCTGATTCGGCTGCGGCAGTGTATCACGGAGTATTTCCGTGTGCAGCGGGCGAATGCGCAAACGGGGTCCATGTCGAAGGCGATGGGCTGGGGTGGCGTGCATCTTGCTAATGCGCTGAAATATAGCACTGCATTTCCAGTCATCATCCTAAGTGCCCTGCAGAGGACGCCGGAGCCGGATAAATTTGGGGTTAGCGAGGCGACGCTGTTCAGGATGTGGATGGTTGCTGTGGTCGTCAACTCTGGATACTCGTTTTGGTGGGATGTGATGCGCGATTGGGACCTGACGCTGTTCTCGCCGAGGGAGAGGAACAATCCAGAGTATCCCTTTGGGCTGAGGCGACACCGATACTTTCACGCAAAGGAGTTCTATTACGCTGCGATCGTTATGGACGCGTTGTTGCGCTGTACGTGGAGCTTGAAGCTCTCGCCGCATTTGGACCATTTCAACGATCTCGAGGGAGGCATCTTCACCATGGAAGTTCTTGAAGTGTTGAGAAGATGGGTGTGGATTTTCTTCCGCGTAGAGACAGAGTGGGGTGAGTCCATATGCAGTCTTCTTCCACATGGACGCGTTGCTAACAGTCGACAGTGCGAACCCACCGTGGTCCGGCTCCAGATGACATCCTGCTTGGCGACGTAGGCTCAAATCGATACGACGACAGCGAGACAGATCGCTCAGATTAGATAGATACCCATAGACTACATTTCTGCTTCTACAATGATACCCCTACAAGCACCTAACGCTACTCCATGATGTTTAAAAACGTATTCTCATGTTCTGTTGAGCGCGAGCGCAGCCAATTAAGTTCTTTGTGGTCACGGCGTGTGTTGAGAATTTGGTAGTATTCAAAGTTATACAGGCCTCTTGGCCGTCAAAAGCATCGCTCGACCGCTTGACTGTTGAGAACTACTCATCAGGCCACTACCCATCCATCTTCCAGCGCCTTAAAACGCCGCTAACACCATGCTTACATACCGCCTGAATTGTGCCCGCTATGCACTGCTTGCACAGGCTGTACTTGTCATCCATGGTCGCTTAAAAGAACATTAAAAGAGTATATACAAGGCAAAACAAGCATCGAAGATATCAGATGCCTCGCAGAGGTCATCCATTGCCTGCTCAGGAAGCGCGGTTAGGCTGCGCTTGCGCGAGGCCAGGGCTTTGTTGCATTTGCTGTGGGTTCTGAGGCGTAGCGCTTCTGCTCGGAGGGCGTCCATTCATTCCCGGGCTACTGGCCTGTTGTGAGGATTGTCGTTGTTGGCTCATAAGTCGTTGTTGCTGAACCAGCTGTTGCTGGTAGTTTTGGACAGCGTTGACAGGCGGACTGGTCGCCATTCCACCATTTTGCTGCATGAATTGGTTGTTCGCCATTTGCGGGGTCGGTGAGGACATGCCAGGAGAACCTGCAGCAGCGTTCATTGCCTGTACACGCTGTTTAGCCATGTACCGCTGGAGTTGTTCAGAAGCCGACTTCTGTACTTGTTCGTTTGTCCAGTCCGGATGCTGCATCTTGATGGTCTGCTGCAATTGCAGATACTGAGGGACATGTGCACCTTGGCTGCTTACGTTTTGACGCTGCATGTTGGGCGTTGCTTGGTTGACCCGCGGGGATCCTGCGTTATTGGACATGCCGTTCATCGACGCGTTCATATTCCCGTTCAGGTTCTGGCTCCCCATCGGTGCCATCATATTTGCGTTAGGCATGTTCATGTTTATCCCCTGAGCGGCAAGGTTGTTGGCCATGTTCATCTGCTGTTGTTGCTGCATCTGAAATTGCTGCTGCTGATTGGGGCTGTTGAACTGGTTTCCTTGCATATTCATGCGCACTTGATTCGGAGGTCCCATTCGCTGGCCGTTCTGCATATTGTTCTGCATCTGCGCTTGTGGAATGCCTGGTGTGCCCATCGGCATATTAGCCATGTTGAGATTGTTCTGCATTCCTTGTTGGCCTTGCTGAACACGTGTAGCCATTGCAGCGGCGTTCTGAGGATTATTGGCCATCTGCGCAGGCATATTGTTCGCACCGCCGGGAGTACCGTTGCGCTGCATTTGGGGAACGCCGTTTGGAACGCCATTTTGCGCGTTGATTTGAGCTTGACGTTGCGCAGCCAACTGGTTCTGCTTGTAGGCATCAGCATCGTGGAGATTAAGCTTCTCGATCGAACTCACCCTATGAGCCATCTCCTGTTGCAGTTGCCTTTGCTTCAGCTTCTCTTCGCGTTCCCACTTGAGCTTGCTGAACTCTTGCGGAGTGTGTACATTGTTCTTTGGTGCGGCAGGCTCATGTGCTTTCCTAAGCGCCGCCGCCTTCTGCGATTCTGCCTGCTTGTGCGCGGCCGATTCTCGCTTCCTAGCGAGCTTGCGCATACCGTCGATGATGGCGAGGTGGCGGTTCTCTCTCCTTCTCTCAACGCGAATCGGTGTGGTAGTAGGTCGCCGCCTAGGCTGCCCTGGTGTTTGGCCTCCAGATTGTTGTTGCTGCTGCTGTTGCTGGGCTTGGTACTGCGCAAAGACCACCTTGTTGGCCTGTTCCAATCGGCCTTGGTAAGTACGGAAGTACTGCGTCTTGGACATCTCCGCGGGGAGACCTTCCAATTGCACCCAGCGTTCGAAACACTCCCAAGGTGTGCGTCTACCAGATCCAGATGTGAACTTGGAGGGCAACGCCAATTGCTGTGCGACAAGAGACCAGTTGAAGGTGTACTCCTTGACAAGAGCACGGAGCTTTTGGTCTTCTTCCCATAGCCATTGTGATGGTGTCCTGTTTTCGAAGAAGGCAACTGAAGGCATGTTGAACTCTGTGGGTGGTCTGAACTGATGCGCTGCTTGGAGCCTGTCTCTGACATGCTTGTTCTCGGCGTTGAACAGCGCAACGTCAGTCATCTCAGGAGGTAAGTCATTTCGGCAGAATAACCTTCGCCCAGGAGTGGAAGGCATCGAATGCTCTGCAGAGGTGCCAGCGCGGCTTGGCGGCGTGGAGGGCTCATCTTCGGAATCATAGTCGTATCTGCTGCGCTTCTTCGGCGGACCCTTGATTTGTGAAACAAGCTTCCCGGTAACAAACTTCGAAACAGGCAGAATGGGCGGCTCAGATATCGAGAAAGGCGTGACATCGCTAGCGCCTTCCAATATGGGCTCGTAGAACGGCAATTCGCGGAACATGTGATCGCTTGCTGGCGTCCGGTCGATCTTCATGACGACATCACTGTAGCCAAGAGAAAACACGCCAGCGGGAGGGTCGGCGTGGAACGGTGTTAGGAGCTCGTCTTCATCTCCGTACGATTCGCTCTCAGTTTCGTGTGCGCCAGAGGGTACGAGATCCGGTGTAGGCGCATCGTGCATATCATCGTCTCCTGTCGCTTCGACAGTTGGTATGGAAATTCTGACCTTGATTCGAAGAGCAATGCGTTCCTCTGGGCTGCTGTAGAAGTACTCGGCACACCAGTCCGCGAACGTAGCTGCTAGAGCACGCTTCCACTTCCTCTCTTCCTTGAAATCCGTTTGCATCCACTTCATCTCCAAAAGAAGCTGATCCTGATGAGTGAAAGGACGCTCCGGCTCAGCAGACTTTTGCAGCTGTCTCAGCGACCACCGATTCGCATTTTGGAGCTGGTACACGCGCTTGAGGATCTTGTAATCCTGAGTCTCGCGAATCATGGCCAGAGTTCCGCTCGTAGAGAGGGTTTTCCTGGCGGATGTTACAAGCTCCTGCAGTGGTACAGACCGGGGTGGGTGGTGGGCCTGAAACTTGAATAAGCCTTCCAGGTAGTCGCGACTTGAGTCTTCGGAAGCCCCTTGTAATGATGCGTAATCCTGATCGTAGGGTTGCATGGCCTTGTGTGACTTTATCGAATGCTTCTTTGCGAAAACGACAGTAGAAACCTCCATTGACTTTCGGTCTTGCTGTCGCGGCCGCTGTGGACTGGACGAGATGCGCGATGGAGGGGTCAAGACGGCTTTGTGTGCTGCATGCTCGCTGATGATCTCCGAGACTGACTTCTGCCGGATGGCGCCGGAAGACACTCGAGTTGTCATGCGCTCACGGGGTGGCGAGGCCTGTGTAGAAGTGGTGTCTTGTTCAATCAATGCTGGTGCTTCTGTCATGTCAAGGTCAACTTCTGCCGGGGGTGTGGGATGGTCTGCAATCGGGTTTTCTTTGACTTGGGTAACGAAGTTATCCGTCGTTTCGCGCTCCACAATGTTTGGCTCGGGGGCGGTCGTAGTGGGGGTAGGAAGTGAATCTGCAGCAGGCTCAGGCTGTTCCCGCACCGTTTGTGCAACAGTGCTTCCACTGGCGACCAGCTCAGCTTCCTCTGTCACCGAGTGGCCTACATTGCCAATTGATTCACTTAGTCGACTCTTGCCGTCCCGCGCCAAGCGTATTGCCTGCTCATCCTCAATCTGCTTTTCAATGTCTGATGATGGCGATTCAGGCCCGCGTGCACGTTCTCGAGCTTCCTTCATCTGTTTCTGCAGGGCGCGCTCATGATCCTCCTTAACTTGCTGTGCGGCAGGATCCAAGATATCATCGTTAGAAACAAGTGGGTGTGTAGGATCGTGGAAAGCCTCGGTGTCGGGGCTCGTATCTGGCGAGTGATGCGGGGCATGCGGGGTTGCTTGCGAATATGGTCCTACTGTGGAAGAAGGTGAAGATACGACATCTGCTCCTCCGTTTGACTGCGGAAGCCCGAGTCGCTCCTCCTCTTTCCGTTCCTTACTCGCAGCATTCTCCAACTTGCGCTCCGTCTCTTCCAGCCGTGCTTCCTGGACCTCCTTTGGTGGAAGATGAACAACCTGAGGCGCCTTGGGTTCCTCTTTGACGGGAGCATTCGATGCTTCGTCCGCAACAGGATCGGCAACAGCTTTTGGATCGACAGACTGCCCTTCTTGATCAACCGCGCTTCCTACTCCAGCATCTTGCACAGCTGGCGCTCCGCTAGCGCGCTTCGTTGTGGGGGACGTCTTGCTGGAATCTTGGTCTTCATCAAACGATAGTCTGGACGGTGAAGAAACGCCTGCAGGGGAAGCAACAGAAGACGGCCCCAAGGCACGGCATTCGTTGCTGTGTGTTAGTACATCTGGAGGTAGCAGTTGTTGCGTGACAACAGACGGCGAGGCAGATGCTGCACGAAGCTGCTCTTCGAGACTCGCGCCGGTGATGGGGGACGGCGAGGATTTGGCGAATGGAGACAAGGCAGGCTTTCCAGGGTGCGCAGAAGGTAATGCCAACGGTAATGGTGGTTGTTGACCAGCGAAGGGGAATGGGAGCATTGCATCGTTGAAGCGTCGACCTCTGCAAGGCAAGCATTGTCAGTGGAATAAAACGATAACAACAGGAGATGGCAAGTCTTGTTTGCCATGAGCAATACATTGCAAAATTCAAAGAATGACCTACTTTTCGAGATCATTTTCGTCTAAGAACCGATCCTCAAACTGGTCGAGTTGGGTGGTGGTGGCCCACTTCTCGGGCACATCCAGGTAGGCCGAATACTTGTAAAGCTCGCGCAGCTTGCGCTTGCGAGACTCATTACATGTCCTATGCATCGCCATATCAGCACCACAACTCAATAATAAAACAAAGCAAGCGATTTTTTGGTGTCGCATCGACTCAAAGAATCGAAAGGATTGCAGTGCGATAATATCAGCGCGTGGTACTTACACGCTCTCGTTCCGCTTCTCCCTAAGTAATGCATCACGATGGCCGTCGAGGGACATATGAGGACCGCCGAACGGTGGCCGACATCCGTTATTCACGAGTGTCGCCAATGTGATGGATTTATAAGTGTTGTGGAGCGCGTTCGTTGATGGAAATGTGGTTGACAATACCGCAGTACGATGGGGGCTTCCGCGAGGATGAGGGACGACAGACGGCCAAACTGCGCCGGTTCTCTGCTCGTCTCATTACCGCCTTCAGATAAGCTCTGCGCTAGCGCCGCAAACAGCTAGCACACCGGCAGAAAAAGTCGAGCCTGGAGAATCCTTGGGCTGCAAAACGTTTGCAACAGCAACAACGCGTGACATCAGATATCGAAATGGCTAAGCGAAAGAATGAGAACGTGGAGGGTGCGAGACTCCCAAAGTCTTTGAAGAGCAGGAAGGAAGAGAGCGCACCGGTGACAAAGCAAACTACAAAGAAACCCGCAGTACAAAGCAAAGCAGGTGCCGGCAATGGGAAGGTCATTCCGAGTAAGAGCAAGGCAGCAGTTGAATCAGCCCCCGCATCCAAGGGCGAGGCTACAGGAACTTCCAGCTTTCAGATCATTACAGGGTCTTATGAAAGGGTTCTCCATGGATTCGCCGCGGCGATCCCGTCAGAACTCGTCACTGGAAAGCACGATGCATCAAAACCAGAAACGGAGAGCTCCAAGGTGGATTTCACAGACACATTTCTGTTCAACGCGCACGCATCCGCGATCCGTTGCCTGGCCCTCTCACCGCTTTCCGAGGAAACCAGCAAAATCACATTAGCAACCGGCGCAACAGACGAACGTATCCACCTGTATTCGCTCTCAACAGCACCCCCAGCAGCATCAAAAGCACCCAAACTTCCCAGCCTGACAGGAATTGCCATCACCGAGAACTCCAAGAACAAAGAACTAGGCTCCCTCCTCCACCACTCCTCAAACATCACAGCGCTCTACTTCCCCACGCGCGCAAAGCTGCTCAGCGCAGCAGAAGACAGCACAATAGCCATCACTCGGACCCGCGACTGGACCGCACTCTCCACGATCAAAGCCCCAATCCCCAAACCCCAGGGCCGACCAAGCGGAGACACCGCCGGCCCGGGCGAGGTGCCTTCCGGCATCAACGATTTCTCCGTGCACCCGTCTAATAAGCTGATGGTTAGCGTGGGCAAGGGCGAAAAGTGCATGAGGCTCTGGAACCTCGTGACAGGCAAGAAAGCCGGCGTGCTCAACTTCTCGCGCGACATGCTGGCCGCGGTGGGCGAAGGGCGATTTCAGTCCGGCGAAGGGCGGCGCGTGATCTGGGACGCCGAGGGCGACGAGTTCGCGGTCGCGTTCGAGCGCGGCGTCGTCGTGTTTGGCATCGACTCGAAGCCCAAGGCGAAGATCCTGCCTACGCCGAGAACGAAGGTGCATCAGATGCACTATCTGCCGAGCGAAGAGGGCCCGAATACGCTCATGGTGAGCACCGAGGACGGACGGATTCTGATGTACGACACGGGTGCCACTGCGGCGAGCGAGGACGCGGAGCCCAAGAATGAAGATATGCCGAGCAGCAAACTCATAGCGCAGATTGGTGGTCCCGCGGCGGGTATCACAGGGCGAATCAAGGACTTCGAGGTCCTTCCCTACTCTGCGACGGACAAGTCGAAGTTCCTTGTTGTTGCTGGCAGTAGCGATGGCACGGTGCGCCTCTGGCTTGTCAACGCCTCGGAGCTGAAGAGTGAGAACGAAGAGAAGGGCAGCGGGTTCACTGCAAACCAAATTGGGAGACTGCTGGCTACGTACTCGACTGGCACGCGAATAACGTGTCTCAAGGCGTACCCCATGACCGGGAAACCTGATGAAGAAGAGGACGAGATCTATGATAAGCTCTCGGCTGAGAGCGAGAGCGAGAGCGAAGACAGCGAATAATATAGGATCTCTGTATTGGCAGACTGTACGTGATACCAATCACAGACTTTGACATCATCGACATCTTCCCATCATATCCACCGTCTGTTATCGATCTACTAACCATTCCACGCCAACATTCTACCCACCCATCACCCACCGTCTCCAATCTCATCCCACCCTCTACAAATTCATAGTCACAGTCATACTCCCCCCACTAACTAACAACACCGGCCCCAGCCCCTCAGTCAAAACCTCCAAATCACTCACATACCTAACACTCTCCATTTCGCTGCGACACGTGCCCAGCATCGGACTCGGCAGCGTCGTAAAAACGACTGCCGTGTCCGCGCTCTGCGACCTAATCAGCTCGTTGATAACGAGATGCTGCGCGCGACACGGCAGATCGTTGAAGCTCAGCGGCACAGACTGCTGCGCAGGGAACCCCGACGCGAGACCCACCACACCGGGATTGGGCGATGCGGCGCCCGAGGCAGACGAGGCCGTGGCGCGCGTCTGTGGCGTCGCGGGGGAGGGTGATGGCGCGGGGGAGTGCTGCAGCGAGGACGTGAAGTGGCTCAGTGAGGGCGTAGGGCTGTCAGGGGGCAGTTGGGCGGTTGCCAGGGGGTCTTGGTCGAGGGTTGCTGCGGGCGTGTCGACGAACATTATCGAGGGGCCGGGAGCTTCTTCTCGGGCGATGGCTGTGCGCGGGACGGGGTTGGAGGAGAATTTGGGGAGGGACTCGGGGTCGCGGATCACTGGGGCGCGGGAGGCGGTGGAGATTTGCGAGGTCGAGAGTTGCGATGTGCTGCTTGCGGCGCTTCTGGCTTTGCTGTGACCATGTCTGGGGTGCAGGATGGCGGTGTCGGAAGCTGAGGCTTCGGAATGCGGCCTGAGTGGTGTGTTGGTATCACTTGTTGGACGACTGTTTCTGGGCAAGGAATTTTTAGGTGAGCCCTTCCAGATTGCCTTGCGGAGGTCGAGCTTCTTTGAAAAGAAGGGTATGCCCACTCCAGCAGGCGTGGTTTTCGATCTACCCAGTGAGTGCGGTCGGTTTGCGTCTGAGAAATCGCTCTCATCTTCTGAGGCGTCCAGGTCGTATTCGTCGAAGTTGCTGCCGCTCACGCCTGCTTCGCTTTCTGTGATTGCTGCTTCGTCATCGGCCTCATCGCCACCACTGGTGTTAGCGTCAGAATCAGTGACATCTTCAAGTAAGAGACCTGCAGGGAGTTTTTGAGTACGCATGCCAGCATTGGCACCGGTCTCTCTGACGTCGCTGACTGAAGCTCTTCTTTTGGCTCGTCGGAGCATCTTTTGCAAGGCAGCGAATCGCTTCGGCCTGATGTCTCGTCTTCCATGCTGGAAAGATGCCGTTGGCCATTGATGCACGGCTTCGAGAAGATCTGTGGCCTGTGCAAATTCTTCACTTGCACTCATCGAATTTGGTTGGCGTAACTTCTTGATCTCTTGCCACCACCGCTCATCTTCTAGTGAGAAGTCGACGTCTTTAGCCGCCTGCTCGTAAGTACCTTCGTCTTGTCCGTTGACAATGACTTCATACATGCTCAATTCGCCGCTTGCGAGCCAGAGGACAATGATCTGTCGAAGCCATGTTAGCGTTTATGGAGTCTCCAAGCTGAGGCGCTGAAATTAAGATTGAGATATTTCGAGGCTACAACGAGGTACAGTAGTCTCTGAAAGCTCTTACCTCTGCTTCAATGCGCAGGTTACGCAGCAGCGTTGTGACTCTTCCTCGCTCTTCCTCGACGTCAGATTCATACTCGACGAATACACAAATTCTCAATTTGTATGATCGTTTCCAAGACGGCACAGTGTGCAGAATACACCCTAATTGAAGGATCAGTGTGTACGTATCGAAGTTTGTTGTCAAGACGTTCTTGCGGCTGTGATCGTCGCCCGCAGTAGCAACCTCGGCTGACATTTGTATTGGCCACAGGTCGATATACTTCTTGTTTGGCTCATCAACCTCCACGTCCGCAAGCCCCCATTGGCCAAGCGCACGCTTCATCATTGGTGGTCGAGCAGGTGGGACTTCGAGGGCCTTGAATCCTTTCGCAATAGCAACGTTCATCTGAAGTCTCAGTACTAGGTCCTCGATAGTCGTGACGTAGCTCTGGATCCCCACCGATCCTTCCGGTCTGATAGTGTCGGTAGGAAGCATCTCACTGAGATTGTCAACCTGCTTGCGGCGGGCCGCTGCTGTAATGGCTCTGCGTGATATCGAGTGATTCGCCGATTTGCTTGTTGGTCGCGATGGCTGAGGTGATGGGATCCCTAGGCTAGGCTGCGTGTCCCTGAGCTCAGTAAGGTTGTAGGAGCCCATGACCACGATGTTCGGCCTCATACCACCTAGGCCTGCACTAAGGACTAGGTTGCGAGCACCCCACTCCACAGCAGGAGAGATGGCAACATTGACGAATGCCTTGATCTTGGAGAAGTCAATGTATTTGAGCCACAGCGCTTGTTGCCGCCTCGCCTCAGGTACAGCTTCGCCAAAGTCTTCGGAGACAATGACGTGTCCGAGTACGAACAATCCACCCTTCTTGAGTGAATTGCAGAACTGAATAAGCTTGTACTGACGTCGTGGATCGTTGACCAGCAGCAAGATCTGTGGTCTCCAAAACTTGACATGCTCTTGCCGTAGACGGAGTAGATATTTCCGCACTTGGTGATAAATGAGGCCTTGGCTCACATCGCCCCACGGCTTGGGTGGAGTCGTGTAGTGGATAAGGATAAATACTGCCAGTAGCAAGACTACACAGCCGGAAGCGTAGAAGCCATCCACGAAGAACATAGTCGTACCGCAAACAAGAGTGCCTACTGCTGCAGTCTGCCAATTGAAGAAGTGGAAGGAGGGCCTAAAGTTTGGAGCAGAACCTATTTTCAACAGGAAGCAGGCTAAGTTGGTTACAAGGAATGTCATCAGGTAGGTCATCGTGATGAACGAGGCGATCTGGTTGATGTCGGCGAACATGGTCAGCTGCGCGAGAACATACGTGAAGACGATGGCGTAAACGGGCTCATCCTTCGTCTTGGTGCCTTGGCCGAAGACAGACAATCCGGGAACCAGGTGGTCGCGCGCAAGTGCTTGAAGTAGTTTCGCAGAGCCGATGACACCCATAAGAACCGAGAAGAGTGACGTAGCGTACTCGCCGAGTAAGATGACCACGCCAGAGATATTGGTGAGTTGGATGACGTTGGTGTTGTTGTAGAAAGACTCTCGGCTGGTGGACGCTGCCATTGCGACAATGACTATGGTGTACAAGCAAAAGGTCAATCCAAGTCCGTACAGCGTGCCTTTGGGAATGGCTTTCGACGGATGCTTCAGATCTCCAGACATGCTGGCTCCCCTGTAGATCATTAGCGTGAGCGACCGGTGGGCAATATGCAGACACAACGTACGCCAAAATTCCGCTCACGGCGGGAAAGAGGACGCCAAACAGGTCCTGAAAGTTCTCACGGTGTTTGGTGACGCTGCCAGCAGCACCTTTGGTGAATTTCGGCATCAGATTCTCGCGCAGAGTATCAAGACTGACACCTGTGAAGACGATGCCGTGCTTCTCGTCCACATAAGGGTCTTTGACCACCGCTGATACGGGTATACTGATGATGGCTACCAGCAGTACGACTAGTAAGCCATTGCTACAGCGGGCAAACAACCCACTGCCGGCTAAGCAGATAAGCGTGCACACTAGGAGTACCATTGTCGCCCAGAGGAACTGCCACCAGTAGCTCTGAGGCATCCACTGGGACATGGACCCAGTGCGGCTGCCAAAATTTTCGACGGAGCAATCGATGAGACCGACAGCATTGAGACTGGTGTTGAACACAAGTCCGAGGTAGAATACAATGCCGATGGATCCGCCGAATTCAGGACCTGCAGATGAAGTCAGGTTTGGTGAACAAAGCCCCCAGTAATCACTGAGATTCCACATTTTCATTTGCAGGGATTGACTGACCCAGACTGCGGGAGATCAGATAGTATGCCCCTCCGCCTCGTACAGTACCGTTGGTCGCAATGGCGGAGATGGACATTGTGGTGAGAAGATTGATGGCGTAGCCAGCCACAAGCATGCCTATAGTTGTCAGTGTGTGACAGCTCGAGGTGTATACTGCAGCCCGCCAGACGGCTCTCTCATCGTCGCCCGCGCTTGACGTGTGTTGAACCTTATAGCCTCCGTACAATACCTTCACAGCCTACGGTTGAATGCTTGCTACAGACACAGTGGGTTCAAGCAACGAGAAAGAGCTCTCCTGGCAATGCTGCATTTGAAAGATCTTACCCATCATGCCTACTAGACCGGTCTGTCCCAAAATGAAACCAAATCGCAGGAACATCAAGATGCTCAGCACATTAAGCGTGACAGGCACAAAGACGCCAGCGAATGTGCCCAGCTTGTCAGTGCCTCCCACAGGTCGTGGGAAGGCGCCTGGGCGAGGTTTTGAAACCTCGCTGGTCGCTCGACAGCGGCCATGTTGACTGCTTGAGGTCGACTTGGATCTCGAGAGGTGAAATGTGTTGCAGAACCAGCTTCTCAGCCATTCGACTCCGTGCTCTTCCTCTTTGACATTCTCGTCCGGGGCACCGTCCAGTAGTGGAGTCTGCTCATTGGGCGGTGGCGAGCTTTGGGCAAAGGAACGTCGATGCAGCCGTTGAGAGGCATCAGCTGCGGTTTTTGCTGCAAAGTTGGATCTGGACCTCGGCGGCATGCGCCTTGCCCGTTCGTCACTGACATCTGTCATTGTCCGGTCTGACGATGTCACTGCGGCTCAAGTCGCGGTTTAGCGGTTCAGGGTTCCCACTCGTGAGTGGACAGGCCGTATTCTGGCATGGGGACAGTACACAGTACTTAGTGGGAAACAACAGGCCTCATTTATCGACACTCCCGCGACTAGCGATGACGATGGGCGTTATCACCGGCTCCAGCCAAGGACTCGCCGGGGTAGGGGCCTTTTGGTTAGAACGTTTCTACCGTTGCAGGATGCAGGATGCAGGATGCAGGTGACGCGGGCACGCTGGGATGCCACGCATGGCCAGCCGGCCCAGCCCCACGCGCAGGCTGCCGACACGCTCGTGTCCAATGACCTCAGACCAGGGCGCTGGTCCACATTCCTCTGCCAGCGCCGTATCTGCGTGTCTGCTTCCATCTCGACTCTGCCCACGCGGAAATTAAATTGTCTCGAGTGCTACAGAAGAGCCTCTCGGTGTGTGTGTGCAGTTGCTGGGCCCGCCGTGTGTACCAGTGTGCAAATCCAGCTAACTGCTACCGTGCAGATCTGTACTGTATCGTCGACGGTACACCGCAAAAACCGAAGCCTGACAGGACGCTGAGCTGAGCCCTCGACAGCACGTGACAGACGTGAAATCGACAGCTGCCATGGCGAAAGACCCGCTCGAGTCGTCGACGAAGCCGCAGGCGGTCCCCTCCTCGAGGGACTCTGGCCGCAGCTCGCCCTCGCAGTCGATTGCGCAGTCGATTCCCCGCGCCGAATCGACGGCAAGACTGGCGAGCTCGCCAGTGCCGTCCTCTATCCAGTCTCGCACGCCTGCGGTTGGTCAGGTCCCGACGCCTGCGCAGCTCGAAGACGTCTCTCCTGTGCCCATACAGACTCCGCTGCCTGGCCGCGCCGAGCAAAAGGCGTCGCTCCCAGGGCCGGGCACCTCAGCCCTGTCCTCGGCCCTCAAGGAGTCGCTCGGCAAAAGCCCGCCCAAGTTCGCTGCTACGTCGTCGGCCACGCCGCAGTCGCCGGCCATCAGCGCCGCTGCGCCTGACCGCAAACCCCCCAGCAACTTCGGCTCCTACGACGGCCGCGGTCGCTCGCCCGTGCCCTACGAAGACCCTGAGATTGTGCGCCGGCACTTGGTGGGACAGTATGGGTCGCCCAGCAGATCGGCCCGGGGCGGTATCGACGACGAGTCTCAGAGCAGGAGAGGAGACGAGGACGAGGACGAGGAGTTCAACAGCCTGCAGCTGCAGGGCGGCGACATCACGAGGCAGATCTACAGGTGGAGCGAACAGCAGGCTGCCGAGGAGCGCGGCAAGATGGCCCGCAGTAAGAGCTTCCACGCCTCCCGCACAAACGACGACAACGACATCAGCGCTTCGTCCATTCGACAGCCCGGAGGCTTCCGTCGCCAGTATCTGCGCAAGAACGCACCCAGCCCGTCGCCTGCACCTGGCCCCTCTGGCTACGGTACCATTGGCGAACCCGCCCAACAACGGCCCCAGCCCTTCACTAGCAACTTCCTTGAGTTCTTGACCCTCTACGGCCACTTTGCCGGCGAGTCGCTCGAAGACGACGACGAGGTTCTTGGCCCAGACGAGTACTTCTCTTCCGACGCCTTCGACTCTGGCGAGCACTCTGAAGACGACCGCGAGTACGGCGAATCGAGTGGCCTTCTACCTGCCACGCCTGGAAAGCGGAGGAAGAGAAAGCCAAAGCCAGAGGGCAAAGGCACGCCAACGGGTGCCGCCCTGCTCTTGCTCAAGTCGTTTGTCGGTACTGGTGTTCTCTTCCTTCCCAGAGCGTTTCTCAACGGAGGTATGGCTTTTTCCAACGTGGTTCTGCTGGCTGTGGCAGGTCTGTCATACTTCTGCTTCGTTCTTCTTGTCGACACCCGTCTGGCTGTCGAAGCTTCGTTTGGTGACATGGGCCTCCATCTGTACGGAAAGTGGATGCGCAATCTGGTCAATTTCTCCCTCGTCATTTCGCAGATAGGCTTCTCCTCCGCCTACATCGTCTTTGTCTCTGAGAACCTCCAAGCATTTGTCTTGGCCGTCACAAATTGCGCTACATTCATCGACATCAAGTACATGATCTTGATGCAGATGGTCGTCTTCCTGCCATTATCGCTCTACCGCAACATCAACAACATCCAAAAGCTCGCGCTTATTGCTGATGCTTTCATCCTTTTGGGTCTTGGCTACCTGTATTACTACGACTTGTTCACCATCGTTCACCAAGGCGGCATCTCCGACATTGCGAACTTCAACCCCAACGACTGGACACTCTTCATCGGCACCGCCATCTTCACGTTCGAAGGTATTGGCCTGATCATCCCCATCCAAAGCGGCATGAAGGAGCCCAAGAAATTCCCCAAGGTTCTGGGAGGTGTCATGATTCTCATCACTGTCGTCTTCGTCAGCGCCGGAGCCTTGTCCTACGCCGCGTTCGGTTCCAAGACCAAGACCGTCGTTCTGCTCAACATGCCGCAGGACAACAAATTTGTCAACGCTGTGCAGTTCATCTACTCTCTCGCCATCCTCTTCTCGACACCACTGCAGATTTACCCAGCTATCGAGATCACCAGCCAGCAATTGTTCAGTAGGACGGGCAAGTATAACCCACTCATCAAGTGGAAGAAGAACTTCTTCCGCTTCTTCATGGTCGTGCTGTGCGCTTGTATCGCGTGGGCGGGCGCTGGTGACCTTGACAAGTTTGTCAGTCTCGTGGGTAGCTTTGCTTGTATCCCGCTGGTCTTCATCTACCCCGTAAGTTCACCTGCTCTTTATAAGGCGCTGTCCTTGCTAACATGTACACAGCCCATGCTGCACTACAGGGCTGTTGCACGGACGAGAATCGCACGCATCTTGGATGTCCTCATGTGTATCGTCGGAGCGGTCGCCATGGTCTACACTACATCTCTCACCATCCAGAGCTGGGTTGCTGGAGGTAAACCCAAGGCCCCCGGGTATTGTGACGGTCGATGAGCGCATCGTCAATTGTCACACACATCCCTCATTGCATATATCAGGAGAATTGGTTTCATTGTATCATACGTCCTTGGTCGGACTGGTTGGGCATACGCTGTAGATGGTCTATAGACCGGTACAGGCCCGCGCGGCTCGCAGCTCGCTGTGCCTTCATACATATCCTCATAAGCAAACATACTCTCACGTCTACCAACACTCGCTGCACAAACACAATTTACATTGCTACATCGCTACGCAACCCGTAGCGGCTCCAGCTCGCCAAACGTGACCCGCCATCGGCCAGCTTGTAAGGCTGTGCGGCTGACAGTAGCGCGCGCCACCTGACCGCCTTGACGCGAACTCGACCACAATAATCCGTCAAGGCGCCGCACATGGAGCCTCGCAGCAGTCAGCATCGTCCCGCAATGTGGCCTCAAAACCTCACCTGGATGCTGTCTCGGCAAGCCTGCCTCGCGGCTGAAGATGCGTGAGATGCACGGCGTGCTAGCGGCATGCAACGGGGAAGCGTGCAGTAGTGTCCTGCGTGACTGCGTTACTGCGTCGTTCACCGTTCAATTGTGACGAGAGCTGTATGTGCTAGACTATCGTCTCGTGGGGTGGAACGTGCAGGGCGTGCATGTGTGCAAGCAGACATCGCCTCAGCCTTCCCCAATATGAACGAGATACACGGGCTGACAGGCAGCTGTCTACTATCTAGGCTGTCAGACCATGGCAAGCCACCACGTTTTGAACTTCCTGCAGTTCTGCGTTCAGGGGCGCTCGGTGCGGGACAGGCTTGCACGTTGGTAACAGCTGTGCAGCAGAGACTGCTCAGGCACAGGTAGCCATTTTCACAGCTCTGGTTCAGTGCATGGATGTAAAGCGTATGGCGGCATGAATCGCAGATAGTGGGGCCCGTGACAACAATTCGACTTGGCCAGAGACATGCCGTGATTCTTGCCATGTTTGCAAGGCGCCAGTAGTGAAGCAAATACGACTGGGTACTGTGTACCTCCATACCTACTCACCAGAACACAAAGGCTGATACCCCGAAGTCCTTGTCCGCGGGCTCGTTGCCGACAATGTTGACATGGATAGTGCTGCTGACGTAGCTTCGCAGCTGCTTTCGGCCAGCAGTGCACGGCGTAATTAGAAACACGCCCTCCAAACCACGGTCAGCAACCCATGGCACGCTCAACGGCCTTAGCGATGCTCGCCACTATTGGACACGAGAATTGATGCGGCGCAAATAGCAGCGTGGAGGGAAAGTGCTCAAGCGTGGTGTGAAAAAATGTAGTCAACGGGCGAGCTGTTGCTATGTTTAGGTGCTGCGCCTCGCGTCCCTGAGCATCAATACACGTAGCGGCAGATCACGAACAACAACAGCCACGCCCTCCGCAGCGTGGCGGGCAGCTGGCTCGGAACCGGGCCATGACGTCTTGGGGAATAGGAGGCGTCTTCTTAGGAATGGATTGGCAATGCTGAGGTGGTATCAGCGCTTGAGACACGACAGGCAAGATGAAAGGGTGGTGTGACTAGCGTCAGGGCGCCACCGGGTTATGCGAGACGCTGCGATGATGGCTAGTCGGGGATAGATATGGAGAAGAGTGGAGCGCTGCAAGCTTGGCCTGTTCAGATACAAATATCACGACCACCGACCGCTCTTTCGCTCCTCTCATTCCATCGAACCTCTCTCCCTGCATATTGCTCAGCACCTCACTCTACTATACGCCTTACGATCGTTTCCCTTTCACGTCTCTCATAGTTCATTCGTTTTCAACATGTGGTAAGTCCGAAGCGAGCTGCCCCGCTCTGCATTACTGTGAGCACCGATCGGCGCGGCAACAGGCTGACGACGTGACAGTGGAATTTTCGGGTACATCAACTACCTGGTGGAGAAGGACAGGAAGTACATTCTCGACACACTCGTCAATGGTACGTGGCTGTGCGACTGAGCTGCAATTCGCATGCAAAAGCGAGTGCAGCAACAGCCCCACCCCCCTCACTGGACAGCGGAACAGCTCCTGACACAGCTCCTCACAGGTCTGGCACGTCTCGAGTACCGCGGCTACGACTCGGCGGGTCTGGCAGTCGATGGCGACAAGAAGAACGAGGTCTTCGCTGTCAAGGAGGTCGGCAAGGTCGCCGCGCTGAAGAAGCTCGTCGAGGAGCAGAACTTCGACCTGAACAAGGTCTTCGACTCACACGCCGGTATTGCCCACACCCGATGGGCCACCCACGGCCCGCCCTCGCGCGTCAACTGCCACCCCCACAGGTACGTACAGTCTCTAGCGGCTTGAAGCGTTTTCGTAGCGCGTCGAGCTGCAGCTGTTGAGCGCTGCGGGCTGGCCGACCCCGCCGTGGCACGCATACCTCCGAGAACAGCGGACTGACTCGTGTGACTGCAGGTCCGACCCCAACTGGGAGTTCTCGGTCGTCCACAACGGAATCATCACAAACTACAAGGAGCTGAAGACCCTGCTTGAGAGCAAGGGCCACAAGTTCGAGACCGAAACCGACACTGAGGCTATCGCGAAGCTCACCAAGTACATTTACACAGAGCACCCCGACCTCAGCTTCCCCTCGCTGGTCAAGGCCGTCATCAAGGAGCTGCAGGGCGCCTTCGGTCTCCTGATCAAGTCCATCCACTACCCCCATGAGGTCGTCGCCGCCCGCAAGGGTTCGCCCCTCGTCATCGGTGTCCGCACACAGAAGAAGATGAAGGTCGACTTCGTCGATGTCGAGTACAACGACGAGAACACGGCCCTCCCCGCCGAGAGCGCCTCGCACAACGTTGCCCTGAAGAAGAGCAACAACCTCCTCGCTCCTCCTGACAAGTCCCTCCTCCACCGTTCGCAGTCGCGAGCTTTCCTCTCCGACGATGGCGCCCCCATGCCCACCGAGTTCTTCCTCTCCTCCGACCCCGCCTCCATCGTCGAGCACACCAAGAAGGTCCTGTACCTCGAGGACGACGACATTGCACACATCCACGAGGGCTCGCTGAACATCCACCGCCTGAACAAGGACGATGGCACCTCCAACGTCCGTGCTATCCAGACTCTGGAGATCCAGCTGCAGGAGATCATGAAGGGCCGCTTCGACCACTTCATGCAGAAGGAGATCTTCGAGCAGCCCGATTCGGTCGTCAACGCCATGCGTGGTCGTCTCGATGTCGAGAACAAGACCGTCACACTCGGTGGTCTCCGCCAGTACCTTGCCACAATCCGTCGCTGCCGCAGGATCATCTTCATTGCCTGCGGTACCTCGTTCCACTCCTGCATGGCTGTCCGTGGTATCTTCGAGGAGCTGACCGAGATCCCCATCGCTGTCGAGCTGGCCTCTGACTTCCTGGACCGCAAGGCCCCCGTCTTCCGTGACGACACCTGCGTCTTCGTCTCCCAGTCTGGTGAGACCGCTGACTCCTTGATGGCTCTCCGCTACTGCTTGGAGCGCGGTGCCCTCACCGTCGGTGTTGTCAACAATGTCGGTTCCTCCATCTCCCTCCTTACCCACTGCGGTGTCCACATCAACGCCGGTCCCGAGATCGGTGTCGCCTCCACCAAGGCCTACACCTCGCAGTTCGTCTGCATGGTCATGTTTGCGCTGTCTCTCAGCGAGGACCGTGCCTCCAAGACTAAGAGGCGCGGGGAGATCATGGAGGGTCTCTCCAAGATCTCAGAGCAGTTCAAGGAGGTCCTCAAGCTCGATCAGCCCATCAAGAAGCTCTGCGAGCGCTTCAAGGACCAGAAGAGCTTGTTGCTCCTCGGCCGTGGCTCCCAGCACGCTACTGCTCTTGAGGGTGCCCTGAAGATCAAGGAAATCTCCTACCTTCACTGCGAGGCCGTCATGTCCGGAGAGCTCAAGCACGGTGTCCTTGCCCTCGTTGACGAGAACCTGCCCATCGTCATGATCCTCACCCGCGATGACATCTTCGCCAAGTCGCTCAACGCCTACCAGCAGGTCATCGCCCGCAGCGGACGACCGATCATCATCTGCAACCAGGACGACCCCGAGTTCCCCACAGACAAGACCGACAAGATCGAGGTTCCTAGCAACGTCGACTGCTTGCAGGGTCTGATCAACGTCATTCCCCTGCAGCTCATGTCCTACTGGATGGCGGTTGCCGAGGGCGTCAACGTCGACATGCCTCGTAACCTTGCCAAGTCAGTCACCGTCGAGTAAGCGAGCGGCTTCTGCAGTGTTGTTGGAATTGGCGTGTAGATTGGTCTGGATATGTATGGATTTGAACGGTGTTATGAAAGCTCTTGGACAGAGCGTATGTTACGATCATCTAGATGGAGCGGCACGATTGCACCCAAGAGGGTCAACACAAGTCCGAAATGAACAAAATTTCTTACTAGGTACTTGAACCTGTTACACGGCTTTGTTTTGGCTCGTATTTGAGATGGTGATCTGCTTGGGATTGTTTCATGTGAAGACACAGCAACAAGGCCCCTGTGCCATGACGCGATCCCTGCCGTTCCCTGCCGTTCCTGCCCCGCTTCGCTTTGCGCTGACCAGCGCCGTTCCTGCATTCCAGCTGTCCAAGCAACGGCACCGATCGCTACTCCCCGCACATCAACCGCCCGTATACCGTGTTCCTCCGTCAGCACTTCACATCCAAACCAACAACACAATGGCTATCCTTAAAGGTCCCGGCGAGCCCAAGAGCTACGATGGTGCGTGCCCCTCCCCCGCCTCCGCGCCTTCTTATCGAGCAGCAGCACATGGAAATACGGACAGCACTGCACTCTCCCATTCCGTCACTTTCGTTCACTGACACATCCTCTAGGCTCCGGCCTCCGCATTGGCATCGTTCACGCCCGCTGGAACACAACGCTCATCACCGCGCTGCTCGACGGCACCACGAAAGCGCTCCAGGCTGCGGGCGTGCGCGACGAGAACATCGTAATCCAATCCGTGCCCGGCTCGTACGAGCTGCCCTACGCCGTCAAGCAGCTGTACTCTGCGTCCCAAGTGCAGAGCTCCACGGGCGGGGTCGTGGGCGCTGCCGCCGACTTGTTAGGTTCGGCGAGCGACCTGACCAAGTTGAGCGTTGCACCAGAGGGGGGGAAGAGCACACAGCCTTTCGATGCGATTATTGCGATTGGCGTGCTGATCAAGGGCGAGACGATGCATTTCGAGTACATTGCGGATGCGGTCAGCCATGGGCTGATGAAGCTGCAACTCGATGGCAATGTGCCAGTTATCTTTGGGCTGCTCACATTGCTCAGTGAGGAGCAGGGCTTGTATCGGGCGGGGATTGCGGGGCCGGGGAAGAATGAGGGGCACAACCATGGCGAGGACTGGGGGAGTGCGGCGGTCGAGTTGGGTGTCAAGAGGAAGGGGTGGGTTGAGGGCAAGTTTGTTGATTAGGTCGGGGACACGGGACACTGCGAGTGACTACGAGATACCACAATATACTCGAACTAGGAAAGAAGAAACTGGAAAACGACACCAAGATGTGGCACGGCCGCATTGAGCTGAAGACAGGCCAGGACTACTACTGGTGCGGCAAGACCGACTTGCACTCCAACAGTCGTATTTCTGGCACCTTGTGTAGTCGCAGACAGATGGGGTACGAATGCCTCGTTGAGCTGATCCTCGAATGCATCTCCACTCCAGGTGCAGATCGAACACGTCTAACTGCCCACAATCCAAAACTTTCGAAGTTGTGAAACTCGAGTGGACGCGTTTTCTCTCGAGCCATTTCAATGCCCTGGCTGTGAGCCTAGGCCAATATGACTTGGGCGGTCTTTTGTTGTCTTGGAGTCTACCCACGGGCTGAGCAGCCAATTCGCGGCCCACCGATGACCAGCAATATCAATTTGTTGTCGCGTTAACTGTGACGGCCGCAGTAGAAATTAGGCGTGTCACGATGCACACTGCCGTATGATCGTCCTCTGCTCTGTTTCGTTGTTCCTGGATAGTCAGCAGTCGTTTAGCTGGGGTCGTGTGCGCCAGCGCCTGGCCAAAGCAGACAGCGACCCTCACGTGAGCCATGTCAACATCTTAGCACGACCGCGCCGTCGTAGTGTCGGCCAGAGCGTGTCAGGCCCCAGAGTCCTCGGTCAGACGCATGTAAGTCCTGGCACGAATGGTCGGTGCGGGGAGCGATGACGTCGTGGGCTGAACAACACTTGTGAAGCACATCGTGCGTAGCCATGGTGCGCGTAGATGGCGAGGAAGTCTAGAGCATGTTCGCGGTGTAGAATGAGATGCAGGAGTGTGCGCGACCCCTTCCCGGGTGCATCGATATGTTGCGTTGTTTGTTGAGTTGGTGATGAGTGCACGTCGCTGGCTGAGAGACGGCGTCGGCCAGGGGCAGGTCTGGGAAAGTGCAGCCCGTGCGCGCTCCAGCGTCCGCCGCTGCTGGACCCAGACCTCACATTCTTACAAGCCATCACCCGCCTGCCGCCAGCCGTCTGCCTCCGTAAAGTGCTGCTGCGTGCTCGCCAGGCTCATCTTTCCATTATCCGACCCGTCTCAGCTGCATCGTGCGAGCCGTGAGTCGCCGGCACGTCTCTCACCGCGTCGAGCGCGCGTGTGGATCCTCATCCTTTCCAGCCCTGCAGGGCCGCCGAGTCCAGCACCGCGTCCGATATTGTTTTCAACCGCAACACACCACGACTCCTAATGCAGTAATGGCGCGCGAGAAAGGCTGCTGATCAAACGGACGCCAATCATTTTGGTGCGCCTCTGCAGCATACGATTGATAATTCGAGCACTGGCAGTGAGCCTGCGCCGCGGGAGAGACACATTGTGCATACCAGAAGGCACAGCGACATCCACATCCGTGTCGCGCAGATTGCAGCAGGTCCGTCGTCGAAGGTGAAGGCGTCGTATGCCGACGAGCGCCCGTTCAGGCCCAAACACCTTACAGCACGTCTTCACTTGTCAACAATGAGCGGCGGTCCGACCCCCTGCTGAACGCCTGCGACCTGGACACCAGCACTGCTTCCGTCGCCTCTGCGCCTCCACGAAGACACATCTGACACCAAGCACCATGTCGCGTTCTGACCAACGGATAACACTGCAAGCTCTCACACCCTTGACCAATACAGACTCGTCTCCGCCGCCTGGCAAGCTCGCCAGTCCGCGGTCCACGAGATCTTCATACGAAACGATGCAAACGTCTGCCGCCTCGCGTGCAGCGCCGTCGAGCGCGCCTGCCAATGGCACCGACACCATCACACCCATAAATACACCGCCCGAGACGCGGACATCAATCTTTCCTTCAGATGGCGCACTCGGCCAACGCATAACATACGACCCGCTCCTCGACTCGAAGTTAGACAAGAAGGCCCGTCAATCACGACCGCCGGCATACAAGCAAATACTGGATAAGGTATGAAGGTTACAATCGATATGACCAGATGTGGTCGCCCTGTGACATTAAGGCTAACTTAACTTGTGTTACAGGGCGACCCATCTCCGCCTCCAGATCCCCGTCTTGCCATAGCTGGCTACAGCACGGGCGCATATGCTATCAAGACCGTGGGACCAGCTGCACCTAAGACGAAGCTGCGAATGGCGCCTTATATTGCGAAACCGTACGCTTTCGATGCGCGCATTTCGTGCGGTCCCGGACCTGCAACGCAGGTGGTAGTCACTGGTTTTGATCCACTGACAGCGGATGCGCAATTGCGGGGTTTCTTCTCTACGTATGGCGAGGTCGAGAAGCTGCAGAACCAGGTCCATCCAGATAATGGCAGTCCTCTGGGAATTTGTCTTGTCAAGTTTCGCGACTCTGCGCCCATGCGCAATACACCGTCGGTCAAAGCATCAAACTCAGCGAAGCGCGCAGAGAAGGAGGGCACGGGTCAGCGAATTGGTACAGGCACCCATCCAGTAAGGATCCACACAGATCGCGAAGGAAGAAGATGCGCAAAGCTTGTGGCTATGGCGGTGCAGCAGACTCGCAAGGAGCAGGATAAGCTGCGGACCAGGCTTGCTGCACAATCAGCTAAAGTCTCAACACCCGCTACCCCTGCCAGCTTCGATCTGCCAGCAAACGTGCCTAAAGGACCTTCCGGGAAAGGCACGCGCCCGCCGATACCGATATCGATGCCTCGAGAGCCCTTGTCGCGCAAGGCAGCACTGTCCCACCTCATCGAACGCGAACCGATCAAGCCCACAATGAAGCGAACACCCTATCTGTTCATCGCTCACCAATACGTACCAGTATTGGCTACAACCGTCGACCATCTCAAGAGACGTCTGAAGGCCTTCAAATGGAGTGCAGTTCGGTGCGATCAGACTGGTTACTATGTCACGTTCGAAGAGTCGAAACGAGGAGAAGACGAGACCGTACGATGCTTCCGTGAATGCAACATGCAGGCATTGTTCACATACGTGATGAACATGGAATGCAACCAGTACGGTGACCCACAATATGAGCGAAGCCCGAGCCCAGAGAGGGTCCTTGCGGACAAAAAGCGAAAGGCTATCGAAGAGCGAATCGCTGAGGAAGAGGCTGCAGACCTGGAGTTTGAGAAGAAGCAAAGGGCTGACTCGCTCGACCCTGTCCTAGCCGCACTTGATCAACTCAAGCATGAGTTGTCTGAAAAGTTACTTGGAGACATCAAATCTCGCATCGCAGGCCCTGCGTTGCTGGACATCATGTCTTCAGAACGCCAAGCTGCGAAGCGCCGAAAGCTCAACATCCAAGACCCACAGATCAAGGAAAACAACATGTTAACACCCACATTGGATCCATTCGCCGCGGCGACTCCCAAAGGACGCAATGGGGGCTTCGCTGGACGACGTGGTCGCAATGCGCTTGGACTTATTGACCATAATAGGAGGGGTAAGAAGCCCCTTCGCGTTGTCAATGCATTCGCAGATGAGCGGAGGAAGGCGTCCGCGCCAAAGCCAAGGATTGCGCGTGGTTTGCATCGACAGATGCTGGAAATGTTCGAGCCGGCGGAAGAGTCAGACGACGAAGGCCGCAGTACTCTTACACGAGGCACAGAAGAGCAAGAGAGCCGACCAATCAGCCGTGCCCATTCCACTGATATCGAAGATGAGGAAGAGTCTTCAAGAGCCCACCGCGCAAAGCGGCGGCGTATCGAGACAGGTTGGGGTGAGGATAGCGACGAGGAGATGGACGACACACATGCCAGGAGTTTGCTTGCCCATTGTATTCACAAAGACCCCGAAAGTATGGCAGAGAAAGAACTCGAACAAGTTCTTGCTATCCTCCCGCGTTCTTCGCCTATCTGGAAGAAAGCGGACAAAGCACTCAAAGGCTTCAGGCGACTGCGAAAGATCGAACAAGAGGCGGACGCAATTTTTGGGGTGGAAACACCACCAGAAGACAAACTCGAGCCTACGGTTATCATCACCGATGAGGACGACGCGTCTAAACCCGTTGAGACAACCGAGAAGGAAGCACCTGCACCAGCAAAGAAGGGTACCGCCAAACCGAAGAAGAAGACCAAGAAGCAGATGCAAGAGGAGGTCAAGGCTGCAAAGGCAGAGGTCAAAGAAGAAGTTGCTGAAGTTGCTGACGCCGTCGAGGGAGAGCTTGCTGGAGTCAAGAAGCCTGAGATCGTTACAGAAGTGTCCGTCGCTGAAGAGACACCAGAAGATGACGATCAGAACTCCGTCTACTGGGGGGTATCCTCAGACGAACCACGCAAGACTGTTGAGGATGACCTCAGTGTGGTGATGGACATTGACGGATGGCAACACATGCTCAAAGACGAAGAAGATCTTAGGAACCTCAAGATTGCCATGCAGTCAATCGAGGCCGCCAAGATCCAAGACGCGCAGTCCTGGGCCTGGAAGCAGAAATCGATCAAGCACCTCAATAACTCCGGCGAGGCAGGCGTGTCACGCAAGGAGACCAAGATCGAAGGCTACTATTTGCCAAACTCTACGGGATCAGCCAGGACCGAAGGCGTCAAGAAGATCCGCGAGTCTGAGAAGTCGAAGTACCTGCCTCATCGTATTCGTGTCGTTAAGGAGCGTGAGGAACGTCAACGGCGAGCCAAGCAGGAGGACAAGTCGACCATCTCTGTTGAGGGCTTCAAGTTCACGACTGCTTCACAGAAGACATCGACCGCCAACTCTCGCGCAAACCGTGCCAACAACCGACGCATGGTCAACGATATCAACATCTCTAAGGTTTCCGGTGCTGATGGTGATGCTTTGCGCTTCAATCAGCTGAAGAAGCGCAAGAAGCTCGTCAAGTTTGATCGCTCTGCAATCCACAACTGGGGGTTGTACGCCGAAGAAAACATTGTTGCAAACGATATGATTATCGAGTATGTCGGTGACCGAGTGCGACAACGAGTTGCAGATCTTCGTGAAGCCAAGTATGACATGCAGGGTGTTGGTTCTAGTTACCTCTTCCGTATCGACGAAGATACGGTCATCGATGCTACGAAAATGGGTGGCATTGCGCGTTTCATCAATCACAGCTGCACACCAAACTGTACAGCAAAGATTATTCGGGTGGACAACTCAAAGCGCATCGTCATCTATGCGTTGCGCGATATCGGCAAAGGTAAACTTGGTCCCCCGCATCGTGTATCTCAACCATGCTAATGTTTTGCAGACGAGGAACTCACCTACGACTATAAATTCGAACGCGAGATGGATGCTACCGACCGCATTCCCTGTCTTTGCGGCTCCATCGGTTGCAAGGGCTTCCTCAACTGATCGCACTATCTTCCTCTCCATGGAGTACGACTGTCTTCAACTACGCTTGCGCAATCGCCGTCGCGCTTGAGCGCTTCTTCAACATTATCAGACGGATGTTATTTACGGTCAGGGTCGAAGCCGAGATTATTTGGAAGAGGTTGCATTCGACGGCGTTACTCATTCTTCACATATCTTAAGACGATCCCACAATGTATTATTGACAGGAAAGGGGGGTGGGTGTCTTTTTCATCCGGAGGCTATCAAGCTTGGCCTTTCTTGCATTGCACTTGGTGTTTCAAACCACATTGTACGATTTCGCCATGGTCCAGGGCCGCACGAAACGACTCGCGAGTTGCGCGAAACTGATTGTTTGCTCTATCTATCTGCGGATGCTACGGCATACCGCAAGACTTAGCTAGGTCTATTGAATGCGCATGTATGAGAGGATTGCAGCAATTGCTTCCTAAGAGCGAACCATGTATCACGATGCCCTGGCAGTGACTTGCGCTGTGGACAGCTGTCGGCAGTTTTAATTTCGGGACTGACAGTCTCCCGGTACTACGAGGGACACTTTAAGAGCCTGTCAGCGGCTTGGGAGTATCCGAGTGCATCGTCTTTCCACTTCGAGATCTCAGGGCCGCCGCCACGGAGCGCAGACGCAAGCAGACTGTTCCTGAGCACGATCAAATCATCGAGACACCCATGACCCTTGCTGGCGATAGAAAACCACAGGTATATCACCATCTAGCAGCTGAGAAAGTCCGAGATGGGAGGCCGAGACCATGCAATAATTGGTCGGCAGTGGCAGACTGGGGTGGAGGCCGTTGGCAGTTGGCAGTTGGCAGTTGGCAGAAGCTCAATGCAGGGATTACGTAGATGATGTACAGTTCTCAGCGAAGGCCAACGGGGTCGATGTGCAGAGTCTGAATGTTGAGAGCGTGTAATCTTCAAGCATAGCCTCCGTGCCCCAAAAGGCATCCGGCAGGGACAAATTCCCCAATGTTGCAAGACAAATTCCCCGATGTTGCAAGCCGAGTATGGCTCGATGTTCATGACTACGACAGAGTTCGGAAGGAATAACTGGCTTGCTTCCGACTTGCCTCTGACATCGGTCTTGCTCACGCTGCTTTCTTCGTTTTGTAACACACATACACCGGACTATGCTCCACTATTGACCGAACTACACAGACCAACTGGAGCAGAAGACCCTGCAGGTAGGTAGTCAACAGACATTAAAAACACAAAGGTGCAACAACGGCAAGATAGTAATAGATGGTCATTCAAGTCATACCCACTCCACCCCATTCTCTCTTTACCGCCGCTGGGGCCTCTCTTTACCGCCGCTGAGGCCTCTCTTTACCGCCGCTGAGGCCTCTCATTACCGCCGCTCAGGCCTCTCTCTACCGCCGCTCAGGCCTCAAAACCTCCCACCCATCCAGCCCCCTCAAATCCCCCTCATCATCCAATAAATTCCCCCCCCTCCCACTCTCCGTACTCAAGCCCGTCCCCGTCCGCGGCGGCAGCGCAGGCGGCCTGGTATCCGCATCCATCAGATTCGGCACCGGCTTCTTCTGACCCGACATGACAGGCGGGGGCGCCATGCTGCGCCTCGGCGTCTGCTCCGGCTCATCACGATAGCGCTGCGGCGGAGGCGCTGCGGCGGGACTGCCCCCCTTGCTGAGCAGCGAGGGCTTGGGCTTGAGGGGCGGGGGGGCGGGTTTGCGGAGGACTTGCGGCGCGGGCTTGCTGGCCATGGGCACTGCGGGGCCGGGGAGCGAGGGTGCGGGGGCGAGGGTGCGGGACGGCGGGACGGGGAGGGAGCGCGTCGATGCGGACGAGGCGTTGCGGCGCAGATGTGCGGTGGGGTCGCGGACGCCGTCCATGTAGGTGATTTGCTCGGGGTCGCGGGCGTTGTACTGCGGGACTATCATTTTCCGGGCCATGGGGTTCTGGGATTGGAGACTTGTCGTTGAGCTCGATGCGGAGGCGGGCTTGGCTGGGTTGTTCACGTCGACGTTCCGTGGGCGCTGGGAGCCGCGGGCGGGCGGGGGCTCTGGTCTGGCTCCCAGCTTGTTGATTTCGACCCAGTCGGGCTCTGGGCTGGGCGTGAAGGGATTGCTTGGGCGGGTTGGGTTGGGGATGTGGTCGTTGGAGGGCGGCTGGATGCGCGCCTTAGCCGGCAGACCTTTGGAAGATGAGTATCGAGGCGGCAATGGGGATGGAGAGGAGTATACCGTTGTCGAGCCACCACTTGCGCCGGTCTGAGCTTGCAGGCGGCAGGCCGGGCTCCACGCTCTCGTAGCCAATCAGGTCCTCGTCGTCCGACTCGTCTTCGCCAGGGCGTCCGGCCGCCCTGGTGTCTCCGACGAACGCTTTGCGTGAGCGGTAGAGCTCTTCCTTGAGATGGTCCTTTTTCTTCTCGTCAATCTTACGGACCATGAGCTGGAACGTAGCGTACACGGGACGGTGGTCGGAGAATCGAAGAGGTGCGGCATCGTAGTGGATTTGCCGAATGTTGTCACCTTTGCGAAGCACGCGGTCGCACCAGGCGGGGATGCGTGCCTTTTCGGACGTGTCGTACGTGTCTGTTCCAAGGTCGTACTTGTATGTGGGAGGGAAGGTGATGCGGGCCTCGGAGTAGTAAGGAAAGGTCAGGCCAGCGACCATCTGGAGGTTGAGCTGTGAAGAGTCAGCACGTGTCGTGGGCATCTTTCAGCAAGCGTGCCTACCTGGTCGTTGTCGTACAAGGTCTCGAGATCGTTTGTCTGGCACAATCTCTGGACCTTGTCGTTGCTCAATCCAATTCTGTAGTTGAAGTCGCCCAGCCAGATGACAGTGTCGTGGTCCTCGATCGAGCGGTTCCGCTGGAAGCGCAGACCATGGCTGATGGTCTTGTAATCGCGGTTGCGCTCCTCGTAGTTTGCGAATCCAGCGGCGAGATGTGCCGTGACGAGGCAGATTGAGGTGTTGGCGTACTCGATGCGGATCGCGACGGCGCCCTTGTTGCCGGCCATGCCAGACAGGCCCGTCTTTTTCAGACTGCCCTCGACGTTCTTGACGTTCTTGAGCTTGTCGGCGCGCACAAAGACGGACAAGCTTGCGCCGACCAGCTGGCCGCCTCGAAGCAAAACATACTCTTCCTGGCCGTGTCGTGCTGCATTCTTGTCCAGACAGTGCTTGACGGCCGACTCCCAGTCCTGCCTCCTTGTGGGTTCTGTGGACATGATCTGCTGCGGACTGAGTTCGACAATCTCCTGAAAGCCAACTGCGACAATCTCTGGGCACTGTTGCGAGGGGTCGACGTCGGGACATAGCCACGGCGACAGATCCTGATCGATGCCGGTCGTCTTGCCGTTGAGGTTGAACGTGCCGACAAGAATGTTGATCACGTCCGTGTCTGAATACTCTGGGGCGCGTCGTGTGAGCTCTGCGATGACGAAATCGTTTATAGGGTCGTAGAGGTGGACGGGCACTTGCCCCATCAGCCGACCAAGGAGCATGTCAATGGTGTTCTGTCGACCCTTGTCGGCAAAGTTGTTAATGTACGTCCTCGTGACGCTCTTCCTTGCATCTGCCAGGGCACCGGCGAGCGACATCTTCCCGTGCCTCGTAAACGAGGATTTCAGTGCGCCCGTTCCTGCGTATATCCGGGACAGAGCGTCGCCGTTGTCTGCCCACATGCTCGAGTGACGGACCCAGAAGTCCTGGCTTCCCGCCAGTCGTTTGTGGCCGAGGAATATCTCCAGCGCCATCTTGCTGACAATGGTTTGCACGAGGTTCGTCCGGTCCAGGCAGTCGAGGCAGTTGGTCCTGAAGACGCCTTCCTGAGCCAACACTGGTGTCGAACGCCTCACGCAACGATACTGGCCACTCGATCCAATGCGTTCGTCGACGTCCTCGGACAGGTAGTATGCAAACCCGTCGGCCGAATCCTGGATCCACCGCGCAATCATGCTGGCCATCTCGTACCCACCCGGCCCTCGCGTCTCGGCATGGAAGTCGTATTCGGTAAGCTTGATGAGCTCGTGTTCGCGGTCCGACTGGCCAGATGCAGCGTTCAAGGGGCTGTTTTTGATGTGGTGGCGATATCTGTGGCTGAGCTCAATCTCGTTTGGCTTCTCGTTGCTGAGCAGATTGACCGCATGGACGGCACCGTACGCGAGCTCCAGATTCTCAAAGTGCTTGTCAAAGGCGGGCTGCGTGGCTTCCGGGCCTCTTGTGATGGTGATCTTCTGCTGTCCGGGCAGGAGGCCAGACTGCTGCTCCCAGAATATGGGAACACTGCCCCGAATCTGCACGTACGAGAAGCAGGCCCCGGACGGTGCCCAGTAGACCGTCTCGGACTCGACAAAGTTGGCTACATTGCCATCGTCGTCTATTCCGCGCGAGTTGAACCTCGTCCCAGCTCTTCGGCAGGACAGCCTCGAGATGAGCGTCATGGACGAAGGCAGTCCTGAGCCGCGCACCTTGACGGGAGCCGACGAGATGGGGACCGTGACGGTGAGCGCGAAGCCACGGATCGCAGACGTCAGGATGCCCGACGCATCCAGCGCATCCTTGTCCCTCGGCGCGAGCCTGCTCCTGAAGTCGACCAGCGGCTGGATCATGTACGAGTTCCACAGGAACCCAGCGTCGAGGCTGTCGAGCGACACCGTCGCCGCGTCAGACGAGCGGTCCTGCAGGCGCCGCGTCAGGTCAAAGTCGGAGCTGTAGTAGAAGGTGCCGCCGCTCAGCAGCTTCTTCAGGGCCGAGCACGGGTGCTCGAGCGGCGACTGGCCTCTGGTGCCGCCGAAGCCCGTCTCATAGTCGTCGTCCAAGGAGTCGGTCGCGTAGGGGTTGACCTCGTCGCTGAGGAAGGCGTCGTAGTAGGCGCTGGTGAGGCAGCAGAAGCCGACCGAGTGGATGCGCTGCACCGTCTCGCCCGGCCGCACTGTGGCGACCTTGCTGGCGCCGTTGACGACGACGAGGAAGACGTCGCCGTTCACGGTGATCAGGCCGAGCGTGCCGTGGACAGTCACCGAGTGCAGCGCGCGGTAGTCGTCCAGGTCGACGTCATCGGTGCGCGCAAACTCGACCATGCAGCGCGCGGCGGCGGCGGCGCCATTGCTGCCCAGCGACGTGCTGGAGGCGTTCGGGTTCGCATTGCTGGGGTCGGTCGACGAGGAGCTGGGGCGCAGGACGAGCGCGTGGGTGGGCGTGCTGAGGGCGATTGCGCGGGTCGGGTACTCTCTGATCAGGACGCGAATCGACATTCTCTCGCTCTGCTACGCGGCGGGCATGCGCGCAAGCAGGCGGCGTGACGTAGAGAGACGAGTCGTGTCAGGCAAGCAGGCACGTGTGGTTTGGCGGCCATGCAAGACTGGATCCACTCGGCCGTCTTGCTGGCCATCCGATTGGAGTTTGACAGACTGCACAGTTGCAAATCACGCTTGTAGCACGCTTGTAGTCGCTGCAGCGCGCTTGTAGTCACTGTAGCGCGCTTGTAGTCACTGTAGTGCCGTAGGAGAAGTAGATTCGTAACTGCATCGGATCGTCTATAGACATGACTCGCAGGGAAACAGCGCCGCAAACACAACATGCACTCATCGTCTCGTCTCGTCTTGTCTCGTCTCCTCTCGTCTTGTCTTGTCTTGTCCTGTCTCGTCTCCTCGCCTCTCGTCTCCTCTCTTCTCGTCTCCTCTCTTCTCCTCTCCTCTCGTCTCTTCTCGTCTCCTCTCTTCTCGTCTCTTCTCGTCTCCTCTCTTCTCGTCTCCTCTCGTCTCGTCTCCTCTTGTCTTGCCTCGTCTCCTCTTGTCTGGCCTCGTCTCGCCTCGTCTCACCGCCCGTAGTCCCTCCTCCGCCTGCCGTCGTCCACAATCGTCACCCTCGTCCGCTCGTCCACGTAGCTGCCCCGACTCCTGCTCCGCTCCCGCCCATAGCCCACGTTGACCCGCGACCTGCTCCGCTCCCTGCCGCCGTGCCTCGCGCCTCCGCCAAAGCTGCTCTCGCTCCTCACCGGATCCACGTACCGGTAGTGCTCGTACTGCGGCGCCCGCTCGGGACTGTACGCCCGCTCGCGCCTGACCTCGCGCTCCCTGTACACGTACTCGCTGCGATTCGGGCTCGACGAGCGCGAGCTGTAGCTCGAGCGCGGACTAACCTCAACATAGTGCGCCGCGCCGTGGTGGCTGTGGCGGCTGCTGATGTGGCTGGGCGGCGGCTGCGGAGCAGGCACGGGCATCGGTGCTGGCGGCGGCTCGAAGAACACGGGCACAGGCTGCGGCGGCGGGATCGCCAGCGGCTTTGGCTGCGGCGTGGGCACTGCTATGTAGGATGCCGACGGCCGCGGGGACTCGTGGCGCACCACTTCGCGCGAGTAGCGCGTCGTTGAGTGTCGCGACGCGCGACGGCGGGGCGGAGAGTGGTTGTGCCGCGAGACCACTCGGTAGGGGACTACGACGTCTTCTTCTTGCTTGACCTTGACGAGACACATGCTTTTAGGTGTCGCGTGCTGCTTTGCTTTTAGGTGCCGCGTGCTGCGTTGCTTTTAGGTGCTGCGCGCTGCTTTACTTTTAGGTGCTGTGCGCTGCGTTGCTTCTAGGTGCCGCGTGCTGCGTTGCTTCTAGGTGCCGCGCGCTGCTTTGCTTTGGGCGCGCCGTGCTGGGTGTGCGATCGCGATGTGATTCGTGGGACGATCAATGTGGGGTCCACTGGACTGGCGAACAGTGTGGAGAACGGAAGCGGGTGCGCGAGCGAGCGGGCGAGCCTTGCGAGCTGGAGAGCTGCGAGGAGCGAAAACACAGAGTGCGCGAGACGTCAGCGCAGAGGCAGAGCGAGCGGCGGCTGAAGAGACAGTTGGACGCAGTAATCGGGCTGGCAGCAGCCCAGCCACACCACGCCTGCATCCATGGCAGACCCCATGTCGAGGTCAAGCGCAGGCTCGGTGACGAGTTTCCAACTGCATCTGGCCAAGTGCCCTGTCAGCCGCCGTCGCTAGCTCCAGGTACCGGCGGCCGCTCGACCATGGCTTCACCGCTCAGGCTCGCATCTCACTCTTTGCCGCAGCATTGACGCAGTGTGTAACATGCATGCTCGTGATCGTTGCAGTATTGACAAAAGAACCGCCAGTCTTCCAACACATGATTACACGCTAGTCGCTGATATCGTACCCGTGACAACGTTAGGCATCAAAATCCCCTCCCTATGTATCCGTCCTTCGTAACGCGTGTTGTGCTGGAATTGCGCTCAGAACGACCACTAGTCATCCATGGGCTTGTCCTCCAGCGTCACTCCCCGGGGCGCAGGGTCCTCGAGCGTTACGCCGCTTGGCCCGCCGTCCTCGTTGGCATTTGCGAGGCTCCTGAGACTACCAGTCGAGTCGCGATTGCCTCCCCTCTTGAGGCTGCCCATCGAGTCTCGGTTGCCTCTCGCCAGGCTTCCTGCGTGCTTCCTGCCGCCGAGTGCTAGTGGCACACGTGTGCTCGACGGCGCTGGGTGCTCAACGGGTGAGAAGGGAGTGGGCTCGTGCATCTCTGCCGAGCGAGCAGCCACTGCCGAGGGCGGGGACGCATCAGATGCGTTGTCTGATGTGCCATTCGTAGTAGCGGCAGCAGCACTAGCGGCAGCGCTGGGACTGTCAGGGTCGGGAACCTCCAGAGACCCACGGTTGGTAGGAGCCTTCCGTGATTCCGTGGGCGAGTTAGCCGTGTTCACAGGGAAGCGTGTCTGACTGCGGTCACGGCGGTGAGAGCCGCTGCTGCGGTTGCTGGGGCCAGGTGAGACGCCTCGAGGAGATCGCTGCGCAGCAATCGCTCGTTGGCGTTCCTCCATGTTGGCACGTCGATTACTCTCGTCTGTCGAGATGGCGCGGGGGCGCTGCGAGCCAGATGCAGAGTGAGTGAGTGTGCTGGCTCGCTTCAACTCTCCAAAGATGGCGTCCTTGTGGGCAAACAGATCGCGCACAAGCCGGTAGCTGTAGCGCTCATTCATGGTCAGGGTGTTCTCCAGTCTTGGACGGAGAATGCAGGGAGCAAGAGCGTTTGCCAATGCAGCAACGTAGGTCTCGTCAGCTGAAGTCAACTCGATCAGGCGAGTGAAGTGGGTGCAGATTGCGTCTAGCGACGCAATGTTGGCGAGACGAAGCTGACCAAGCGTGGATTGAAGGACTGCAACTCGTGTTGCTTCGTCCACATCCGTTGCGGTAGTGCTGTAGATGGTCTTGACGATTTCGTAAACGTGCGATGAGACAAGCGAATCTAGCACTGTTAGACGGTGCTCAGATATTTATCAGGCATCACTTACCGGGGAGTTCAAGGAGGTAAAGCTTCAGAACGCTTGCAACAATGGGTATATCGTACTTCTCGAGGATGTCGTCCTCGAACCTCTTGCCGGTGTTGATGGCAGCTCGCAGATTGTGTGTCTGAGCCAGCGGTACGTCAACCAGCCAGATGCCACGACGAGCCTCGTCGCCCTCGAGATCTGGGTAGTGGTTGTCGAGGAAAGTCAGAATTGTCGTGATCAGGACAGGGACACGCTTCTTGTCCGAGCGAGCTCGAGCCTCAAGATCAACACCAAACGTCTGCTCGTCGACCGAGTTGTAGTAGTTCTCGTAAGTCGTGACCTTGGGCACGAATGGCCCAGTGCGGTAGTTTTCCAGCATGTAACGAAGATCGCCGAGAGGCTGAACAGTCTCCTGGAACAGCATCATCTTGTCGACCGTGCTCTGCAAGCTGGGAATCACGTTGCTGACAGCGCCTGAGAAGTCGAGAATGACAGCCTTGATGGCCTTTAGCCTGTCCAACTCGCAGCGCTCCATGAACTTCAGGTGGTCAATCATTGCCTCCTCCAAGTTGCATCGCAGAGAGTCCAGCTTCTTGACGGCGGCCTTGTACCGCTCATCGGACTCGCGAGCCTCTCGTCGCAGCCTCTCTGGCGGTGTCTCGTTGGGATGCTGGTTGTTGAGCGGGTTCCAGCCCTGGAGGTACTCCTGCACAACGCCGCCCGGTGAATCCACGGCGAAGCTGTCGTTGGACATTGTAGATGCCGCAGTGCCTGCGCGTCCCAGGGGTGTCTTCTTCTCGGGAACGCCTGTGATGGTGAAGACTTTAGTTTTCCACTGGTAATTCATGCGAGAGCTGTTTGCAAAGGTGTTGCCAACGTTGCCGATGAGACGCAAGAAGCCGTGAGTGACCATGTCCTGGCCAATTCGCTCTGCATAGCTGACACTGGTTGCGCCAAGGTGCTTTTGGATATATTCGGTGATGTCGGCGCCATTGGAGCAGTTCTGGTACGTTCCAATGATGGGGACCTTGACTTCTCCAATCTTGATAGTTTCCAGCATGTGCGTCAGGATCTTCGTCATCTGCTCGGGCTGGTAGGTCTCGTCGCCAAGATCGATGGGCTCCTCCTCCATCTCCTCAGGCTCCGTCATCTTGATCGTGGGGACCTTTGACTTGGGACTCGCGAGGACCTCACTTTGGGGATCTTGGAAAGCCAGCTTATCCTCCTCTTCCAGATCCTCCACCAGTCGGCACTTGTTGTAGTACTGCGAGCGGAACTTGCGCACGGCGTCAGCCTGCCGGTCGTGGATCTTAATGCGCGATTGGAGGTCGTCCTGCGAGGTCTGCACACGGGCAGCATGCGCCTCGCACCAGCGGCCGAAAGGGTTCACGACGAGTTCGCGGATGTTCGAGGCGATCTTGTTGTGGTTAGACGCAGCAGCCTCCATCTCAGCGCGCACGCCGTCATAGGCCTGGCAATCGTCAGCTGCAGACTTGGTGGCTCTACAAGTCCAATCGCACCTTTCGTACGCTCGCACCCTCATCTTTGGAGAAGCCTCCGGTTATGCGCTCGGTGGTTGGCGTGATGTTGGAGAGGCTGGTGCCATATGCTTCCTCGGCGTCGGCACGCAGGCGGGCAACGGTGAGGATCTGCTGGTTCTCCTGCACGCCCTGCTGCAGCTTTCCAAACAGCACTCCGAGGCCTGTTCGTGGTCAGCAACGATAGCGCCTCCAGCTGCGCCGCACAGCTTACCACCCGCATAGTCTTGCGACCAAAAGGACGCAGCAAAGCCCGTATTGGCCATCGTAACGACGTCGCTTGGGTATCAAAATGCAAGAACTCCTCGTGGACCGTGAGTAAGAAAAGGCGAGACTAGGCTGAGACAAGCTTCGACAGGCGTTGGTAGTGAGCGTGGAGAAGGAAGGTCTGGGGAACACGCAAGCGCAAGCCCTGTGATGTAATGCCCGTGGTGCGGCCTTGGTTGGCTGCGCACGATTGAGCGGGAGGCTGGTGTTTGGCGTGGGCACACTGTGCGACAGATGGGCGTTGGGCTCGTTGAGACGAGAACGAGAGAGGATTGCAGCTCTTCAGGAGTTTTGCAGGCCAGCTGTGGCAGAGCTGAATGTACGAGGACCCCTGTCAGGCTTCTGTCACTTGCTGGCACAGCTAGGCTGGGACTGCTTGTCTGCAGCTAAAAATACCAGCGTCAATTCACCGAACTGCACCTTTCCCTGCAGGGGTTAGGCTCGTGACCCTTCGAGCACCCTACAGTCAAGGCATCATAGGGGACGGGTCGCTAGCAAGAGCTCTCGAGCGTTGCTCGTCAAACGGCGAAAACGACTTGTCAGCGTCGACAGGCCAAAGCGTCTGCTGTGGCACACAACTCTCCCTGCAGCACGGCACACCTCCCGTTCAGTATGTGTGCGCCTTGAGTTTCTGGTTGCAGCAGTTATTGAGCAGCGAAGGTTGGCCTGACGAGTGATTCTTCAACGCCTGTTAATTAGGTATTTTGCCAGAGGTTGAAATTGATCACCATCACCCCCACCACTAGAGCCATTCAGGAGATTGCCTCCACCTCTGTCGCCCGGCGGCGAACACCGACTGTCTCGGCAGGCTGCACAGTTCGACTGTTCGTACCAGCACCATGGGCCCCTCTCTGCCAGCAAGCGAGTTCAACTATGCTCGCCAGATCAAATACTGGCGGCGAAATCTGAAGACATACCTCCCGCACTACTACACCGGCAATGATGCCAACCGGATGACCCTGGCTTTGTTCACTGTGTCCGCACTCGACATACTAGGAGATCTGGACGGAGCGCTGTCCGCGGAGGAGCGCCAAGGCTACATCGATTGGGTGTACAGCTGTCAACTGCCAGAGGGAGGTTTCCGGCCATGGCCCGGTTCCAATTTTGGAAAGATCAGGAATGACGAGAACAAGATCTGGGATCCAGCGCACGTGCCGGGCACGTTCTTTGCGCTGCTCACTCTCATAGTGCTCGGAGATGATCTGGAGAAGGTCAAGAGAAGGGAGATTCTGTTGTGGTTGAACAGGATGCAGAGGCAAGAGGGTGGCTTCGGCGAGACATTGGGCGGGGATAACTTCATCCACGGCGGCAACGACTCGAGGTTCGGATACATGGCCACGGCGATCCGCTGGATACTGCGCGGTGACGACGAGGGGCCATGTGGCGATATCCCAGACATCAGAATAGACGACTTCGTCACGTGTGTATGCGAAGCCGAATCCTACGACGGAGGCATTTCGGAAGCCCCATACCACGAGGCCCATGCTGGTTTCACGAGCTGCGCCATTGCCGCTTTGCACTTTGTGGATCGCCTGCCACAGCCACCTGGACAGGTTCCGGACGGTCGCAGGCGCGGAGTCACGAACCTCAGCAATACCTTGCATTGGCTTGCTTCGCGTCAGACGGCAACGCTCGAGGAGGATGACAAAATCGACACGTATGACGATGAGACGGACACAGCAAACACATGCCATGACGCCCACTCTTTCGTCAAAGTCAGCACGCACCCGACGGTCTCCATGGAGACCACGACGGGCTCGCAACTCAAAGTGCCGTTTGATCTTGCCTGGGTCGGGATGAACGGACGATGCAACAAGATTGCAGACACATGCTACGCATACTGGGTCTCGTCGCCTCTCCAGATCCTCGGCCGCATGGACATCATCTCAACAAAACCGATTCGCAGATACCTGCTGGACAAGACACAACACGCAATGGGGGGCTTTGGAAAGGTCGTGGATGACCCGCCGGACATGTACCATTCCTTCCTGGGCATGATGGTGTTGGCGATGTTCGGAGAGCCGGGACTGCAGAACGTCAATGCAGCGCTGTGCATCACAGACAGGGCGAAGAAGCATCTGGAGTCGCTGCCGTGGAGGAGAGAGGCCATAGCTTTGATACGGAGCAGTGGTGGGAACGGTGCGGACAGGATGCAGATAGATTTGTAGAGCGTGTATCCAGCAGGCCTGATTCTGCGGGCACGCCAAACTACGCTATACAATGTCGCCATGAAGAGCAGCCATGAAGAGCAGCCATGAAGAGTAGCCATGAAGAACAAGCTACCTGGATGCTGTTCAGCTGCAGCACAAGCTGATGCAGCCGTCACACTAGCGCGTGGACCCCTGCAAGAATTTCGAAAAGCACTCGAGAAATACAGCCCTCTCCAAACCCGACAAACCCCTCTACACCTCAATAGTCCCCAGACACAATCCGCAGACACAAATCCACGATGCGCAACGCACCGCCCCCGAACAAGAAGCGCAAGATCAAAACGGTGCACGAGGAGAAGATCGACTTCGACCCGGCGGCGCGCGAAGAATACCTGACGGGGTTCCACAAGCGCAAGGTCGAGCGGCGCAAGCACGCGGAGCAGGAGAATGTCAAGAAGGAGAAGGAGGAGAAGCTGCGGTTGCGGAAAGAGGTAAGCGTGTGCGGTGTTTGCAAGATTCGAATGGAATTCTGCGGTGCTTGGGGCCAGCGGCGGAGATTCGAATTGAATTTCTGCAGAGTCTGAAGTCAGCGTGCGGAGATTCCAAGGGATTTCTGCATTTGAAGAGATTTCTGCATTCCAAGGGATTTCTGCATTCCAAGGGAATTCTGCCGTATTGGAAGTCGAGATTTGAATATGGAAACTAATTCTCGTAGTTGCGAGAACAGCGCAAAATCGACCTGGTCAAGCACGTCAGCGAGACGAACCGGCTGATGCGGCTGGCGAACGGCGACATCCCCTCGGAGGCCGAGTCGGAAAGCGACTCCGAGATGGACGCAGCGACGGGCGAGCCGACGTTCACGGGCTTCGACGAGCCGATCAACCAGGAAGACGAGTACGTCGACGAGGAAAAGTACACGACGGTGACGGTCGAGACGGTGGGGATAAGCCGCACGGGGTTCTCGCGGCCGGGCGAGGAGGCCGAGGAGCTGAGAAAGGAGCGCGAGGCGAGGGAGGAGCGGGAGAGCGAGGAGAAGAAGAAGAGGGTGTGGACCAAGGAGAGGCCGAGGAGCGATCGCCCCAAGAAGAAGAAGGTCAAGTTTAGGTACGAGACCAAGGCGGAGAGGAAGGTGGAGAGGATGAAGCAGGGCATGAAGAAGAAGAAGCTGGCGGAGAAGAGGAGCAAGGCCAAGGAAGAGTAGGGTGGTGCGATGGAGGTTGGTTGATTTGGCTTGATACCCAGTTACGGATCATATGCATGGGTGGAGTTTGGCGCAGCATAAAATCGGTGCAAGAGCTCAAAATATGGATGAAGTGCAAGAGCTCAAAATATGGATGAAGTGCAAGAGCTCAAAATACGGATGAAGTGCAAGAGCTCAGAATATGGATGAGGTGTAAGAGGCTCAAAACAATGACAAAGTGCAAGAGCTCAAAACACTGACAAGGTGCAAGAGCTCAAAACACTGACAAAGTGCAAGAGCTCAAAACACTGACAAAGTGCAAGAGCTCAAAACACTGACAAAGTGCAAGAGCTCAGAATATGGATGAGGTGCAAGGCTCAAAACACTGACAAGGTGCAAGAGGCAAGAGGCTTGTTTGTGAGATGCAGTCGGCCTAGCACGACTTCTGATACAGAACAAAAGAGCACGCATCACAATCAGAGAACAGCGTAAACGTAGAAAGGTGTGATTGTGCAGAGCGCCAGCAGTGTTGCTCCATGAGGACACATCAACAGTGTACAAAGCCCGCCATCGACGCTACAGAAGACGACCGATATATGCAATAGGGGAAAAGGGGTTGGCTGTGATGCGGGCTCCTATCCGTCTCCACCGCTCGTAGATGCGCACGGTTGCCCAGTCATCTCGGTGTGGCCTGGAGAAAGTGGAAAAGTGGAAACGTGATGCTCTAGACGGGGTAGTCCACTGGCAAACAAGTCAACAATCGCAAGGGAGACGCGAGTCGGGCAGAGATCAGATGTTACCGATCTCCTTGACAAAGTCATCGAGCTCCTTCTTGGTGTCGGCGTATTTCTTGGCCATTTCCTCGTACTTGGACTCCCACTGGTCCCGCGACTGCTCGAGAGCCTGGACTTTGCGTTCGTAGTGGCCCGACTTGACGTCGGTCTGGCGGAGCCTGGGGGCGTCAGTCAGCATGGGCGTGAGGGGGCGGGCGCGGGCGGGCCGCTCACTTCTCGTTGAGCTCGCGAATGGTCCTGTCAGACTCCTCAGCCTCTTCCTCAAGCACCTGGATCTTGCGCTGCAGGCTCTCGGCCTGGCTACCGGCCTGAGCGCCTGCACCGGCCTCGTCCTTGAACTGCTTGACTTGCGCTTCGAGCTTCTCAACCTCGCCCTCGAGGACAGAGTTCTTGTGGGAGAGCGACGTGATCTCCTGCTCCTTCTGTGTCGTCTCGCTCTCGAGCTGCTTGACCTTGGTCTTGTACTCCTCGGCCTTGGCGCCGCTCTCGTCGGCCTCGACGCGGAGAGCCTCCATGCGCTGCGGCGGACGTCAGCGCCGTCGTGCAGCGGGTGCAGCCCGCCCCAAAAAAGGGTCTGGCGGGGTAGCGGGCAGACTCACCTTCTTGATCTGGTCCATGGCGGCGGACGGGAAGGGTGGGAGGGGGGTTTTGTGTAGGGAGAGGAGTGTGCGGGTGTGCGAGTGTGTGCGGAACGGCCAGCGAGGTCACAGGGAGCTGTGGACGGCAAACGGCTGCGGTGTTGATTGTTGTCTGAGAATCGGGGCGAGCTGGCAGGCTGGCCATGCGGGCGTGGACGCCGCCAAACCAAAGGGGCACCCCTGTCTCGCTCGCCAAAGCCCCTGCCACACCGCCTTGGGGCCCAGCTCGGGCAAGCTCGACGGGCGCTGGCCGCCTGCTCCTGTTGCCCTTGGCAGCGCCGCTGTAAACAAACGAAGCGTCAGCGCCCGCGAGCGCCCGCCTGCGCCCGCCAGCACCCGCCAGCACCACCACGACCCACCACGACCCACGGCTCGCTCCATGTAACCGCGGCCATGGCCACTCTCGCAGCACACGACCAGGAAAATGCAGTGCGCAGCCTGCAGCTCGGGCCTGCCGGAAAGCCGCTGGCTGCCGGCGCAAAGAGCCTCGGCGCCAAAACACCGGGCAACAAAGCCCCCAAGACGCCGTTCAAGGTCCCGCTCAACGACGAGAACGTCTTCACCAAGGCCGGCAAGGGCGATGGAAAGGGCAGCCTGGTCATGCCCACCAACAAGGGCGGCAAGCTCGATGCCAGCGCCTTCGTCACCCCGGCGGGTACGCGATGAGACGATGCAGCGACATGGGCGCGGCTGACACCAGAGACAGGCCCCCGCAACCGCGCCCCTCTCGGCGCAAAGACAACCAACGCCAAAGGCAAGGCCTTCCAGACGCCTGCGCCGCTGGGCTCCTCCGCCAGAACCCTCAAGGCAAGCCCGCGCCTGCGCCGACCCAAGGTCAAGGTGCACCAGCCCGAGGTCGACGCCGGGTCCGAGGATGACGTCCCAGAGATGGAGTACATGCCGCCAAAGGAGGTCCCGCTGCTGGACGACATGGACGACTACATCCCCAGGGACTGGGACTTGTCCATACTCTCGGGCCCGGACGCCATGCGCGGCATCACCAGCGCGTACCACAACCCGACCGAGGACGACGGCCGCACGAGGGGACAGCGCGAGTTTGAAGAGAGCCTGGAGCGTGACCGCAAGAAGAGGGACGACGAGTTTGACCGCGTCTTTGCAGCACAGATGGCCCAGGACGATGCCGAGACCAGGCGCTACTTTGGCATCACGGAGCCCAGGAAAGAGGCGCCAGAGCGCAGGAAAGAGGCGCCAAAGCCCACGGTCAGGGCGACTGCAACTGCTCGCCCGGCTACCGGTCTCTCGACAATGCGCGCCCGCTCGGCAGCCACCGCGCTTGCTCCCACAGATGGTTCTACGCCCAGGGTTGGTGCCTCGACGGCGGCGGCACGCGTACCGACTGGGATAGTGTCGGGCAGGAAGACGTCCAAGACCCCTGTAGAATCTACAACGACCCGCCACGCCCGCCACGCATCTGCTTTGGCGTCGTCTAAGAGCACCATTGGCTACGCCCAAGGCCGCGCAGTGCGCTCAGGCTCAGCCATGCGCCCGCCCCTCTCAAACGTCACCAAGCCCGTTGGTCCCAGTGTTTCCACTGCCAGGCGCGCGGGCAGCACAATGCCGTGTTTTGCAACTGGACACCAACGCACCGCCAGCGCTGCGGCTTCGACCAGGCCGCGTCCATTCTCTCGCTCAAGCTCGACCTCGACCAACGCTACCCTGGTTGCTCCGTCACAGGCTGATGCGTTTGAGGAGACTGCTGAGAGCGAAGAGCGCGAGCTGCAACTGTTGGCTCTCCAGGACGACATGGGCGGCGACGACGAGTGGCTGAGCAGCTTTGGCAACCAGCTGGGCCGTGTCGACGCGCTCGAGGACGACTATGCAGACTTTGAGCTGCAGCTGCCCGAGGGCATTTGAAGGCAGTGGTCAGCAAGACCGGCGCCGTTGCTTGTGGGCTAGACCAGACTGTCTTTGACTGTGTGACGATGGAGGCCAGATTGTTTCTTTTGTATGCTTCATGACGATTCTGGAGTTTTGTTTGGATACCTCTGTTTGTTTTTGTTTCCACCGACCGGGGATGCTCTTGATTCCACCGACCCGGGATGCACTCGATTCCACCCACACGGGATGCACTCGATTCCACCCACACGGGGATGCTCTAGATTCCACCCACACGGGGATGCTCTGGATTCCACCCACACGGGGATGCTCTTGATTCCACCCACACGGGGATGCTCTGGATTCCACCCACACGGGAGCGACAAGGTCGAGTCTGTAGCAGTAATTGTGACATTACTATCCACTCGTTGTAAACTTGAAGTTTGAGTAATGCTTCTTCTCCACATCACGGACGTGAGACAGCAATTCATTCGATGCATTGATTTCGTGACTCTACGTGCTTCGCCCTCAAGTACGTCCTTCGTCCTTCGCCCTCAAGTACGTCCTTTGCCCATGCAGAAACAAACCCACAGTTCACCCAGCGCAATGCGACCGGCCAGAAAATGCGCACACAAAACGCCACGCTAGAATCCCACAATGAGGCAGGCTCCCCGCACACAGTCTTAGTCTCTGCTCCTCTGCCGCCCGCCTCCAGCGAATCACCCCCACAACGCCCGCCACGCTACTCAGAGCCCGACTGCACCGCCGCGGGCGCCGTCGTGATCTCGTCGACGGCGTACAGGTTCTGGTTCAGCAGCTTGTTCATGGTGAACATGTGCACGCGGTCCTGCTTGAAGACGGCGCGCATCGCGTCGTCGCACCGGATCTGCCGCTTGTCGCTCGGGTCCTGCAGCTCGCGCGCCTTGACATACTCCCAGATCTTCTTGACCGTCTGCGGGCGCGAGAGCTGTGTTTCGTTCAGCAGCGACGAGAGCGCAGGCGAGAGCGCCATCGGTTTCTGCGGGACGGGACAGTCAGTATATACCATCGTAGCGAGATGGGATTGGCACACGTGTGCACGGCGAGTCGACGTACGTGGAATCCTCCTTTCCGGCTGGGGCTCTTCTTCTCCTTGTCGCTGCCCGACGCAATGTCGCTGTCGTCCTCGTCCTTGACGCGGTTGGAGCTCTTCTTCTTGGTCTTCTTCTTGGGCGCGGGCGCTTTCTTGCGTGTGTTCCCTCCGCGGGTTGCGCGGCCGCTGCGCGCGTTCTCCTCCGCTTGTAGCTTGCGCGCGAACGCTGCGTCGTCGTCTTCGGTCGCCTTGCTCTTCTTTGCCTTCTTCGGCGGCGGCGCCGCGTCTTCGAGCGAGGAGAGCGCTGATTCCGAGTCGGGCGAGCGCTTCTGCTCGGGGGTCGCCGAGGTCGAGGCCGCTCCGTTTTCGACCGTGGGTACAGGCTCTTGCGGCTCGGTGGCGGTGCCGTTTTCGTCCGAGTTGAACCTGTCGAAGCGCTGCATGATGAGGGCGGTGATCGCATCCTGGGCGGGAGTTAGCAGAGAACCAGGCTGCGCGCGCAACTGACGTGCCTTTTGATTCGACGTGTCATGGCCAATTCGCTCTTGTAGTCCCTTGCGTATGCGCTTTGCAGAGATGGTGTTGAGGTCGCTGGCGCGAAGGATCTCGTCGATTATGACGGCATAAGAAGCCTCGACCTCGGCGGGGAGAGGATCTGATCAATGCAAGTAAGCGGTTGCGGCATGTGAAATGCTCGATGAGCACTTGCCGGACATGGCTGCGGTATTGGGCAACGACCTCTGCGTCTGGCGACAGAAGTGTAGGTGTCAAGTCGAGCAGAGCTCCAAGTCGAGCCACGGAATCACGGGTCGGCGCGAACCGCGTGGTTTGGATCAGAATCCGGTTCAGAGGGTGGGGAGGCCGCTGAAGTTGATATCCAACGAAAGAAAGGATATTCACACGAAACGGCGCGTGGTACTTGTACAGAGGCCCTCTCGCACCAAACACCTGTCGAAGCGTGGCTGAACACACGTTCAAGACAAGTGAGAGAGTCGGGCGGTCTAAAACGGTAGTGCCGGCGGGGTTCACCCTGCAGCAGTGCGGGTACGAAGTAGAGCTGTGCAGAAAGGAGCGTCTTTAGGACAAGGTCGGTGCCAGGGAACGAGTCGCGGAGGTGAGCTTCAGCTGGAGACCACACGAGACGTTCAATTGATGTTGCACCGTGAGCGGTGATGTGAAGTGGTCATCCGTCGCCAGGCCGCACAAGCCAGGCACCAAGGTGCCGATCGGAGAGCGGGAGAGGCTGGGGAAGCTCTCCCAAGGCTGAGATGCAGCTTGACAGCACAGCGACAGCACTTGCAGGATATGCGCAATTCAAGACACTACCATGCAAGATGCAATGTGCCACAATAGGCAGGTCAAAGGAATATGGAGCATGGAAGGAGGAACGGCGCTTGTTTGATGTTTGTGTCCAACAGACGGCCTGAGTTCAAACTTGCTCCGCCGAAGCTCTGCACATCTATCCCAATCCGGCAATCGCTATTACTTGTGTTGCAGAGCCGCATGCTGACAGTGGAGTGCCATCAGTTACATGACCCAACAGCCAACCCCATACATTTGCTTTTCGACTGCACTCTTGATCTGGTACCAGTCTGCTCGCCGTTCCGCATACTCGTATACCTCTTCTGCCCTGAAGATGCCGTGATAACGGTCTGTGTCTGCTATGATGGTCGCAATCTCCTTTGCTTCCTTTGGCGCGATCAGGTAGATCTGAGAGAGTTCGCGAAGAGCAGCAAAGTACTGCATGAGTGGTTTGTTCCGCAACGAGACGATGTAAGTGTTGTAGGCGTTCATATCACTGCGTTCGTCAGTAATTGTGCAGAGACAAGTCTTGCCTGCAGTCTTACCTGATCAACACGATAGCACCGTCAACGCTCACTCTTTGCCGCTTGAGGTGCTTGCAGATCGCGGTGAACAGTCGCACGCCGACTTCTTGGTTGAAGACGTCAAGCACGTTCTTGTCTGTGCTACCAATCAACATGCTCGTGTGTGACGACACCATGTCGACGACCCTCTTCGCTGTCTCGCTAGGCCCAATATCCGACAACTGTGCCATTCCATTGGGCCCAACTGGCGGATTGAAGTCAGATGGCTGCTGTAGCGTGCCGCAGAGGTATTCCACTTCATCCATGAGCACGTCAATACCCTTGTTCAGTCCTGCAGCTACGCGCTCGTCAAGCATCGACTCAAACTTCTTCTTCTCTTTCGCTGCGAGACTGAGAAAGTCATCGCGGTCGGTAAGATTGGCAGCAACCAACTCCTGCAGATAGAACACTTCTACCATCTGTTGGATCAAGTCACCAACGTTGACAAGCTCAAGAAACGCTACTAAAGGTGCCACGCCCTCTTTGCTGTGATCCGCTACCTCGCGAGGCTTGTAGTCGGCCAGATGACCCACAGCCTTGTCGAAGCCAAGTTTCATGTGTCTAGTACCGAGGATCTGCACGAGGAAGATGAAGATCTGTTCACACTGCTCTTTCGCTTCTTCGCCAGACTGTCCACCAAGCCTGACGAACCGTGCTGCTCGTTCGAGACTTGATTTTGCTTTGTGCGTCAAATCAAGCGCAACCTCTATGCTGAAAAGTGTCCGAATACCCTCCAGGCGAGAGTTCATGATCGCTGCTTTCGCTGCTAGCTCAGTTGTGGGAACTTGCAATCCAGGGGAGCGTGCACCGTCACCAGATGGAGTGTCTGATCTTGCTGGTGCTTCTAGCCCGCCATTGCCGTTGACTGCTGGTGTAGCGATTACCGAGTTCCTAGATCCGGAACCGCCAATTGTCGGGAGCACGTTGACAGGCATCATCACAACCTTCTTGAAGGACGAAAGAAAGTCCTGCTTGGCTGCCTTCCGATTGACGTTCGACATGTAGAAAGTCTCAGTTGTTTGCTCCTCTGCACTAAGCCGCTTCTCCCACACCTCGACCTGTTCGACCGATTTTCGTTTGAAGAAGTCCAGCTCCTCTTGCAGATACAGGTCGATATGTTGCTCGAAGCATCGTGAAATGATGCGGATTGCCTCTTCCTGAAAATTAGCCTTCGAGCCCTTCGTTGGCTTCAGAGAGATGGCAAGTTGCGATGCTTGATCGAAAACACCTGCTACAGCTTTGAGGTAGACGTCGGTACTGACGTCGTGTGCTTCATCAAATAGAGACGTGATGTACTCGGATATGATGTCTTCAGCAACACGTTCCAGGAATGGTTGGAGCACGTCAAAGGATGGTGGAAAGACCCGGTCGATGATTGTTGTCTCTTCGTTCAGGGCGATAGCTAAGCCATGGAAGAATTCGCGTGATGGCTCCAATGTAAGTTGGCTAGAGCTGAGATTCGGTAGGCAGTCCCCTGGGTTGCCGAGCTTCTCCTTGTCCAGCATCATAGGATGGTTGTGGATGAAAGAATCCAGACATGCAGCGCCACCATTCAACTGAAAAAGAACAGATGCAAAGCGCTTCATACGTCCATCGTAATCCTTCTCTTCACATCCCGTCTCGAACTCCCTCAGTACGGCGTTTTCGAAGATACCAATCATTGTGTCCAGCTTCTCCTCGCGCTGACTCCACCCTTGCGCGGAATCACTCTTCGCAAACGTTTTCAGTTGCGCGAGCATCACCGCTTGTTGCTCCGGATCTCGGTATGTACGAAACAAAACAGGGTCTGTGTGACTTCTTGAACGTGCCAGGTCGAAGTAGTATGGTGCCAGCGCTCCGTAAACCATCCCATATTCCTGTCGAGCTCTGCCCCTGATCGAGCGTACACCCGAGATGACCCTCAGTGCAGCTTGCGGTTCTATCATCGGTGATCTTGCTTGCGGCGCCGTGAACGTGGGTGTCAAGGTCATATCGTTGAAGCCTTTGTCGAGCGTCAAGGATCGACCTCTTACCTTTTGCTCCAGCGACTGCCGCTGTATATCTTCGTCTGCGTCGAAAAGCGTCATACTACCGCGGGACGGCTCCACTCCACCTATCCCTAGTCCAGCAACAGCTCCCTGTCCCGGTACGCTTGTTTTTTGAGCCTCTTCTGCTTTTTGGCTTTCGACTGTTCGGCGTATGGCCTCTTCAAACCGTTGTTTCGCCTCGAAATCATTCCAACAGCCCATGCTCTTCAGCCTCTGTATCCAGCGCGTATCATCGTACACCATCTCCTGCATGCGCTTCGAGGTTCGGGCGAACGAGAACATGTCGGCGACGGGGAGGTAATCGAGGATCGTGTTGATGAGTTCTACGGAGGTGAGTTAGGATATGTGTTTCTGCTGGTTTCGAATACGCACCTGCTGGCAGAATAGCTTTGGAGTCGTCAACCATCTTCGTGGTGCGCAGTGAGGCCAACACAGCCAGCTGCGCCTGGGGCGGCGCCCGCTTGAAATTCGATTTTGTAGCCATTTTACTGGCTAATATATGTCTAGATTATCCTACATGCGGTGTAGTAATTCTTGCGGTCATATTCGCGTTTGTAGACTATTCGCGCGTGAGCGTTGCGGAGAGCGAGTGAGAGTGCGGGCGGGCTTTGGTGAGTGTGGAGACATGACGCCCGAGGCTGGGGTGGAGCACGCGAAGTCTGTGTCACCACACTTACACCTCATGTAACACTAGACGAACTAACAATTGCATTGATACTACAAATTTAGGTTCGCATTTCGGAACTCGGTCACAAACTGTTCTTTGGTCTAGCAATTTGCATCACGCTGTTAAGTCGATACCTTCTTACAGAGCCACGGAGCTCTAAGCGAGCGCAGATAGTACCTCGACCTCAATCTGACAGTTGCGCATTCACATGTTTGTTTGTATTATGTCATTTTATGCATTATACCGTTACCCAATCGCTCCTACTGGCCATTCATCACCCGTGCCTGTCAGAGCAGCGTTCACAAAGCAGCGAGCATACCGATAACAGCAACACCAAGACCAAGGACAGGGCCAGCGGTCTGGAAAGCACCAGCAGCAGCAGCGCTCGCAGCAGACGCCGCAGCACTGCCGGAAGCGGTGCTAGATGCAGAGCGGGTTGCGCTGCCAGACGCGGTGTTGGTTCCAGAGATGGCGGTCACCGAAGCAGACATCGATGCCGAAGCAGCGGCAGAAGCAGAGGAGGAAGCAGAGGCAGAAGAGCTCGAGTTCGATCCGCAGTTGGGGCTGGTGTTCAGGGTCACGCCCTCTCCGCTGCAGAGAGTTGTAGCGAAGGTGATGGTAGCTGGCATTTGCGTTAGATCATTGGAAATGCTGTTATCGCGAGGCACTCACTTTGGATATCAGCTGCACTACAAGTGGATAAAGCACAGCAAGCGACCTCTGTGATAGCAGAGCTCTTGCAGATGCAGGCAATGTCGAGAATGCTGCTGCAATCACCAAGTTTGGCGTTAGTGAAGCAGGTTTGCTATATGTAAGTCAGCTGCTGCGTCCAAAGCGTTGCTGCTGTACATACGGCACAGGTGGGGATGTTGGCAAGGCTGCTCTGAGCGAGTACGGTGGCGCTCAGAGTAGCAATGGTGGCAGCGATGGAGAAACGCATATTGAAGTGTATTATGATTTAAAGGCGAAGAACGAGGTCTAAGGTATAATGCAGAATTAACTTGTAGGAAACCGGCGGATGAAGCGATTGACAACGATGCCCTCAATCTTGGGGAAAGCTAAAGTAAATAGTCTTTCGCTCCATCTCCAGTGTTGCGCGATTGGCCCGAAAATATTGGTTACACCAGGGCGCTGGCTCATCTGGGCAACGCGCCGATGTGACATGCTGTCTCCCGCTACCCACGCCGAAGACACCGGCTAGAGCTGACGATTGTCCAGACAGAGCGCTGCAACTGTGACAACCTCCAGGCCGAACAGCTCTCGGATGGCTTGTCGCAGCTTCATGGCACTCACCATTGTGGCCCACGAGTATCTCTTGCTGGCGCTGCTACTTTAGCCTGCCAGCCTGTCTCTGCCACTGCTTCCAACGTGTGTATGCAGTCAGACACTGAGGGATTGTAATCTCAAAATAATCGGGCCATTGGTTGTTATTCGGTCTTACCAAGCCAACAAACCAAAGTCGAGCATGTCGTGTTGCGAGAAACTACTCAAGCTATCTTTCTTCGTTTTCGTCGTCTTGTCAGGTAGTGTTGAGTTGGACGTAAAGAGTGCATGGATCGATGGCGAGCTGGGGCGTACAGCACGTCTGTGTAGGTATCCACAACGCTCAATTCTAACGCGACATCCTTCTCGATGTCACAGCGCCAAACATCGTGAAAGCCGGACCTACTGTTTGTGGTGATATGCCGTGCGGCTTCTTGATGATCGCAATGACCGAAGGACCGAGACAATCACGAGAAAGACCTGCCATCTACATACGATCAATAATGAACGCACTGTGCAAGAAAGAAGCACACAGTGCCACAGTAGTCAGAATGCCGTCAAATGCCGTCGCGATCACGGTTGATAGGTATGGAGACTGCACCCTCGCAAGTTCCGCTTGAGTAATGGCCGGGAGAGCTCTTTTTGGACAATGGCTGAGCCGTTTGCCTTTTCCTGCTCACTACTGTGCGCAGCCAACAGCCTCCACCGAAGGGCAACGCGCGACGATCTTTGGAGGACCTTCTTGAGTCCTTGAGTGGCTTTAAACAGGCATGTGATTGAAAATGCCGCAGCAGGCAACGACCTCCTCAGAGTCCTGCGTCTGAAGGGCAGCGAAGGGCACATTGTTCTGCTGCTTCAGCGCCCCTTCAGGCTTCCAGGGTTTCTTTGCCTGGCTCAGGCGCGTGACGATCACAGGAAGCAGGGCAACGGGGCACAGCTGTCAAACAACCGCCGGAACGCAATGGTGAGGGTTGAGCAGAGGGCCTTGTTTCAACAAAGGCCGTGTTCTGGCTGCTACTTGGTATTAAAAAGGGATGAAACACGGCGCGCTGGTCGACAAGCCCGCGCAAACACTCGCCGAAGAAATTCCGAACGCTCCACGTATTGTACCTGCATCTGAGGATGCTGTCCGAGTAGACAAACCCAGTCTTGCGCATCGTTGCTCGCCTCTAATGTGACAGCGTGTTGATTTAGCCACATATGTGACGCTATATCGCCAGCGCATGGGTGGTTCCAGTGGGCCGAATGGCTTGAGACGCGGTGTTTTCACAACGCCTTTGCTCCATCGAAGCCGCAAGAAGGCGGCTAGAAGCCGCGCACTGATGATAATGCTGGTGATGGTGTGGAAGCGCAGGGCCGGATGTTCCGCCTCAGATGCGAGCCAATGGTAGAAGTGAAGCAAGTAGGCTTACCCGTCTCGGCCCCGAGCTCTTCGGGTCATTGCTCGTGATCTTGCAACAGCTTATGTTATTAATCTGGAATGTTAGTGCTGTAGACGTCAGACTTGAGACACCGATTGATGAGGCGGAAGCACAATTAGGATGCGTGTCACAAATTGTGGGTCGTAGACCTTTGTCTTGTTCCATCCCCTTTCAGGTACTGTCCTGGAGCTTCCTAGAGAAGCGATTCAAGCTTCACTCGTTGAGCAGTGCTCGGGTGTACGTATCTGAAAGGGCCACGTACCGTTGGTTGCCCTCTGAAGTCTGTCGCCTGTTGCCCCGTGCTTGAGTAGTGATGAGGGACGCTCAGAATAGTCGTGAAGCTGGAGTTCACTTTTAGTTGTCCTCGAATACAAAAGCATCTCTGTGACCCGCTTGTAACAGAGTACCGATACTTTCAACGCACTGTTACTTCCAAGTTCGCCGCTCTATTCAAGTCTCAGAAATCAAACGCCGTCTCACAGTTACACGCTCTTAAACACCCTTTCACATCGCATTCCTCCAGATTCCCGAAATCGATTCCAGGACAATGGCTCCCACAATGAAGACATCTCCCAAGACCCCTGGTGGCGGTGAATCCCGCGATGGAGGCAGTAAGTACTTATCCGGTCGTCGACAACAAACTGTCATCACTAACATGCTTGATAGGGAAGCCGTCGACTACCAACCAGCAACATTAGCGACTGCGTTCCAGGGACTTCCCAAAACGACACTGTGTGCGACACCACGACGCTGCGCGTCATACGTTTTTACTCGGACTCCAACTTTGTCTTTCGACAGCAACACGGCCATTTCAACATTACGAACTATTACGCACTGCGATCGACTTGTCTCGCATTTCGGTTTTCGACACGATCAGCACCTTGAAGTTCGCGCTAGGCTGGAGGTCGCTCATTGCCGGGCGCAGCATCCTGGGGGAACATCATCAACACGACGACATCGACACCCATTGGTACTCACCGACGGCGGGCTGTGTCCTCCGGTGAGTGAGGCCCGCGGACAGCGAAGACTCATCTCTAGTATCAGAAGGACTCGGGGAGTACTTATTTGATAATGGAGAGTCACCGCGAGGCTGCCTGTGTGCCTTGAGTATGCCTGCCGTTCCGCAGCATCGCAGCCCCCAAAGCGGCTGTGCGCCCGGTCACGCTTTCACCGAAAAGTTCAGCCTAACAGGCAGCGAACTGGGGGGTTTCGACAAGGGACCACATCCCGCCCTTCTGCCTGAAAGGCAGCCTCGAAAATTGATGTCTCGTAATTCGGGTTCGGGCAATGTGGCTATGGCCCACTTGGTAGCCCTCTCGCGGTGGACGAAAGGAGTCACCAGCTCGTCCCCAAGGACTGTTGGACGATGGAAAGGCGCGCTAGGCCATGGCAGCCTATCAATCGCCTTATTCATCAGGCTTCAGCCAATGTTTATGGCCATTTGGCAGCAGTGGCGCAGCAACATCGTCCCTTCATGCCCAGCATTCAGTACAACGGAGGAATTCAATCGACTTCTGCGTCATAATCCAGGCAAGAAGGCAGTCGTTTGCCTGTGCCTGAGGTAACTTGATGAGGCAGTACAGATGGTGGCGCCTCCAGGAGGCCTCAGGTCGCAACGTTTATATATGCCTTGGACTCCAGGTTGCTGTAAGACATTCACATCTATATCAGGCCCTACAGTCTGTCTACATCCACACAAAAAACACAGCCCGCAGCCACATCAACGCCATCGACCACCAAGCCAAACACCCAATTCATATAACAGCCATTACTACCACCACCACCAATATGCGCTCTCCCAGCTTCAACCTCAACTACCACAACCTCAACTACCGCGGCGACTCTGAATCTCGTGACGGAGGTGCACCCAATCGATCTGCCCAGTTCAACTTGCCCATGATGAAGGCAATGCGTCTCGGCCCTGAGAGCCGCGACGGTGGCTAAGGTGCCAACCAGCTCAAGTATGTTGATCATCTGAGTCTGTCCTCAATTTGATCTAACAGCTTCCAGATCTTGCTCAATACCCTCATATTGGCTGTGCTGGACTCAATCCCTCTCATCAACATCGAGAACCTGGAGGCTCCGGTAGTAGAGGCGTTCGATTTATTCGACACCCCTATGCACATTCATCGCTGGCTTCGGCTTCCTGCACAGCTCGGCTTCGACTACCCTTGCTACGCCCTTTGGATTTTCTCGCGCCTCGTTTTCTGCAGCGTTTCGTGTTCAAACTGCATCTTTGGTGTTCTGGGTTTTTTTTTGGTGTACAACACTGGGATGGCTGTATGATACCACGCGTTTTCGAACGAGCATTTGCTTTCGGTCTAGACGCCGTCAGAGGGCGACCTCGGATCATTAGATGTTACTTGGCATAGTAGATCACGATTAGACTAGCAGAGCACCTGCGCTCTGCTGCAAAGGACGACCTCGCTGGTCGATCATAGACAAAGAGGGATAAGGGCGATAATTCGCGATGGGAACAAAGACATCTAATAACCAGAAATGTGTGCCTATTCTGAGTGACTGATGTCTTTCGTTGTGCAAATTAGCGAGACGAGACAAGTCGATGACAAGCTGCGGATCTAGAATGTTGAGTGGTCTTAAAGGAGATCTGACCATGGATGATATGGTGTTCATGTACCCCACGCTCTTGGCATAACCAAATCTTATTACATGCATGTTTGCTTCTTTACCTCGGACCTCAAAGTGCGAACCCGCATCTCAGCTGCTCGACATCAGATCTCCTCACTCGAACTTCATGAAATCGAGCCCAAGTATGGAATCAGACGAACTCTCTCTAGGCATCCCATTCAATGCAGCAATGGTCCGAAACCAAAATCTTGAATGACGTATCCAGACGATCGTGCACGTTCTCGGTTGCCCCGCCGAAGGGCACGCAAATGACTAATTTGAACCTGAAAACGGTGTCAGGCACGCGCAAGACAGCAACTTCTTACCCGGTCACAGGGCGATGAACCGCGCGAAGGGCAGCCGGCGCCAAATGCGCCCAGGCGCGAACAGACGGGTCATACTGAAGCTCAAGAACGGACGATAAGAACTCGTGCACTGGTGCGCATCAGTCACAGCACATCTTGGAAGTTCAGCCGCTTGGTCTACTCGCGGGTACGGTGAAAGCCAAGAAAGATTCAGAGCATTTAAGGGTCGACAAGCGATCGCGTCATCTACTGGTCACTGTCTTTGTCGTTTCTCTCCTCCAACACGAAGGGCCCCAGACCACCATAACAGCTACCGTCACATACGTCTATACTCCACGCAACCACAATGACTACACAACCACCACAGGATCGCATCGCCTCTCACGGCCGCGGTGGAGCAGGTATGTGGAACCTCCGTGAAAAGACATCTGCGCCAAGTCACAACTCAACATGCGCTTGATTCTTTCCTGGGCCTGATATTGTTTTTCGCGCCATCGCGAGGATACATCTTTGTAGACTGCTGCTGACTTTAGGAAGGCAACATTGTTCCTGACACCAACACTGCGTACACCAAGCCCGCAGACCTCGTCACTCCTACGATCAAGTCGAACACATACACGACCGGCCGCGGTGGACAAGGCAACATGGCAAAGAACGACGACCCGAACAACGCCCGTCTTGCACAGGATGTCGAAGGCCCCACTACGGTATCTGAGCCCAAGGGCGCCGTGCACTATGGACGTGGTGGAGCTGCCAACATCATCTCTGATAAGGAGCGCAAGAGTGGCGAGGCCAAGCGCAGCGAGTCTGGCGCTTCTGGCGAGCAGGGTCTGCTGTCAAAAGTCAAAGGCTTCTTCAAGGCGTAAGCCAGCACGGATGGTCACACCCAGATGAACAGGAACCGTTCTGTCTGAAATGCCTGACATTCTTGAGGAACGCTCAGGCTTAGCAACAAGAACAGGAAGGAAATACCGAAGCAGGGTGTCTTTGTTTGGTTTAATGGTATACCCTGGGGTTAGAATGCATTTCTTGATACCACTCTCAGTTTATCACGGTGGATACAGGAAGGGCTTGGTTTGCGGTATAGGACTACTCGACACACTTAATACGATTGCTATCTTCAACTGGTTTTCCCAGGCTCTCACTTTCCAGGCACTTGCGATCGAGGCAAACCGCGATATCCTCGTCTGCTTATTCCCATGCCACCTCGGCTCGGTATGCATTCCTTCCCTTTCAGGGTCTCTGCGACTGGGATGCGGGGGATGGTGGGGCAAGCATTGAACTGACAAGCAACAGCTACCGAACATGACTGACCCTCAAACGGCTTGATGCAATTCTGCAGGAGGTCCACTTCTGTGCGAAGTACCGCGCGACTTTGCAGATCGACAGAGGTACTTAGCCAGCGGCGCTCTACTTCGTTTCATTTAGTGCTGCGGACGCTCCACCTTCTCCATCTGCCTGTAGCTGCTTCTGTGCTTACATATGCTGCTCTCACATATGCGGTCGTTAAAGGGCTACATGATGACGCATTTCCATAATCCATCCTCCTCCTGCATGGGCAACACGCTTTCGAGTCTGACTCGAAGATCACTGTCCACGCTTGGAAGTTAAACCGCGCCCTGCTAGTAATAGACAGCTTCACTCCATAACAGGATAAGTGTTTGTGCAACAGGTTGCGATGTGATGAGTAGGCGAAAGCATCACATCGTGCTTTGGCCAGCGGAGTTTGATGTAGTCTGAGAAGGCCAACTCGCCAAATGCTCACTATCATCCTTTGTCCTCCATCAATATTGAGGCGTCTACCATTCATTGGTCCTTGCGACAATACAACGGCCGAAGCGGAATATCCTTACAAGTAGCTGTGTTAGGCTTACAAACGAAGTATGAGCTAGATATTTTAACGCGTCCACCAAAAGAAACATTTATCTAGCGCGCGGCGCTGGTCGAAATCGCCAACAAGTCTAACAAGCTGCAGAAGTTCTGCTCATCGGGTTTGAACACCTGCTGATTCTCATGCTCTGAACGGAGCAGGAAGTACAACCGGCTTCGTTTCCTAATTAAAGACGGGCCGCAACACCAGCAGGATAGATACAGTCACTGCAGCCGACCCACGTGTACGTTTGGAGGGTCACAAACATAGTTTCAGTTACCAAGATCTAGACTGGGACATTGTCGGAAGAACCCATCTGCCTACAAAATGCCCATAACAACTACAACTGAAAAGACATGGTTCATTACCAGGATGGAGGTGTCCCCGGACGTAGACGAGTTTTGACTGGTGCTGCTGCTGAGACGACGTTCAACGACCTTCCTAAGATTGACTTCCGACGCTTATATTCCAACAACCTATCGGATCGCCAGAGCTTAGCATACGAGATGGGCGTGGCGTGTAGAGATGGTGGGTTCTTCTACGCCGCCGACCACGGAGTCGATGAGAGTCTACTGGACGACACGTTTGATGCCCTGAAGAGGTTCTTTAACCTACCAAAGGAGGTCAAGATAGAAGTGCGCAACCAGAAGAGTCCGAAAATCAGAGGGTACAGAGTAACGTTGATCTGTCTGATATCATCGCTAATATGCCACTAGATACAAAGGTTTTCTGGAAGGCAAGCTAGACCCCAGCACCAGGGGAGGTATGTCACTGCACCGCACATCACGATCCCAGTCCACTGATCAACGTCCCAGACCTGAAAGAAGGCTTCCCCATGGGCGAAGACGCCACCCACACAGAACAAAATATAGCCATCACACCTTCCACTTCTGAACCCCGGTATCAATGGCCAAACCACCCATCAGCACTCTTCTGACGCCCAGCGATCTACAGCTACTACAACGCCACGTACACCTTCAGCAAGTAGCTCCTAAGAATCTTCGCACTTGCCCTTAATCTCCCCGAAACAGCATTCGACGCCATTACCACGCACCCCATGACCAACGTGCGCGCAGTCCACTATCCGCCCCAAGAATCAGAGTCTGATGTCAGCATCGGTGCGCACACGAACTTCTGCTGGTTCACGCTGGTGTGCCAATCGCACACAGCTCAGCCGGCTCTCGAGGTGCTCAACGCGAAAGGCATTTGGGTTCTTGTGCACCATGAGCAGCACACTTTCGTTGTGAACATTGCGGATTTTTTCAAGCTGGTGACGGTGGATCATGGCAATGTACGGTGCATAGAATGAGGAATATGGGCGGGGAGGAGAGGTATAGCACGCTTTTTTCCTTTAGCCCTGATGAGGATGCAAAGGTCAGTGTTTTGGAGCAGTTCAGGAAGAAGGGAGAAGTGTATGGAGAACTCGGTGTGGGAGAGTACTTCCAGAAGAGACTGGAAATTGATCGGATGACGCATTTAGACGGGGAAGAATGCGAGAAGAAGGGAGCATTGAGAGTGGGTGGGCGTTGAGAGATGTTCTGGGTGTCTTAGACTCATGCAGTCGAGTTTGGATGCAAGCTTTCAGGAATTCACTATTCAGAAGGCATTCAAGGCTGATCTCGAGGTACCCTGCGGGAAGACTGAGGCTCTGCGAAATCCAGCGACCCGTGAGGATGTGCCTCCCACGCCAAGTACTGATCAGTGCATGAGTCGATTCTGTCATATCGGTCGTACAGATCCTCCATGGATGTGTTCGTTCATGTCGTTGATATCATCTAGTCCCCACTCTTAACCCTCTAATCCTTCTTCAACGGGGTGAATGTCTCGTGGATACCGTCTTTGGTGATGATCATCATCTGCAGCCCGTCACCGACCTCGATATGCCTCTCTACAGCACTCGTGAATGCGTCTCGAACCAGGTCCTCGACATGGTCCTGAGGCAGAGGCTGTGGGACGACAGTCTTCAGGTTGTGTCCTGTCCCGCTGCCAGGCTCATATTGGTTCTTGAAGTTGACCTGGTTGTCCAGAAAGGGCATAATGAGCGAAGATGCCGCACCCGCTGCCCTGCACTGCTCCCGCTCGTAGCTGCCAACGGGATCGTAGGAGTACAAAGCACCCTTGCCGTCTTCGTCCAGACCACCCAGAATTGCGTGTACGTAATAGGGGAAGAATCGCTTATTGTAGAGGATATGGCTGAGACGCTGTGCGCAGGCGGATACGGCCATGGGCTTGCCGTGCTTGTACTTGTACATCTTGACGATGGTGTCGAGGTGCTCCTTCAGCGCGTGACCGTCCGCAGCGAAACCAACTACGGAGAGCACTATCCGTGCGCCCTTATTGTCTGGCCCTTCGCCGCCAATCTTGAAGAGCTTGGGCTCGTATCGTGTGTTGATGTTGTAGCCAGATGTAGATCGAGTGTCACCGGCGAGGATGGCGAAGTCAGCACCAGAGATACCAAGCGTCGAACCACCATTGTCAGTGTAGCTGAGTTCGTTAGTGTATATACCCCATAACTGGTCTCAAAATGGCTAACGGGTAGAAGCCGTGCTGCCTCTCACCAGAGGGAACAGCTGTGGGGGTGCTCTTGAACGAGTAGCCTGGGCCACCCTGCGGAGGAGCTCCAGAGAAGATAGCGCTCATCGTGAAATTGACCAAGCCGTCGTGATATACAGGAAGAATCGCAGGTTGCTATCGCGGGGTGGGTGGGGGATGAAGTGGCGGGCGATTTGTTTGGTGGTGGAGGTGCTGGAGCTTGAGTTGACGCGGGCTCGATTGCCTACGCACCGCGCCAAGGCCCCGGAGCTGGTGAAGCTACGACCGCCGCCGCCGCGTCGTGGAGCTGCCTTCAGGGCGACCGACACCATCAACACTGCCTCACTCAGATATTCTCTCGCAAACTCACCTTCGAGAGCAGGTTGTAGCTGTTCGATATTGCTTCACCGTTCTGGATCCCACCTCCACGGTCCCAATACTCACAAACCACGCTTGTCCCGCATCACGCTCTACTAAGTCACTATGTAAGAGCACCATGCAGGTCGATTGTCTGACTTACTAATGAGCGTATAGGGAGGTTCTGCTTGGCATCACGGGGAAGGACTTCACCCTCATCGCCGCGTCCAAAGCCGCCATGCGCGGCGCCACCATCCTCAAGGCCACCGATGACAAGACTCGGGAGTTGAACAAGCACACGCTGATGGCTTTCTCTGGAGAGGCTGGCGACACAGTGCAGTTCGCTGAATACATCCAAGCAAACGTCCAACTGTACTCGATGCGCAACAACATGGAGCTGTCGCCCGCTGCTACCGCTAACTTCGTCCGTGGAGAGCTCGCACGCGCACTGCGATCAAGGAAACCCTACACAGTGAACTTACTGCTTGGAGGCTACGACAGTATCGCCGACAAGCCTACACTCTACTGGATCGACTACCTAGCGAGCTTGGCACCAGTCCCCTACGCAGCCCATGGGTACGCCCAGTACGTTGTCCCACATCGACAGCATCTAGACAAGGATTCATGTGAAGGGTGTCAGCTAACATGAATCAGGTACTACTGTCTCTCGTTACTCGACAAGCACCACCACCCCGACATCGACTACGAGCAGGGTCTGAAGATTATGAGGATGTGCACAGAGGAACTGAAGCGCCGCATGCCAGTCGACTTCAAGGGCGTATACCTCAAGGTCATCACAAAGGACGGTGTCAAGAATGTCGAGTACGAGGACGACGTCAACGTTGCGATACCATAGATGGTCAAGAGGAAAGATTTTGAGAAGTCAAAAGACCTATGGCAGGTATATCACGCCTTTCAGAGGTAGACCTATGAAGCACTTGATAGATAGAGAGCTAGCATCACGACTGAGTTATGGTAGAGACGCCACAGTCAATAACCAGAACGTAACGAATGTAAATGAGGACCCTTTGTCGTTGATGTCGAGGAGCAGCACCAAGTCGACCTGAGAAAGATCGCTTACCGACCATGTCCGATGGAAGCGAATTACGATGCAAAGGCGTACTGTCGGATGATACAGAGACTGAACGCGGAGACTCACGCAGTGGCTGTACGATTTGCTGGCAATGCGTGTTAAGCACAAGTTAACGTTTGGACTGAATTGAGAAGATCGATGCCACCAGGACACATGGTTTTGTGATATGGAAACAAGGCGGCACAATTCTTGGGGCAGAACAGGATGTGTGCTGGAGAGGCACAACTTTGGACAAATCCAACTCACTTGGGCATCCTCGCACAAGCCTTGCCTGTTTTCATGTTTCGGCCGTCCGCTTGAGGTTGGACAGGCGTGTGATCTTCAATGCACGCACGATCGAGACTGAAGGCGGTTAGAGGGTCTGTGTTCCGGAAGATCGCCGCGGCTCACAGTTCGCGCGGTGGCTGCGTCAGTCCAAGTGTGACATCATTGCTACCAGACCCTAACAGCTACACCAATCCATCATTACTAGCATGGCCGCTGCAAGGCGGCTAAGACTGTATTCGTCATATCCTCTGTTGTTGTAGTCTTCCTCCTTCCCTTGATGCCCCCAGATTCATATCACAACCCTGCGACGATCGTCTTTGACTGAAAAAGCTCAGCATGGCGACAACAGGATTATCGACCGCTGTTCCCCACATGGACGATGGCGCACCCCTGAAGAGCACGCAAGATGCTCCACCAAATACCTCCACAGATAAGGGTATGCGATGTCCTGATCCCTCGGCGCATTTACATCAGTCGCAAAACAATGCCTTGCAAAACCAGGCATCGGCTGCGGCCTTGTATAGCACAAGGCCAGCCAGTGAGAAGCAGAAGATCAACCCGCTCGGACCGGACGGAAAGCTTTCGTCGGCAAGTAAGTCGCATAAAACGGGTGCATTTCTCTAGTTACGATTCTGACGTGAACGCAGGTGCGGCGGCCAGTTTGAAATACGCGAAAGCAAATGATCTTCCCAGCTTTCCTGTTATCGGCATCGACACCTCTTCATCCGCTGGAACTGCTGCACTACTCGCACACCAAAACAAGAAAAGCCCCGAGTGGTGGAAACCCGAGCAATCATCTGCTGCCGGTAAAGCCGCTTTGCTGGCAAACGACTACAAGATGAAGCCACTGTGGCAACCAGAAGCAAGCGCTGCTGGTTCCAGGGCAGCTCTTCTCGCCCACAGAGATGGTGGAAAACTGAACTTGTGGCAACCTGAAGCTAGCGCTGAAGGCAATTCAGCAGCTAACATTGCTATGCGCAAGACAGGTCTCGGACCACAGATTGATTATGGATACACCGAGGACGGGAGGAACAAGGCATTGATCGCAGCCACCGGAGCTACCTCAGCATCCAACCGAAAGCGCGCGCAGTCGATCCCATCGTCTGTCTCTCTCTATCCAGACCAGAAGAACTCTGCCAAGAACGCTCTGAGCGCCGCAACGATAGCTCATAGCCCATCAATGCGAGCGTCCAAAGTACCGGCAGTCCAGCCTCAGGATTCCAGTAGACTGGGAAGTGGGGCAATGGAGGCGGCAAGGATTCAGCACGCCAAAAGCTCCAGGGAGATGTACACAAGCGCTCCTCCAGTCTCACTAGAGATTGAAGAGAAGAAGCGCAACGATGCCCTCCGAGCTTCAGCCGTTGTCATGGCCCAGAAGATGTACAGTGTTCAGCAACAGCACATCGACGGTCCATCCGGGGTGTCTGCCGCTCGCACTGGTGCTACTACTGCTCACGGGCAACAACGAGTAGCCACCAGTGAGGGAGACCTCAAGTCACAAGCCATGCAGTACATTGGCATTCAAGAAGCTGCACAGAAATTGGCGCAGGAGCGACTAGCTAAGATCGGATACGACGAGAACGCCGCCTACCGAAGCTACTACGGCTACGAGAAGCAGAATCGTTCCAAGCTTTCGATGCGACGAGGAAGGCCTCGCGCTCGCAGCACGTCCGAAGCCCTCAAAGATGACAGCGATTCCGACGAGGATGACTTTCGTTCGAGACGCATTCGCCATCAAATGAAGGAGTTCAACCAGCAGCTTGCTGATGTTGACGCGAAGAAGCGCGAGCAGGACCGTAAGGGCCTTATTGCTGCTGCCGAACGTAAAGTCAAAGCTCAGATGCTGGGACTTGACAAGGACATCTTCGATAAGACTGGCAAGATGCCGACCTCTGTGGCGGATGACTGGGATGAAAAAGCGCGCCAACGGGCGCTTGCCAACTCTGAGGCTCGCATGGAGAACCATGGCAGAGTCAACATTGGCAACGGCAAGTGGATGGATCAGGCTGAGATCGAAGCTATTGCTCAAGCAAGACTCCAACCGACACTTGATGAGATCTCTGAGAAGGCCGAGAAGCAAAGAGCTCTGGACGCTGAAAGGCAACTTGAGCTCGAGAACAAGAAACGTCAGGAGCAGGAAGAGAAGGCTCGCCAGGCGGAGATCAAGGCTGAAGAAAAGAGAGGTAGAGGTGAGTCGACATGGCTGCTGTTGTGCTTTTCAGAAACAGCGCTAATAATTAGTAGACGAAGAGAAGAGGGCAGCAAAGGCCCGCAACGCTGAAGACAAGGCTGCTGCAAAGCAGGCCAAGGAGGCAGAGAAGACCAAGAAAGTCGAAGAGCAACGTCTGGCCAGAGAGGAGCATCGAAAGTCCAAGGAAGCGGAACGAGTCGTGCCTGCAGCTGGACCTGCATTAGGAACCAGTGTTGTAGCTACGCCTACAGGACCTATCGCTGCGACCGCCACCGACGGGAACGCAGACTTGTACAAAGATCCTACTGCTCCCACAAGGATCACTACAGAAACGACTGTCCCTGCCAGAGACTCTACTGCCATTGCTCCCACCCGGGACTCAGCCGCTACTGCACTACCTTCGACCGATCCTGCTTCTCCCACCTCGCCCACCTCATCTAAGGGCTTCAAGTCAATCTTCAACAAGTTGAAGCGTCGATCCAAGCACGACTCAGCTGTCACAGAGAGTGACGGTAAGACCGCGGAGAAGGATACAGGCTTCGTCGGCGGCGCCACTCTTCGTGCATCCCAGTCCAATGCCCACTCGTCGACAACACCCTCCACTTCTCATGCCGAGGTGAGCTCGGTCACCCACCCGACCGACCTGGGTGATGTGGAGCCTACTGTCATTGCCGGGCCTGCAGTTGTTCCCCACGTCAGGGATGATCGCCACTCTGGTATCTCTTCTCTTAGCAGCGACGACGAAGAGCTGTCGCGGGGCCGACCCCGCCCACAGCGTCTCATGAGCAATGACACCAGAGCTTCATCTGACTTTGAAGAGGCTAGGGACCACTTCGATGAGGATTTGGCTCCTCCTCCCACGTTCACAAGTGAAGTGGACAAGGGCCGTCACGGCAGCCCAGTTCGGGACTCAAAGTTCCACGAAGTCGGGATCTGATGGGGAGAGCAACAGTGGAGATAATGTCTGATGAGCGATCTAGAAGATTGTAATGGTTGGATGATGGAGGACACAATTGCTTGCACTCGCCAATTTGCTTTACCCTTGATACCGTACACCTATAGTTGGACTGACACGCGAATTCCATGGTTTCACTCATTTGACAGGGCCCCTACAACATTAACGCGAGCCCCCCCCCCCCCCCCCCCCCCCCCCCCCCCCCCCCCCCCCCCCCCCTCATTCAAACGTCCTCTCAATATTTTACCCGCATTGGTCAGTCGTTTGCCAAACATGCAAGCTCACCGCAATTGTGACTTGTGCAAGTGAGATTTTTGATAAGCTCGAGTATAATTGGAGGCGGCAATCGACGTCAGCCCGCTTGCAACGCTTACCGCTTCGGGATCAGCCAAGCCCGGCTCGCTCAGCGTACTGTGGAAACCGTGGACAACAACGAGCTCCTGAGCATCACCTAACCCACTCACCCCACACCGTCAAACGACACCCTCTCATTTTCTATCGCGCGCCTCTGGAGTTGTGCATCTGGGTTTAATACTTCTTTCCCTTCCGATACCCCCATAGTTGAGCGACCTCTCACCCCAGTGAGCTTGGAGCTGGTCTGTCGCAAACATGGCTCAGCGCCAGGTTCCGTTGCACGTCACTCAGCCGACGCTGGTAAGTGTTCCATTGAAACAGAGCTGGAGTAGAGCTAACAATTAAATTTCTAGCTCACGAACTTGAACATTCTCGTATGTTGAACTGTCCATCCTAGGCTCCCAATAGAGGCCAGACCAAGGGGCAGCGAGCTAATAAAAACCATAGCCAGCGTCGATATCATGGCAAAACTGTGTACGTATCATTTAGTTCTAACTTTGGTAGTAGAATGAAGCGCTGATTCCCGCCTTAGACTCTCGAGTCCGACAAGTACGTTTGCGTGCGCCAGGTCAACAACGAGGCCAACACCCCCGCCGAGACCGTCATCATCGATCTGAAGAACACAAACAACGTCATCCGCAGACCGATTCGCGCAGACAGTGCGATTATGCACTTGACTGAGCCGATCATTGCTCTGAAGGCGCAGGGTAGAACGTTGCAGCTGTTCAACCTTGAGACAAAAGAGCGTCTGCAGACATACAGCCATCAGGAAGACATAGTTTTCTGGCGATGGATCAGCCAAACCACGCTTGCGCTGGTCAGCTCGAAGGCTGTGTATCACTGGGATGTGCTGGAGTCAAAGACCTCGACACCCCGCAAGATCTTCGACCGCCAGGAGCAACTCGAGGTGGGTAGCTTAGATTCCTTACAAAGGAAAACTCTAATGATTGGTGTAGAACAACCAAATCATCAACTACGTAACGAACGATGATGAGAGCTGGTCTTGTTTAGTGGGCATTGCAGCGGGTGCCAACGGTGGCATTCGCGGTAACATGCAGCTGTTCTCCAAGGCGAGAAACGTCAGCCAGCCTCTGGAGGGTCACGCAGCCACCTTCGGCACACTCCGTCTCGACGGCGCGACAACAGACACCAAGATCTTTGCGTTTGCCGTCAAGTCGCAAACCGGCGAGGCCAAGATCAACATTGTTGAAGTCGACCACAATGCGGCCAATCCGGCATTCCCCAAGCGATTGATCCCGATTCACTGGCCTGCTGAGGGCACAGGTGACTTCCCACTCGGCATCCACATCGCGCACAAGTACGGCATTCTAATCGTAATCACCAAGTTCGGTTTCATCCATCTGCACGATCTCGAGACCGGTACTGCTCTCTTCTTGAACAGGATTTCGGAAGAGACTGTCTTCACTACCGCGCGCGACGATGAGGGCACCGGGGTTGTTGTTATTAACAAGCGCGGACAGGTGTTGCATACGACTGTTCGCGAGGACACACTGATCCCGTACATTATGGAGAATCCAGCATGTGCCGAGATTGCCTACAAGCTCGCATCCAAGGGCGGTCTTCCAGGAGCCGACAACTTGTACAACCAGCGATTCGAGCAGTTGATGAACCAGGGCAACTACTCTGAGGCTGCTAAGGTCGCAGCCAGCTCACCGCGTGGTTTCCTCCGCACAATGAACACCATCAACCGTCTGCGCTCGGTTCCCCAGCAGCCCGGTCAAATCACCGTTCTTCTGCAGTACTTCGGCTCGCTGCTCGACAAGGGTGGCCTGAACCGCGAGGAGACACTGGAGCTGGCCCGCCCTGTCTTTGCACAAGGCCGAAAGCACCTGATCGAAAAGTGGCACAAGGAGGGCAAGCTCCACTGCTCTGAGGAGCTTGGTGACCTTGCTAAGCCTCACGATCTGAACCTTGCTCTGGCTATCTACAAGGAGGCCAACGTTCCTCAGAAGGTCGTTGCTTCGCTTGCCGAGCTTGGCCACTACGACATGATCGTTCAGTACTGCACGTCAGTTGGCTACACTGCCGACTACAACGTTCTTCTCCAGCACGTCATCAGGTCGAACCCTGAGAAGGGAGCCGAGTTCGCCATCCAGCTTGCAAAGAACGAGAGCGGCCCACTCATCAGTACCGACCGCGTTGTGGACATCTTCCAGTCTCAGGGAATGATCCAACAAGCCACCGCATTCCTTCTCGATGTGCTCTCCAACGACCGCGAAGAGGAGGGCCACTTGCAGACAAAACTGCTCGAGATGAACTTACTCAACGCCCCTCAAGTCGCTGATGCCATTCTCGGAAACGAGATGTTCCACCACTACGACAAGGCTCGCATCGCCTCTCTTTGCGAGAACGCCGGTCTACTTACACGCGCATTGGAGCACAATGACGACCCCGCGGCCGTCAAGCGCATCATTGTACAAACCGACAAGCTTCCCGAGGAGTGGTTGCTCAATTACTTTGGTCAGCTCACTGTCGAGCTTTCCCTGGAGTGCATGGATGCTATGCTCACATCCAACATCCGACAGAACCTTCAAGCCGTCATTAGAATCGCCCAGAAGTACTCCGACCTCCTTGGTGCCACCAACATCATCGACCTCCTTGAGAAACACCGCACAGCTGAGGGTCTGTACTTCTTCCTCGGCTCCATTGTTAACGTCAGCGAGGACCCGGATGTTCACTTCAAGTACATCGAGGCTGCGACCACTATGGGTCAGCTGAACGAGGTCGAGCGTATCTGTCGCGAGAGCAACTAGTAAGTTCCAATTTCGAAGTTACCTGATTGAAGAAGTGCTAACCTCTGAAAGCCTACCTGCTGAGAAGACGAAGAACTATCTCAAAGAAGCCAACTTAACCGAGCAGTTACCTTTGATCATCGTGTGCGACCGATTCAACTTTATCCACGACTTGGTTCTGCACCTCTACAAGAAGCAGCAGTTCAAGTCCATTGAGGTCTACGTACAGCGTGTCAACCCTGCCAGGACTCCTCAGGTCGTCGGAGGTCTACTTGACGTTGATTGCGACGAGAGCATCATCAAGAGCCTTTTGTCCTCGGTCACACCCTCATCAATTCCCATCGACGAGCTTGTCTCTGAAGTCGAGTCGCGCAACCGCCTCAAGCTTCTCCTGCCCTTCTTGGAGGCGACACTGCAGGCCGGAAACGAGCAGCAGGCTGTCTTCAACGCCCTGGCCAAGATTTACATCGACTCCAACAATAACCCCGAGAAGTTCCTCAAGGAGAACGACCAGTACGACACCCTTGTTGTTGGTAAGTACTGCGAGAAGCGCGATCCTAACCTTGCGGTGATCGCCTACTCCAAAGGCCAGAACGACCTGGAGCTCGTCAACATCACCAACGAGAATGCCATGTTCAAGGCCCAAGCTCGTTACCTGCTTGATCGTGCCGAGTCTGAGATCTGGGACTTCGTCCTGAGCGACAACAACATGCACCGCCGATCCTTGATCGACCAGGTCACATCTGTGGCAGTACCTGAATCAACAGACCCTGACAAGGTTTCGGTCGCCGTCAAGGCGCTTATCACCAATGACATGCCAGCTGAGCTCATTGACTTGCTCGAGAAGATCCTGCTCGAGCCTACCACCTTCAGCGACAACCCATCTCTACAGAACCTTCTCATGCTTACAGCAGCCAAGTCCGACCGTGGGCGCGTTGCTGGATACATTCAGCAGCTTGAAAACTACACACCCGAGGACATTGCTCAGCAGTGTATCGAGGTTGGCATGTACGATGAGGCCTTCGAGATTCACAAGAAGCACGGTCAGCACGTCGATGCTGTCAACGTCCTTGTCGATCACATTGTCAGCATCGACCGTGCTCAAGAGTACGCCGACCGCGTCGATACACCGGATGTCTGGAGCAGAGTCGCTAAGGCCCAGCTTGACGGTCTCCGTGTCACTGACTCGATTGAATCCTACATCCGCGCCGGAGATGCCTCCAACTTTCTCGAAGTCATTGAAGTAGGAACTCACGCAGGCAAGGACGAGGACCTCATCAAGTTCTTGAGGATGGCTCGCAAGACCCAGCGTGAGGTCCCTATTGACACCGCCCTGGCCTTCTGCTTTGCTCGCACCAACCAGCTGTCAGAGCTCGAGGACTTTCTTCGTGGAACTAACGTCACTGATGTCGAGGCATCCGGTGATAAGGCTTACGAGGAGGGCTTCCACGAGGCTGCCAAGATCTTCTTCACCAGCATTTCCAACTGGGCCAAGCTTTCCACCACTCTCGTCCACCTTGAGGATTACCAGGCTGCTGTTGAATGTGCCCGCAAGGCAAACAGCGTTAAGGTCTGGAGACAGGTCAATGAGGCCTGTGTTGCGAAGAAGGAATTCCGCCTCGCCCAGATTTGCGGTCTCAACCTCATCGTCCACGCTGAGGAGTTGACCGAGCTCGTAAAGCAGTACGAGCGCAACGGCTACTTCGATGAGCTCATCGCCCTTCTGGAGGCCGGTCTCGGTCTCGAGCGTGCGGTAAGTAAACTAGACCGAGTTACTCTAGGATAAAGCTAACAGTCAATAGCACATGGGCATGTTCACAGAACTCGGCATTGCACTTGCCAAGTACCATCCCGAGCGCGTAATGGAACATTTGCGTCTGTTCTGGTCCCGCATCAACATTCCTAAGCTTCTCCGCGCGGTCGAGGAGGCTCACTTGTGGCCAGAGCTCATCTTTCTTCACATCCATTACGACGAGCTGGACCAAGCAGCTTTGTCCATGCTTCAACATGCAGCGGACGCCTGGGAGCACCAGGCTTTCAAGGATATTGTGGTCAAAGTGAGCAACGTGGAGATTTATTACCGCGCCCTCAGCTTCTATCTTGAGCAGGCCCCAACGCTCCTCGTGGATTTGTTACAGGCCCTTATCCCAAGGATTGACGTCAACCGTGTGGTCCGCATCTTCACGCAGAGCGACAACATTCCTTTGATCAAGCCGTTCTTGCTCAGCGTCCAGTCTCAGAACAAACGCGAAGTCAACAATGCTCTCCATGATATTCTCATCGAGGAAGAGGACCACAAGACGCTGCGTGACTCGGTCAGCAACCACGACAACTATGATGCAACCGCCTTGGCTCAGCGTCTTGAGAAGCACGACTTGATCTTCTTCCGTCAGATCGCCGCGGACATCTGGCGCAAGTCAAAGCGCTGGGACCGTTCCATCGCGTTGTCCAAGCAGGACAAGTTGTTCAAGGATGCAATCGAGACAGCGGCGATCTCCAGCAAGCCTGATGTTGTGGAAGACCTGCTTCGCTACGTAAGTTGTACTGTGTCCGTATTTCCCGCGATATCATACTAACAATTTGTAGTTCGTGGACATTGGTAGCCGTGAGTGCTACGTGGGTATGCTCTACGCCTGCTACGACCTCATTCGCCCTGACGTCATCTTGGAGATGTCATGGCGCAACGGTCTCCATGATTTCACCATGCCGTACATGATCAACCTTCTGTCGCGCCAGACTGCAGCCATCGAGCTGCTGACAAAGGACAACGAGGAGCGCAAGGCTCGCGAAGTCTCTCAACAGAAGAAGGAGGACGATACCCCTATCCTCGGCTCGCGTCTCATGCTCACGCAGGGGCCTATTGCCTCCGCGCCGTCTCCCGGCCCTTACGGCCAGGCTAACGGCATCGCACCTCAGCCCACCGGCTACCGAGGCTTCTAGAGCATTGGGCGGCGATAGATGATGAAGTTGATGGTCTTGCATGAAGAAAATGGCGGGCGATTGATTCAATCTACATATTGATCTTTTGGCGGACATGCAAAAGCGGGTGCATCCCTGATTAGTAGCAGCGATGGAACCTAATGGCGTTCAATGGAGGTTCCCCGGTATGCATTATTACTGGGCTTGTTCATGCCATGTATACTACTTAATCATTGTTTCTTCAGATGTCATTTGCCGCAGAAACACCCAGTGACATTGCACAGACTTGGTCATTAGTGTACGTAATAGATTGAGACTGCGTCGCTTCGCACAGCTTGCGGTGCACACGGGCAGAAGATGACTTTGCCAATTTGCAGTGCATATGCTTCGGATGTATCTCGGGATAGTCCCCGTACATTCCCGAAATACCTGGCCTGTACCTGAAGGTATGTTTGTATTTTGTGTCATTCCGCTTCTGAAATGTGCGTGAGGCGGGCATAATCCCATGCTGCAGCGAAGCTGGTCGCAATACTCGGAAAGTGTTGTAGTCTCCAGGACTTCTACCTGATCGTCAAGGATTTCCATATTCACTGTGAGTGCCTCCAATTGTTGACGGATCACTGAAGCACACCGTAGTTTTTTTTCACTGTTTTAGAAACGAAAAGCCCAAATCTGAGTACAAAGTCCAATTCTCCGTGTTGCAGTAAGAATTGGCCGCAAATCCAGAGCAATTTGTAGTCTTCATAGGCCAGGACCCATTGCAAAGTACCCTCGGTTCGGGTGCAAGTTCCTCCATTTTCCTTTGTTTGGGGTTACTGCTTAAAGTTGGGTTATTACGCTGCACGTGAAGTAGAGAGGAATATGCATCTGATATAGGTCTTAACATCTGAGCCACCCTGCGTGCAAGTATTTTGGAAGATGAGGCTACGAATGAATGTGAGATGGTCCTCTTGCAGTATGAGCTAACTGCAGTCTGGAGAATACATTGTCGTTTCCATAATCGTGATTGTGATACAGAAAACACCCAAACAGACTTCGAATACCGCCTTTGATGTTGAGTTGCAGTCAGCGGAGTGGAGGCATACTTGATTGACTATTGTACAATAGGGTGAATGGAATCGAGCCTATGAAGTTATTGAAATTGATACTGGGAGATGGCAGACACTGCATCTCGCAGCAGAGAACCCGCTCGGGGAGCAGGAGTTCCTTTCTGTTGAAAGGGTTGGATGGGGATCGCTTGAACTCTTTGTAGTCCCAGGAGCTTCTGACGTGTTCCAAACCGCTCAGATTGTCATCGAGCACCTCTCACCTTTTCGCGACTATACGCTCGCAACTGTGTCGTTCTGCCGCGCGACAGATCGAAAATGCAGCATTACAGCAGCCTGCGTTGCTGGAATCAGATCCGAGACAAGTTAGATTGATCAATCCCGAGTGTACGCATATTAACGAAGTCGTTGGAGATAGTGCTGCAGTGCTAAAGGACGGTTGTCTTGTCGTTTGGGTGCAATCTTCAGGCGTGGACAATGGTGCCAGTGGACGAAGATTCACAGTTGCAAAATGTCCTAGCTGGGAGCATACAGAGCAACTTGTAGTCTGCAGAGTTCTTACTTGCTGCCGAGAGCGCTGCTGTTCAGTGTTAGTTACCTTCCATAATTCTGGGTCTCAAGGCTTGCAGCCTGTCAATTGCACAGCACGACATAGCAGTTACACAAAGGCAGTTGAGCAAAGTAGTCGAGGTGAATCAAGGGTTGTGGGGTGATCAGCGTCAGCCCTTTGATGTTGGGTGGGGCAAAGTTGCAAGCACATAAGATAGGAAGGCGCTACCGCGTGCGTATTAAAATAACACTATATAATTACAATCTCTTCAGATCTTCATCAAGCATTCTTGGTGAAAGGGTATCATAATTGCCTTCCAAGCAATTGGCCCGGGTTCGAGTCCCGGAGAATGCATTAGCTTCTGTCTTGCTGAATACCACCTTTTTGCTCTGGCAGGTGACCTCTTTGGTTTTCTTGCGACGCCACTGCCGTTCCTGAATAAGCTCGGCCACAGAGTTTTCGGCCACCCCACCAACATGAAGCGCCCCATTTGGAGTTGGATATTTTCAACAACCACACTTATATTTGCCACTCATTACATATAGACTGAAGCGTGAGAGCTGCTGCTACCTCTGCTGCTTTTTGAGCTTCTTCTTCAACTGAACTTGATGCCTGCTCGGCCTGTAACGCTGCGGCTTGCTCAAGCGCAGCCTTGATCGCTTCAACGTTACTAAAGCGCTTATTTAGGTCAGGCTGGACTCGCTTTCTCTTCCAGGTAGTAGTAATACTATCTAGTTAATATTTAAGTTGTTTATTTTCAGCTTGGAGCTCGGCTGCTTGAGTATTTGCCTTTGCTATAGCCTTGCCTGCCTTGCTAAGCACTGCCCGAGTGCTCCGTGAGAGAGATTCTGACTGTAGGAGCTGCCAATGAGCCCTATATAGAGCCTGTGCGCTCTGGGGCGTGCTGAGGATCGAATTCAGGAGCTCTGAGTCCTGGGTATCACTTAGTGGTGTTGCTGGACGGCCGGACACTTGGGATGAGAGTAAAACAAGATCTGGGTTATATGGGCAGAGACCTGAGGCTCTCCACCCAGCTCAGATTACTCGCTTAGTTAAGCCTTCCTCTCTTGCCTTGTTGTATAATACAACAAAGCGCTCTTTCTTGATAGGTGCTGCGTTATCAAGGGCACAGGTCTCTGATTGATACTTTGTCTTAACAACAGAGAAAGGAGCAAGATCCAGGGGCTGAAGCACGTGTGAGGCCTGAGGGGGAAGGTAGAGGACCTATATCTTGTTGTCCTTACAGGCCAACATGAAGTTAACAGGGACATAAGAGCCATAGCCGTCTATAAGAAGGAGCCTCTATTAGCCTTAGCAGGGAGTAGTATTGGGGATAAATATACGCTGTAACTACTCTAATTTAATCTGATTTAACATCTATCTATTCTCTAAGGTTGTATATAGCTATTCAGGTACTCCTTAGGCTAGGAACCTTGTAGTTTGTAGATGCTTGCCCCTGAAGATAACAAGGCATTGAAGCTTGACGCCTGTGGCAGATATTGTCTCAATTATCAAGACCCATTCACAATCCTCTAGGGATTTGATATAAGCCTTCTTCCTTGATGAGCTAGCGAGGACTCTGGTATTTGTACATACCCCAAGGCCAACCCCAGTCTCATCCATATTCTATATATCCTTATACTGTATACCTAGCTTAATCCTAGTACGCTCAAATAGCTCAAGAAAGGCATAAATTGTCTTATATTAAGCTCCTAGAGTCCTTGCCGTCTTAATCGTTCGGCCAACTATAGAGGCAACCTGCGGGTTGCGGGCGATAAAATGGGGTACCCATAGTTAACTATGCAGAGTGTGGTCTCTATTTATCTAAAGTATTTGGGAGGCCATTTCTCGTACCCGTGGATAGAATAGGGGCTAAGCACGTTTATCCTCTTCAAGAATCTACTTAACTAAGAAGCGCTCTTGCTCTAGATTCAATTGCTGCTGATTTGAGTGTGCTGACGTGTGAGGTTGACAGCCCTGTAGGCGGCTTTGAAGCGTGGATCGAGGAACTCCGTACGCACAGGCAGCCTGCCGCTGGCTCTTAAAAACACCAGAATTGAGATCACAAAGCGTAGATTGTATAGCAAGCTCACAGGTATCCATTTTAACAAAGTGATTGTGATAATATAGAGCGTCAATTGAAGATGACGCGTGGTGGTGGGGTGGCCGAAAACTATGTGGCCGAGAAGTATACCGGTATGGCCGAGCTTATGCCAGACGACGAAGGTTGTTCTCTGTGTCTAATGCTCTGGCCTTCGTCCAGTTTGCTGGCTCCCGTGGGTATTAGGAAGGCTGAACTTTCTTGAAGTTGTCCATTGGCGTCTTTGCTTGATGCGACTAGACGTGTGACTCACCGAGAGAGGCCCATGGGCTCTGGACTGGTCAGCAGGAGTAGCCATCTATACCTGACGCATCGTGCGACCTACGAGCTTCAGAATTTTTTTTTGTAGCGGCAACATGTCTAAGCATTGTTCCAGTGCAGGTAGAACCCAGGAGCTTTGGCAAATGCCTCCTCGAAGTGCTTCTCGGAGCGCTCCTGGATTTCGGACTTCTCAACGTCGTTCAGGATGCCCGCCGGGAAGATGTTCTTCGCTGCCTGTGCATGCCCTAGAGGCATTGCTGAAGGCTTGTAGACCTCTTCGATCCCAGCATACAATTCAAACGAGTCCACAAATATCTTCATGCAAAAGCGAAGGTTCTAAAGGGCAGTCTCGGCGAGAGCTGCATCTTCCAGATAGCGCGCAGCCTCTAGGAGTACTAAGTGTACGATGGTAGTAGTTATCATGGACAAGAGATTCGTGTCCTTGGGGTTATCAGGTTCTGAAGTAGCGTGTCGCAAGCGCTTCGTTAAAAGGACATTGACATGACAAGTGCACCAGAAGTTCATCATGCAGTCAGTAAGAAACAGATCAATGTTGTCACAGCAAACAGCAGGCGACGCCCATGTTTGGAGCATCCTGTGGGAGCCAGCACTGCCACAGGGGATATGAATGAACGTGACAACATGTCTGGAAGATGTGGTGCAAGGATAGAATAGAAGTTGACAAGTGCAGATCAGTCATTTCTATGATTCTGCTTGATGATTCAAGTTTCGCGCTTTTTACATGCACACACGCTCCCTCACGTGCATCGGGTGTCCCGTGAGGCGGCGACGGGGCACGGTTCTCAGGTCCACCCAGGACACATAAGACAGAAGGTCGGATCAGATCGGGGCGTTCAGAAAATATAACGGAGCGCTACGTGGCGACGAGATGTTGAGAAGAGTTGGAGAAAGCCAAGAAAATAGGTGACTTTAAGAGGTAAGACCACCTTTCCATGTCCAACTCTTGTGCTTCTGTATTGTTTGACGCACGTTAATCGCTGTCTCCTGCGGACACAGTCCCACAGTGTGCTCATGTCTCGGTGTCATGAAGCGTAGCAGTGCTTGTTGGCCTGCTACTCGGAGCAGCGGGCTCTTGGCAGAAACGCCCGCTCTCCAGTGAAGACCTTTTAGAACTGTCCGTTAGGTGGTCACGAAGCAGCGTTGATGAATTGCCAATATTGTAGCTCTCTAGTATGATATTGGTCGCTCTTCGTTTGTCCCGCCTCACATCCTCTCATTCTTTTCAGTCTCCTTCTGACGCTTCTCAATAAGCTTCCTCGCCCGCTCACGTCGCTCCTCACGCAGAGTGATGAAGATCCAGAACCATGTGGACAGCTCAACGAAGCCCCAGCTGAACACTATGCTGTTCTTGAGATAGCTGCCTGGGCTATTCGTGTACGCAATGCCCCTGGCCCCACCAAACATTCCGCCCTCCTTGAACAAGAATGTGTATCCGGTGAGCGCGAACAAGAAGACAAGTCGCACGGGTGTCTGTGCGCCCCAGTATTCGTCGAAGACCTCTTCGGGGAGCGAGGCTGCAGTAAGGTCGTTGATGCCAATGAACGCGAAGAGGATGGCGATGAAGGCTATCGGTGCGGAAGGTGTAGCGAAGTCACGCGGTATGGGCTTCTAAGATCAGCACATTGTTTTGGCCGCTATGAAAGCTAATACATACGAGGTGCATTGATCCGCCCAAGATCATAATAACACTCTGGTTTGCGATGAGCTTTGGGTTCTTGATCAGAAGTGCAGCCAGCGTTAGGTGGAACAGCGCCAAACTGCGGATCATCGCATTTGCCGATATGATAGCCATGGTTGCGAGGGTGAGAGCTTTGTGTGTGGTGTGGTGTGGCTGCGTTAATAGGAGATGTGGTGTTGGTGTTCAAACTACCAAATATCACTTCTAAACTCCGTGCATAACTCCTCGCGCTAAAGCTGATGACGAATAGCACGTTATCATCTGTCCATCAACATGGAACCTTCGGACTCGAACATCGGCATCTTTTTGTCCAAGAGAAATAATCATGGAGAAAGACTACAAGCTTCTCAAGTCAGAGACAATGCCTCTGAAGGAGCATGATGATGCCCCTCAACGGCGACCAAAACGGTCGAATCACGCAATCGTTGCTGCGCTCCTCTTCTTCGTTGCTACTTTCTGGTTTACAACCACCGCTCCTGGCTTCACGATAGGGCGCCATGGCTATGGCCACAAGCTCACAGTTGAGCAAAGAGCCGCTATAATATTAAAGAAGCACCCGCTCATTGGTCAGTAGTGTCGTGCGGTATCTCTGCTTTGATTACTGATGGTTTGCAGATGGCCACAACGACTTGATGATTTTCATTCGTGGAAAGTACAAGAACCACATCTATAACAATGAGTTCCAAGAGAAGTTTGAGAACGGAGGTCTCGCGCAGCATGTAGACATCCCTCGGTTAGAGAAGGGATTGCAAGGCGGCGCTTTCTGGAGTGCTTTCTACGTATGCCCAACGGGAGAGAACACTACAGACTTCTCGGATGAAAGGTACTCCAGCAGTAAGTTGGGTTCAGCAGCTCTTAAGAACAGATTACTAAATCTAGCAGTCGTAAAGGCCACACTTGAGCAACTTGACTTGTACAGGCGTCTTGGAGAAAGCTACCCAAAGTACTTCGCTTCCTCATCAAACAGTCACGAAGCAGCCAAGGCATTTGAGGACGGTCGCCTTATCTCACCTGCCGCTATCGAGGGCCTGCACCAGATCGGCAACTCGGTATCGAATCTGCGCTTGTACCACCAACTTGGAGTCCGCTATGCAACCCTTACCTGGAACTGTCACAACAAGTACGCAGATGCTGCTTTGGAAACAAAGTACAACTCCGACGCTCGCATTGCGACTCCGTACTGGAAAGGCCTTAGCCCTGCGGGACGTGACCTTGTCAAGGAGATGAATCGTCTCGGTATGCTCGTCGATCTTGCTCATGTCAGTACAGACACTATGAGGGATGTTCTTGTCGGCAGGGAAGACGAAGATTGGAAAGGCAGTCTTGCGCCGCCGATCTTCAGCCACAGCTCGGCCTACGCGGTTTGCCCTCATCCTCGTAACGTCCCAGACGACATACTTCATCTCGTGAAGCAGCGCAATTCTGTCGTGATGATCAACTTCAACCCAGATTTCATCTCCTGCGTTTCCGGCAATTCGTTATCTGGTCTTCCCGAGACTGTACCCGCAAACGCTACGCTGAACCAAGTTGTTCGTCACATCAAGCACATTGGCGAGCTCATTGGGTACGAGCATGTTGGCATTGGTACAGATTACGACGGCATCGGAGCCACGCCTGCTGGACTCGAGGATGTCTCAAAATTCCCAGATCTGATTACTGAGCTCCTGCGACAAGGTATCAGCGACAAAGATGCTGCTAAGATCGCAGGCGGGAATGTTCTGCGAGTGTGGAAGGAGGCCGATGCAGTTGCCAGGAGGCTGCAGAAGCATACGAAACCGTTAGAGGACGATATTAAAGACCCGTGGTAATGAAATCTTGCATTGCATGCGCCACACGAATCTGTTTGATCTCGCGATCCTGCTGTGGCTGGGTCCGCAAGGCTGCATATGGGTCTCCGCATCACACCACCGCCCGTCAGCCCAGATCTTGACGGGTCGTACCTTGCTAAAATGAATACATGCTACGACTTATGTAATCTCTCCGAGGATTAGGCTATATAGACCACTCACTCATCAATTAACGAGAGTTTTCAATTGCAACGACCCCGCTCACCAGACGTTGAGACCCGTGACTTCCGCTTTCATACACTAGACACACAGCTTTCACGTGTCAACGGCTCACGTCCCAACATCACCACCAGACCATCATGCAGCAAGAGCACAGTAATCAGTCGAACATGGCAAGACAAAAACTCAAAACCAGCATTGCAATTGTTGGCTGCGGTGATGTAGGCGCCACGCTCGCGTACACCCTCATCCTCCAGCCCATCTGCAGCGAAGTGATCCTGGTCGACCCCAAGAAAGAGCTATTGGAGGCACAAGTACGAGACTTGGGAGATGCCACATACCGCGGTGGAAGTGGCGTAAAGGTGCGCGCTGGCGACCACAAGGACGCCGGACAAGCAGACATCGTCGTAATCACGGCTGGCGCAAAACAGAAAACAGGTAAATCCACTCACAATCTGGAGCACATCGATCAACCCTTACGATGATCAGGTGAATCGCGCCTCTCCCTCTTATCCCGGAACCTGCACATTCTCTCCTCAATTTTCAGCGCCATGTCGCCCATCAGCCCACACACCATCCTGCTCCTCGTCGCCAACCCCGTGGACATTCTGACCTACTTCGCACGCAAGCTCTCCGGGCTTCCGGAATCTCAGGTCCTCGGGACCGGAACCTCGCTCGATTCCGCACGCCTGCGCGGCATTCTAGCCCAGAAGACTGAAGTAGCGCCGAACAGCATCGACGCGTATGTACTCGGCGAGCATGGAGACAGTCAGTTCATCGCGTGGAGTAGCGCTCATGTGGGGACGACACCGCTTAAGCTTGTCTTGGGGGAGAAGTTGGACGAGGCGTTTAAGGCGGAGATCGCGAATTATACGAAGGGCGCTGCGGGGAGCATCATTGCTGCGAAGGTATGCGATTCTCTTTTCTGACGAGACAACAAAAGATACCAGCAGTACTGACATACACCAGGGGTGTACCGCATATGGTATTGGAAACATAGCAGCCTCGATCTGCAAGTATATTCTCTTTGACTCGCGCTCTGTGCGCCCTCTGTCTTTCTATCAGCCTGAGCTGGGCTGCTGCTTGAGCATGCCGGCTATCGTGGGTCGCAAGGGCATCATCAAAGCTATGCCCACGGATCTGGACGAACATGAGCAGGCGGAGCTCAAGAAATGTGCGCATGGGTTGCGAGGCGTCATCGAGGGTGCGGAGAAGGAGCTCGCAGCCGACCAGGAGCTGAAGAAGGCGTTGGAGGAAGACAAGGGTGCTTAAACAGATACCGCAGAGCGAAGATTTCGACGACAAGCCACGGGTTCTTAACCCCTTGGAGGCAATCGGTGTTCATCTGAGGCGCTTCTGCAATCAAGCAATAGTTGTGTAGACTACAATGAGAAATCGTCGAGTACAGTGCTCCAAAGTCTTGGTTGAATCGCAAAGCGACACTATGCTCAATTCCTATCCCAAACGCCAGCATATCCAAAGTAATTCGTAACAAACACAACCAGCTATGCCCTAACCTCCACGCTCCCTAGCTCAATACCCTCAATGAGCGGTATCGCCGGGACTGCAAGATCACTCGGGACAGTCGCCTCCTGCTTAGGACTCGCCTCCGCACTCGTGTACGCACTATCCTTCCTCTCAAGCTCAAGCTCCTTGTCAATGATATGCTGATACTCGTGCCTCCACTCGCACAACATGCCGCTCGTAACATTACTCCCACCGCACAAGACGATCACAACCTTGTCATCGGGCTTGACCGGGCGCCCAAGCGCTTTCTCCAGGCGGCCGTCGTAGCACAACGCCACGTTGACGCCGCATGCTAGCTCGACCATCATGCGCTCATCGTCGGCGAGGCGCCAGCACCCCATTGCTGCGACGCCGTCGGGAAGGACGACGGAACGTACGTTAGGGCGCTGGGAGTACTTGAACGTTTGATCTGTGACGCGGACACATCCGAGCGATGTCGCTTTAGATGTGATTTTAGGCATAGTTACAAGTTGCTTTGCGCTGAGGGAGGCGGCGAGAGATTCAGCGCCGGCGGTCTCGACCGCGAGGATCGTGGGTGTGGTCAGATTCATGCTGTCCATGGCTTGGCAGATGCCGTTCATCAAGCCGCCACCGCCGATGGAACAGATGATGACGTCTGGTGCATCGCCAGCTGGCATCTGCTCTGCAATCTCGTACATCAATGAGGAGTTGCCGGTCCATATGTCGGGGTGGTCGAAAGGAGGGCAGTATATGGTTGCGCCTTCGTACTGGTCATGTTGTCAGTAGGGGTCTATGATGGGGAGGGCTAGGAAGACATACATATGGCATGACGTATTCCCGGAGGTAGTTGTCGGCATCCTTCCAGGCGTTACCGTGAGATATCACGTCGTAGGCACCTGCTGCGCGGAGCTTGGTGACCATCAAGGCGGATGTGGCTGTGGGAACGACAACAGTGCAGTTCAGGTTCAGGGCACGGGCAGAGTGAACGGCAGCGAGACCTGCATTTCCACCACTGGATGCGAAGATATGAGGTTGAGAGCCGGCAGGAAGCTCTTCGAGACGGCGGAGGATGTAATTGCCAATACCTCTGTCATATCGTTAGATGGGCTATCGATGATACTATCGGTGGAAGGAAGCTTACCGTGACTTGAACGATCCGGATGGCTGTAAGTTCTCCAGCTTGAGGAAGATTCTGCTTCTACGATTTAGAACTCTCTTTACATAACAACATGGCGATCATCGTTGCGGTAGTACGACATAGGGAAGGTAGGAGAAGTGTGACCGTACCATCCCGCTGCCTCAGAGAGAGCGTAAGACTCCCTCAAGGGTGTCTCAACCCATGGGTTTGTTTGTTGTGGCTCGGACGCAGGCTTACTCTTGATTGCCATGTTGATATCCTTCGATGTGTGGTTAAGCTGAAGAAAGGACATGATGATGAAGACGTGATGAAGGGTACTATTACGACCGGCGAAGACCTGATAAGAAGGGACACTTTAAGTCGACTTGATAACAATATATACATACCCCGGGTCCGACCACCACAGAGGAAATGCTTATCGCTCCGCACGATCCCGCCATGTTCGAGTTTCCCGTCGGATATAGTTGGCATGAACACCGCAATGGTTTTGTCGATTACCCTATAACTTCCAGAAATTACCCTATAGATTCTCGATAAGGCTTGAGCCGCTAAGGTGCGACCGAGAATGACACGAGAAGGCACCCCGTGATTCGGGAATGCGACCGGTGGACTCTGTTCCCTAAAGCGGCTATCAACGGCGGAGCTAAATCGGGTGTTCTGCCAGGGACAGTGCCAGCTCTCGGCATATTGTGCCCTATCAATGCAACGCGTTTGCATCAGCGCTTGAGTGTAAGGAGAAGGTTGGTCCATTATTGTTCGAGAAAGTGTCGGAGCGGTGAGCAGAAATCTGGGGTGTCGTCGATAAGTTGCGGGGTCGTGAGGACCGCAATGGCGAGCTCTTGCAGCCGCACGTCAGCAATGCCATCGCGATCCAGACTACTCGATGGCTAACACTGCATTCGTCATGGGCAGGACATCCTGGTAGCTCTGGCATGTGTGCACTTTGCAGATCATGCGGCTTCGCACGTGTTGTGGCAGTCTGTGGGCTGCCTCTGGATCCGGCACCCCGACCGGAACATTAGATGTAGATTGATAGCTTATCGCACGACAATCCGCGGCAACGATGTCTTCCCGCGGGAGCGTGCGGTGCAACGGTCTCGCTCGCTTGCTCGCGCAAGACTCAAGCTGCGACCTCAGGCTGCCTCAGCAGACCCTTTCTGTAGTTCCAGTAGTTGGCCCGGATAGGGTCGTATCTAGTCGCCAACAGGTCCAAGGCTTTCTCTGCGGACTCCTTGTTGTTCTCCTCCTCCGCATAGATGTCAGCCAGCAGGTCGAGTGCGTGACTGGAGTAAACGTCGTCTGGCGACTGGATATCGGCGAACTCGGCTGCGAAGCTCTTGACGGTCGACTTTGGCAGCTGAGCAGCGCGCAGGATACCCGCAAGGTAGTTCCATGGGCTCTGGTTCTGTGGGGCTTTGCGGATGGCTTTCTTGGTGTACCTGGACCCTGATCAGTACAGACAGGCGACTACAACGCGTTTCAAGACATACTCAATCTCCTGCTTAGTTAAGTCCTCGCTCGGAGTCTTGCCATCACGACCGCCAATGACCAGGTAGTAGCGGTGGTTCCAGGCCGAGTTGTTCCTGACGTCTGCATCGATCATGCTCTCGGTCCACTGCAGCTCCTCGGGCTTGTCGAACAGGTCGAAGCGCTTGACCAGCCACTGCCTGTAGCTCCACACATGGTAGTTCTTCTCGTCCTTCTCAAGCATCTGGCTGACGAACTCGGCCTCTCCCTCGGGCGAACCGAGCGCATCGATGATGGTCTGGCGGTGGTGCCATATCTGGTAGTTCTTGAGGTGCTTGAGCGCGGTCGGATTGAGCCACTTGATCTCGTCTTCCAGCGGCTTGTCGAGCTCGGATATGGCCTTCGCGCGGTATAACCTGTGGCTGTCAGACCGCGTGCTCAAAAGTTCAAAGTCCAGAAGGCGCAACGCACCAGACTGTGTAGTGCGCAGGGTTCATGTTGATGATGTGCTCTGTGAGGCCCAGCACCCGCTCGCTGAACTCGTTGTTGGCCATGACTGCGCGCAAGTAGCCCATGGCCTCGCTGTATTCCTCCGTGTAAGCGATGGCGGCCAGCGGGTGCATTCCGCCGTCATCCTGCGGAAGAGGCTCGACGTCCTTCCAGGCCTCGTCGTCGTGGTAGAACTTTGGTGGCGGCATTCTTCTTTGCGGCGCGTGTGTATACGTGAGTCCGTAGCGCAGCCGGAGCAGGATGACGCGTAGAAAGTGGAAGGGCGACAGAAAGACGTTGGCGATGAAGCGGCGAATCAACTGCAGGGACATGGTGGGGGCGCGTGGGAGGAGCTAGGTACTTGACATCCCTGCGCGGGCACTATCCCTCTTTCATACCTTTACAGAACAATGCTAAGGCGTTTGCGCGAGTCTGACTATCGATTGCATTTTCGTGACATGATCCTTCGCTTCAAGACTGATTGCAGCATGGCAGCCCTTCTCATGCACCATTCAGCGCCTCGTACCAGAGTTGGTGTACCAACAACACCCCAAACATGACGATATCGCTGAGACAACGGATAGCCAGGCAGTTTGTCCAATCGATATACAAATGACGATACAAACAGATGATACAAACAATCAAGATCATTGACGACACGGATAGATCATGTTCGAGTCCTCTCTGTGGGCGCAACACTGCACAGCCCTATCGCGATCAGCGTCGAGACACTTTACTTTCAGCTTCAGAACCTTTTCGGCCCCTCGTGCAGCTCTGGCTGAGAATATGGCTGCCGAACCCCAGCTTCCAGACCGCCCAAGCGGCAACTTACTTATCACCAGGGCGCCCTTTTGTTCCTCCTTTGTTCCTCGTCGCCGTCAGTCTTCAAGACATTTCGACCTTGGTGTTGTTCATCATCTAGCCATCGGCGCCTCCACACCTAAATTCACCAGCTCCAAATCCAGCAATGAGCGCTGAATGGCCATGCACCAATTTCTCGTTCCAGCCAATGAAATCGCTCATCCACCTCGTGTGATGAACATCTCTATATCAATACCCCTGGGTCGCTGACTTTGAATCGCCCACCGCCAGCATGAGTTTCTTCGATTTCGCAGACCTCCCCCGGTCACACTTCGTCCTTGACTCAAACCCACGATACCGGGGTCTGAGCTATAATTGCAGTCATATTCCTTCAGTCCCCGTCTCTCGGCCAGCACCACCACGACGCGACTCAGCCATCGTCACAAGTGCACAGTCTACCAAGTCCCACACTGCACTTTTGTCCCGCACCACGAGATGCGGCACTATGGATGTTAAACTTGAGCCCTTCACCACCTCCGACATCCCCTCCGCCATCGTCCTGCATTCCCGCATCACTGGCGACTCCGCGTCCGCCCGCGAAGCTCGCGAATACAAATGACAGCTCGCAGTCGTAAACCCGCACGCGAAGATTGTCAAAGCGACTCTCAATGGGGAATTGACCGGAGCAGCTGGATTTCTAACCCACCAAACGCTAGGCCTGCAATGGACGAGTCCCGAGCGCAAGGCATCGGTGGGGAGTGTGGAGAAGGAGTTGGAGCAAAGGTTGGAGGAGGCGAGGGAGCAGGTGTTGCGTGGGGACTACGATCTGTGGCGTATGTATTCAGCGTGTGAGTCTGTGCGATAGGTTACCGACTTACTTCAGACATCTACTTGAGTTTTCTGGCCCCCGAACATCAGGATACGTCTGCTTGGAGCGATATGATTACACGGGGTCTGGCGCGGGCAGACGAGGCTGAGAAGCACGTCTTTTTACAGGGGAGTGCTTCTCAGAAAGACATGTATGAAAACCTGGGCTTCCAGACGAAGACGAATGTGCCCACACCACAGGGAGATAGATATCTGATGTCGAGGCGAGCATGAGTGAGTCTGGAGCAATTCAACACACTACTGGCACCCACGAGGATGCGTGTTCGCTGTCAATCCAATCACGAGACCTTGTGTCAGTCTGGAGGCCTTCAGGAGTGTATCAAGCAGATAGGGATTTTGCAATTCTCGTCACCTGCTTGTAGAAATCCGCACATCGGACGTTTGAAGACAGGGATACACCAACAGAGCATAGCATGAAAGAAGTTAGGGTATACATATGTACAAGTGTGGACATCTACAGCCATGCATCAGCAAGCCATCACAATGCTGTGCGTAGTCCTGCTGGCTACGATGCCACTTCATCAACAGGTCGTCCACTAAGATCCCTGAAAGACCTCAAGCTAAGGAGGACTCCTTCAGTTCGTACTCTCGCGCATCCTGGAACAAGTCGATGATGCAACTAGCGGACCATGACTGTGTAGGGCACGAATCGCCACAGAACTCGCCGTTCTTCTGCGTCAATTCGGTAAGGCCAGCCCAAGGGCTCTCCTGAATGGCCTTCATGCAGCCAGCAAGGCGGCGAGTTACCTGCTGGTAGCTCTCAACGCGCTCTGCAGCCGTCTTGCGACGCTTAAGATCGAACTTGAGCATGGCGCGGAGGAAGAAGCCCGTTGGCCAAACCCATTCAGGGCCCTGGTGGTAGTTCCGGCCCTTCGAAGTGTGGAAGTCGGTAGAATCTTCGCTGTTGATGTAGTACCCGCGGTAATTAAGATCGCTGGGATCAAGCGTCTTCATACCCTGTGGTCCAAGAAGGATGCGGTCGGCCATCTGCAGAGCGTAGAGGGCATGCTCAGGATCGAACAGATCTGGGGCCACGGACATAGCAACAGGGAAGTTGGGGCGTAGCTGGTAATCCTCATACTCCTTGCCTGATCGGTACAGATCCTTGTAGATACCCCGGCGGTTGATGATGCTGGGGTTGACGTCGTACTTGCTGTCTTCCTCTGGGGTACGAGGAACGTAGAAGGTACGCTCAAAGTTTGCCTTGATCTTGTCTGCCCAGGCCTTGTAGCTGATGGTGTGCTTGCCATCTGGCAGCGTAACACCCTCGTACTTGAAGTCGCCTTGCTCGTACAGATCGGCGCACCAGCGGACGGTGCTGTAGAGCATACCAATCATTTCGATGGGTGCACCGTCACGGGGAGTGCCGGGGACACCCTTGCTGCCAGCCTTCTCGCTCTCACCCATCTTGTCCATCCAGGTACCGCAGTTGAACTGGTTGCCACCGAAGATCAGTCCAGTTTCGAAGTCAGTCCAGATCTTGATGTTGAACCCTTCAGACTTCATCTGGCTATCGATGTTTGGCCCAGCATCGTATTCGCGGAATTCTATGCCCGAAGCGTGTCGCTGCAGCGCTTCCTGAATGACGTCCTCGATCGTGGAGGACACGGAGTAAGCCCGCTTATCGTTGTGAGGGAACCAGGTGTCGTCATAGGGCAAGAAGCGTCGCTTGGCCTTCAGCTGGAGCATATCGAGACCCTTCGGGACGATCTTGCAGTAGTCCTGGATGTTCTGGAGGAACCACCATACCGAGTCGCGAGAGTTGTAACGGGGAAGCTTGCCGCCGCTTAGTAAATTAGGGACCATGCCGTGCTTCAGCACGCTGGCAAAGGCCAGGATGTGCTCTCTTGCGTCTAGTCGAAGTCAGTCAAAGTTGGCCCTGGAGGTAGTCAGGGTATTCTTACCTTCGTATCGTCCCGTGCCCATGTACAGTCCGCGAGCAGAAATTGTGATATCGCGGCCCCAGCAACTGTCGCAGTTAGTCAAAGTGTACAGTGCCCTGGAGGTATTCAACTTACCGAGCCCAATCGTAGGCGAAGTGAGGAAGACCTGCAGCCATGCTGGGTACGGTCTTGTCCGGCCACAGCGAGGCGCTGTTCATGTAGCCCGTAACCTGAATGCTGACAAGGGCGAGGCTCTTCAGGAACTGCTGGCCATTGCGGACGTTGTCACCCATGAGCTCGATGGATCGATCAACCGCAGCATTGTAGGCTGTTTGGATGACCAAAGCGAAGTAACGAGGGAGCAGGAAGTTGGGCAGCTTGCGAATGGCGTCGCATCTCTCCTTGAGCCACTTAGCAGGGCCTCTGATCCTGTGGTATCGGCGCTTCTCCGACATGCGTTCGAGGCGACCGACGCAGTAGTCGAGCGCCCACTGGCCCTCTCGCAGATGGTTGCAAAGAGGGTGGCCGAGGTTGTTATCATTCACGACGTCGCGAAGGACACTCCACCAGCCTTGAAGACCGGCGTACACGAGGCTGCCGTGCCCTGGTACGTTGTATGCGCCGTCCTTTTCGTCTGTGGCGTCGCGCTCTTCGGGGTCACATCGGTACAAGATGTAGTTCAAGTCGGTCAGGTTCACATCGCTGAATGCAGCCCGTGCGCCGCTTGTGACGTACTTGTCGAGACCATCAGCGTGCTCAGCAGCGGGCACCCATGTCTCGAACAGAGCAATACTGCCAGGGGGGAATTTGTCGGGAATACTGATGGTGGTCGAGTCGCCAACAGGTTCGACTATGACACCCTTGAGGTCATGCGTCTGTGCAGGTAGACCACGGAGTGTAGTCTTATCGCCGATGATCCGAGCGCGTGTTTCAGGACTGTTATCGACCTCCAGGTTCCAGCTGCCGATGAGCTTCGCCTTCGTGCCAGGGAGCTTGGTCTGGCCAAAGCCGCCGTTGCCGTTGCCGTATCCAGGGAAGGCTGTGTGGGCGATCAAGAAGTACCCCTTACGGGTGTGAGGGTTGACCCGATGAACAGTGATGTACTCCTGTTCGTGATGGATATACGTCTCGCTGTAATCTTCCTTACCCATCTTGCAGTGAATGTCGTTGATAATCTTCCTGACACCTCCGATGCCACCCTCGCCGGCCTGTGCTTTGATGAGGCCTCCTGTCGAGCTGGCTGACGAGTAGAGCCTCTTCTCGTGAACGAGTTCGATGAGCTCTGGGTAGACCTCGTCGTAGCCGAAGACACTGCCAGTAGCACACGAGCACATGGCAACCAGAGCAGCCTGCGGAAGGGTGTCGCGAGCATCTCGCTTCTGGGCGGGGGTCTCGTTGTCGTGCGTACAGTCCATGAAAAGAGCATGCACAGGACTGCGCTTGATCTTCTTGATACTTGCGTGGCGGTTGGATGAGTCGGTTGTACCGTTCGCTTGTTCAGCGTTGAGCACTTCGTCAGTCTCGAAGCTGCCGATCGGGACGCCACCGTGTCGATGGACGAGTCGACTCAGCTCCTGGGTGCTCCAAGCTTGCATTCCTTCGCGGATCAGACAGGAAATGCCGAGGCGCATGACGAACTTGAAGTCCATCTCTTCAGAGCCGGAGAACAGCTCAGCAACAACGAAAAGGTTTGGGTTAACCTCTCGTGCTTGGTCGAGCATGTACTCAGCCAGATGAATAGGAGTCGAGTGACAGTTGTCGATGCGGAAGCCTTGGAAGTACTTGGCCATCAGACGCGTATACTTGGCCATGTGTTCCCAGAGGAAAGGGTTGTCCTCAGGGCCACTACCGTATCGAAGTTTGACGCAGTCGCCCCAGACTATGACTTCTCTCCTGAGGTACGCACGCGACTTGGGACCAGCGTTGTCTCTCATAGCATCGGCAGCCCATACCCATCCATTGTTGACGAGTGCGAGCGCATCTGGGTTGTGCTTCTTGGTGGTCTCGTTCAATGGCAGGCGGGTGAAGTAAGGCTCGATAAGTGGGCTGGCTTCTGTGATTTCGCCCAGCTTTGGGCCGTGGTCGTCCAACCGGACGTACTTGATCCGGTTGAAAAGCTGCTCCATGATCTCGGCCTGGTCGCCATCGTACTCACGGTAGAATGGTAGGTTGACCTCGTTGCAGATGCTAGTGATGGCGTCACGAGCTGCCTCAGCATTGGGTGTGCTGCCAGTACGACTGTCGTAACGGCCAAAGAGCGCGCAAAGGAGACTTGCACCTACTGCGGGATCGATGCGACGACGGAACCGTTCGCCCATCCTGTCACCGCCCTGCAGGGCATGATCGACCAGCCAATCGGCCTTCTGCTTGAGGGGCCAGCCCTTGACTGCCTCCAGGCCTCGCAGACCAGCATCACTAAAGCTGTCGTCGATGAACTTGGCCTGGCCAGCAATCCACTTTTCGACGATGGCATTGGCGCTCTTTTCTGCGTCAATAACGTAGAACTCCCATAGCTTGCACTTGCTCAAGACTATGGACTTGATGGCTTCCATCACTTTGAGGAGATCGTCTGTGTTGCGGAACTTCGTGGGAAGGCCATGCGCCTTGAGCTCCTTGCTGAACTTGAGAAGCGCAGTGTCGAGAACCAGCGCAGATTGCAACCAGGGTGCAGTGTCGACGTTGTATCCGGCTTCAGGATGCGACTCAAGCCACTTGCTATTGTTGGCGGTGTGGTTCCAGACGACATCCGTCATACTAAGAAGGTTGTACTCTGACTGCATCTTTTTGACCATGCGGGCAACATCCTTCTCGCCGTTGGGGAAGGCGACCGAGTCGAACGCAAGCTGGTCGTAGATACTGTAGGGTGAATTGGAGCTTCCTCGAATCATGAGAGGAGTGAAGTGAACCATGTTGTACCCACGCTGGCTGATGCCTCGGAGGTGGTTGTCCCAGTCGCCAGGGTACTTGCCCATGAACTTTGAGAGGACGGAGAACAATGAGACAGCCTCAATGGGCAGCTGCTGGCCCTGGAGGGTGAGGCGCGGACACACATCGATGTAGTACGTGGGCGTCCGTGTGGGTTCAGGCGTGGCAACCTCTGTGAAGGACCACTGAGGTAGGGGTGTGTAAGTAGTGTAGAATGAGTACGCATTGGCCTCGTGAATGGGGATGTCGATCTCGGTGATTCCATTGAAGTCTGGCTTGAGCCTGGAGTTGGTCAGCACATGGAGGTGTACGTCGAGTCTCGGTTACGCTTACTTGTACTCGCGGTAATGGCCGCGGCTGAATTTCTCACCTTTCGGTGGGATATTCACCCAAAGACTGCCTTCACGACATATCGAGCTCGTGCCCTGAATCTGGAAGCGCACGCAGTAGGCTGGGTCACAGGGTGGTGGTAGGTAGATGTAGGTGCCGGGCACGTCAGGCGCACCGGCGTCGGTCAGGGGCAGCAGGTAGACGGCTTGTGACATGGCTGAGGTTACGAGGTATCCTGCAGGTAGTCAGCAGAAGTTCAGACGCGCAATTGGGGGCGATGTACTTGTCAGGACTAGTGAATATTGCAGAGGTCTGGAGTATTTCCTGTGATAGTAATGCGTTAATGTTGAGGGTGATGTGGAGGAGGAATGGTTGTGATCTGGGTTCCGATCGAGGTAAACAACGCGCTGAGGACCTCCTGCCCTCTGTATGAGAAAGAAAGCACGAGAGACGCGGGCGTGTGCGATCAGCAGGCACCCAGGCCAGAGCCGCAAGCGCAGCCGGACGTCATTCGCGTGGGGCTCCCGCTCAACAACACCAGTTTCCCGGGCTAACGCCCATGGGGAGCAGCCGGCCAATAGATATCCCTGCAGCTAAGCTGCATTCAAGCCCTCCAATGCACCAAAACTTGTTAAACCTCGGGGGATCGTTTCATTGCTCACCGCTCAGCCTCAGCATATCGTACAAGAGACTGCCCTCTATCCTCTCCGCTAGATGCTAAACCTCGCTGTCCTTGAAGAACGCCCCAATGCAGCAGTATGGCAAAATGCAAAAAGACGCAGCTAATGAAAATATTGCCCAACTCCGCCGCTGATACGATACAGACACAACCAAAGATCTGCTGCCACGAGTCCAAGAATCGGTGCATGGGTATCGCGAACCTCGTGGCAGCTCACAAAGCAACAGAAATACGAAACTTGAAGACCAGATCCAACCACCCTTTTGTCGTCAGCTCATGCGCGAGCAATATCCGCCATGTGTCTGTGCATCCATTAAAACTTGATATTAAAAGGTGAGCTGGGCGGGTTGCTCAGGTCCAAACGAAACTGTGTATCCGAAGCCCCGCGGGCGTGCACTGCTTGTTTAGGTGTTCCGCCGTCGTTCCTGTCGACCGAGTTCTGGGCACTGACTGATGGAGGTGGGCGTGTAGGAGCGCCTCGAATGTTCAGTCCGTCAGATGTCGATATTGCTCTTTCTGCCAACGAGTCGTACTCGCGGTGCTCATTGCGCAGGCGCGGCGCCGACTGGGGTGGCATGTCTACATCTCTCGGTGGCAAGTTGGGCGGCGTGGCGCGTCCGTTCCTGTCCGAAGACGGTGCGCGAGCAGACAGCTTGCTCTGATCGCCTGAGTTGCTTCTGGTTGACGTAGACTTCCGGGATTGTGCAATGCTAGGCGATGCGTGCGAGCTCTTGCTCCTGCCAGACGGCTGCGCCTGACCATTGCGGCTAGGTGTCGGCAGCGGTGGCTCTGATATCTCGTTCTCCAACGCACTCAGGTAGTTGAGCTCCTCAGTCAAGTACTCCTTCTCCGTCCAGCAGCCCTGCCAGCAGTTACGCCAGTCCAAAATCAGAAACTGGAAGCAGAACGCATCGATCTTGATGGCCGGCTGGAAGCAGATGCACAAGTTGTTGTAGTTCATCTTGTTGAACTCAGAACACGAGTGGAGAAGACTGATGTGGCAGGTGATGGCGAAAAGAAGGTAGTAGTTGAACGGAGGCAGCTTGGACAGCTCGTCCTTCAACATCTGAGGTGTGGTTTTGGCGCCTTGACACTCTTGCTGGATGCGGTGTTGGATCGCCTTGGGGAAGATCTCATCAGGAAGTTGACGGAGCCAGTTCTTGAACAACGACCCAATGACGTTCGGGTCATTGAGATTGTCGTCGGAGATGAGGTCGATATCGCGGTCTGAGACATGTTAGCAATCGCAGTAAGCATGCACAGAGTAGAGGTTACCTTGGTCGAACTTTCGCTCGTAGTATCTGACCTGCTGAGCAGAACCAGGAACGCGGTAGAGGCCTTCTTCCTCGCAACCTCGCATGTTCAAGTAGTCGATGCAGCGCCAAGGTAGCGCTGGCATCCAGAACTCCGTCTTGTCTCTCGACTGCTCCAGCCTGGTCGATATCCTGGTCAATCTTGTCTGTTCGACAAGGGGTGTGTGGATGATCGTGTATACGTAAGGCTCGTTCGAGACGTGTGTAGGGCTCTCGTGGTTGCTGTGGCTGCGTCCCAGCTTACCAAAGATACCTTTGCGAGCTGAATCCATCTTGTCTCCCATCTTGCGAGCGCCAGATCCAAGACTTGACATGAGCGAAGCACCCTTGTTGTCGTTGTAGGAGCTGGATTGTAACGAGCCTTGCTCACTCTTATCCCTCCGTAGAGCAGCTGGACCGTTTTCACTCTCGCGGTGGACTAATTGTCCTGCATCATGGCGGTCGGCCGAATGTGTTCTGAGTTTTCCAAAGGAGGATTTGTTGCCCCACGTTTTCCCCTTGTCCATAGGTGCATTCTTGAGCGGCGTGCCATCTCCGTTTGCAGTAGTCCAGTTTGTTCCAAGGTCTGGTGAAAGCTGGCCTGGAGGGGCTTTGTTGAGTTTGCCACGGGAGTTTGCATTCTCGTCCCCTTTGATCGACTTTGAGCGGAAGAGCGCACCCTGCTTCTTGGATTTCGTCCCCTTCGTCTTGCTTGCGTCTGCGTGGGCATCCGATTCGTTCGATTTGCCGGAGCCGGTGCGCTGGTCGAGACGGACGATCTCTGAACGGTTGTCTACATTGGTCAACTCTGCAACCTCCAGATGCACGGTGCAGTACTCACCATCAGAGTTGGGTGTTCGAACGGGACGACTCAAGTCTGGCGTCGAGGAGCCACCCCGTCCGTTGGTGTATAACGTTGGCGATGGTTGGTGTGCAGTGTATTGCCTGTTTGCACTGTCTTGTGTGTTGAGTCGTGACGAGGACTTGGTCGCGCCGAAGTTTGAGAATATGTTCTTCGAGTCTTTCCGTGGCTTTGGTGAGGCCGGCGATTCTGGCGTGTTGTGAAACGGTGCGCTTGGCGACTGGAATTCTGGTATGCTCGGGGATCGCGGGCTATGTGGGCTCAAGGGAGCAGTGTTGTTCTCTTTTCCTCCCGACTTTGACCGCATGGCCAACGATAGTGTCGACGACTTCGGCATCTTGCGAACTTGTTTACGCGGCTTGCCCTGGTGCTGGTACTGGTGCTGTTGTCCGCTTAGCGTCACTTTCTTCACGAGTCTGATGCGGTGCGGTGTTACGTGGATCGTGGGCGCAGTACCTCAGCGAAAGGACACTCCTCTGGTATGGCCCTGGAGTGGCGGCCGGTGGGTGTGCGTTCGAGGTAGCTGAGCGTCGCAGGCGGATGGGGTGCGACAGGTCTTAGTGAGCACGACACATGGGTCGTGGCAGTCGCGGGAAAACGATCGAGTGGTGCTGCGCTATCGACGCGTCTGTGTCTGCTGCCCATCTTGTCAGCGAGTGCGGAGCATGCAAAAGGCAACTGGCAAGGTGCAGCGAGATAAAGGGCGCGGAAGGTGGTACGAACCTATGGAGCCCTGGTGGAGTTGTCGTGTCCCCTGGCCAGCGCGGTCTGCAGGCGTGCACCGATGCGTCGGCGGCGAGGACTCGAGACGTGGGCCAGCAGGCAGCGTAGAGAGGCTCGGATGCAGGGCCCAGCTGTCAGGGCCGTGGGGTGCGTCGCGTGCGACCAGCAACTGCCGTTTCGCTCTCTGGCAGCCCGTCTACGGGGCAGTGAGGTCGTCGTCGAGTTTGGCACGTACAGCAAGCGACAGCCTGAGCTACACAGTCAGCGGCGGTTGCAGAATCGTGAAAGGGGCCGGCAGCGCTACGGGCGACATGTTGTACAACATTGAGCCGGCCACAATAGTGGAACAAAGGCCCTGGAGGGGACAGAGGGTTCATCGCTGACGGCCATGCATCACTTACCCACAATTCTCCCTGTAATCGCAGCGTCAACAAGGGCAGCGCGGGAAACAAAGACGCACACAAGGCTGCCGTGGCCGTGATGTCTGCGGTCTGCTGCGTAGGGCTTGCGCACACCAATTCGATAGCGGGCTTGTCTCTGGTACGGGCAGTGGTTCGGTCGGAGGGTGGAGCTATTTTGGGGCTCAGCAAACGTGCGGCCCTGACTACTGCCACAGGCGTTAGTCGCCCGTTGTGAGGAGACAGCGCAGGGTGCTTGGATAGGTTCGAGGGGGCTGCGTCACGAGGGGGCCGAGAGTGAGTTCCTTGAGGAGTCACCCAGCGCACGCAGACGATACAGTGCACGCCACGTTGGGCGGAGATTGATCTCGTCTCAATCTCAGCCAACTCTCAGCGCATACCCAAACTGCGACCTGCAAAGGGAAGGGGAGGGCGGCGGCGGCAACGATTTGCGGCGGCTGTACCTGAGCCCATGATCCTGAACAAGTCCGTGCGCCCATGTTACGAACTCGCAAATAAATGATTACTTTGCGAGGCCCAGCGCAATCGGTCTGCGGCCGGCTGCAGCTCCAGAGCATGCTGCGCGGTGCATGGCGAGCGCTGGCTCAGCAGTGCATCTGGCGGTGTGCGGGCGCTATGGCGGACTATTTTAAAAGCGATGCATCTGCTGCTTGGGCTGTCGCAGCGTGAGCTTCATCGTGCAAAGGAGCCTTGCCAAGCGGACCCTTTCGAGCAGGGGTGGCTTGCTCGGTGCGGACGCGTCGAAACTAGGCTTTCTCCACACCAGCGACTCCGAAGTCTCACTCAACCGCCCGCCATGTCTCTGGTCTCAGGTCCGGGTCGAGCAGGCGTAGGCACCATGCCCGCCGAAATGCAGCTTTTCGTGGATAAACACGTCCGCTACATTCAGAGCCTCGACACAGTGCGTGCCATTTTCATCGAGTTGCACGCATCTACCAAACGATCGCCGTGCTGACCCGTCCCAGCGCAAAGACGAGCTCGAGTACTGGCTCACCGAGCATCTGCGCCTCAACGGCTTGTACTGGGGACTGACTGCTCTGCACTTGCTGGGACATCCGAACGCCCTCCCTCGCAATGAGATCCTAAACTTTGTGTGCTCGTGTTTGCACGACAACGGTGGCTTCGGCGCTGCTCCGGGACATGATGCTCACATGCTCTACACGGTCAGTGCTGTGCAGATTCTAGCAACCCTTGATGCATTTGCAGAGTTTGAAGAGCGCGTCAAAGACGGGCGGCAGAAGGTTGGTCAATGTACGTCCTCCCTGAAACCCCTCCTTTGATGTCAATGCTCATGATTTTCAGTCATTGCAGATCTCCAAGACCCTGAGACAGGCACTTTCGCAGGGGATGAATGGGGTGAACGAGACACGCGCTTCTTGTACGGTGCATTGAACGCTTTGTCTCTCATGAGACTGCTGGATCTAGTCGACGTGGAGAAGGCAGTCCAGCACGTCCACTCCTGCGCCAACTTCGACGGCGGCTATGGCACCAGTCCGGGTGCTGAATCTCACTCAGGCCAAGTGTTTACGTGTGTTGGAGCATTGAGTATCGCAGGGAGGCTTGACCTGGTCGATCAAGAGAGACTGGGAGCTTGGCTAAGCGAACGACAACTCAAGAACGGTGGGCTGAACGGGCGGCCTGAGAAGAAGGAGGACGTGTGCTACAGTTGGTGGGTTATGAGTAGTATGGCCATGCTGAACAAGCTCCACTGGATCGATGGCGAGAAGCTGACGCAGTTCATTCTGCAGTGCCAGGTAAGGCCCACGAAGCAATTAGCTCTCTACAGGATTGACAAGATCAGGATCCCGAACGGGGTGGGTTGGCAGATCGCCCTGGTGACATGGTGGATGTCTTTCACACAGTCTTCGGCATTGCTGGGCTCAGCCTGCTCAAGTACCCTGGACTGGAGGAAGTGGACCCTGTATAGTGAGTGGACCCTGAAGTGATCATTTCGGACGGTGCTGATATACAAGCAGCTGCGTGCCTCGGTCTGTGACAAGACGATGCTTGGGCAAGTGAACGTCAAAGATTGAAAATAATAGCATTAGCTCAATGACGGTAAGAACATGTTCTGTTTGTTGTGCAACTAGTTACATCTTGTACATGAAGTGCGGTGGTGAAAGACGCGGTCTGCTTGCTACAGCGCACCTCGAGCCTCGAACCCACCTATCTCACGCTTCACCATCACCTCCGTTTATATTGCATCTCTCGCTATCTAATATCTCATGCTTCCTGCCAATGAGACGTGAGGTACAAAGCCAGATGAAAGCAACGGTGCTGCCTGTTTGGGGCAAAGCTGGGGTTCTCCACGTGCTCTAGCTGCCAAACTCTGCACTACAAACGTCTTCCTGCTCTCCAACCTAACAGCCTCCTTCCCTCAGTCTTCACATGAGGGAGTCGATGCATCTTGCCTTCTTCTCTTTTTCATGCAGCAAGAGTGCCTGGTAGCCGCTCGTGTGCACCATCTCTCATATTCGCAGTCCCCCGCAGCCACCACTCCTGCTTCATACACTCAACACGCTCCTTTCGTGTCGTTCCTTTGTACACCATTGCGTTGCAAGCATTGTCCTTTCGCCCTGGATTGCCTGCACCACTTACGCTCCTTACCAACGCGTTGCAATGGCGCCCAACATACCGCTTCTATGCAGCATCTGTCCCAAGAAACCGACCTTCAGCGATGTCTCCCATCTACTCACACATATCGCCAGCAAAGGCCATTTGTCCAATTACTACAAGGTCAAGGTCCGCTCGACGTCTGAAGAGATCTCTCGCCGCATCATCGACACCTACGATCGATGGTACGCCGACTGGAATGTCGAAGAGCTCATGTCAGACCGGATGAACCAGAAGGACAAGCGTCGCTCGCGTGCCAGACCCTCTGGTACTGTCCTTCCTGTCTCCTGATCCGTGTCTGCGGGCCTTCACTAACCTTTCATCCCTCTGCAGCCCGTGCTACTCCTGCTCCAAGGATCGAGGCTCCTGTCCCGCGTCCAGCTCGTCATGCCGTCGTCGGCGGTTTTCTCGATCCACGTCTCGCGGAACAGCAGCTCATCAAGGTAGAACCAGACTCGGGCACGCCTACGCCTGCGCCACACGCCGGACCAGTCCTGCGTCACAGACCATTCGGGTCTCACCTCCACTATTTCCCTTCCGAGTCTCGTGCCAGCTCCCGCAGCTTCACGAACCCCGACTACGAGACCTCAAGTGAATACTCCGACCCTGGCGAGCGAGCAAGGAGGCAATACCAATACACCGCAGAAGACACATGTGCTATCGAGGATGATGGACCTGACCCTGCTGAGGATACCATGGCTGTCAGTGAGAGCACCAAGCTGAAGGGCGTATACTGGCCCGGAATGGACATCTTCGACTCTGCTACCCCAGAAATGAGGCGCAAGAGGAACCAGAAAAAAGATCACTCGGTCGTCGAGCAACTCCAGATCAACTCACAAGATGTGGAGGCTACTGAGCTCATCTTCACGCCTCGAGGGTCGTTCAAGAGACAACGGAGGATCTCGAGCTCCGTCTTCGACGACGAGGAAGAGATCGAGATAAAAACGGAGAGCCCCCGACCAGTCTTCTCGCGACCTGCTCTTGCTACCATGGATCCTAACATCTCTCGTCGATCTAGACAAGGCATGCGCGCATCTCTGTTCCCATTCCAGTCTCGTACCCAGTATGACGACAGACGTGCCCGCTCTGGCCTTAATTTTGGCGTTGGCGATCGTGCCCCCAAGCGCAAACGAGCCTTCAACGTCTTCGAGGATGATGAGATTTCTTTTGACCAACCTGCCAGCTTCAACTACCTCACCTCAGGCTTTGGCCACCCAGCGTCACCCTCGCCAGTCCCCGGCTATGGTACGTACAAGCCACTCAACGACCCCTTCCAGCAGTATGAAAACAAGGAAAACATGTTCCCGCCACTCCACCAGCCAACGTTCGGTAACCTGCACGGCCATCAAGTGCCAGCTTACCATTACCATGCTTATGCCTACGGTCTTGGCCAAGACCAGCAAGGCCATCAGCAAGCAGGTCACTACTTGAGCGCCAATAATGCTTATCCGCAACAGCCTCAGGATGACGATGATGATGACCAGCGCACGATCACAGCTCCGCCATCCCCCATTACAAGCTGAACGCGCGCTATCGCTGTCAGTCTATCACTACTCAGAACCCAGCTCTGGCATGATCTTGGCCTTCTAGCTGTGGTCCTGCAGCACAATATCCAACTGCTTGACTCTCGCTTCACCTTTTGATTTACCCTGCTCCGACGAGCGAGAGCGGCATCTTTACTTTGCGACCTGTGTTCACGACGTTGGTGCTGGCTCACCCACTAATATTACGCAATATGGATCACGACTAACGACATCCCATCGACATATATGGTTACTATTAGCGAAAGACATGCTGCGATTGCGGAGCAAGTCTCTGTTGCTGGTAGATACAGGTGGCTTGTAGCATACGCTTTTTCGTTATATATGGCCAATAGATTTTGTTCAACACACTACTATACTCCGTACATCTCTCCAGGGCGCCCCTTGAACTTGGCGCCAAAGACTTTGCTATTGGGGTCTAATCCCATTTGCCTTCGGATCCCATCTTGCGCGCCCTCTGTCTCTTCTCCAGGGCCTCCGTCAACTCGTAACCATTGGCGTACGCATACAGGGCTCGCAGAGTACCACCAGCAACCCACATCGTTGCTCCACTAACTGCGAAGAGACCAATTCGCTGATATGTAGTCAGCAACTCGAAAATTGGGTACGGATAGTATCCATTGTGCGAGTAGCAGATCTCCTAGTATACCGTTAATTTGATTTGTTCCTAGGCCAATAAGGATCACTTACAATCCACCACCAGTACGCAAAGGCAATCCCGGTACTGGCCCCAAGAGTCAGAAATGGCGCCTGCGGGTTCATAGGGCTGCTCGGCCACGGTGGAGACAGCAGAATGGCATCGACAGTCAGCACTACCGCAGGCACCAAATGAAAGCAAAGATCCGTGCTGAGCGGCGGGAGAGGTAGGTCTGGCGGAATGACGAGGCCGGTATCGACCAGTCGGAGACCCCAGTACAAGATACTGATGACAATCTCAATTGGGGCGGCTACGAGGGAGAGATAGTTCTTCGCAGCAAAGAAGTAGTCGGACACAGTTTGAGGAGAGAATGCAGCGGCACTGGTAGCGGATGCTGGGGCGGTTGATGAGGATGAGGTGATGTCTGCGAGCAGGCCGAAGGTGAAGCAGATGGTCGAGATGGTTATGCCGATTATGGTGAGGAATTGGAGGTGCCACCCGTATGAGAAGTTCTGCAGGTTATCAGCTGCTGATCGTCAATTCACTCTGTCTAACATACGAATTGATTCGGGTTGTCGTGTAGACTTCAAAAGACGTCAGCGAGATTCGAATCTGACAGTTTGGCTTTGGTACTTACAACTTGAAAGAGCTGTAGAAGCTGATGAGGCCAATGACCTGAGGTCTGTATTAAAATATGATTTGCTCACCATGTCCGGGAGAGTACGTACATGCAAGGCACCCGAGAAACCCTTGGAAGGAGATTCCAGTCGCTGCAGCGGATGCTGCCGCCCTAGCTCTGCAGCCTTGTCTGAAACGCCCATGTCTTGAAGTGTCTAGAAGCCCGAGAGGTGAAGATGCATAGATGGAGACCCTTAACGAAAAGTCTGGTATGCAAAATGCTGTGATGTTGGTTTTCAGCACGGCCGTTGGTGTTGACAATGTTGAGCCTCGGCCCCATGTGGGGCATGGTGACTAACCATCCCTCTTACTTCCACGCTCGGCATTTTACTGCGAGTTGTCGCGTCAGCACATCGTGTCTCCACGAAGCGCCATCATCTGACACTCGGAGCCCACCTATCCTGTAGATTCGGGTGTTTTGCGGTCCATACATCGAGAGCCACTCCCGACGGTTGATCCTCGGAGCAGGCTGTGAAACCCCCGGGACAAATCAGGAGCGGGCGATGCCATACCTTCATTGCCACTAACGCTTGCATCGCGTGAACCTCGGAGATCTCTTGCCACTTTGGTGCTAACACTGCGCAAGACTTCTCCACTCTTCTGTCTCCACGATACCGATGCCTTAGTTTGGCGGATAGGCTCGCCGTGTCTCCGGCACTCACAGAGAAATGGCGGGCTCCGCGTCTTATAAGAGTGATCACGGCCCCTGCAGTAGATTTGCCATTCGAGCGTCAATACCCTTTGTTTCCTTTCTCGAGACTCGTTTCTTTCTTCTTGAGCATACGTCACATCTAGACCTAGAGAGCTGCGTGATACATCGCGGAGTTTTGCGATAAATCAACCACTTGATCATCATGAGTGCAAAGATCGACACTATCCTTGGGTCTCTGACTTTAGAGGAGAAGGTGTCACTGCTCGCTGGCAAAGACTTCTGGGAGACTGTGCCCATTCCGGATAAAGGCGTCCCTGCCATCAAGGCGAGTGGTGCAAGTCGCCGAGTATTCGTCCCAGCTGACCTGCTGTAGACTAGTGATGGACCCAATGGCGCGCGAGGTGAAGTCTTTGCTGGAGGAACACGAGCAGCGTGTTTCCCAGCTGCAGTGTGTTCGGCAGCATCGTGGAATCCGGAGTTCGCCCACCGGATAGGCAGTGCGTTGGCGGAGGAGACGCAAACGAAGAGTGCACGGGTCCTGTAAGTTGGATGTTTAAGACAAATTGACCTTCTGCTCACAGCCTGAATAGGCTCGCTCCCACCATGTGTAACCATAGACATCCTCTCGGTGGTCGTAACTTCGAGAGCTTCTCGGAGGACCCCTACCTGACCGGCCACATGGCTGCTAATGTCGTCAGAGGCATTCAAGAGAAGGGCGTTGCGGCTACGATCAAGCACTTTGCAGCTAACGAGCAGGAGACCGAGCGTCTTTTTGTCGACGAAATCGTCTCCGAACGCGCACTACGAGAGATCTATCTGAAGCCCTTCGAGATCACAGTCAAGGAGGCTAAACCCTGGGCCGTAATGACTGCCTACAACAAGGTCAATGGGACTCACGCAGACTCCAACACATTCCTCCTCAAGCAGGTGCTACGCGGCGAGTGGGGCTGGGATGGCGTCGTCATGAGTGACTGGGGAGGCACAAACTCTACTGCTGACTCACTGAACGCTGGGCTTGATCTTGAGATGCCTGGACCGACAAGATGGCGGACAAAGGAGGCAGTTGTGAAGGCAGTCAAGGATGGAGAGGTGTCGGAGCAAGTGATCACCGAGCGCGCCAAGGCTGTTTTGAAGCTGATTGAAAAGGTGGGAGGATTCGAGAACCCTGAGATACCTCCTGAGCAGTCGATCGTGAACCCAGCCCACAGCAAGCTTATTCGAGATGTTGCCGGCCAGGGCATTACGCTGCTCAAAAATGACGGCGCAATTCTTCCCTTGAAGAAAGAGAAGATTAAGGGCAAGAAGGTCGGCCTCTTCGGATTGGCCAGGGAGGCGCTCATCCACGGCGGAGGCAGTGCCAGTCTCAACGCACACTACCGCATCACACCCGAAGAGGGCTTGAAGACTGCCTACGGCGACGACGTGGAGTTCAAGTTCGCAAAAGGCGCTCAGACATACCGCCTCCTGCCGCCTCTGTCGGAGCACTGCAAGGACGCCCAAGGTAACCACGGCTGGAGGATGGAGCTATTCAAGGATGGCGACTCAAAGAAGCCCTGGAAGACTGTCGACGCCTTCAAGGAGTCTGCTTTCAGCCCGATTTTGGACCATGAGGCAGTTGGCAAGGAAGTCAGACTTACTACAACTTTCGTCCCATCCGCGTCAGGCAAGCACTACCTTGGCTGCTCTGGCATCGGTCCTACTACTGTCACCATCGATGACAAGGTAGTTTTCGAGCAAAAGGGTAATTCTCCCGACCCGATGGGCTTCTTGCTTGGCGGGAATCCAGAAGAAGAGTTCACAGTCACTTTCAAGGAGGGTGAGGAGTACAAGATCCAGATACATACCCTGCCACCGACTGGAGGGTCTGAATGGGGCATTCTCGCCGGCCTGCCCGGGTTCAGGATGGGCTTCATGCTTGAAGAGGAGCACAATCGCGATCTGCTCTCTCAGGCGAAAGACCTCGCGAAGGAAGTTGATGTCGCTATTGTATTTACTGGCCATACACCAGCCTGGGAGACCGAAGGACAGGACCAGCAGAGTTTCAACCTACCTCGCGATGGATCTCAAGACGCTCTCGTCGACGCAGTCGCAACTTTAAACCGCAACACCATCGTGGTGAATTCGACGGGTGTTGCAATCGCCATGCCTTGGCTGCACAAGATCGCTGCTCTTGTTCAGGCATGGTTTCCCGGCCAGGAAGCAGGCAACGCCATCGCTGATATCATTTCCGGCGCTGTAAACCCTTCCGGCAGACTGCCTGTCTCATTTCCAAAGCGTCTCGAAGACGCACCTGCCTACGGAAATTTCCCCGGCGAGAAGAACGGCGACCAGCTTACCGTCAAGTATGAAGAAGGTGTTTTTGTTGGGTATCGCCACTATGACCGCGTCTCGAAGGACAAGGTCCAGTTTCCCTTCGGCTTCGGTTTGTCGTACACCACCTTCGCTCTTGACAACGGTCAGGTCGAGCAAACCTCCGCAGATGCGTTCGAGGCTACGGTGTCGGTCAAGAATACAGGCAGCATTGCAGGCGCTGTGGTCGCTCAGCTATACGTCGGCAGGAAGCAACAGTCTTCAGAGCATCCGATTAAGACACTGGCTGCGTTTAAGAAGGTGCATCTGGAGACTGGTGAGGAAAAGAAGGTCGAAATGTCGCTCACACTCAGAGACTTCGCCTACTTTGATGAGGCATCTAAGGGGTGGAAGGTGGACCGTGGTCAATACGAGTTCTCGTTTGGTCAGTCAACAGCGCACATTGAGAGTGTGGCTACTGTGAATGTCGAGGGCAGTCGTGAGTTGAAGTTGTAGATGTAACACTCCTGGAGAGGGGTTTCTTTTCAAATTATTTCAGCATGAACCCAAATACAGACACAATTACTCGGTACGTGGAGAGAGTTCTGTACTGAGCAAGTCCTACGGAGGTTTCCCACGGCTGTAGTGAGGCCACAGCGTCATCCCCAATCAAACCTCCCGGATTACGCCTTGCCAAGCTGTTGCCTACTACGCAGCAAGGTTTGTGTCGACTTCGAAGAACGGGACTGCGTGGTGCTGACGATCTTACGACTATAAGTATCGGATTGCCAGGTACAATTGTATAGAAACCGCAGCTCGGCATGACAGACACTTTCGAACGGCGACAAACTTGAATTCAACAAATTTGAAAGCGAAGAAACTGGAGTCGGGGCTTTCTTTCTTGTATCTTTCAGCCGAGGTCCGAGACCAACCTTATAACAAGTTCTGGACCTACAACGGTTTCATACAGCTGACCCTCATTGGTATTGTCTTTGAAGTACAACATCGGCTATCCCCAGTCCCTCCTCCACCACAGCCACATCGCCCAGATCCACGTAAAGCACCCCGCTAGGACCTTGTCTGAAACTCAGTGTATATCGATCATACGAAAGCATGCTCTCGCGGCTTCCAAGAACCTCTCCGGTCAATCTCATTGCTTCTAGCGAGCAAGCAGATCCTCTGGGAGGCGGTTGCGGAACTAGCGCAAAGGGCGTCATGGAGATTTGCCAATGACCACATCCAAAAAGGAATAATGAAGGAATCCACACCAGGATATATATTCCACATGATGGCTGCATCAGAACGCCAAGACATGTTGCTGTGGAAGACAAATAACCCTGACCTTACTGTCTCTCTTGAGTTGACCCCGAGGTGTATCTGCAAGACAGTCAAAAGCTATGGCCTGAAATTCGCAGGAAAGCAGTTCGAACATAAGATTGCTTCTGTTCGCGATCTGGACCAACCAGACCAACATTTCTATTCAACAGCACCCCGGGACGGTTCAGTGGTGCGTCACCTCTCACTCACCTTGAGTCTGGCGTTCGACAACGTGGAACCCTACATCGTACCGAGTCAAAATGCTGATCACAAAGCGACCAGAAGAGGAGCCTCGTCGACCGTACATGCGAGGAAAGCAATTATGGAAGCAGCGCATTCTACTGTTATGGATCTTGGAAAGGTACTGCTAGGTCAAGAGAAACTGGTCTGCGAGCAAGTAGATAGGGGACCTACGCATTCAAGCTCAGCAGATGATGGTTCGCCAGGTCAGAATTTAGAGCAATAGTGTGAGTGATCAGACGGGAAAGATAAGAATTTGGAGTAGTGTTGTAGTCACCAGGGACAATAGAGGCAGCTTTAGAGTGAGAAGTGTAAGTAATCTTATTTATCTTAGGGTAATGAGATGAAATTGCGAGATTCTCCGACCCTGGCGTGGGCCTGCGAGTGTAACGTAGCGCTGTAGTGACCACGAGTAAGAGAGGGAGACCTGGTTTTGATCAACAAGACCTAGAGAGCACTTGACTCCCGTTATCTGACATTATTTCGAGATATCCTCATGGTCATGTGTTGCGATTCAATAAATACAACTTCCTCCAGCACTGAAGGAGCTGGCACGAAATTCTGCTTGCAGCTTGGTGACAGCTGCCCCTGTCTCGGAATACGCATGAGTAGGCCCGCATCAGCAGCAACATATTGCACGATCCCTCGGCCGTGTTCACATGAGTTGTCACCTGGAGAAAACAGTTGCTCAATTTTGTTGTCGCGCAACTCGTGAAGCGATGATCTATCAAGGCAAACGACAGCAGGGGACATGTGTAATGACCTATGGTTTAGCGGTTCACCAAATCTCGATCCTGAGCCTATTATAATCCCAACACCACTGGAATATATGCCGTCTCTCGCTTACTCTGCACATGCCATTTGATGACCGCGGATTCGCATGTACACCGTACTTGTTCAGTCCTGAGGCGCTTCATGTCCTGGGTCCAGAGTTACAACGACTGCGTACGATTGATATCTCTGTCGTGCCCAGCCCAGATCTCCAGTTCATAGAAGACATGAGACGTGCCGCCACGTATCATGTATTCGGGGCAACGGAGGCCAAAGGCATGAGTGCTGCATCTCTGAAGGTACTGGAACTTGAGAGGGTACTGCTTGGTAGTGAGAAAGCGTCTGACGAGTATGTGGGATGGATGCAGGAAGGTCACGTGTTCAGGTCCAAGAAAATGGATGATGAGGCGACGAAGTAGGGTGAAGCAGGGCCAATGGATACTATTGTACGATGACGCAGTCGAGATCAAGGTGTACGGGTTTACATAAAGCAGAAATTTAAGATGTTGTAACCATCTAAACACAGAATGGAGATTCGACGGGAACTTGAGGCCTCCGTGTGGACTCAACGGTCTTGTGCAACGGCGTGGTGATGTCATGGGGATTCGCGTTCTAGCGCGTCGCGGTGCCCAAACTTTGTTGTTTCTCCGCACGCATTGATGGCCGGGAGCTTGTTGCTTCCCCACACATTTCCTACCTCACAGCTTCTTGTCGCCTGTCGCGCGGTGATGGGATGGTGCAGTAACGCACGCGACAATGGCACCTCAGAAGCGCCAATACGGCGATCTCGGAAATGAGGGCTCGCCACTCAACTCACCACGGAACGCATACTCGCCTTCTCTCACTCGCTACACCAATCCGTCTTCGTCGCAAGGATACGCACTCTCTTCGCCATCACAGCATTATGAACGTACACCGAAACAGCCGCGTACCGCCCTAAATGCGCATCCCTCGCGACTGGCAACCGGCTCTTCGCATGCTGACGCCCTAGTCATCGATAGTGACGATGACGACGACGCTTCGCAGGAAGCACCGGAGTCGACTCAGGCCTACAACGAGCAGCAGTACAGCTATGGCCTCTACGGCATGCTTCACAACAAGATTGTAGGCGTCAGGTTCCACAATGGCTATGCAACGGTCGGAGAGATGGTCATTTGCAGGCGCCAGCCGCAGAATCGATTCGACAGAAACGCCATCGAAGTTCTCAACGTGCAAGGCGAGCAGATCGGTCACATACCGAAGACCTGGGCTGCAAAGCTGGCCAAGTACATGGATAATCGCAGCCTCCTTGTGGAAGCGCAAATCATCGGACCTAAGGGCGATTTCGACTGCCCGATTGAGATCAGGCTGTACGGAACGAACGAGCCAGTTGAGCGTGAGAAACTCATGGCTCAGATGAGAGAAGATAAGCTTCCAGTCGGACACGCGGCAGATCGTAAACGCAAAGACGCAGCAGCTCAGAAGGAGAGGCACCGACTGGCCAAGGAGGCTGCCAAGCAGGCGAAGCAGCATGGTGGGGCTATTGTAGGTGTCGGCGAAGGTCAAAACTGGGAGAACGGCATGAGTGACTACATGGCTGGCTCTACACAGTCCGACGGCACGGGACCAGGGCCTAGTCTGATGGATATAATTGGCGCCAGCGAGCGCTTCAACCCCAGGAACTTCGAGAACGTTGTCGAGGAGTTCGGCGTCAAGGAGCAAGATCTTGCTACTATGGCCAAGGCGGCGCAGCCTAAGGCCCTTCATACTGAGATGCACCCTTTCCAGCTCCAAGGACTGCACTGGATGCTAGACAAAGAATCTCCACAGCTACCAGTTCAGGGCTCGAACGATATTGTGCAGCTCTGGAAGCGCCACGCTCGTATGCCCGACGCCTTTACAAATGTGGCCACGAACTATTCTGTCACCAATCCAAAGCTAGCTTCTGGAGGTATTCTAGCAGATGACATGGGATTGGGTAAAACCATTCAGGTCATTTCGCTCATCATGGCTGATAAAGAGCTGGGGCGCCGAGCCTCTGGTGTTGCTGATGCTACGCTCATCCTAGCACCAGTCTCTGTCATGAGCAACTGGACCACGCAAATGAAGAGGCACATCAAGCCAGAACATGCCCTCCGCACCATGTTCTGGCACGGCACGCGCAAAGAGCCTATCACACCCAAGCAGATCGAAAACTACGATGTGGTCATCAGCACATACGAGTCGGTATCGGCAGACTGGTACTCGCAGAAGAGTTCGGCACTGCCTAAGAAATCAGGCCCGTTCTCCATAACGTGGAGGCGTATCGTCCTCGATGAAGGCCATAACATTCGCAACCCCAAGGCAAAGAAGACCATTGCCGTCAGCAACCTACTGGCCCAGTCGAGATGGTCGTTGACAGGTACGCCAATCATCAATAACCTCAAAGATCTTTATAGTCAGGTCCGATTCCTTCGCCTTTCGGGTGGTCTTGACTCTTTTGAGATCTTCCACGGCGCCATCTCTCGTCCTGTGCTGGCTGGCGATCCACGAGGCAACAAGGCCTTGCAGATGCTCATGGGTAACATCTGCTTGCGGCGCAAGAAGGAAATGTCATTCATCGACCTCCGCCTACCTGAGCTGTCCGAGTACGTCCACAAGTTCAAGCTTCATCCACACGAGCAAGAGAAGTACGACGCATTGGAGGCACAGGCCAAGGGTACTCTCGACATCTACAGAAACAACATTGGCAATCAGAAGGCTCAGAATACTTACCGTCACCTCCTCGAGGTCCTCCTCCGCATGCGCCAGCTGTGCAACCACTGGCAACTTGTCGGCGAGGAGCGCCTCGATTCGATCATGAAGCAGCTCGAGGCCGAAGGTGTTGTCGACCTTACCGCAGAGAACAAGGAGGCTCTGCAGAAGATACTTCAACTGTCCATCGACTCTCAAGAGGACTGTCCGATATGCTTCGACACCTACAAGGAGCCTGTAATCACGAAATGTGCACACATCTTCTGCATGCCTTGTCTAGAGCGAGTCATCGAACTGCAAGGCAAATGTCCCATGTGCCGCGCAGCCCTCGAGTCAGTCAGTTCCACAACCGTCGAGCCGGCCGTCGAAACGTCCGCAAAGCCCGAGCCCACGCCGGAACCCAAAGCAGACAAAGCCTCTCTTTCTCAAAAAACAAGTAGCAAAGTCGAGCAGCTCCTACAAATTCTCGCCGCCAACCGGGAAGACAAGACAAACAAAACTGTTATTTTCAGCCAGTGGACATCATTCCTCGACCTCATCCAGGTGCACCTAGCATCAGCAGGTTGCAAATACACGCGCATCGACGGCTCCATGAGCGCCGTGGCCCGCGACGCCGCCCTCGAAGCCCTCGACAACGACCCAGACATAACCATCATGCTCGCCTCGCTCTCCGTGTGCTCTGTCGGCCTCAATCTAGTCGCAGCTAACCAGGTCATCATGGCGGATAGCTGGTGGGCACCTGCCATCGAAGATCAGGCAGTCGACCGCGTACATCGCCTGGGCCAGAAGCGCGAGACTACTGTGTTCCGTCTTGTTGTTGAGGGCAGTGTGGAAGAGAGAGTGCTGGGTATCCAAAGCGATAAGAGGAGGTTGATGGCTATGGCATTCGCGGAGAAGGAGGGGGGAAAGAAAAAGAATATCCGCAGTGGTGGGCTGAGCGATCTGACGAGGTTGCTTGGGCAGTGTGAGGACGGTGATGGTGCGGCTGCAACTGCTAATGCAAGTGGCAGTGGCAGTGGTAGTACCGGCAGCGGTGGCGGTGGAAGAGGACGAATGAAGTGATCTAAGTGACTGTATATGACGATCATATGAGGGTGCTCGTTGTTGAACGAGTATGCAAGGCGTTATTGTTTTCCATGGTATACCCGGTACAAAGGGTCTCTGAATTCTAGTCCGATACTATTCTGCAAATGCGCGTTTACCAAACAAACCGTGGAGCATCGTGAGCTCCATTTCATCCTCATCAACGGCCTCCAGACTCCAGCTCTACCAAGAACGCACGTGCGGGGATGATCTGGGGAAGGTAACAGCGCTCGAAACGCGTCTCAACATCTACCCGGCCGGAAGCTGCGACATTATCTGGTGCCCTGGCTCCGAGAACTGTTAAATGTCGCACGTCGTGTGCCTGGTGAGCCAAGGGTCTAGTCCTCCGAAAGATTCCCTGGGAAGAAGCTTGGCTAGCTTGGAGGTGTGGAGGCTTAACAGCCAGAGCATCTCGTTCGTGTGGGTGTAGTCATGGTCTGTTGATTCAAACGGTTGCTACGGATGCTGCGAGTGCATCGATGTCCAACGACGTGTCGATGCTGACCGGGATTACGTTGCGATGTGTGTGTCCTTGTGATTGCGCGTCGCTAACACGAACGCGCTAAGAGGGCGGGCGGCTCCTGCAGGTGCAGTAGTGTTGAGAGTGGATCCAGCAATTTAGCAACCGCGATCGCGGTGGTCTGGAAGTGCACAAAACAGTTGCAGCGAGATTTTTGCGGGGTATTGTTGCTGGCATGTAGTGCGGTGTTCCTACGTGTTATGGTTACAATTGCGATTGCTGAAGGGCGTCCTGGGTGACGAGGTTGCGATAGGGCGCGGTGAATATCGCAACGGAATCATGTGAAACAGACGCAACTGCGACAATCAACGTATTGTATCAACCATGTTCATTGAAGGTATCTGAACTCATTACCACGGCTCCTTCTACTAACGATCTCTTGCGTGGTCGAAGGAAGCCCCATTAGCAGAACCCAATTTGGTACACACAGACATTATACAGGTGCATGGCTCTTGCCAATCCACGTTTGGTATCCAATGCTCTCTCCTTTGCTTGCCTCTACTCTTCCCATCCACCTCCTCTCCACGACTCGGGGGTATCTTATGAGCGGTTGCCTGCGATCTGGTGATGATATCAGAGAGTGTTCCAGAAACAGGGAGATAGGTTTGACGTACGCGCTTGGAGATGAACAAACCGATCAACAAGCAGAGGACGAGGAAGACAATGACGAGGACGACGATGACACCAGGCTCGCGCTGAGCCCAGTTCTTCTCGCGCTTGGCCAGCTGGGCCATGGCGAACTCGCTACGAGCCGCGATAAGGTAAGATATGGCGGCCATTGTGGTGGATGTGGAGTTCTACAGCAATGTCAGTCAGACACGTTCGGCACAGAATCATAAACAGCTATGCATCGCGACTGCAGGCATTAGAGGGTCGAAGCACGAGCACGAATCGACCGACTATCATTCCAGGATGAGGGGGTTCGCGGCAAATGCGTCCACGCGGAACGCGGCATTGAGACTTGCGCGATGGCGATAACGACTTCCACGCGTGCCAATTGCTCCAGGCAGAAAAGGTATCGATCGAGCATACCTTTGGTTGAGACGGTCCTCTGTCGAAAGGGTGTTGAGTCCAGGAGTATTATTGAAGCTTTCGAAGCTGTTGGCAGGCGAGGAAGCTGGTCAGCGGATCTCCACAGAACGTCGCGACAGAGGTGAACGAGGTGGACTCGATGGAAGAGCAGGACAGGGCATCAAAGACAAAGAGCCTCAGTAAATAGAGGCCGCTATCCGCTTTTAAACGCGCCGGCTCGCCGAAAATTCTGCAGAGTGAGGGATTTGTTTGGGTTGGCCGCTCGGGCCCTGGCGGAAGTCCGGTAATAAATCTGCATGGGGCGAACGATGACCTAGACAACGAAAGTGTGGACTTACACTGGGCTGTAGATGGCTCTGCGGAGAGGATGAGGATGGAATTGACAGAGAGCAGAGTGAAGAAAGAAGCGTTGCAGCAGCTGGCGAGGAGAAGAGGTTGGGGCCTGGCAACCTTAACGCGATCGAGCGCTAGAGCTGCCGGAGAAGGGAAAGACACTAAAGCCCAGCCAATCGCGCGCGACGTGAATCGACGTGGAGTCAAGACGATCGCGGCCGCTCTCGAAACGCCTGCGACTTCACCAAGGCTCTAGGGCGCGCAGTTGCTTCAATGGCTCCAATTGCGCGCGGCGAGCTCTAGCGTCTCCATACCTGCACCTGCAGCTGCTCGCGAGCGCCGTCCACAGCATCATCCGCGTTGTGGGGGGCTCGCAGCAGCTCCGCAGAGGTTCGGCTGCGATGCTGCAGCCGCCGCTGACGCTACCGTCCGGCTCGCCATGGGCCCCATGCCTCGGCGCTCTGCCGCTTGTTGTGCGTGAGCAGCGCGACAATTATGTCATTGAGCGCGGGCTGCTTATCAGCGCTGCATCAGAGCTGGCAGGCCCCGAGCCTCGCACGAGGGCAGCGCTCTCTCGTGGGGCGCGAGGACAATCCGCGACCAGGGCCAAAATGCCTCATTTCACCAACTGCGAGCCTCTCGATAGCGCGAACGCTACCGAGGCCGCTTGGGCAGAGAACACGGCCTGCGGCGTGGGATGGCGTCTCAGCGTGCAGCTATGATCCCCACCAAGCTTCGCGGGGAGTAATTCGATAATGCTTGGCGGGTGCGGCCTGCAGCAGTTTGCAGATGGCGGCTGACTGGAGACGGTCGACGCTTGAGGTTGCGACTGCATTCACCTACCGAATGCGATCCTAGCAACAGTGTCGAGTGGGCTGCTCCACGTCACCTGTTGTTGTGATGGCACCGCATCCGGGCAGCTTATTAGGAAAAGTGGAGATCACGGGTAAGTTACCTATCAGAGCAGCCGAGAGCGCACTACCGTTGAAGCAAAGAGTGGGCATCCTAACAAGAGCCTCACCGCCGCCAGGGTAGGCACTTGGTGCTTCTAGTGGCACCGAGCCAATGTCGGAAGATTGTTGCCCGTGGTGTTTATCTAATTTGTGTTCACCGGATGGCTGCTCACCAGTGCACACCTCAACATAACCGCTGTGCAAGTGTCTGGGCGTCAAATGCCTGCAACAGCGGCAGTTCGAACTCAAGCACGCTTCGCGACTGCATCCAAAGTCAATTATTCCAGGTCGTGATCCAGTCATCTCATGTTCTTTGTTCAACCCGTTGATGCAAGCAAGCGGACCGCGACTCTAGCCTCCGCACGCAGCCGCACATCTAACCCCAGCTTTCGAAGGCTGGGAACTTTTGGTATCCGAAACTAATAAGTGCCCTGACGATCTTCGCATGTATCTCAGTTCTTCAAATCTCAGTTCCTCCATATCCTCACTTGTTTGTCCGCACCTCCGCTGCCCACCTTGTCGCCGTCTGGACTCCAATCCAATGCAAAGACTTGGTCTTTGTGGCCCGGGAGGTCCTCCTTCAGCTTTGCTGTCCTCATGTCCCACACCTTGAGCGTTGTGTCCTTGCTGCAGCTGGCGAGTAGTCTGCTGTCTGCAGAAAAGCTAGCCATGTACACAGGGCCTACGTGCGCCCTCAATGTGTTGAGAAACTTTCCATCCCGCGCAGACCACAGCTTGACGTGGTTGTCCCAAGCCGCAGAAGCGAGAAGCTGGCCGTCTGGTGAGAAGACAACCTGGTTGATTTGCTTCTGATGCCCAGTCATCCTGGTGACTGGCTTTGGGCTTGTCAAGGGCGTCCACAGGATCAGTGTGCAGTCTTCTGAAGCTGTTGCAAGACGCTCGACAATCTCACCGCTGATGGTCGCAGCCTTCTCGAAACGCGCTTTCGCCTTTGCTACCTTTTCATCTTCTGTTGCCGGTACCTTCCTGGTGTGATCGTGGTATGCAGTGCGCAGAACGAAATCGGTCGAAAGAGCGAGATGATTAACCCAATGCGCATGACCAGACAGGGTGCTGTGTAGTTGGCCAGTCGCTGCGTTCCACACCTTGATCGTCTTGTCGTGAGAGGATGTGTAGATTCGTCCAGTGCCACCCCATTTGACGCACGTCACACTGCCCTTGTGTCCTGAGAGTGCATAGTCGACCCTGCCACTCATTGCGTCCCATACTCTGACCGTCCCATCTTTCGAAGAAGACGCTACTCTCGGCCGCCCTGGCTCTTGCAGATGGTATGGCTCCCAGCACAGTGACGTGATGAAGTTGGTGTGTCCCTTGAGCGCACCGCCGATCTGCTTTCCTGTCTCGGGATCCCATATCCTGACCTCGTTGTCATAGCCTCCAGATGCCAGTAACGAACCATCTGGGGAGTAGCTGACCGCAAGGACCCACCTTGTGTGGCCCTTCATAGTGTAGACCGGTGTTCCAGTGTCACAATCCCATATTCTCACTGTCTTGTCTCCGCTTCCACTAGCCATGCGCCCCGAGTTCTTCGGCGAGAATTGCACCGCTAAGATGTTGTCTCCGTGCCCAGAAACTGCTGCTGAGCATCTCGACACTGCCTTCACTCTGAACACAGCTTGCGGCGCATACTGCAGCACAATTTCTGTCTCTGCCGAAGCTTTCCCTGACTTCACCAACGCATTGTACAGGTCCTCTTTGTCACCAAGCGCTTCCGTAGCCTCGTCGTGAAAGAATCGGTAGGGTACTTGGTCGTCGGCTTGATCTTTGAGCTCATTCAAGAGAATTTCGAGGTTCTTCGTCGTCGCCTGATTCAGAGGAACAGTAAGGACAGGCAGGCTTCCACTCTCGCCCGTGGCCTGGTCTATGAAGCGCACTCGTACGGTGCCGTCTGGGATCGTTGTGTCAATATTCTGCTGTTCGCGCGTGTACTCGGCCTGCGCGCGTTTCTGCCGTTTCGAGGGTGGAGGGTATTGTGTGGCCATGGTGATTATTCCTGGCTTTCAAATTGACGGTTTGGGGGTCGACGATTTGTCAAGTTCTTTCGAAAGTTGTTGCAGACACTGCCAGACCCCACCGCACTTTTTTCTGAGCGCTATCGATAGGAAACCGCGCTAGCGACGCGCTCCTTCCTCCGCAATCACCAGCGCGTCTTTCATCTGAACACCGCACAAGCAAATGAAGTGATTGCTTGAATGACGAAGAGCACAGCTTCAAAGCATGATCAAAGACTGACCACGTAGCGCTAACCATCATGCCTCGCCTCTCTAGGCCGTCCACCTCCTACACCTCAGCATCCACTTCCTATGGACATGGTGACTATACAACCACAATTCCACGTTCCAGGACCCGGCCGGGTACTGGTAGACCACCAACTGCCCGCCCCAGGATCGGCGCGTCGACTATTGCCAGGGTCGAGTCTCAACAAGTGGTCTGCGCTGTTGCCGAGTCTCGCGGGATCTCACCCACCGTAGGCCTGGCCTTTGTCAACCTCGATACCGGAGAGTCGGTACTTTGCCAGATCAATGACAGCCAGACTTACGTTCGGACTATTCACAAGCTGAAAGTCTATGGTCCTTCGGAAATACTCATTGTCGCAACAGCGTCTAGTCCCAAGTCAAAGCTGTTCTCCATCATCGAGGATAATCTTAAAGACATTGGCAGCGAAATCACCTTACTCGATCGCCGCTACTGGGCAGATTCGACTGGCTACGAGTACATCCGGACCTTGGCCTTCAAAGAAGATGTCGAAGCCATCAAGATATCGGTCCAAGGCAACTACTACGCTATCTGCTGCATTGCGGCTGTGAGTAGTTTGCCGGTCCGTTTGACTGATAGCTGAATGTCTACAGGCACTGAAATACATTGAGCTGGGGTTGAAGCTGCAATTCTCATACCACTCACTCAGAATGCGATACGAGCCCTCCGAGGGATCCATGATGATCGACATGTCCACTATCTACTCACTCGAGCTTGTACAGAGTCTTCAGAACCCAAAGACGGAGGACTGCCTTTTCGGACTCCTCAACGAGACCCTGACAGCAATGGGAGCACGCTTACTGAGGAACAACATATTGCAACCGCTCACTGACCCTGAAGTTCTCAACACCAGGTACCTTGCAGTGGAGGAGCTGACTACCAAGGAAGAGATGTTTTTTGCTACGCGAGCCGGTCTGCTATTTGCCCCGTTGTTGGAGCATCTTGCTGATGTGCAACAGCGTTGAAGAACTTTCTCGATGCCGACAGAACCTTGACCGCAGTAAGCAAGCGGTAGGTACAACATAGCACATGCTGACCCTTTCAGCTCATCGTCAAGCCTGTCAAACCAACTTTGCAGACAACCGAGCAAGCTATCAACCACGTCATTATGCTGAAACAATTCGTATCGTCTGTCAATCCGGTCTTCGAGGCTCTCACGGGTGCGAGATCAAGCATGCTGAACAACATCCGCGAGGTGACGATTTCCAGCTGAAGTTGGTTCCTTTGGCTGACCTTCCAGCTCTTCGCTCCTGAGAATGTCTCGCCGATACAAGTCCTGATCGACGAAGTGATCAACGAAGACACCACCCACGCGAAACAGCCTCTCGAGCTTCGGAACCAGCGCACATATGCAGTGAAGTCTAGTGTAAATGGGCTGCTCGATGTCGCACGCACGACCTACAAGGAAGCTACCGAGGACGCCTACCAACACTGCACAGAGCTTGGTCGTGAGTACTGTCATTGAAGCGTCGTGACCGACTCTGATGTAGAATAGAGGAATACGGCATCCAGCTTGACCTCAAGTATGAGAATGCTCGCCAGTTCTACATCGAGATATCCACCACCGAGCTCGACGGCAGAGGCCTTCCAGCCGTTTTTACCAACGTCATTCACAGGAAGAACAACATCGAATGCCAAACCCTAGAGCTTATGAAGCGCAACCAGAAGGTAATTTTCCGCGTTGAGCATCGTCTCGCCAGATACTAATTCTTGCAGATAACCATCTCACACCAAGAAGTTGTGCTGATGAGTGAGTGTCTGCAACTACGTGTACATGCTACAGACTAAGACCCACAGGTGACCAGGCTGTGGACTCGCTCATCGAGGCTGTCCGCGGTCACATGTCGGTCATGTTCAAGATCTGCGAAGCCATTGGTCTATTGGACATGATCGCCGCTTTCTCGCAGCTCGTCACTGTGAACGAATACACTCGACCGCACCTCACGGATACACTTGCAATCCAGGCTGCCAGGCATCCTATCAAGGAGAAGATCATGGTAAACAAATTTGTACCGAACGATGTGTATTCCACCCAACAGTCGCGCTTCCAAATCATAACTGGCTGCAACATGAGTGGCAAGAGCACTTACATCCGCACCATCGCGCTCATGTCGATCATGGCTCAGGTTGGATCCTTGTATGTTGGCATTGTGAAGGGCACCGCATGTGTGCTTACACATTTAGTGTCCCCGCCTCGTACGCCTCGTTTCCAATCTTTCACCAGCTCTTCGCACGTCTGGGCATGGACGACAATATTGAGACGAACGTGTCGACATTCGCAGCGGAGATGAGGGAGATTGCGTTCATTCTGCGGAACATTGACCGGCGAAGCATGGCCATCGTTGACGAGCTGGGCCGTGGCACGAGTACCAGAGATGGTCTGGCCATTGCTCTGGCCATCGCCGAAGCACTCGTCTCCAGCAAGGCACTAGTATGGTTTGCAACCCACTTCAAGGACCTCGCCACCATTATGCATGAGCGTGCTGGCGTGCAGAATCTTCATCTGGCCGTTGACATAAGGAACGAGCAGAGCATGACTATGCTCTACAAGATCGCACAGGGCGCTGTCCAACAGTCACATTACGGTCTTGCCCTTGCCCGAGTTGTACCACTACCACCAGGAGTGGTCGACCATGCCGCAGTAGTTGCGCGGAAGTTCGAGCGCCATATGCTTCGCAAAAAGAAGACCTCTGAGGTCGTACTGAAGGAGAAGCGTCGCAAGCTCATTCTCAATTTGAAAGAGCATCTTGTGCAGGCATACAACGGTATACTCGAGGGCGATGTTCTCGCCGCTTGGCTTAAAGAGTTGCAAAAGGAGTTTGTCAACCGTATGACAGCACTCGAGGCTGAGGCTGCCAGCGTGAGCCAAGACACAGACGATGAAGATGAAGAGATTAACGGAGGAAGCGCAGTGGGCGGCCATCAGCGTCTAGGCACCTCTGCTGGCCAGCTCTCGGCCACGAGCATCTTGTCCAGGCTGACTTCAACCGAGTCCGAGTCCACCAATCGTGCAATGTCTGAGGCTTCGACAATTCGAGCCGTGTCAGACAACGAGCGCTGAATCGTGCATCTTTTATCGGTCAGGCGTAAAAGAGAACAAATGACCATTGTTCTTAGGTGTCTTTTTGAGGCAGCGACTTCGAATGCTAAAACCTGGCCCTCGTACCCTTTACCAACCCTTTCATCCCTTCCCTCACTTCCCTTACGATCTCCCCGGCACCCTTGACCTCCTTAACCAACCCCACCGCACTCCCAGCATACGTACATAGCCTCGCATCCGCGCCCCACCCCTGATCTCCCTTCTTCACGTCCTCTTCATACAACCTCTTGTTCTCCTCATCGGCCATGCCACCCACGGCATCGGTGTACGTCCTGTTTACGATCCCCCGCCCATTATGCGTCTCTGCCCACCCCTTTGTTCCCCTGGCGTTATCCCAGGCCTTCGTTCGCACCGTCGTCTGCCCACCATCACTGGCCCGAAGCACCTCGTCCTGATAACCCTTCGCCAGCACCGCCTCGTGGCTCGCAAGGAAACGCGTACCCATTACTGTTCCACTAGCGCCAAGAAGCAGACTCGCCGCTGCGCCGCGCGCCTCCACGATGCCGCCGGCCGCTATGAGCACCGGTCTCTCTGCACCCGGCAGCAGCGCGGAAACCGCATCGTCGACTTCCGGCAGCAGGGAGATGAGACCCGCGCCCTGCGCCAGGCCGTGACCGCCGGCATCTGTGCCCTGGACGACCAGGACGTCGGGCCTCACGTGCCAGACCACATCGCGAGCTTCGCGCACGCTACCGATCTGCACCCAGATCCTGCTGTGCGGGCTGGCGCGTCTGCACCGTTCTGACCAGTCCTTCAGCGTCGCGACAGAGGAAGGCGCGAAGAACCATATAGCCGCTGGTTTGAACCTGGCGATGACAGGGAGAGCAACGGAGAGGTCGGCGCCCCAGTTGATGAAGCCTACGCCGAGCGGGATTGTGCCGTTTGTGGTTGGAACAGGAGAGTCTTGTAGGAGCATGCCAGCGGATTCCAGGTACGTCTCTAGATCTGAGACGTCGGTTCCGGCGCCGATGAAGCCGATGCCTCCTGCTTATGTTAGTCCAGGACGAGGGAAGCGGATAAGGCGGGTGTAGGACGACGGTTGTGTGTGGAGAACCGCAGGAACGCGTACCAGCTTTTGAGATGGCGACTGCGAGGTCAGCGAGAGCGATGAGGCGCATGGGCGCTCCTACGACGAGGGGCGTTTGAATCCATGGGTAATCGTTTCTGAGTCTTTGGATGGAGTCCATCTTCCTATTCTTGGATCAACCAAGTCTTTTCCCAATCCTCGGCCGGATGTATCTTACGTGGCAGATTGTCTTACTCGGGCCGCGCGTGGAGTTGTAAGCAAAACCGGAGTTTTGGTGGCCTAGTATTCATTTATAATTGTTGGACGAGCTGTATTTGAGTTGTACCCGTCGATCCGCTTCCGTCATCGATCCCTGCTCGGCAATGGTTCGGCCAGGCCGTGTTAGCACAAGACAAATAATGTAATACTCCAGGCGAGGTTGTACCAGTCATAACTTGCATGTATATTATTAACATCTACTATAACCAAAGTCTAACACACCAGGTAACGCGCCTATTGGTGTGCATTGAAGCGAATCCGCTATTACTTCGTAACGCTCGTTAAACAGCTGCTAATCCTAGCAAAGACAACTGCATCTCGTCGAATTTAGTTCCTCCTTTCCCACTCGACGGTACCAGGTGCAAGCGGCCGGGAGAACAGACTCGAGTAGTCTGTGCCGACGATCTCCTTGCTGCCGCCGACGTTCCTGAGCTTGAACTCCCTCACGAATGCAACAAGGATGGTCTGCAGCTGCAGGTACGCGAACTGCTCACCGATGCACCTGTGACGTCCAGCGCCGAAGGGAAGGTATGGCGAGTTGGTTCCCTTGGAGATGACACCCCAGCCGTAGTCAATGGTGTCTTCGCCGCCAGCCACAGCCTCGGGCTCCTCGTAGTTGTTCTGGCCAGCGTCCCATCGGTGGGGGTCCCAAACGTCGGCATTGACGAAGTGAGAATCGAGCAGCGCAGAGAATCCAGGCGAAGACATGAGGGTGTGCGAGGTAGGAATGACGTAGTTGGTGCCGTCTGCGACAAGAGGCTGCTTAACCTTGCGCATGATCGAGTGGATAGGCGCGTGGAGACGGAGGGTTTCCTTGACGACCTGGGCGTGCAGAGACAGCTTGGGGAGGTCCTCGTAGGTCAGGGGAGGAAGATCCTGGCCAAGCTGAGTCTTCTGCTCCTCAAGAAGCTCTTCAATGAGACCAGGGTTCTGTGCGAGGCGGAGGAGGATCCAGGCGATCGTAGAAGACGAAGAGTGCTGACCAGCCATGAGCAGCGCAATCATGATACCAGCGACCTCGTGCTCGGGGACCTCTGTGCCGTCCTTGTACTTGCAGTCCATCAGATGCCAGATCATATCGTGCTCACCCTCCTTCCTCTTTGCCTCGCCGCTTCTGCGCCTGCGAACGATGTCCGAGTAGAGCTTGATCATTGTCTCACGTGCGTTGTCACGCGCACGGTTGTGGGGAAGGGGAGCCCAGGAAAGCATGAAGTTAATGGGCGAGAATCCCATGTCGAGGTCGTGGTACAGCTCGGCGAACCTGGAATCGAAGGAGTCGCGGATCTCCTGGCCTTGAAGAGAGCGGGATGCCGTGTAGATGGTGAGTTCGGCCATGACCTTGGTCACATCGAACGTGCCCTTGCGGCCCTGGAAGACCTTGTGGCGCTTCATGAAGTTCTCGCACTCTTCGGTGATGACGGTAACGTAGGAGCGGAGGGCGTCTTGGGTAAGACCGAACTTGACGAACTGGAGGATGTTAGCTTGTGCTGGCCGGTACAGCGAATGCCTGCGCACCTTCTTCTGCTCCATCAACTTAGAGTTGGGGCAGTCGTACACGACATCCTTGCCGAAGACGGGGGTGGTGAGCGGGCTGTAGATCTCCTCTGCGTTGACATCCTTGATCTTCCCGTTGAGAATGAAGTTGTTGCCCTTGGTGTCGAGGCAGACAGTCATCTTGCGACCGAGGAGAATGAAAGTGAACACATTGCCGTACTACTGCCAGTCAGCGCGTTGATTCCATGGCCAAAAGGCACGCCACATACCTTCTTCTGCTGGGCGAAGAAGAACTTGTACGGGTCCATGCCATAGGTGACTGTGCTACCAATCACCGGGAACAGGTGGAAGACGAGAGGCGGCTCATTGGGGTTCTTGAGCAGCAGTTGCTGCAAAACGTTCAGGACGATCGCGAGGACGAGGAAGGATGCGAAACCGGCGGCGAGAACGACGGGCGTGGACGAGTTGGCGGTGAAGTTGCCAATCGGCCCAGAGACATCAGCGAGAACACCCATACTGCGTGACAGTGACTGCGGAGGCGTGAGAGAGCGGTGGTGTTGTCGTAGGGGGCGCGGCTTTACATAAATTTCCCTGGAGTTGAGGCCCTTTCTTGCCAATCAGCGGTCGCGCCTGCCGCAACTGGGGTGCGCCGGCCTGTTAGGCTGTTCCTGACAAGCCGCGGATCTGTGCTCCGCCCACCAAGGAGAAGATCGGGCCACGAACGGACGACACACGCCTCTACGCCACCGCCCGCCGTAAAGGGTGTCACGTCATTGGCGGACGATATTCTCTACCAAGGTTTGCCAAAGTGGACTGCAAAGCTCGCTATACGTTGAACGGAAACTCATTTCATTACTCTGCTAGTCATGCGATGCGGAGAACCGTCTTGACCGCTCAGGACCCATATTTTTACATCCTATTGACGCCGGCCAACCAGAACGCTCAGAGTACGCGAAACACAGCCCTCGATAACGTACACATCCTCCCATGCAGTCAGGCCTGCTGTGCGACCCTGCCGAGTAATGCCGCGCTCTCCCATGTCGTAGCCTACACACTGCTCAAACATCATCGAACAGCGTCTGGTCGCCCTTGCCCCCCATCTCGACGAACTCTCGAGGGTCCCGCTTGTCTGCTGGCCGTTCCTCTATCACGTCCTTCTCTTTCAGCATTTTCGAGCCGCCCCTCTGCGTACCGTTCTTCTCGTACACCTTCAAAGGCTCCTGTCCTTCTCCTGTTGGGATCACACGTGCGACCTTGATCTCGTTGATGCTGCTGAGTAAGGTTCGCTCGCGCTTGATCTTCCTCTTTGAGAAGTCGAGGTTGGCGATGGCTCCTGTCAGCCCATCCGTACTATCGTTCGGGTTGATGTTGCCACCTTGTGTAGTCCACGGGTGCTCAAGGCATTCTTCGACTGTGATGCGGGACTCAACGTCGACAGTGAGCATGCGGTCAATAAGATCTAGTGCCGGGTCGCCGACCGAGTCCCAGTACGGTGATGGGTAGTCGAAACGACCCTCCTTGATCTGTTGTGATAATGTGTATGGATTCTCTGGGCTGTAAAGCTCGTCAGAGAATGGCGGGAAGCCACACAGGCAGATGTACAAAACAACACCCAGTGACCAAACATCGACAGCACGTGTGTATCGGCGGTGGTTTGAGTTCTCCAAGATCTCAGGCGCAACGTCTTTGGAGTGTTAGCTGCGTAGTGTGAAGGGTGAGAGATGCCGCGCGACTTACACGATGGTGTCCCGCATAGTGTGGTTGTGAAAGACTCCTCGCCGATGATTTTGGCCAGACCGAAATCAGCGAGCTTGACGTGCAGCTCCTTGTCGGTGAGAAGAATGTTCTCCGGCTTGATATCTCGATGGACGATGTTACGTTCGTGCTGGTGGTGTGAGCGAATGTCGTAGACGGAGCATGTCTTCACCTACCAGATACTTCACAGCCTGGAACAGCTGAATGAAGACCTTCCGCGACTCCGCTTCTGTCAACTTCTGCTTCATGACGATCCAATTGAACAACTCCCCCTCGGTCGCAAGTTCAAGCACAAGGTAGACGCCATCATCCTCATCGAATGTATCCTTAAGACATAAGAGAGTTGGGTGGCTAATCCCCATGAGCACAGCAATCTCTTGCTGTAGCCCCTCGGTCTTTGACTTCTCGCCTGGACCGCTACGCTTCTCAAACTTCTTGACCGCATGTCGCATGCCAGTGCTCTTTTCAACACACAGGTACACGGACGCAAAGTGACCCTTGCCGAGCTGTTCTTGGAGCTGGTATCGCTGGTGGAATCGATGTGTCGAACGCTTGAGCGGGTATCTGAACACGAACCGCGCCTCGTCCAGGATTGCGAGCTCGTCGCCTTCCTTCAGCTCGCGACGCTTGTTTCGGCCGACTAGCGAGTCGTTGACGAATGTGCCGTTGCCAGAAAGATCCTCGACGACAGCAACCAGGTCGCCGCCCTTGTTCTCGGTGAAGAGGAGGCAGTGTCGGTTGGAGACGGTGTTCGACTTCAATTGACGGTCTGCACGGCAGTCAGCGCTGTCTTTGAAGAGCCCATGAGCCACTCACCACACTCGCGATGTCGCCCGATCAAATAGCCGCCGGCGGTGACACCTTTCTCTGCCTTCTCCTTCTCGTAGTCTTCCTCCTGTTTCTGGTATTCGTGCTTTGAGACCTTCTCTGTGCCAGTCGCTGGCCCTATCATAGTCTCTGGAACTGGACAGGCCTCTCGCCGCCTCAGCACCATGACGTCGCCAGACTGGTCGTCGAGGGGCACAAGGTAGCCCCAGACCTGCTCGCCCTCCTCATCGTCGAGTGCGTACGACCGTGCTTGGGGTCGGTTGGCGAATTGTGATTGTGTGAATGCCTGTGTGTCTGACTGCTTGGTGTCCGATGGGGGCGAGGATAGGCCGTTCTTTGCTTGGGAGAACTTGGCCTGGCTCTGTGGGGGCGGTGTGACGGTGCCTTCCTTGGGTTCGTCTGCGGTGCTGGTCGATTCCTTGTGGGTTATGGGCGAAGGCAGCTGTCCTTGCTTGATGTGACGGTGCGGGTCTCCAGGCGAGAACTGGCGCTGGCCCCGGACTCTCTTTGGCTCAGCCTGCTCGCCCTGGGAAGGCTACATCAATTGGTCTGTCAGCAAGCATGTCCCGCCGATTCCAGACCATGGAATTGCAACATACACGGCCCCGCTTGAGCTGACTCTTTTCTGGCTGCGCAGGCATCGCGGCAGCGAATCGGTGGGGAAGATGTGAATGCGGTGTGGTCGAGGCGACGGGGGATCAGTGCTGGCGCGCTCTAAATCGTGTAGCAGATTGTGGCAGTCATGATGAATCAGAATGGAGACGCTTAAGATTGGGTAGGGCTGCCGCTAGACCTTTACGACGCGGATGCCTCGAGACGCTCCAGGCAGATGAACAGGCCAAGAAAGGCGCTTCCCCGGCCGATCACCGCACCCCTGTTGGCGCATTATCGACGACCAGTACCTGCCACCAGCGACGACTGACAGCGCGCAGGCGACGAGTCCGCTGGCTTCCCATTGCGCTCCAGACATAGCGTCGTCTTCCGTGAACGCTTCGGACGAAGGTTTCTGTACGCAACTCGAGCCCGCAAGGGCCGGCTGCAGCCATGGTTCCTCAGCTGTCTCCCGTTGATACGCCGGTCGCTGAGCACAAGCAGGGGTGCCTTGGCCAGCTGGAACTCTTTCCACACCTCACGAACGCAGAGTTCGATGAAGCATGCAGCACATTGCTGAGAAGGTTCGAGATGCATGGGCGTCGCCAGGTGGAGTGGAATGCAGTGGAAAGTCTATCCTCGAGTGAGACCACGTACTTGAGAATCACCAAACCACTAGCTTTGCAGCTAGACCTACCAGGTACTGGCGATGACAACGAGGAGGCCGAGCTGAGAGAAGACGACGACGAGGTCGCTGAGACTCCAGCCTCGTCTCGAGCTGTCAGTCACTACGATGTCGTGCTCTCACCCGCGTATCGAGTTCCTGTTTTGTACTTCTCCATCTCAGACACGCTGCACCGCTATCCGCCGACCATGGAGATGCTGTACTCTGCATTGGTACCACCAGCCTTCAAAGCTCAGGCTGAGCATGTGGGCGTAATTGGTGGTATTACAATTACCGTTGGTCGTTGCGAAGTCGGAAATATGGCGAAGCTGACGGGTGGGTAGGACCATCCGGTTACAAACAAGCCAGTGTTCTTCATTCATCCTTGCCGTACAGCCGAAGTCATGGAGGCCAGTGTCGGTGGACGAAACATCACCGCGTACGACTACCTGCTGCTGTGGATAGGAGCGTTTGGAAAGTGCGTGGGGCTGAACGTCCCTCTGACATTGGTTGATCGAAAGAATGACTGAGAACATCGCCCTAAAGCGGTGTATGCGATTGCTGTACATATACTACAAGGTTTACATGCCAACAGATGGTACGACACTGATCCAAACCCGCTCTTCTACGCTCATAACCTGGTCCTCACGCTGTTCTTCTCGAGCTCACCAATGTTGCCCATGCCCGCCAGACTCCACTTCTCAGTAACGAAGCTGTCGCTGACTTGGTGCCTCAGCATGCCGCTTTCTGCGTAGTACTCCATGATACTCTTCGCCTCTTCCTTGCTCAGCCCACCCACTTCGAGGACATCGAGATCGGCCTTGGGATCCGCGAGATCCTTGAGAGCGTTCATGGTGCGCATGTCGACGATGGTGTAAGGGTCCCATTGCGGGAGCTCGATGTTGTTCTTGAGAGCTTCTGCTGATCTGATACGGAAGTCCAGAGCCGGCGAAGTGGGCGCGTTGGACTTTGATGTTGCAGCAAGTACCATTCCGCCGTTCGGCAGCTGCCTGGCTCCGGACAGATGATCGACAAAGTGACGGACAATGGTCAGGTCGTGGGCGTGTATGCGCTTCACGTCGGCATTCATGTATGCGGAGTTTTGCATGATGTGCGAAAGTCCCTCAGCAGCAAGCAGGATCTGTGGCTGGCCGGGCTGTGACAGCTCAGTCCAAAGAGCCTTGAAGACTGACCACGACGCCTCTACGTTGGCGATGCCGACCGCAACAAGGTCCTTGAGCTTGGCGTTCGCTGGGAGGGTGACGGGGAGCTCGTGCTTTTGGGTGATCTTCGCTTGCTCAAAGTACGCCCTGTTAGCCTTCAGGGTCTGCGATAGGAGACCCGCGGTGTAGGTATCCTGTGTGTACTGGGTGGGCTCAGAGCCTTCCAGAGGGGCGTAGTCGGTGTGGGCATTGACAACATCCTGGCCTGGTACTTGTTAGAAAAGCACATTCTCCCACTTGAAGTCACTCACACTCTGGAATGTTGATAACAAACCACTGCCTCAAGAAAGCCGTGCCCAGACCCTGAAGCAGTAGTGTGCTCTTTCCACCCTTTCTCTCTCCAGTCAATATGCGGCGGACGGTCCTCTTGCTGGTGCCAGCGGCTGCCTCTTCTGCCTCCTGGAATAGCTTCACGAGCTGGATTGCCTCTTTCCGCATCAACACTGCCGGTCTCCTAAAGAAGCTCCAGCCCTGAGTGGTCTTGAACGCCTCCACGTCTCGCAGCGCATCGACGACCGGCTCGGGAAGACCCATGACGAGTCCCTCATTCGCCTCGCTTAGCACATTCGCCTTGCTCAGATCCTTCAGCGAAGACACCTCTAATGCATTGTTATTGCTGAGCACGATTCGCTTGCGCTGCGCCTTTCGCTCTCCCTGCGCTGGTCGCTTGCCCATGTCGCTGTTTCTTGCGCCCTTGCTCTTCTTGGTGTTCAGCGTCTTGACTCCCTTCTTTGGCGCGGCTGACATGCCCATCTTCTTCATCTGGGGGTTCGCATGGCGGGCGGCGGACGTGGAGAAGCAGGCCACGCGTGGCTGCACGAATCGCGCGGCGGCGGCCGAGTGAGCAGTCGCATCGAGAGACAGCTGCGAGAAGCTCCGCAAACAGTTGGCGGACGGCATGATGGCAGACTGAGACCCACGGCCCCGACAACTGGCAGTTGATGTCGTCGTCGTTGGCGCACGTCTGCGATGCCAAAACTGAGGGCCGGAGGTTGCCCGATTGGGATAGCGCGCGAAAGTCGTTCATACTTTTTTTGACATGTTCACGCGGCACCAACACAGCACTCGCAGCACCCGCAGCACTCTCGCCCACATATATCCTCGAAGTTGACATGACCGGCGGCGTCGCACTGGACACACATTCGCACCTTGTCGACAGAATCAACGGAGGAGCCATGGACGTCGATGCGCCGAGCAATGCAGCGCTTTCAGTAGCAGACTCAACTGTGACAGGCCGACTGTGCGTCTCAGAGCGCCCTCTTCTCCGCTCCTCCACAAACACTGACACACACACACAGTCCTGTCACCGTCAACAAGCCTACCCCCTTCACATTTGACCTGGGCAACCTGCTCGCCCACGACCCCAATCCCGTCCCCGCCGAGGCAGACGAAGAGGCCCTGGCTGCCACTGCGCGCGATGCCGCACAGGCCCTTATCAACCAGCTGCTCTCTACCTGCCAAGTCAAGTCTACCTCAGAGGGCGTCCACCTTGTCCTCCCTGCCCCGCAAATGGCCCTACCCCGCGAGAAGCCCATTCCTGCAGCCAAGGAACCGACCAAGTGGGAGCGCTTTGCCGCCAAGAAGGGTATCAAGGACAAGCAGCGCGACGGCAACAAGGTTTACGACGAGGCGACCGGCGACTGGGTACCCAAATGGGGCTACAAGGGCAAGAACAAGGAGGCAGAGAGCTCCTGGCTTGTTGAAGTCGATGAGAAGAAGGAAGCCAAGACAGGAAAGGCGCACGACGCGAGGGCTGATAGCAGGCACGAGCGCAAGGAGAGGACCAGGCGGAACGAGAGGAAGCAGCGCGCGAACGACGCAAAGTCTCGAAAGCCTGGCGTCTAGATTAGGCGCAATGAGGCTTGAGGGAAAGAGATGAGCAGCTTCGTCATGTTATGCATTGGGCGGCGTTATCAACCTGGGATATATCCGACTTCAAAGGCGTATGAGGTCTAAAAGCAAGGCTGTGTGCAGCCAGATCAATGTATGGTAGAACTAGGAGGTTTTTGAAATCTACCAAGTCAAACGCTCAGGATGTTCTCTTGAATGTTGCTTCAATCTTCACGTACTGTCCATAATTCAGACAGGTTCATGTATATGAGGAGATTCAGAGCAGTGGTCAGTGAGCTACTATTATTTTAAGCCATCCAGTAATGGCTTCGGAAGAAGCACCGCATGTCCAGACACAGACCGTCGGTGGTACCATGCAACGCCGAACATGGTCCGAAGTTCGCGGCTGCATCAGTCAGTGTCTGTTCTGCAGCCTCCGGTCGGGATTACCATTGTATTGGCAAATTCGTATGCAGCACTGAGCCGATTGGAGAGGCTTCTTATTCGCAATTGCTGCGGAACCAAAATATCAAACAGGCAGGTGTCTGTTCTTATCACACACAGACTGTCTTTCTGGTGCGCATGCAGCCGCAACGGTCGAGAGAAGAAAGTCTCAAGCCGGCACTTGCTCAATGCTTAGCCCCGCTTCGACACTTTATTGGCTTCTCTGCCCCACTTGATGAAAGCTTCCGACAGCGCCAGGTCTGGGCAATCATCGTTTGGAAGCCACACGGCTAGGGAGCAAGTCGATTGATGGCGCAAGACGGCCGGTCTACAGGAGAAAAGCAGACATCTCGACCTCGGGCATCAGCAAAGCATGCAGCAACAGTGACAAATGCAGTCTTGTCCAGAGATCCAGACGATCAACACGCGCTAAACGATGGTGGTGGGGACGGGGTGATATGGGGAAACAGATCATCGGTCGACAATAAGATGGAACGGCGAGTGGTGATAGGCGGTCACCTAGCCTCGGGACGATACCCCAGCCGTTTGTGCGATTTACGAACACGTCACAGAGGAGTGAGATGAAAGTATATCATGCGCCGGCTGCGCTGATCGCTGACTTGCGGCTCTCAACCCGTTCCCACGGTCCGCTCGCAAAGAAGCGAGAAATACTCTCCTCGTCGCACCTCGACACAGGTCGAGCGGAATACCATTCGTCGGACACCAAGATGGCTTCCGCGATCGACTACGAGAAGCATCGCGACAGCTCGAGCCTGGATGGCAAGATCGACGGACATGGCGTCCACGACGAGGTCGTCAACCCACTCAGCGACCTTCCGGACCCCGACGCCGGGTTGAGCGACCAGGAAAGAGCAGCAGCAGTATGTCCCAGCCCCTGTTTACTTGAGTGCGCGGCTGACCATGACTAGGACAAGAAGCTTCTTCGCAAGCTCGACCTCAAGTTGATCCCATGGCTGTCCTTCCTCTACCTCATCTGTGAGTGTGATGCCACCACCTCAGCCCAGCACTGGCTAACCACGGATGCTAGCCTTCCTCGACAGAACCAACATCGGCAACGCGAAAGTCGACGGTCTGCAGCAGGATCTGAAAATGACCAACGGGCAATACAATGCCACGCTGACAATCTTCTTTGTCAGCTACGCTGTCTTTGAGCCTCTCACGAACGTGCTGCTCAAGAAGCTGCGTCCCAGCATCTTCCTCCCGATCATCATGGTATGTCGGACCGCGACGCGATAGAACGCAGCAGCTAACCGTCCAGATCGCCTGGGGCATTGTCATGTGCTGCATGGGTCTGGTGCACAACTTCTCTGGCATGATGGCGTGTCGATTCTTCCTCGGACTCGCCGAGGCAGGACTCTTCCCAGGCGTCAACTACGTAGGTCGCATCCCACGCACATGAGGCGCCCGCTGACATTTCAGTACCTTTCCTGCTGGTACAAACGCTCGGAATTCGGTATTCGAGCTGCCATCTTCTTCTCCGCGGCAGCCCTGGCCGGCTCTTTCGGTGGTCTGCTCGCAGCTGGCATCGCTCAGATGAAGGGGGTCGGCGGCAAGCCTGGTTGGGCATGGATTTTGTATGTGACGAGGAATATTGAAGAGAAAGGGTGGTACTGACAATTTCCAGCATTCTCGAAGGACTCGTCACAGTCGTGGTCGGCATCGTCAGTTACTGGATGGTCCACGACTTTCCCGCTGAAGCAACGTTCCTCTCTCCCGACGACCGAGCACGTGTGCTGCGTCGTCTTGCGTCCGACGGGCAGTCGTCGGCCAAAGTCGAGTCGTTCAAGTGGAAGTACTTTTGGGCATCGGTCAGGGATTGGAAGACGACGGCGTTCGCAATCATCTACATGGGCGCCGACGGCGCGCTGTACGCCTTCGCCTTGTTCGTACCGACCATCATCAAGGGCATGAACCCCGAGTACTCGGCAACCACGGCCAACCTTCTGAGCGTACCTCCGTATGCGGTCGCAGCCGTTGCCACCATCTTCATCGGCTGGCTGGCGGACCGCACGAAGCAGCGCGGATACTGCAACATCGCCATGTCGGTGTTTGGAATGGTGGGCTTCTCGATGCTCCTCGGCAGCGCGAACCCGCACGTGCAGTACGCAGGGGTGTTCCTGGGCGCGCTCGGCATCTACCCGTGCATCCCCAACACGGTGTCGTGGACGTCCAACAACGTCGAGGGCGTGTACAAGCGCGGCGTCTCTCTTGGGTTCGTGATTGGGTGGGGCAACCTCAACGGCGTGGTGTCATCCAACATCTACCGCGGCAAGGACAAGCCGCGCTATTTCCTGGGCCACGGTGTGGTGCTGGCCTATCTGACGCTGTTCCTGTGCGTGGGCAGCATTGTCACGAGGATCTTGCTCGCCAGGGAGAATAAGAAGCGCAGGGATGGTCTTCGCGACCACTGGGTCGAGGGCAAGAGCCAGGACCAGATTGACGAGCTGGGCGACAAGGTGCCGGACTTTGAGTACATGCTCTAGATAGGTGGTGATGGATAGAGTGACCAAGGACGATGGAAAAGTAGTGTTTTGCAAACCGCTGTAGCGGAAGCAAAGTTCTTGTGCCGGACTTTGAGTGTGTGCTCTAGACAGGTGGTGATGGATAGAGCGACCAAGGACAATATCGTGGTGGTGTTTTGCGACCCGCAGTTCCGGTCGACTTCTCGTGCATCGGATGAACATGGAATTCGCTCCCTAGCATCCCACGGCGATTCTCGGCATCTTGGCCTGGCACGTCTGTTTCGTATCATGTGTCGAGCAGCGAGTCGTGAGCCGAGGCTGCGCAGCACCCAGACAGCTCCCCGCAATCCCAGCGGTTAATTAATGGTATTCATTAATTAGCACCACCCCGGAGTCAGTCCCTGCAGCTCAGAGCCCCGGACGCTGCGCGGCGCCGTCTTATTCCCCACACAATCATCCAGCATCCCAAGCACAACAATGGCTCGACCCTCGCTGCAGACGCCGCTCTCGAAGCTGCTGGGGATCCAGTACCCAATCATACTCGCGGGCATGGCGCGCACATCGGGCGGCCCGCTCGCGGCAGCCGTGTCGAACGCGGGCGGCCTCGGTGTGATTGGCGGCCTGGGCTACACGCCGGAGCAGCTGCAGGCCATCATCGACGAGCTGAAGAGCAACCTGGACGACAAGTCGCTCCCGTTTGGCGTCGACCTCGCGCTGCCCCAGGTCGGCGGCAGCGCGCGCAAGACGAACCACGATTACACGCACGGCCAGCTCGACGAGCTGATTGAGGTGACTATTAAGAACGGCGCGAAGCTGTTCGTCAGCGCTGTTGGCGTGCCGCCCGCGCGCACGATCAAGCGGCTGCACGAGGCGGGCATCCTGATCATGAACATGGTCGGGCACCCCAAGCACGCGGTCAAAGCGCTCGACGCGGGGGTGGACATTGTGTGCGCGCAGGGCGGCGAGGGCGGAGGTGAGTGCAATGCACGACGTTTTCAAGCGCTTTCACATGCTGACTTGGCAGGGCACACGGGCGACATCACGAACAGCATCCTGATCCCCGCCGTCGTCGACGTGGCGCGCAGGTACAAGTCGCCGCTCACAGGGCAGCCGGCGATGGTGGTGGCGGCGGGAGGCATCTACAACGGACGCAGTCTGGCGAGCAGCCTGATGCAGGGCGCGCAGGGCGTGTGGGTGGGCACGCGGTTTGTCGCGTCGACCGAGGCCGGGTGCTCGACAATGCACAAGGAGGAAGTCGTGTCGGCGGACTTTGCCGACACGGGGCGCACGCTGGTCGTGTCCGGGCGACCGCTGCGGGTCAAGTACAACGACTACATCAACGAGTGGCACGCGCGCGAGGGCGAGATGAAGGAGCTGCTGGACAAGGGTGTGGTGCCGCTGGCCAAGGACATGGACGACGGCAAGGACGTGGATATCCCGTTCCTGATGGGCCAGGTGGCGGGCGTGATCCAGGACATCCAGCCGGCACGGCAGATTGTGGATGAGATGGTGAGCGAGGCGGTGCACATGCTGCAGCTGGGGCAGACGTTTATCGACGCGGCGCCAAGGGGAAGCAAGCTTTGAGTGTTGCGGTGCATAAGCTTTGCGTGTCGCGGTGCATAAGCTTTGCGTGTTGCGGTGACTAAACTTTGAGTATTGCGGTGACTAAGCTTTGAGTATTGCGGTGACTAAGCTTTGAGTATTGCGGTGACTAAGCTTTGAGTATTGCGGTGACTGAGCTTTGCGTGTTGCGGTGACTGAGCTTTGCGTGTTGCGGTGACTAAGCATTGAGTGTTGCTGTGCATGAGCTTTGAGTGTTGCGGTGACTAAGCATTGCCGTAGTTGTTGGAGCGGTGTCAACTTTCTGCACACGTAGTCTGCTGTAGTTAGTTGCAGTAATCCAAGCACAGCCCAGCCGAGGATCTGCTTTGATGTAGTTGCAGTAATTAACCAATCCAAGCAGAACCCAGTCGAGATCTGCTTTGATGTAATTAGTTGCAGCAATTAACTGATCCAAGCAGAACCCAGCCGAGATCTGCGCCGGGGGTGGAGCAGACGAGGAGGTGACGCTGCCGCCTCTCGAGACGGTCGACCACTCCAATCGAACCGGAGAAGTGCGGCCGCGCAGACCCAACCGTCGCTCTCCCCGTCCGTCTCTGCCACGCACCGCGGCCTGGCTTGTGCGGCCTTTGTCCCCCTCTGGCCGTGTTGGATGACGGCGCAAGCACGCCCGTCTCCACGCCCGTCTGCACGCACAAGCGGCGCTTCTCATGAATCCCCGGGCCGCCGCTGAACAAGCTGCACAGCGGAAGAAGGTGCGTCGGGCGCGGCGCATGCCGAGTAGTGACTGACTGACGACGAACGACTGACGTCTCCAGCTCGCAAACTCGTACAAGCAGCTCCTCGAGTAAGCGCGCACCCACCCATCCACACGCACACACACACACACACACACACACACACACACACACATACGCACCGAAACCCGCACACATACACACACCCGCACACATACACACACCCGCACACATACACACACCCTGACACATACACCCTGACACATACACCCTGACACATACACACACCCTGACACGCGCAGTGAATTCGCGGCGCCGGACCTCACGAGCGTCGGCAACTACGCGCTGGGCAGGCTGATCGGCAAAGGCAGCTTTGGCAAAGTCTACCTGGCGTCGCACAAGCTCAGCAACGGCAGCAAGGTACCCACCAGCCCGACCCGGCCCGACGCCTACCGCGGCACCGCAGCACCGCAGCACCCCCGTTAACCGCAGCCAGGTCGTGCTCAAGTCGGCCAAGAAGGACGACGCCAACCTCGCCCGCGAGATCCACCACCACCGCCAGTTTATCCACCCGCACATTGCGCGCCTGTACGAGGTCATTGTCACCGAGGAGCTGGTGTGGCTCGCGCTCGAGTACTGCCCCGGCGACGAGCTCTACAACTACCTGCTGCGCACCGGCGCCCTCGAGCCCGCAAAGGTCCAGCGCATCTTCACGCAGCTCGTCGGCGCCGTGTCGTACGTCCACAACAAGGCCTGCGTGCACCGCGACCTGAAGCTCGAGAACATCCTGCTGGACAAGCACGGCGACGTCAAGCTGTGCGACTTTGGCTTCACCCGCGAGTATGAGGGCAAGAGCAACTACCTGCAGACCTGGTGCGGCACCGTGTGCTACAGCGCCCCCGAGATGCTCCGGGGCGAGAAGTACGCCGGCGAGAAGGTCGACGTCTGGAGCCTGGGCATCATCCTGTACGCCCTGCTGGTCGGCGAGCTGCCGTTTGACGATGACGACGAGAATGTCACAAAAGCAAAGATTCTGAAGGAGGAGCCCGCCTACCCGGACGCCTTCCCGCCGCACGCAAAGGACCTGTGCCAGGCGCTGCTCTCGAAGCGCCCGATCCTGCGACCGACGCTGGCCGAGGTGCTGCAGAACCCGTGGCTCGCCGAGTATGCGCCGCGCCAGCAGGAGACGCTGAAGCTGCAGCAGCCCGCGCCCTTCTCGACCGAGCTGGAGAAGGAGGTGCTGCAGCGCATGCGCGCCGCCGGAGTCGATATCGACATGGTCATTGAGAATGTCCTGGCGCAGCGCTGCGACCCGCTGGCGGGGTGGTGGGCGCTGCTGCTGGAGAAGGAGGAGCGCAAGGCCCGGCGGCGAGAGCGCAAACGCAAAGAGCGCGAGGCCGAGGCGAAGAGCCTGAGGAGACTGAGTGCGGCCAGCAGCCGTCTCGACAAGCTGGCGCCGACCATTCGAGAAACAGACGAAGAAGGTCAGCATTACCCACTCCTCGGGGACCCGCCCAAGAGCCGGGGGCGATCGACGAACCGGCCGAGTACGCACGGTAAATATGTGCCCGCCGAATGCGTGCGTGTGTTGACAAGTGGTGTAGGTGCCCCCCCTGTTCCAGAGCTGCCAGATCTGCCAGAGTCCAGCTTCGTCCCACCGCCCATTGAGAAAGACGACGCTCGAGAGTCCAACTCATCCTCCCGCCCGCCCCCGCCCGCCAAAGACGTCGACAGACAGAAGCGGAGGTCCCACGGCAGCATGCTGCAGGTCGTGGGCAGCAACCCTGACCTCCTCCACCCGAACGGCTTCGTGCCCAAGCGCCGGCGAAAGCAGCCGTTCATCAACCACCTGCTTTCGCTGCGGAACTGGATCAAGGAAACCTCGAAGCGCGCGAGGTCGCCCAACTCGAAAGCCAGCAGCGACAAGTCCCCGAAGATCCCCGAAAGCACACGCTCCCAGGGCGACTCGCGCAGCGGCCGCCGCGCCAGCAACGCGAACCGCAGCTCCGTCTACACGCACCCGCCGCCCTCGACACACAACGTGCCCCTCCGCCCGCGCGTGACGACGCACGGCTCCGGCTCGGTCCGCAGACTGTCGGCGTCGCCCGCGCCCCTGACCCCGCGCTCCTCGTACCGGCGCTCGTCGGGCGGCCTGCGCGGCCGCAAATCCACCAGCAGCAGCGTCTCGAGCATCCGCTCCATGCCGCACCACCACCACACGCACAGCAAGGCGTCGTCGACGTCGTCGGCCTCGATCGCCTCGCCCAGCGTCATCAGCAGCCACAAGCCAAAGAGCCCGCACAACAGCATCAAAGTCCTCCCCGCGACGCCCACGTCGACCACGTTCCCATCGAACATCCGCCTCGTCAGGACCGGCGCGCCGAACATCAACATCTCGACGCTCAGCAGCGAGGGCGGCGCGGCGTTTGGCCAGCAACCCCCGCCCAGCCCGGGCATCATGTTTGCAAAGCGCAAGCGCAGCCCGTTCAAGGGCCCCAACATCGGCACCAGCACCGCCAACGGCCCGTGGCGGAGTCGTAGTGGTGGCGAGGTGAGCAGGGGCGCGAGCGCGCCCAGCCGGCGCAGCGGCGAGATTGGCGGCATCGTCGAGGAGGAGGAGGAGGAGGAGGAGGAGGAAATTGAGGAGGTGGATGATTTCTCGCCGGGCTTGCGGCCGGGTGAATTTGTCGTCGATGTCAATGATGACGCGGAGGTGTCGCCGACGCTGGTGAGGCATTGAGATGGTGTGGGGATTGGGGTGTGAGGGCTTCTTGAGCGTTTCCGCTGTTTTGTTTTGTTTTCTTCCTTCTGCTTGGGTGTGTGCGAACGCCCGTTTCTTTCTACATATTGTTCTTTTCTTCGCCTTTCTACCTTTTTTTTTTTAGTTGCTGCTCAGCTCGCGTAGACTTTTTTTTTCTTTTTTTTTGAGTCTCGTTGCGTTAGATACCTCCCCTACCTATTTTTACACCGTTGGAATCCAAGATTTGTATATGGCCTCAGCTACATGTGCCGTTGAAGTGCGTGTTCGTCTCCTGTTGCTTCCCCGTTGCTACCGGTACTCAAGATTTGTACGAGGCTGCCAGCGACATGTGCCGCCGAATGTGCCGCAAAAGTGCATGGTCAAGTGAGCGAGTGCTGTTAGTTGCAAGACGTGCCACTGCCATGAACCTCGTGACCGTGCACGCTGGTCGCGAAATCCATCGACGATTGTCGCCAACGACGGTGTGGTGGTGTAACCACTTAGCGCTCGCCGGCGCGGCCCGTCTCCCAAGAACTGGGCTCCCACCCTCACCTCACCTCACCTCACCTCACCTCACCTCGCACCCTCGTACCTCCCCTCCACACAAACAGGTGCTGTACCTTGGATAATGTGCACAAAGACCGAGTGCCCCGCGTCTCGCCCGCATCTCGCCCGCAAGACCATGCGACCGTGCGAGCTGCATCGCCCCGCTTCGAAATGAGCCACGGCACGATATATGGCCTACGCACGTGATGTGATACCCCTGCTCCAGTTCACCCTTTTTCCAGCAATGTTCTCGCCCCGAGATCGAGGTTGTTCTTGCTGCGTTCCTTTCCGCGTCTGTCCTTGCAGTCTTTGCCGCGTCTGTCCTTGCAGTCTTTCCCGCGTCCGTCCCTGCAGTCTTTCCCGCGTCCGTCCTTGCAATCTTTCCCGCGTCCGTCCTTGCAGCCTTTTCCGCGTCCGTCCCTGCAGCCTTTCCCGCGTCCGTCCTTGCAGCTGTCCTTTCCGCGTCGCGATGCATCCCCCGCCCTCGTTCCCCTTCGCAGTCCTGCAGTACGCGTTCCTAGCGCTGATCGCGTACGTGCTGGCCGGCGCGCCGCTGCTCGCCGGCTGGATGGGCGCAGGGACCGAGGATGCGCAGCACAGGGTGGGCGCTGCGGGCGCGCAGGTGGACGGCTTGGTTGTTCCCGACGCGAATCTGACGTGTGACGCGCATGCGTTTCGAGGCGTACACGTGCTGAGCCGCGAGCCACTGGTTGTGTATATCGAGGGCTTTTTAAGCGACGAGGAAGCGACCGCAGTCGTGGAACTCAGGTGCGTTTAGGCGTGGACTCCGCGAGGCTGTTGCTCATCTCATCTCGTCTTTGTAGCACCCCGCTCTTCCAACCATCCACAATCTGGGCCGCGGGCGAAGAGCGCCTCGACACGGCGGTGCGGCAGTCGAGCAAAGCGCCCGTCCCGCGCGCGCACGCAGTACAGTGCATAGAAGCGCGCGCGCGCGCCTTCCAAGGCTGGCGGCCCTTTGTCTTCGTCGAGAAGCTGTGGGCGCAGCGCTATGGGCCGGGCGGGCACTACACGTACCACTACGACTGGGCCAGCGCGAGCGCGACGCACGGCCGGGTGAGCAGCTTCATGGTGTGGCTGGGCGGCGAGTGCACGGGCGGCGGGACGCATTTCCCGCGCCTGCGACGGCCGGCGGGGGACGAGTGGTGCAGGTTCGTGGACTGCGGCGATGAGAGGGAGGGTGTGGTGTTTAAGCCTGCGAGGGGGAATGCGGTGTTTTGGGAGAATCTAAGGGCGGACGGCTCCGGGTACGCCGAGAGCTGGCACGCGGGTCTGCCTGTGCTGAGCGGGGAGAAGATTGGGTTGAATATCTGGAGCTGGTTCCAGGACGGATATGTGCCGTGACTGGGACGCGCTGCAGACAGCTTTGGATCCGTGGTGCGGCTTGCTGCATGGGTGTTCACTGTCACTCTACCACGGCACTCGACGACTTGGACTTGATGATCTCGACATTGGCGCTGAGACGTGAATGACTTGATGATATCGACGCTGACGCGGACGCGGACGCGGACGCCGACTTCAGACGTGAATGACATGTTCACCGCTTGACGCCGTTCACCTGCCCCTTGTGCTGTTTCCCTGCCTGCCCATTCACTCCCTGCCCATTCACCACCCCATTCGCCACCCCGCCCCCACCCCCACCCACAGCCGGCGGCGGCGGCGGCCCAAACGGGCGGCGCTCGGGCGGGTCGACGGGATCCTCCTCGGTATCGTCGTCGTACTCTGCGCTCCCCTCGTCGTCGTACTCGTACTCGCTCTCGGTAACATCGTCATCCTCGTCCTCATCCTCGTCCTCGAGTCTCGGCATAGGCACCTGTCCGCGGCCCTGCGCCTGCATGCCGCGGCACAGGGTCTCAAGGCGGGCGATTTTCCTGCGCTGGTCGTCGGCGACTTTGGCGGTGCGGGCGAGCTCGTCCTGCATGCGCTGGCGCTCGTCGACCATCTCGCCAATGTTGCGGTTGGTGATGTCCTTGTGGCGCTGCAGAGCCTGGTTCTCCTTCTCCAGGCGCTTGGTCTTCTTGGACATTTCCTCCATTTCCTTGCGGAAGGTCAGGAACAGGTCGTTGGAGTTGTTGAGCGTCTCCTCGACCTGCATCTGGTCAGTTTTTCTTAGCCGGTTGCTGCTGTTGTTGCGTGGACGGGGGGGAGGGGGGGGCTTACCTGCTTGAATTTCTCCACGTAAATGTTCAGCTGCGTGCGCAGCTCCGTCTCGGTCTGCGAAAACGTCGACACTTGCCGCGTCAGCTGGTGCGACTTGGACGACTCGGCTTCCTGCTGCTTGCGCTGCTGGTCCAGGCGGGCCATCTGGTACTGGATCTCCAGCTCCTTGGTGCGCAGCAGCGAGTGGAACTGCAGCTCGCGCAGCTCGTACTGGTCGACAAACGACTTGAACTTGAGGCGGAACCTGCGACGTCAGCGGGGGTGTGGCAGGGGTGCGGGTCGGGGGACAACGCACGCTTCGTCCAGCTCCAGGTCGCGGTCGTCGTGGCCGTCGGGCCCCTCGGCGGCGCGTATGCAGTCGTCGACGTCGGCGACGAGCGTCTCGAGGCGGGTGTGCAGATCGTGGCGGGCGGCCGACTCGGTCGTCTCGAGCTTGTGCAGCTCGTCCTTGAGCTTCTTGTTCTCCTTGGCAAAGTCGCGCGACAGCTTGTCGAGCTTGTCCTTGAGCGTGGTGAGCTTGGCCAGCTCAGCGCGCTGGGCGTCCTTTTCCTTCTGCAGCTGGTCGCCGCGCTTCTTTGCCTTGGCGTGCTCGCGCTCCATGCGCTTCATGTCGGAGAGCAGCTCCGTGTACTTTTTCTGCAGCGCCGTCAACTGGGCCAGCGGGCCGTCCATGTGGGTGAGCAGCGACTGCATCTCGCGGTTCGCCTTCTTGACCTCGCGCTCTGCAGCAGTCAGCCGGGCCTCTCACGACGGCGGGCACGGGGGCACGGGCACGCACCGACTTCCAGCTCCTGCTCCTTGTCGCCGGCCGCGTCGAGCTCGAGCTGCGCAATCTTGGCCTGGATCTGCTTCTGCTGCTCCGACGGGTCGGCCGCCTTGCGGGGCGCGGCCTGCCGGTGCTGGTCCGCCGGATCGGGCGCCTTCCTCGGCTTGGGCTGCTTCTTCGCCGGCACGGGCGGCATGGCGGGCGACGGCGACGCAGAGGCGCTGCGACTCGAGGCGGGGGGGAGGTGGGCGGCGGCGGCCATGGAGCGGGCGCATGGGCTTTGGGTGGCGAGGAGCAGGCGTCAATGTGGACGTGGACGTGGACGTGGACGTGGGCGTGGACGTGAGGTCCGAGGTCGTGAGTCGAGACGTCGGGAGGGCGAGAGGCCAAGGGCAAAGGTCCGGTTGTGCTTCACCGCGACACGACTAGGCCCATGTCCGCAACCCGGCCCACGCGACTCGCTGCTGCTGCTGCGCTGCGATGCGCTTAGTCATGCTTTTTGGATGCCACTTCAGTTTCGACGCGCTTAGTCATGGTTTTGGATGCCACCTCGCTCTCGACGCGCTTAGTCATGTTTTTGGATGCCACTTCACTCTCAACGCGCTTAGTCATGGTTTGGGATGCCACTTCACTTTCGACGCGCTTAGTCATGGTTTTGGATGCCACTTCACGTGTTCTACCAGTAAGCTGCGCATATCAGTATCCTGCGCATCCCACCAAACGCGCTCAACTCAGCGTGCAATTGCTCCACAACCACATGGTCAAGTTAAGTGAGGTTTTGAAGCAAGATAGATTAGATAGCTCTACATTGAGTCCTATTGTGGCCTTGCACGTGGCATTTGCTACACGTTGGTGGTGCTCGCTGACGTCGCGGGGCAGCATCAGCCTGGACCTCCTCTTCAACCACATTGTCAGCCTGTAAGACTAGTAATTGAGCTTGCTCAACCTGTAGAGCTCCTCCCCGTGCTATATATTGTCTACGCCTTTGACGCTTACGTTGCTGGCGTTGGTTTGAAGCACGTAGCTTTGTATTCTCTTGAGCTAGGATTGTTGCGGATTGCATTGCGAGCTGACAGCCTTTCACAAGCTGAGAGATAGCTTGACTAGTTGGGCTTTGTGATTGACGCTTAAGGAGATCTTGAACAAGGCGAGCTTGCTGCTGAAGCTGGTCAACTGTACGTGGTGTCTCTGCTGTCCATGGCGCTCTATCTGCTGCTGTTGTCCCTGGTGGTGATGGTGTCCTAACTACAGTAAGGCACGTTAGGACACGCTCTGGATTGAATGGGATAAGCCCTGTAGCTTGAAACCCAGCCTTGATATTGCTCTCTGATAGAGCAGTTGGTCTAATCCTCAGGTACATCCATAGGAAGTCAAGCTTGTCAACATCGAAGATGCTCTGGCGGGCAAGCTCAGACACCTCATGTCCGTACAGCACCTTAAGAGGAGAGTAGCAGCCAACGTCAAGTGGCTGGAGGAGGTGTGAGGTGTGAGGAGGCATACAGAGAGTGATGATTAGGTTGTCTGCACAGTACTGATCAAACTCAGGTGTAGCATGGCTGCTGTGGCCATCAAGGATGAGTAGCCGACGAGCACCTGATGAGCGAGTCTGTGTGTGCCTGTTGAAGTGCTTCACCCAGTCAAGGCCTAGCTCATCTGTTGTCCAGCCGTTGTCACTAACAGCAACAGTCCAGTCAGGTGGGAGGTCTTGATACCAGCTGGCCTGGTGGAGCTTCCCTGCTAGTATCAAGAAGGGTGGGATAGACCAACCTGACGCGTTGACACACTCAATTGTCGTCACCCACTCGCGATTGCCTGGCTGAACAACAGTAGCGCGACCAACTGTGTCAGAGCTGGTGACTACCTTTGACGTTGAAGCCACCCCCATCATGAACCCAGTCTTATCAAAGTTGTAGACGTCCTCATCAGGTATCCTATATGTGAGGCGTGTCTCCTCTACCAGCCTGAACCACGCGCTAATCCTGACAGGATCTTCACAGCGTGCCCTCTGAGAGTGGAATTTCCTATTCCATTTTGTCTGAAGCTCTGGCTGACGGTTGATGAAGCGTGACACCCAGCACTTGCCAATAGGTGGGGGAGGAGGATCTTGGCCGCGGCCAGCGAGTAGCGCGTCTGCCATACGTCGTACGTCAATAATCTGGGGTGGAAACCCGCGACAGTCAAGGTCTAAGATCCACTGAATAAGGGACTGCTCTTCAATAGGGCTGAGCTTTTGGTTAACTAATGTTGTCTCGTGTTTAGGACGGATACCCTTAAGACGCGTCCGCAGTGTTAATTCTAGAACATCGTAGGCTGCAGCAAGGCAACGTTTAGATTGATAAGGATTATTTTAAAAAGAAGCAATAGCAAGGCTTAACCTGCCTTCTTTTGAACTTTGTACGGGTAGTTGATGTGGTGTTATAGTTGATGAGATAAGACGCGTTGAGCGCGTTTTGGTGGGGTGCTTACTGATAGAACACGTTCACTCTCGACGCGCTTAGTCATGTTTTGGGATGCCACCTCAGTTTCGACGCGCTTAGTCATGGTTTGGGATGCCACCTCACTCTCGACGCGCTTAGTCATGGTTTGGGCATGGGCGTGCCGTCATCCACCTGAATTGCTCCCACCACCACCATGCTGCGCGCCGCCCAAACGCTGCGGCCTGCCACCACCCGCCTCTATGCGACGACCACCCCCCGATATGCGACGACTACCCCCCGGTATGCGACGACTACCCGCGAATATGCCGCCACCACGGCACATGCGACCGCCCCCACCGACGTCGCCAACTTCCCGCGCGTCGGCGAGCAGCTGCACGGCTTCACCCTCCGCCGCCTGCGTCACGTGCCCGAGCTGGAGCTGACGGCCCTGCACCTGCAGCACGACCAGACGGGCGCCGACTACCTGCACATTGCCCGCGACGACGCCAACAACTGCTTCTCCATTGGGTTCAAGACCAACCCGCCCGACGCCACGGGCGTGCCGCACATTCTCGAGCACACGACGCTGTGCGGCAGCGCAAAGTACCCGATCCGCGACCCCTTCTTCAAGATGCTGCCGCGCTCGCTGTCCAACTTTATGAACGCCTGGACCTTCCCCGACCACACGGCCTACCCCTTCGCCACGACCAACCCGCAGGATTTCCAGAACCTCATGTCCGTCTACCTCGACGCCACCCTGCACCCGCTGCTGAAGGAGGCCGACTTCACCCAGGAGGGCTGGCGCATCGGCCCGGAGAACCCGCTGGCCGGCAAGGACGACGCCGCCCGCAAGCTGGTCTTCAAGGGCGTCGTCTACAATGAGATGAAGGGCCAGACCTCGGACGCGAGCTACCTCTTCTACGCCCGCTTCCAGGACCACCTGTTCCCCGCCATCCACAACTCGGGCGGCGACCCGCAGAAGATGACCGACCTCACCTGGGACCAGCTGCGCCGCTTCCACGCCGACCACTACCACCCGAGCAACGCCAAGATCCTGACGTACGGCGACATGCCACTCGCCGCCCACCTGGAGGCCGTCAACGACCGCCTGCGCACCTTTGACCGCATCCACGTCGACGAGGACGTCAAGGCGCCCATTGAGCTGCACAGTCCAAAGCACGTCACCGTCCCCGGCCCGCTGGACCCCCTCGTTCCTCAAGACCGACAGTACAAGACGTCGGTCACGTGGCTCATGGGCGACACCGCCGACGCCGTCGAGAACTTTGCCCTCGGCCTGCTCAGCAGCCTGCTCATGAGCGGCTACGGGTCGCCGCTGTACCGCAACCTGATCGAGGCCGGTCTGGGCGCTGATTTCAGTGCCAACACGGGCTACGACAGCGCCGGCCGGAGGGGCGTCTTCTCGGTCGGGCTGGACGCTGTCGCCGGCGAGGACGTGCCCCGCGTGCGCGAGGCCATTGTCGACACGTTCCGCGAATCGCGGCAGCACGGCTTCGACGACATCAAGGTCAACGGCATCCTGCACCAGCTGGAGCTCTCGCTCAAGCACAAGACCGCCAGCTTCGGCATGGGCATCATGCAGCGGCTCAAGCCCGGCTGGTTCAACGGCATCGATCCCATGGACGCGCTCGCGTGGCAGGACACGGTCGACGCCTTCCAGCAAAAGTACTCTGCGGGCGGCTACCTCGAGAGCCTCGTGGACAAGTACCTGCTCACCGAAAACACCCTCACGTTCACCATGGCGCCGTCCGCGACCTACAGCCAGGAGCTGGTGGAGGAGGAGACCCAGCGCCTGGCGCAGAAGATTGCCGAGACGACGAGCCAGTTCCCCAGCGCCGAGGCCGCGCAGCAGTACCTGGAGAAGCGCGAGCTGGAGCTGCTGGACGTGCAGGAGAAGGCGCGCACCGAGGACCTCAGCTGCCTGCCCACCGTGCACGTCGAGGACATTCCGCGCGAAAAGGAGAGGAAGCCCCTCGGCCACACCGCCATGGGCGACGTCGAGGTCCAGTGGCGCGAGGCCCCGACCAACGGCCTGACGTACTTCCGCGCCGTCCACCGCCTGGAGCAGCTGCCCGACGAGCTGCGGGAGCTGATCCCGCTGTTCACCGACTCGCTCATGCGGCTCGGGACCAAGGACAAGACCATGGAGCAGCTGGAGGAGCTCATCAAGCTCAAGACGGGCGGCATCTCCGTCGGCTACCACTCGGCCCAGTCGCCGCTCTCGCTCGACGCCTACGAGGAGGGCATTGCCTTGTCCGGGTACGCCTTTGACCGCAACATGCCCGACATGTACGAGCTGCTGCGCACCATTCTGCACGAGACGGATTTCGACAGCCCCGAGGCCGAGAAGAAGATCAGAGAGCTGCTGCAGGCCTCGTCCAGCGGCGCCGTCAACAGCATCGCCTCCTCTGGCCACTCGTACGCCATGCGATACGCCGAGGCAGGCATCACCTCGGTCGGGCGCCTCTCCGAGCAGACGGGCGGCCTCACACAGGTCAAGCTGACGACCAGTCTGGCCGGTCTGGACTCGTTGACACACGTCATCGACAAACTAAAGGCCATCCAGTCCTTTGTCATCTCCAACTCCTCTTCCTTGCGCGTCGCCCTCAACTGCGGCCCCGAATCCGCCTCGCCGAACCAAGACGCACTCGCAAAGTTTCTAAACACGCTCCCCTCCTCCGTCGCCGTCCCCCACACCACGCAGGAAAACACGTACCCCCGCAACGCAAAGTCCTTCTTCCCGCTCCCCTACCAGGTCTACTACGCCGCCCGCGCTGTCCGCACCGTCCCGTACACGGACCCCGCCAGCGCGCCGCTCGAGATCCTCGCCAAGCTGCTCACCTTCAAGAGCCTGCACCCAGAGATCCGCGAGAAGGGTGGCGCGTACGGCGGCGGCGCGTACGCGAGGGGTCTCGGCGGCGTCTTTGGCATGTACTCGTACCGCGACCCGAACCCGGTCAACAGCCTGCGCGTCATGAGCGAGGCGGGGCTGTGGGCGCGGGACCGGGCGTGGAGCGCGCAGGATCTCGAAGAGGCCAAGCTCAGCGCGTTCCAGGCGTACGACGCGCCGCAGAGCGTGAGCAGGGAGGGCATGCGGCTCTTTTTGAGCGGCGTCGACGACGACATGCTGCAGCGCCGCAGGGAGCAGGTGTTGGACGTCTCGGCCGACCAGGTCCAGCGCGTGGCCGATGACTTTCTCGTCCAGCGCGCGGCCGAGGCGAATCTTGCCGTGCTCGGCGAGAAGAAGGACTGGGCGAGTGCCGAGGAGGGGTGGGAGGCGCGCGATCTGGGCATGGCGCGGTAAAATGTAGTGTAGCAGTGTAGACTGCGTTTGTATACATGTATGATATGTACGATACTCGACGAGCATCACCGGCGTTCCCGTTAATCAAGACATTTTCCTCAGCCTCGCGGCACCTTTACGAACGTCAGTGAGTCCTGCATCGCCAGCGAGTCCTGCATCGCCAGTGAGTCCTGCATCGCCAGTGAGTCCTGCATTGCCAGTGAGTCCTGCATCGTCAGTGAGTCCTGCATCGTCAGCGAGTCCTGCATTGCCAGTGAGTCCTGCATCGTCAGCGAGTCCTGCATCGTCAGTGAGATGTAACGTCATCACCACACCCAGCGCAGAACACACAAGAGACCCCGCCCCCTCCCCATGGCGTGCGTCTCCCCCCTCCCCTTCTTTACTGTGAGGGTAGCGCAAGATTAAGCCATCCACCCGATCCTGCGGTCTGGGTCGAGGCACCCCCCCTTTCAGAACTGCCCCCGTGAGAGTATTCGGCGGCTGCCTAAGTGGGAGGGTACATATCCCGCTTTCTATTCGATATAAGATTGCGGTACTGCGGTTTCTTTGGATCGGAAATGGCGCAGAGTAGGGGGAGCTGGGGGAGGGGTGCGTGGAGGCAGAGTCTTGGGTGCCGAGACTGGGGTTTGATGAGAAGGAGAGGGTGTGTGCGGTGTGCATTCCATGCCTATGCGTACGCCTATCCGTGCCATCGCGCTGATAGCTGTGATCTTTTGTCCTGTGCTGTCGCCTTTTCCATGTCGAAGCTCTGCTAGTCAATATCACCGCGACGTGTAAGTAACCAGTAATGTCCAACACCGGCCATTCAAACAGAGCAAGAAAGAAGAAGAAAGGGGCGACTCAATGCACACCAATAGCAAGTTCAGCAGAACAGAGAAAAGGAGCAAGCATACAGACATAAGAATCTGCCACGAGATACATGGCTTGTTACACTGCTGTTTTTTGCGCTGGATGGCTAGACCGCCTTGACACTGTCGGCTGTCACCCTCTTAAAACACCCAGATGTCAGTGCTCACGTGGTAACTGCGTATGAATAGCTGTAGTGATTCGGGTGGAAGTGAGAAATAAGAACTGCGCGCTGATTTGACCATGGGAGGCGTATACTAGGATTGCCCGCTCGTATAAGATCACGAAATCACAGTGTCGATGCTCGGTAGTCAGCACACCTTCATTACTTCTACCTGTCAGGAGCATCTCGATCCGCGGCGTCAGTTACTTGGAGTAGTCACTGGCTTCCTCTTCCTGGCCATGCGAGCAAGTAGGTCCCTGATATAACGCTACTCCATTACAATTACGACCTGAGTTGTCGCCGCGCAAGCCACGCGTCCAGCCGCGCAGACACCTTGTCGAGCATCTCCTTGACGGGGTCATACCGCCGGCGAGCAGATGACGTTGGCAAATCGCAACTCTCCTACTCGTTGCTGACTGCCTGCACCAGCGCGCCCTTCGCCCCTTCGTCCAGGCCATTTAGCTTGGCCATGTCGCCGCTGTCGAGCGCGAAGCCGTACAGGTCCGCGTTCTTCTCGATCCTGGACGGCGTGTCGCTCTTGGGCAGAGGCACGAAGCCGCGCTGCAGGCTCCAGCGGACGAGCACCTGGGCGTCGGTCACGCCGTGCTTCTCTGCGATGCTCTGGAGCGTGGCGTCGCCAGCCTTCTGGTTACGCACGAGCGGACAGTATGCTTCGACGACGATGTTATTGTCCTGGCAGTACTTGACGGCGTCCTTCTGCTGGCACCATGGATGGAGCTGCGAGGTCAGTCATTATCACTGCATCCACAAGGTCGAGTCTGCGTACCTCGATCTGGTTGATGGCAGGCGGCCAGACCTTGCCGATCTTCTTGATCTCCTCAATGTGGCCGATACCGTAGTTGCTGACACCAATCTCGCGTGCCTTGCCCGCGGCCTTTGCCTTCTCCAGCGCGAGCCACATCAGCTTCCTCTTCTCCGGCCCGGCGTTGGGGCTGTGGATGAGGAACAGGTCCACGTAGCCGTCCGTGCCTGCGAGCTTGCCGACGCTCTCCACGACGCTCTGGTAGGTGGACTCAACGTCGCTGCCGGGGCTGAGGATCTTGGTCGTGAGGTAGACCTCCTCGCGCTCCAGACCAGACTCCCGCAGCGCCTGGCCGACCTGCTCTTCGTTTGCGTAGTACTGCGCGGTGTCGATGTGGCGGTAGCCCGCCTTCAGGGCGGCGAGACACGACTTAACGCATGTCTCTGGGGGTGATTGGTAGACGCCGAAGCCGAGCTGAGGAATCTTGTGCGAGGAGTTGGGGAGCGGGAGCGTGGAGTTCAAGCTGAGCGTGGACATTGTGGGGGGTAACGATGGAAGACGAGTGAGTGGGAGAGACGAAATAAGCAGATAAACCGAGGGGAAGAAACCATAAGAGGAAGCTGAGTAGGGTGGTCGTTCCTGCCAGGCGCTCGTCTAGGTAGTCCTGATGTCATTGTATTGGACCTCTCGAGCTTGAGTGTGGGTCCTCAACGGACTCGAGCTTTGCGTGGGTGGATATGTCGAGTCCAAGCATATGTCGGCATTTGATTATCATTGTAGAGGCTCAATTGCTCCTGCAGAAGCTCTGGAAGCGTTGCTTGCTACTGTGTACTGACATTGCCCCTCACTCACGCCACCGAGTGTGGGGCACCCCTGTCGCGCATCGTCATCCCAAATTTTTGCCGGATCTTGATAGACAACCAAATCTTGACAACCAACAACATGGTGCTCCAGGCAATCAAGTACACACGGGGCCGGCTCGAGATCCTCGATCAGCTGAAGCTGCCGCACGCCGAGGAATATGACCACATCTACTCCAGCACCGATGCGTGGCATGCAATCAAGGAGATGCGGACTCGGGGAGCGCCCGCTATTGCAATCGTTGCTGCTCTCGCGCTGGCAGTCGAGCTCACCAACATGAAGCTGTCGTCGGTGGCGGAGGAGGTGCAAGTCTTCATTACAGAAAAGCTGGACTATCTTGTCACCAGCCGACCTACTGCTGTGAACCTCGCGGATGCGGCTGGGAAGCTGAGGAAAATCACAAAAGATGCTGCTGCACGGGAAGGAGCCAGTGGGGAGTCTGTGAGGGATGCATACGTCGAGGCTGCCGAGCAGATGCTTGTCGACGACGTAAACGACAACGAGAACATTGGCAAGCATGGCGCGGAGTGGATCGTGAAGAACACAGAAGCCGGCAAGAAGGGCCCCGTCAGCATATTGACGCACTGCAACACTGGGTATGTCTCTATCTTGCACTCGACGCATTGCTAATAGTTCAGATCACTTGCAACCGCTGGGTACGGGACTGCTCTAGGCGTCATCCGGTCGCTGCACTCGAGTGGCTCACTAAAGCATGCCTTCTGTTCGGAGACGCGTCCATACAACCAGGGATCGAGGCTGACAGCTTTCGAGCTTGTACATGACCAGATCCCGGCGACCTTGGTCACTGACTCGATGGCGGCGGCGCTTCTCCAGCTGAGAGGCGGGAGTGAGAACATCGCTGGCATTGTCGTTGGTGCTGACCGCGTCGCCGCGAACGGTGACACTGCGAACAAGATCGGCACGTATTCTCTGGCTATTCTTGCAAAGCATCACGGCGTCAAGTTCCTGGTCGCGGCACCAAGAACCACCATCGACTTGAGGACCAAGTCTGGAGCGGACATTGTCATTGAGGAGCGACCAGGCAGGGAAGTGACGCTTGTCAAGGGGCCTCGCCACGACGGCGTCAACCTGGATCTTGCTGTCGTGGAGACGGTGAGCATTGCAGCCAACGGCATCAACGTGTGGAACCCTGCGTTCGACGTCACGCCGGTTGACCTTATTGACGGCATCATCACCGAGGTGGGAGTCTTTGAGAAGGATAGCGAAGGTGTGTTCCACTTGGAGGAAGCCTTCCAGGCCGAAGGCTCTGAAGTCAAGCCCTCGACGATTGGAGGCCTGTAGTTGGAGATAATAGATACCCAGTATAGAGAGAACGTGCTGCTCGACATGACAGTTCCTCGATCCTTCTGTGCACCTTGTGCCGTGTCCGATTCTTGTACATTGCATTCGTTGGAATCGTTGTTTGATTTGCTTGACCGAGAACCTTGCAAGCTGCGTGGCGTGTCGTCTCATCCAAGCGGCGAGCTCACGAGCTTTTGGGCTGACCTTGAGATGAAATCTTCTCGGCACCGGTCTGCATGTCCTTCTCGGCGTTCTCGGCCTGCGCCAACAGCTCTTCGATCTTCTTCTCCAGCGAGTCGAGGTGGCCTTCCAGCGCAGCAGCGGTTTGCTCGCCGCGCGCAAGCTCCTTCATAGCCTGCAGGGTGTTAGGAGCCGTGCTGCAGCTCAAAGAGCCCCTTACCGCGGCGAAGTCAGCATCTGCGCTTGGCGCCGGCGCTCCGTTCTGGTCGTGCGACATGGTGGTGAGGTCAGGGTCGTTGCTGTGGCTCAGTGCACGCGCATCGTACCAAGATCTGGGATGACGCGGTAGCTCCACTAGCGTGAACGGGCATCAGCACCGCCAGGCCGACCTTACACATCACCCTCTCCAACCGTTCGCGCGATTCCTCCTAAACCTAGTAGTATCTCGCATGCGCAACACCCGTGCTGTCTAATCGACCCGCGACCGCTCGCACACGATGTTTTCCGGGTCCAACTCGTACCTAGGGGGCGGGAACAGCGCTCGAGGGCCGCCGCAGCCCCAGTATGGCCAGCAGCCGCAGTTTGGCCAGCAGCCGCCCCAGCAGACGGGCTTTGGGATGCAACCGCAGCAGACGGGCTTTGCGGGCGGCTCAATGCAGCCAATGCAGCAGCAGTTCACCGGCTACCCGGGCCAGCCGCAGGGCTTTGGACAGCAGCAGCCTCAGCAGACGGGCTTCGGCCAGCAGCCCCAGCAGCCTCAGTCGCAGTTTACGGGCTTCTCCGGACAGCAGCAGGCGCAGGGCTTCCAGCAGCAGGCTCCCCAGCAGCAGCCCTTCCAGACTGGCGCACCACAGCAACAGCAGGCTCCCCCGCAGCCCCAGAGACCGCAGCCCACCGGCATGACCTCATCCGCAATGGCTGCCTCGTTCGGCGGCTCATCCTCGTCAGTCCCGCCGCCTGTGCCTGCGAAGTCGGGAAGCAAGATCCCCAGCATACGGTTGTCGTTTATCACCGCGCAGGACCAGGCCAAGTTCGAGCAGCTGTTCAAGTCTGCTGCGGGCGAAGGCTCGGCGCTGTCAGGAGACCAGGCGCGCGACCTGCTGCTGCGGTCAAAGCTGCCGGGCGATGCCCTGGGACACATCTGGACGCTGTCTGACACCACCAAGTCCGGACAGCTTCTGTTCCCCGAGTTTGCGCTCGCCATGTACCTCTGCAATCTGAAACTGACGGGCAAGGACCTTCCGAATTCGCTGCCTGACCGCGTCAAGAACGAAGTCTCAAGCATGGTCGACATCATCTCCTTCAACATCGCCGACGACCAGCCCAGCCGTGCTCCGGCGAGTAACGCTCCCTCTTTCAACGAGGCCCCTGCGATCCAGCAGCCGCAACCGCAGCAGTCGAACAGCTCGCTACTTGCGTCGATGGCGTCTCAGCCCACTGGGTACGGTCAGCAAATGGGTATGCAGCCCACGGGCATGCAGCCACAACAGACTGGCTTTGGTCAAGGCATGGGTGGCTACAACGGCCCGCGTCCTCCAATGCCACCAATGCCCACAGGATTTGGCGGCAACGGTCTGGCACCCCAGCAGACGGGAATGGCGTCCCTAAACGCTCAGCCAACGGGCATGCCTGGCCAGTGGGGTCTTGTCAACACACCCTCCACCGGACTTCCCAACATTGAAGCCCTAGCTGGCCGTATGATGCCCCAGACGGGGCGCGACACAAGCAACCACACGACTACTGGACTCACCGGCAACGCGACCATTCCATGGGCAATCACAAAGGGCGAGAAGAAGCTGTACGACGAGACGTTCAAGGCGTGGGACGGCATGAGCAAGGGGTACATCGCTGGTGCGCAGGCTATTGAGATTCTTGGTCAGAGCGGGCTGCCCAAGTCCGATCTGGAGAAGATTTGGACGCTCGCTGATGCTCAGGATCGCGGACGTCTGAATCTGGATGAGTTTGCCGTCGCGATGCATCTCATCTACCGCAAGTTGAACGGATATCCCGTACCGAACCGACTACCCCCTGAGCTGGTCCCACCGTCCACGCGCAACATCAACGACTCCATTGGTGCGATGAAGAACTTGCTCCGCGGCGATGCGGAAGACAGAAAAAATTCTGGCGCATTCCTGCAACCCCAGCGCACTGGTGTCAGCTACCTCAAGACTCACTCGTTCCGCTCCGGAAGTCCAGCAGCTGGAGGACGCAAGGACGCCACCGTCTTCCGCAACAACGATGACAATGCCGGTTACCGCTCAAGCGCAAGACACCGCGTTGGTGCTGGCGGTCGCTCGCCCTCGCCTGCGTCTGGCGCATCGTCGCCTACATCTGGACGATCAGATGAGATGTCTCTAGAGCAGCTCAGGAAGGCCGTCAAGGAGAAGCAGATTTTGTTGGATGCGATGGACACTCGAGATGAAGATGCTGCTGACGAGGATGACGCTCTTGACCGCCGGGACCGCAAGGAGGCCGAGGAACTATACCGCCGCATTCGCAGAGTCCAAGAAGACATCGATGCTCACCCCAAGGCATCGCTCCACGGCGGCGACTCAGACGCTGAACGCCGCGCGCTCAAGCGTCAACTGCAGACTCTGACAGATCGTCTGCCCGAGGTCGCCTCCAACGTGCGCCGCATCGAGCGCGAAATCGCCGATGCTCAACTCGAGCTGTTCAGGTTGAAGGACGCCAAGGCCTACCCGGGGGCTGCTTCTACAATCGTCGGCACAGGACCTGGCGGTGCAGTAACGGAGTCAGATCGTCTCAAGGCACGCGCCAAGGCTATGATGCAAGCTCGCTCCGCTGCGCTGACAGGAAGACCTGCCCCTGCTGGCGATGACACAGGTGCGGCGACCGAGCGTCTGGAGAAGGAGCAGTCCCGAATTCGATCTGAGAAGGAGAACAACGAGCGCATGATTCGCGATGTAGAGGACAGCGTCAATGAATTCTCGAAGGGCCTCGAGGCTAGCCTCAAAGAGGGCGGACACGATAGCCGCAGCGAGCACGAGCGCCGCCGATGGGAAGAGGCTCTTGGCGTTGAGGACGAGGTCAGAGACTTCATCTTCGATCTGCAACGAAGCAGCCGCGCTGCGCGTGTGCGCAAGGAAGACAGACCTCGAGACACCGGCCGCGCATCTTCGCGCACTAACAAGACTCAGTCTGCTTCTCGCTACGAGAGTCCTGCTCGTGCTACTGAGTCTGCGCGGTCAACACCCACCCCTGGTGGTGCGTCTTCGTACAAGACGCCGGCAGATCGAGCCGCATTCATCAAGCAGCAAGCCGAGCAGCGCATGGCCGAACGACTGGCCGCACTGGGACTTCGACCTCCTCCCAAGGCTGGTGAGACACCTGAGCAGCGTGCTGAGCGCGAGAAGAAGGAGCGCGAGGACAAGCTCAGACAGGCGGAAGAGGAAGACGCTCGCCGCGAACAAGAGAGGCAGAGACGACTCGAAGGCGAATCAGCAGCACCTCCAGCCCCAGCCAAAAGCACTAGCAAGAAGCCAGCTCCTCCGCCCCCAGCGTCGCGAAAGAACAAGGTCGATGTCGCGCAGCACGACACACAGCAAGCCGAGGCCGAAGCTAAGAGGGCAGAGAACGAGATTGCTGAGCAGGCTCTCCGGGAACAGCAGCAAGCGCAGGAGGCCGAGACCAAGCGCATGGAGTAAGTCAAGCATGAACGCAGAGGGTGCTGTTACTGACGATGAACTAGGGAAGAAGAGCGCCGACAGGAAGACGAACTTGTGAAAGAGCGCGAGGCTGCCCAAGCCCGACTCAAGGCGCTCGAGGAGCAGGTGCAGCAGGGCAAGCTCAAGAAGGCAGAGGAGAAGAAGCGCAGGGCTGGCGCGCAGAAAGAGCAACAAGAAAAGGAGGCAAAGCTGGCTGCTCAGCGAGCCGAGATCGAGGCTGCTCGTGAGCGAGAGAGGCAGCTACAGCTCCAGTTGGAAGCTCTCGACGATGAGGACTCTTCTGACGACGAGGGCCCGCAGAACATCACGCCCCAAGAGTCCACACCCACCACGAGCCAGGAGCTTCCACGCAGCACAGCACCACCGCCAGCGCCGCCAATGCCGCAGGTCCCAGGCGCGTTCCCAAGCCCACCAGCATCGTCAGTCACCAGTCCTCACCCTATCGCTGGAGGGGAGACCACGAACCCCTTCTACAAGAAGATGGCAATGTCTACCCAAGAGAACAACACAACCCCTCCTCCGGCCAGCAACACCAGCGAGGTGTCGACAAACCCGTTCCACCGCTTGACACAGGAGCAGGCCACCAAGGTTGCCGTGCCGACGTTCAACGAGCCCGCTGCACCATCAGCCCGTACCCGCGGACGACAGGACGACGACGACTGGTCTGTCGTGGACTCGGACGACTCATCTTCAGATGACGACGAGGCGCCCACGCAGGGCGGTGCCAAACACCTGGCCTCCATTTTATTCGGCACGATGGCGCCCCCGCGGCCGTTGTCGTCGATGGACAACAGGGACTCTCCTGCCCCGAGCCCAGCTCCAGCGGGCATCCCACCGCCTCCACCGATGCCTGCAAGCTCTGCTCCTCCCCCGCCTCCAGGGCCACCGCCTCCCCCTATGGGCGGCATGAAGGCGCCGGGTGGTCTGCCTGACCGTGGAGCTCTTCTCGGCCAGATCCAGGCCGGCAGAGGCTTGCGCAAGGTTGAGACCAAGGACAGAAGTACTTCATCGACTGCTGGTAAGGTTTTGTAAGGTCGTGCGTGTAGATATGTTATAATATGATGTTGCCCTGTTACTTCAATCGTCCACGGCTAGTGCACTGTGAGTCCTCAAGCCAAGACCCTCGCCGTCTGGCAGCCTCAGGTAAGTGAACCGAGCGATCTGGAGTTCGTGGAGCAGACCGCAACATATCCTCGAGACCTTATGCCAACGTCGTGTGCTGTTCCCAAGAGCTCTTCTCGATCTATGGCTGCAACACCAAGTATCACATCCTCTGTCAATTCGAGATGACAGATATGACAAGGCAAGCCATCATCTCATCGCAGTCGAACCATCCCTCCTCCGCGGAGTGTGCTGAGCATATGGCAGCCACCACTGGCGCTTGGAGCATGCAGCACAGATTACCCAACGAGATATGACGCCGTAAAGACCGTATGCGGAGACATTTACGGGGTTGCGATGCTGCATCGCTCTGTAGCGCGCTCCCTTGGGCGTCGGTGGAGTTTGTCCCCGACCGTCCGCAGCTTATATCCGCTGCGGCGTGCTTTCTCCCGTGGCCAAGCTCGCCTCGACCGTGGACAAGCCTTTTCTGGGCGCGGCAAGCGGCATCTAGCCGTCCAGGGAGCGGCAAGCGGCATCCAGCCGTCCAGGGCGCGCGGTGATTGGTGTGCTGGGCATACACTCCGATGTGGTACGTTCTTGCATTCGGACTGTCCGAGTAGCGACATTGTTTGCTAACGACCGGGATGCGCTTCCCACGGCTTGGCTGCTGGATTTACCTACAGTCCCGACTCCCTGTGCTTGTGATGATCAGAGTAGCTTGTCCTCTCCCTTGCAGCGTAGAGCACATACCACTCAAGTTGCCGACTAGCTGGTCGTCAATGGTTGCCGCGGTATGTAAGGATACTCCTGGCCTGGTAGACACAAGGTTCAAGTCCAGTCTTGCTCAACTGGATACTGACACTCTTTAGTATCGACATGGCAACACCGTCGTCAGTCTCCAGCCCTGTACGGGAAGCTCATAATATGAATGAGAAAGAGAGCGAGGCATACCAGCACGGCCAAGATGCCGACACATACGCGGCAGATATCGAAAAAGGCGTGCAAAGCCATTCAGTCTCGACACACACAGACGGACGCACACTGAGCGTCGACGCACCTGCGCAAGAGGAGGCACGCGATCCAGATGTCGTGGACTGGGACGGACCAGACGATCCCGCGAATCCTTTGAACTGGCCGGCGAAACGGAAGTGGACTATCATCGCGGCTCTGGGGGGTGTCACACTCATCACCCCGCTAGCCTCGTCGTTCTTTGCGCCTGGCGTGCCGCAGGTCATGCATGCGTTCAACGAGCAGTCGAATCTGATGGCCACGTTCGTCGTGTCGGTCTATCTTCTTGGATTCGCCATCGGTGCGTTGATCGACAGACACCCATGCGCTGAGCTAACACACTGCAGGCCCTCTCTTCATCGCGCCCATGTCCGAGATGTTCGGCCGTATGCCCCTCTACAACATCTGCTCCGTGCTGTTCGTCATCTTTAACGTGGGCTGCGCCCTCTCCACGTCAATGGGCATGCTCATCGCCTTCCGGCTGCTCGCAGGCTGCGCCGGTGCCTCGCCCCTCACGCTCGGCGGCGGCACAATCGCCGACATGTTCCCGCAGGAGCAGCGGGCCGGCGCCATGGCAATCTACTCCATGGGCCCCCTGCTCGGCCCCATCATCGGCCCCGTCTGCGGCGGCTTCCTCGTCGAGGCCCTCTCGTGGCGCTGGGTGTTCTGGATCCTGGCCATCTTCGGCGGCGTGTTCGGCATCAGCCTCGCCGTCGTCGGCCGGGAGACGTTCCACCAGACCATCCTCAACACTAAGGTCGCGCGCCTGCGCAAGGAAACGGGCAACGCGCAGCTCCGCAGCAAACTCAACAACGGCCTCTCGTCCAAGGAGGTCTTTGTCCGCGCCATCGCACGCCCGATGAAGATGCTGTTCTTCAGCCCTATCGTGTTCCTCATGTCGCTGTACATCTCCGTCAACTACGGCATCCTGTACCTGTTCTTCACGACCATGACATTCGTCTTCGAGGGGCAGTACGGATTCTCCTCGGGAGCCGTCGGGCTCGCGTATCTGGGCATGGGCATGGGCATGATCTTCGGCATGGCCGCGCTGGGCATGCTGTCGGACAAGAACATCAAGAAGCACCAGGCCAAGGGCAACGCGAAGCCCGAGCACAGACTGCCCATGTTCCTCACGGTTCCCGGCGCGGTGAGCCTGCCGCTGGGCATCTTCGTGTACGGCTGGACGACGAACTACGGCGTGCATTGGATTGGTGGGTTCTTCAACACTGTTAAAGAAAGTTGTGCTAACAAGGCCAGTCCCCATCATCGGCACGGCCTTCATCGGCGTCGGCAACCTGACTGCCATGATGACGATCCAGACCTACCTTGTCGACGCCTTCAACGTGCACGCCGCGTCCGCCATCGCTGCCAATACCGTGCTGCGCTCCGTCTTCGGCGCCGTGCTGCCCCTCGCCGGCCTCGACATGTACGACAAGCTGGGCCTTGGGTGGGGAAACTCGCTGCTGGGCTTCGTCGCGCTGGCCTTCATCCCGGTGCCGGTGCTGTTCAGAATCTACGGCGAGCGCATCAGGACGAACCCGAGGTTCCAGGTGCAGTTCTAGGCTGGCGGTAGTTGCGTGAGGAGTGGGTTTGTGTCGCCCATGGCGGAGTTGCGCGATTGTCGGTTTCTTTGCAGCATATACCCCGATAGTAGCGTCATTGTAATCCAAAGTTAGCCACTGTGATGGAAATCTTGCCTCGTAAATTTGTAAAGATCTGATCTCGGGGATCCGACGAAAGAAGGTGATAATTCCAAGATACTAATGCAGCTTGGTCAGAGACCGCATCCCTTCGATGAAACGAGCCTGTAAGGACTTCATCACTTTCTGTGAAGTGGCATATTTTTATGAGAAATTGTACCCAGCGGTTTTGAAGTCCTAGATAAGCGGGGCTGAGAGCGACATCGTCCTATTGATACTTTGGCTCCTCTTATTCGAGTTGGATCGATGTCTCCAGGCGTGCTGCTTCTCGATACTGCAACGGACACTAGACATCAGCATATTGAACATCGAGCTTCATCAATCCTCAATGTATGCATCCCGATTCGCATCAGGTGAAAATGTAGATTGCATTGGTGTATGCTCCTGGCCCGGCTCAACAGTGCCCTGTGCACAGAGATTTATGCGCCCAAACGCCGCGCCTATGTCCGCTGAAGACTGCATGCGAAGTAGAAGTGCTTTTGTGAAGCGTGGCCGGTCCTATCTGTTCCGGCGCGAAAAGTCATACCACTGTGTGGCCCTTGGACCTGACATGATCCGGCGGTAGCTTCCGGGGTTCGAAGATGGCGTGCAGCTCAGTGTGGCCTGCTTAGAAGAAGAGCTTCAGGAGCTCAAAAAGGAGACCTCCGCAAAGGATGAAAGCAAGGACGACTACCAGCACATTAGTGTTTGCAGTACTGCTTCAACCCGGCTCACGTACTGATCCAAGTCTTGCTGATCGGGCTCTTCTGAGGACCCCTTGGCTTGACCACCTGCGGACCCTCAGGCTTGCCCATCTTCTTCTCCTGCGCCTTGGCGTAGCGCGCGTTTGCCTGGCGCTGCTGTGGTGTTTGTGCCTGCAGCAAACACATTAGCTTCATCCCACTCAATCCGCGGAGCTGTCCCGATTCGGAGGAACATGACAGACAGGGGAACTAGCGGGTAGCGTACCATTGTGACGGGTGCGGTGAAGGTTGAAGCTGGAGAATTCTGGCTGGCGGCGAGAGAGCGGTGGAGGAGCGAGCGAGGGTGAGAAAGCGAAAGAGCGAACGTGTGTTGTCGAGGTTGTGTAGGGATGGTGATGCAAGGTGTTCCTTCGGAGTTCTCGCGTGCTTGGGCCGGCGCTAGTGCGGACCCCCGAATTGTGGGCGGAGGTTTGCTTGCCGTTGTGGGTGGAGTGAGCTTCGACATGCCGTCTCCACAACCTCAGACGCCCTGCCACGAGCTCGACACACCAATTGATCATTGAATTGCTTGCACGTCTTGCACGAAGAGCATCCTAAACCATACAACGCCATCTAGTCCCGTGTGATCGACGACGTACACTCGGCGCATCGCCCGCACGGCACTACAACATGAACGCCGTCAGAGCACGACAGCTGCTCCGCCTCAGCACACCCCGCCGCAACTTCACACAGACAACACGGCGGAGTCTCGACATCGAGCCCCCAGCGCCACAGCCACAAGAACCCAAACGACCCTCCAAAGTCGGTGCCTTCTACAAAACCTTCTCCGCGCCGCTGCTGAAATGCTTTCTCGGCGCACTCTTCACATACCAACTCGCCTACTTTGCCTGGATGAAACTAGAGACAATAGAGACAGCGCACGACAAGAATACCGAGATCAATGAGCTGCGGGAGGAATTGGCGGGCGCGATAAACAACAAGAGGAGGGAAGCTGAGGGCGTGGTGGACAAGATTGGTGACAAAGTCGGGGAGGCCAAAGACAAAGTGGTTGGAGGTGCTGGCGTTGCGGGGACGGCCAAGAAGGGCGGCTGGTGGCCATGGTGAGCAGGCTGGATGACTTCTGCAGCTGGGGGCTCCGAACTGTAGGATGTTTGTGTGTACAGTACAAATCAAGGATCAAGGAATCAAGGCACAGCAGCGATACCCAAGTCAAGAGACGCGAGTAGAGACGTCAAGTCTCGATTGTTAGCACACGGCAATCAGCTCCTATAGCTGAACTTCCCCACTCCACCCGCCCCTCAATGCCACACACCAATATTGATGGCAGGAATACCAGTTTGCCTCACGGTGGCAGCTTGAAAAAGCCATAATCATGGTCGTGTCTCAGAAGCGGTTCGGAAAATGTACAGTGAGTCCTGACATTGTCAAAAATGTTTCCCCGCCTGGCTTGAAACCTTTGATGTGCCGGAAGAGGGATGTTGCACCAGAAGCGTTGCTCAGTAAGGAATCTCTTGAGAAAAGACTGATGCGTACGAATTTAAAACACAAATTTGGCCATTGTATGTGGTCGGCCCAAAGCCACGCGCGTGCTGACGCCATGCGGCTCGGTCTCACCTGCACCATCCTTGGTGATTATGGACGTGATCCTTCGGTGCCGTTTGACCGAAGCAAACAGGGAGTTAAGATTTAAACCTACATTGTGGCCGCGCCCACGGTGAAGGCGTCGCAGGTGAACGCCCGGTCGGTTTGGCTTGGATGGAGGCTCCCCAGCCGTAGAATGGATATGAAAGTCACCGCCACTGCACATTTCACCTGTAAAGTGCTCGGTACAGAGTCGAAGGTCGAGATAAGGTTGTTGACGGACGGCGTGCGGAATTCATTCACGAGACTTCCCTGAGTTCCCAGAGCAGCCTAGTGCTGCCTGCTTCTAGCGTTCAGGCGGGCTCCCCACGACCTCATCGAGAGGCTCGTCGCTTGGTGTCTGACACGCATGCAAGCTCCTTTCTGCGTCTCACAATCCTCAGGGTTTTCGCACAATGGGTCTTTCTGCCTGCGCACATCGGCGGCGCCCGAAAGAATACGCTAACAACGGAAAAGTGGACTGAAAAAGACTTCTATGCCGACTGGAACACATAAAGAACGCAACTCGCATACACAGTCGAAAAGCCGATTAACAAATCTACACAAACCCTCACCAAGAACATGTGCCAGACATCATTTCATGAATTCCTGGCCGAGCTGCCAAAATGCGAGCACCACCTTCACCTCGAAGGCTGCCTATCACCATCTCTGACTTTCAAGCTGGCGGCGAAGAACAACATCAAGTTGCCAAGTAAGGAAGAGAAGCCTGAGTATGAGTCCATCCAGACGCTCGAGAAGCGCTACGAGCACTTCGACAACCTCCAGGACTTCCTCGACTGCTACTATCTGGCCCTGGACGCGGTCATTACCAAGAAGGACTTCGAGATGCTCGGCTGGGAGTACTTCACAACGGCCCACGCAGACGGCGTCAAGCACGCAGAACTTTTCTTCGACCCCCAAAGCCACACAGTCCGTGGCATCGCCTTCGAAACCGTTGTAGCTGGATTCAACGCAGCGTGCGAGCGAGCAAAGAATGAGCTTGGAATCAGCAGTCGACTCATCATGTGCTTCCTTCGTCACTTGCCCGCAAGCAGCGCGGAGGAGACGATGCAGAGTGCCATCGACGGCGGCTTCTTCAAGCCCCAGCAGGGCAAGGACCGCATCATCGCTGGTCTCGGTCTCGACTCCAGCGAAGTCGGGTTCCGTCCAGAGCTCTTCAAGGAGCAGTACGCAAAGGGCAAGGAGCTGGAACTTCACAGGACTGCTCACGGTGGCGAGGAGGGCGACCCGTCATACATCAGCGGCGCCCTGGACTCGCTGCACTGCGAGCGCATCGACCACGGCATCAAGCTTGTTCAGGACCCGGAGTTGCTGAAGCGCATCGTGGAGGAAGAGATCCTGCTGACCATTTGCCCGCTCAGCAATGTCTGTCTGCAAGCTGTCAAGGAGGTTGGCGAGGTGCCCATCAGGAAGTTCCTCCAGGACGGCGTCAAGTTCAGCATCAACAGCGACGACCCGGCGTACTTCGGCGGGTACATCCTCAAGAACTACTGCGCCGTACAGACGGCGTTCAACCTGTCCAAGGACGAGTGGAAGATCATTGTCTCGAACTCGATCAACGGCAGCTGGGTCGAGAAGCAGCGCAAGCATGAGTTGCACGCCATGTTGGAAGAATGCCTCAAGAAGCACGCATAGATGAGTGGCCCACGTTCAAGAATAGAGAACGGAAGAAAACAGGCAAATTTGAAGATACCCACATTAGCATGAGACTCAATGAAACCCCAATACTGATCATTCGCTGAATTCCATTTGGGAGTGTAGTTAAAAGCGGCGGTCTTCCGTGTGTTGTCAGCGCGTACTTCGTATCGTATCTGACGGTCGGGCGATCGGGCTGCCGGGCTGATTGGTGATCAAGCATGACTTCATTTCATCCGCGACGGACGAATCACTGCAACAACTGTCTCTCCGGTCAGATACAAGAGGAGCACAAGGACCGCTTGGTTTTTGAAGCTTTGTATCACGTACAGCTCTACATCGCCATCGCAGAACAGTAAGTGCGATCTGTCAGTCAACCTGGGGTCATGCAGGAACGAGCCAATGACAATTCGCCAGTCAGCAGCACGCAATCTTTGGGCACGATGACCTCGACGACACACACTCCATACGCGTCCCAGGCTGGCGAGTCCACTGCAGCCGACCCAGACAACTCAGTCAGCTGTTATCAGAAACTCGTCGGCCGGCTGACTTCACTGCGGCGACGCCCAAAGCGCGTCTTTGCACCCGTGTCTCAGACTTCACAGGACCGCCTTGATGCCTCCTTGAACGAAGCGCCGCTCGATGCGACTGCAATCACCGAATCAGACATCTCGGCAGCGAAAGAGAAGAACAAGACAGTGCTGTACCTGGCGTACGGCTCGAATCTATGCAATGAGACGTTCAGAGGCGCACGAGGCATCAAGCCTTTGTCGCAAGTCAATGTCCTCGTCCCCTCATTGCGCCTGACATTCGATCTTGCCGGAATTCCATATGCAGAGCCCTGCTTTGCCAACAGTGCGCGCCGTATACCGAATGCGCCCGTCCCAGACCCCTCAGAACCGCACTACCACAAAGACCGCTGGCAGAAGGGCCTGGTAGGAGTAGTCTACGAAGTCACACTCAGCGATTACGCGCACATCATCGCAACCGAGGGCGGCGGTGCCTCATACCATGATATCCTCGTCGACTGCCACGTCCTCCCGTTCGCCGACAGTGTGCCCTCACGCCCCACAACCGCCCCGTTCAAAGCGCATACCCTCTTCGCACCGGCTATCCGACCAGACGAAGCGCGCGCCGCAGATCGAATTTCAAGACCAGACCCTAGCTACGCACAGCCTTCAGCGCGGTACTTGAAGCTCATCACCGATGGCGCGGCGGAGTGCGAGCTGCCGACCGAATACCAGGAGTATCTTCACAACATCCGAGCGTACACAATTACCACGAGGAAGCAGGCGGCAGGCAAGGCGCTATTCATGGGAATCTGGCTGCCGTTCATCCTCATGATATTCGCTATGAGCAGAAGGCTGCAGGACGACAAAGGCAGGGCGCCCAAGTGGTTCGCCAGGCTGAGCGCGATGATCTTCGTGGGCATGTGGATGAGCTACGATGGTGTGTTCAAAAAGATATTTGGAGACGGCGAGAGGACTATTGGGGATGAAATGGATGAAGAGTGGAAGGGGGTGCCATATAAAGATGAAGAACCAGCGAGCTACAGCGATGCTGAGAAGGATAGGCTGCTGGAGGATGCGATGGGGAGGCTGGACGATCTAGCTGGACAAGAGAACGCGAACGTGCAGAGGCAGAATCTTGTGTGAGGGTTAAGAACCGATGCTGCCCCGGAATCGCAATATCCGATTCTGTCAAACGGGGCACGCCTACAATCTCAGATTCACAAACATAAGAAACCGCCCTTTCAGCTTACTGATGCACAAGGAGCCGTCTTTTCAGTGCCCAATAGCGCTCTTCGCAGTCCTTTCAATCAGACAACACCAAAGACGCCACGGCCAATGTGCAAGGCTGGAGTGGTGAGATGTCTGCACGAGGCTGGGTGTGCTGACTGCGTGCAGCCCCCCGCTGCGTCCAAGACTATCGGCAGCTCAATCAACGCACCGCGGTATCATGACGCACGTGTTGAGGGCTATTTTGAGCTCCATCCTGTGTCGCGAATTTGGCCCCCGCCCACATACGTCTGGTTGGCCAAGGTCTGTTATGCAAAGTGCCACAAGACTGACGGCTTGTTGCCTCAGCCCTGTCTCTCTGCAGGCTTGGCCTCGCTCATACCGATGCCAACGAAGAGATCAGCCTGCTCCCGCGACTTCCAGCCATCTTGCACCCAGTGACAATCTCCAAAATGTCAGATACACTCGATTGAATTCAAATTCAAACTGACCTCCCTCGATACCAAGTCAGCCCTATCGAGGCCGCAATAGCGCCTTTGTCCCCAATGACAGACGAGCCGCAACAAGGCTACGCCCAGGAATCAGCACCACTCCAGTCTCAGCGATCCGCTGTATCAACAACAACACTATCGATATCAGAGGATGATGTTGAGGAAGCCACATATATCCAGACCCCACAGCGTGTGTCAATACCTGAGGGAACACCCGCGACACCTCTGCTGCAGGCCGACAAGGTCACAGCAACACCGGAAAGATGGCCAACTTCTCAGCAGAAAGTTCTAAAATCCAAGTTTGAGATATCATGGGATGGCTTCTTCGATTTTGCCCTATTCATAAGTGCAGTCGCTTTCCTGGCTTTCGCAGCTTTTGTCAGTTACTACGATCAGGCACCAACGGCTGCAAAGCCGAAAGCGACCAAAATGTTACTGAATGCAACGAAATACATTTGTGGCAATGCGATCTGAATTCGTGCACGTCTGACCTTTGTCAGGGACCTACAGTCTTTCCTATCCTATTTGCTCTGACACTTGGAAGAACGACACACGCCATTCTTCGTTGGTGATTCGAACGCGGCGAACGTATTGTGGTTCTGGATACACTAGCAGCAAGCACATCATTAATAAGTACAGTGGTGACGCAATTTCATTTGCGTGCTCTGAACAGTTTTGGGCTCGCCCTAGTGGCCGTGTGGGCACTGTCATCCACTGGAGGCCAAGCATCACTACGGCAGATGGCTATTGGAACTAAGAACGAGACCTCCGATATTGAATTTGGTTACATGAACTATCATGGATACACGAACGAATTTCAAACGAAGGCAAACGTCTTTACTTGGGGAGTTACCAACAGCATGTTTGTCAGTGCAATGATTGGATCAGTTGCTCCAAAGTCGTCTCAGGTTGATATGTGGGGAAATGTCAAAATCCCGAGGATCGAGTTTACGAAAGGAACACTACAGCCGACAGCGAAGGTTGGTTTGCTACCACTGGTGGAGGCTCTGATTCGTACGAAAGATATACCTCTATGGTTGGTATCCCAGTGCGCATCGGCGCTCGCATAGGGAGGGACGTGTCGAAGCCAACCGACTACATAACGCGAATACAGACCCCGTATTTCAACATGAAGTGCGAGGTCTCGAAGTCCGGAAAATACCTATGGCCGACGGTACCTCAGGGTATGGTGAACTTCACCGGCCCAGGAGCGGTTGCCATGTTCGAGAACATAACACAGCTTCGCCGATCCCGCGTTGATCCAAAAACCCTGGCTCACTTCCAATTCCAGTACTTGACCAGAGACTGGAAGATGAACAACCATCGTCTGGAATGTAATGTCTCGAATAGCTATGTTGAGACAGAAGCCGTCTGTCAATACAGTACATCGTGCGTCCCCACGAATGTTCGTCGATATCAACTGGACCTTCTGCCTCAGAACTTGACCATGATGGAACTCAGTTGGAGGACTCCTCGCGTTCTATTTGAGCAAATGCTCGAAAGTGTCACCGCTAAAAGCGGATGGCCGTCAATCTTGGACCGATACTTGGACAATCCAAGGTCACATCTCGAGGAAGCTGCGGATCCCGCTGTAGCTGAGCTGAACACGAGCGATAATTACTCTGTTCGTATGGCACATCTGATGAACTCCTATTTCACCATCCTGAACGGCCTGTACGCAATCACTGCGGGTCTGACCGCTCACAAACAGCCAATCATGACGGATCTGTGGAACGCGACTTTCATCCCATCTTTGAACTCGGCGGGACCAAACATGGAGTTGCAGAATACTAATGACTTCTTCATCGACGATAGAGCTTGGTTCCAGCGGAGAAGGCCTTCGCTCCGTGGCATCTTCTGGCCAGCCAGAGGCACAGAGAGAAACTCGACGGAAGTGGTCGTAGCTCACAAGCCGTGGGTTGTCACGCTATGTATTGCCTCTATCGCCTTGATTTTCTCGAGTTTGCTGTCTCCACTGATTCATTACATAGTCATTGAGGGCCCCGAGATCATGATGAACATCTCCAGTCTTGCAACCCGGAATAACTCGTACATACAACTGCCAGAAGGTGGTACACACCTGAATGTGGCTACTAGCGCACGACTGCTAAAGGATGTTGAGGTTTGTTTCGGGGATGTTCGCAAGAGATCTCACGTTGGCCAGCTGGCTATAGGGGTTCTGGATATGGACGACCAGCGACGCATAAGAAGGCTACGACCTGATCGGATGTATGAGTAATATGGGTACTGATAAGCTCTATATGGTGTATCATGACATCGGAGTTACTCTGTGCGTTGAGGCTGCTGGCGTAAGGCACTTCTTCAAGCCGTGTGGCCAAGGATTTGTGCGTGAACTAAATTGAATGATACTTAGTTCTCGTGCCAGATGTTTGAAACATGACCCTTGACCCGGGAGAGCTAGCAAAAGCCTATTACACTTCAATGCCAAGCACTCCGCGTCGGTATCCTTGGCTGGCTGCCTTGCTTATAGGTGCCTAGGATTACGGTGCAACCAGCTTCTGGTCTTACAGCACTGCCTCGTACTGCTCGCTCTACGTTCGAATCAGATTTTGCGAGCCCAGCCATAGCATCACGGCGGTGTCAGCGCAATGTCTTGCGCCTGCTCAACATGCCAGCTTCTGCAGCAGACGCGATGATCTTTGACAGTGGTTGAGGTAGATAAGTACACGGCGCGGCAGCAACCGCATCTGTCTGTACGCCATTTCGCTCTTCACTCAAAAAAACTCACTTAAAGACACATTCTGCAGTCAATCCCTCCTATCAATCATTAAACATGCTTCCCAGTATCAAGGCAAAGTTGATTGAGGAAGTAGTGAAAGAGCGCAATAAGTACATTACCAAAGATGCACCCAGTGGCACAAAAGGCGACGAGCTTGTCCAAGCAGCTGCGGCTACAGTCGGTTTCTTCTCAGAGATCAGCCATCATCGGAAAGAGAAGCCGGTCAAAGGGAAAGTGGCCGACTGCGAGACGGCAGCCGCTACCAAATCCCCAGGCCTGCCACAGACATCTGAAGAAGGAACATGCGGAACACCTGCGGCTCTCACTCCTAAGGGCCATTCCGAAGCCTTCCTCTACCGCCATCCGCCTCCAATCTCTTCTATCAGCCAGCCAGATCGGCCCTTAGCATCGCCAGTCCTCATCCCACAACGCCGCCCGAACAAACGAGCTCGAGGCTTCACACCCGCCTACGCTCCCATTCTTGACGACTTCGATGTTCCAAAGAATGCATTCCTCGACTTCATTATCACGCTTAATGCATCACTTGAGCCGAGCCCCTACCTAAACGCTATCAATCTGGCTAGTTTCGCCGGCGAAGCGTCCCCGGAGCCTCTTGTTGGTTTCCTGATCGGCGAAGCCGTCGAGACAGTCACGGACGCTATCATGGAGGCACACAGTCGAATGAAGTCGAACTATTTCCTAGAAATGGTGAATGAGGGCTTCTTCGCACCAAGGGGGCTATTTGCGTTTGTGGGGTTATGGCGGCCGGACGCGAACAAGAACGAGTCGGCTGAAGCATTGTGCGTCGAAGAAGATTTTCTCGCGTCACATCCACAAGTTAGTGTGACAACCGCCAGTGATAATACTGCAAAGAGCGATGCGATTACTGCAAAGGGTGGATGGAGGAAGTATCAACACCAATTGCAGCGGGCAATGCTTCCTTCTGGTGGCGACTTCAGTACTATTGTTCCAGCACCACTACTATGGCCTTCTAGCGAGGAGATTGCTGCTGCAATACCAGGGAATAAGACTAAGAAGAAGGGTCGATTCGATCGAGCCGGCTTGTGGATGGACGAACACGTCGACAAGCACTCGCAAATCACCTGGACCCAGGAGAACCCCAAGCATCCATTGGCCGGAAGTTTGCCCAAGTCCGAATTTCGATCGCGGTACGCAGATCCGAGTCACGCTGCGAGCAGCGGAGACGTTATTGCGCTGTTCACTGGTGGACAATGGCATACAAAGGAAGACGAGAAGAAGAAAGCAAAAGAGGCACGAAAACAATTGGAGAAAGAGAGAAAGAAAGAGAAGAAGCTCGAATATAAAAGGGAGAAGGCAAGACTGAAACAGCAGAAGTCAAGAGCAGAGGCTAGTGCTGCAAGTGATAATGACTCGAAGGGAAAAAACAATGATGATGAGACTGAAGTTGACCAGCGCAAGCGTAGAGCCTCCAATGACCCGAGAAACTCGAATGAAGAATGCAGAGTGAAAGGGAATATAAAGAGTGGCTTCAGCAGTCTTCTCGAGGATGTAAGTTGCGCTCCTGATGACCACTTGCAGTATCGCTGACGTTGGATACAGAACCTCCTATACTTGGTCATTGTACAGCACCCCTCGTTAGCTAGCAGCAAGTAATGCGCTCCCGCCGAGAACAATATGTCTAAATCTCTAGTGAACAAGACAGTGAAGCGGCACGACGAACTCGAGAGTCCCTGTTGGGTCGTTCGCATTCGCGCTGGAGCCGAGTATATCTGTGCCTGATTCAAGGCCTCTCCGCTTCCTCTCCCAAAAACCTCGACTGTCTGTTTTTTTCCCGCAGGTGCCTCCACTGTCGAACGACGTCACTCCCTCGGGTCAGCTGCAATACACACTCCCCACACCCCTACCTCGAACGAGCTTCTACCTTTGACTCCGACCGAGCTTTCAGTATCAACCTAAGCATCTATGCATCTTCTTTGAACGTTGTTCCTCCCTATTATCAGCCCCCTTCTTGCCTTAATTAAACAAGTCGCTCCCCCTGCCTGGGGCTCTCACTGCCAGCGTGAGCCGACTCCGGCTTCCCAGACACGCACGCTACTTGATGACAAAACATGAGGAAACCTATGGTGCAAAGGCAATAATCTGATTATACCGATGCGTCTCGTCAATCTCAAAGATGTCAAGCTCTTCAAGCCGCCTCGCCCAACTGCAGAGAGCCTGTGGAACTACTTTAGTAAGGACTTGGCTCCTTGTTAATGCTGGTTATGCATGGAATAAGTGAGGATTGAAAGTGAGACTGGCGTCAATCGAATGATCCCCAGGTCTGATTACAGAACTTCCTCACCGAAGAGGTACAATATGATGGGTTGGAGTGGGAAGGACTGTCACTCGACATGCCTTATGTGAGTGAACGCAGAAATGAATTGAGCCATAATTAAGCGGTCAGCCATGAACCCACAGAATCAAACAAATAAACCCTGAGCGCTTCCGTTAAATTTTTTACCAGAAAGCGAAACGAACCACTGAATTCCATCGGCTCAACAACATAAGATAAAAAAGAACCAGGCTCAAAAGAGGATAGCTAAACTGAGCGAAATTCTACGAACACCTGGGCACTCAGCCCTCGAACCAGTGATCCCCCTTGGGACCAAAGCTGTCGCAGACCTCTACCCTGCACGTTGGGCACTGCTGGCTTTCAGCGAACCACGCCCCAGCACATGTGAGGCCGATGAGATGTCCGTACTGAAGGCGGGCAGGCTCTTCGTGGTTGCGCGTTTGGCAACCGTCGATCTCGCAAAGGCGTTCCATGCATACAATGCATTTTTCTTTGGCCTTACTATCGAAGATAGTGGTATGCCATCTTCGAAGGTGGATGAAAAAGTCTGCAGCGGCCTTCTTGAAGGTTTCTGTGAGGGTGTAAGTTTTGAATGTATCTGGTATCTACAACAATTAGCATTTGCTCTTGCGTTGATAATGCACCAGTAGTATGCTTTCTGTGGTAGTGGTATGTGTGTGTGGTATGTGTGTGTAGTATGTGTGTGTAGTATGTGTTTGGCTTGAGACAGTCACTTTCTGGAATTGTGAAGTAGACGAAAGTGGATGTGTTTGCTAAGGCAGAAAGTTTTTTTCAACGTGAGGACAGCAGGTATTTAAGTAGTAGAATTGCTAGCGGGATCACACTGTACCTACCGTACCAGGCGCTTCAACACATCAAATCAACTCGGACCATTGTATGCTCTATGACAACAGATCAGACGAATCAGAGCAGTCCGTGCAAACCTATGTTGGTTGCAGGGTCCTGACGGCCGTAGTTCGTACTTCAGAAAAATACAGCATGACTCCAACGCATACTGGACCAAACTTCGAACCTCCATAGAAGGTTCTGGAGATTGCCATGCCCAATCAGAACTCCGACCATCTAAGCAGTACCGCCGCAGCAATGACTGGCAGAACACTGACAAGTTCGCCCAAACCCGCGAACTCTGGAGGTATACGCGCGTTCACAAAAGCGCCTGCACCCAACAGTACTGCAAAAAGGTTGTAAAAAAAGCTCCAGCCAAAGTTGAATGCCACCCGATTCATCGCTTTCTCACTTATCGCGAGAAGCGTCAAGATACCTGATAGGTCTGATCTAATCAGGACAACATCAGCAGCAGACTGTGCGATATCGGTACCACTCGACATGTGAACCCCAACTGTTGCCTGTGCAAGTGCAACTGCATCGTTGGTGCCGTCTCCGATGAAAATAATGGTAGGTATGCGGGCATTTTTCGATCCCTGCGGCGACAGCGGTCCTGCCTGGAGCACTTCGATGTACGCTCGCTTGTCAGCAGGCGAGCATCGAGAGCGCACGTTATTGTTAGGTATCGAAAGCTGGCTGGCTACGGACTGTATTGCTCCATCGTCGTCTCCAGATAGTATGTGGATGGCAATGTTCCGTCGATGCAGTTCTGATACAATGGAAGAGGCTTCTGGTCGAATAGTGTCTTGCAGTCCGTAGATAGCCGCTACATCACCGTCCACAGTGAAGCAGGTTACGGTAAGACCTTTCAACAATAGTGAACAGACCAGCGGATGCGCGTTCAGGTCGAGCCACCTCGAGTTGCCGACGCGCACAATCGTGCCCTGCCAGGTGCCTTCGACACCCTTCCCAGTGACTACTTTCGCTTCCTGTATGGCCAACGTGTCGGTATCCTTTTCTCTTAGATGTGATACGATAGCGCCGGAAATCGGGTGTTTGATATTACTGAGCAGGCCAAGCAACAAGGCATTGGACATCGAAGGATCAGGGTGAAAGGAGGCTTCCTCAACAACCTGCAGCCGGCCAAGTGTCAGCGTGCCTGTCTTGTCAAAAACAACATCCGTTGTCTTATACGCAATCTCGATGCTTGCGGCAGATTTGAAAATAACACCGTGCTGTGCTGCTACTCCGGTCGCTATGACGATCACCACAGGAACCGCCAGGCCTATAGCACAGGGACATGACACTATCAGCACGGTGATGGCGTATGTGGTGGCTTCAATAGTAGCTTGAGAAGCAGGTTGCTGGCGAACAGCCACACCTATTGCTACCCAAATGGTGAACGTGACGATCGTGATGCCCACTACAACCGGAACAAAACAGCTCGCAACTTTATCCGCAATGTCTTGTATCCGTGGCTTGGACAGCTTCGCTTCATCCACCATACTAGCTATCGTAGTGATGGTGTTGTCTCCCAGCAGGCGGGTGAGGCGAATCATCAGCATCCCCGAGCCATTGATGGAACCCGCAATGACAGTGGAGCCAACCTGCTTCACGACAGGCGTAGATTCGCCGGTGAGCATTGCTTCATCGACTTCAGACGAGCCTTCGATAATAGTGCCGTCAGTGGGTATCTGAGTTTCCGGTGCGACCATGAACACGTCGCCATACTGGAGGAGTCTCGCGTCGACATCCTTGTCTCGCCCGTCGTGGTCAACAAGTATAGCGGTCGTTTTTTGAAGCGATCGAATCGATACAGACTCAGCAGCCTGCAGGTTGTCAAAATAGTGTTATTAGGTGATAGGCGTGGCTGACCTTCTGTCGAGCTAGCGATGCAACCCAGCGCCCGACCATGATGAGGGTTACGAGGAGGGTACTCGTCTCGAAGAACTCGCCCGTGGACAAAGCATGACCGTTAATCATACAACCGAAAGAGACGACTGAGAACACATAGGCAGCGCTTGTGCTCAGAACGATGAGAAAATCCATCTCGATCACCCTAGAAAAGACGAGCGCCTTAAGAGCTTTGGGATAGAAGGGTCCTGCGATGCACACCTGCACGATGGTAGCAAGCGCAAGCGAGGCCGAGCTGTAGGCGACCTCTCGCTCCGGCAGTGGTGCCCATGCCATAACGAGGACTGGTATCGTAAGGCACGCTGATAGCAAGGTCATGAGGCCCATATGCCAGACGTGTCTGTTTCCAGCATCGAGAGATGCATCTAGCCGTATCGGTGCCAATTGCATGGGGTCGTCCCATCCTCTCTCAATCAAGTCTCGAGCTCCGACCACTTTCGCATCGTATGTCACTCGAATTGTGTCCTTGTCGAGAGGTCGTATGTCAAGCACACCGTCTGGCCATCTGCCATTGGTAACAATCGCGGCGCTTCCAGTGCAAATGAGATCGACACCTGAGCCTTGTGTCGAGATCTGCTCGCATTTGAACTCGGTCGTACGTGCGAGATGTTTGACCACATGAACGGCAGTAGCAGCTGTGCTGTCGATGTCGAATTCGGCCCGGGCGAGGATGAGACTTGTCCGAAGCATGCTTACATAGGGCAACGTTGCTAGTGTTCGCTGCAGCTTCGTCTCGCAGCCCGTACATGTCATACCAGACACACTAAGAACAACATGTTCCTTGCCTACACCGCTTTTTTCGAGGTCGGTCACCTCAGTCACCTCGGTCACTGTAGGTCGCAGGTCCAGTGGCTTCATCGCGGTGATAACCCTGTCACTTGTGCAGCAGCTGTGTTTGCTAGCTGTCTGCGAGCAGCCGTTGTTATCCGAGACCATACTTTCTGAGGCAGGAGAGATACCCACGCGATGAGTATCTGGTGGCTCGACAGGCCGGACACTGGTTGTTGGTGTCTTGGTGCAACATCCTTCGGGCTTCATGCTCTTCGGATCATCCATATTGATTAACGCAGGTCTCTTCGCACAACAGCTACTAGAGCTTGCTGTCTTTAAGTGTTCTGTGATGGTTGTTGAAGCAGGTGTTGGCGCAACCGAGGAACAACACGGGCTAGGCTGCAAGGTCGCATTCGTGTTTGACTTCCTGGAAGAGTAGAAGGTGTTTACTACGCAGGAAGAGGTTCGTGTATCGATATATGGTCGTGAAGTGCTAGGAGTACCAGAGACTGGAACTGTTGCTGATTGCACAGGAAGCTGTTCAGTAGGCGTGGCGCTTGCCTGACCGGATCCGCAGCAACTGCCACTGTATGCCATGACGAGATGAGTCGATTTGAGAACAAGGTTAGCAGAATGGCGGAGCTTGGATGAGAAGAAAGGAAAGGGGCACTGGCAGCTCCCACTCATGGAATACATATGTTCAAGTCGATAACATATTGATATGTCATCGTTCTGGTGCTTGGCATGAGGGAAGTGAAGGCGTCATCGCTGCATACGGACAGACGGCTTTCTTTCCCTCTCTCACTTCACAAACCTAAGGAAAGACTTTCGCGCTCTTCATTGATAGCAGGGAGTGGCTCTGAGGAGCAGTCGAAGGTGAAAGAGAGGGCGGACACTTGCCTATTCTGGAAAGTTCTGATCAAGCGTCGATTGCGGGGGTAATTTTGACGCCATCAGTCCCGCGACCGGCGGCGCAGAAGGCGCAGCGCGCACAAAGCTGCTTTCCCGTGCTCAAATCGGTGAGCCTTGCGCGAAACCTTCCTGTTATCATAACTGAACGTCAATTGGCACACAGGGGATCCAAAAGACCTTCTTAAGCCCAGCCATCAATTTCTGAAAGCTGTTGCGCGGTGAGCGTGGTGTTGTTGACGCGATGAACGCGACGCGACAAAGCCCGACCGTCATAGCGAGCGGCCAGCGCCATCACGATGTCCCTCTCAGCACGTCTTCCCGAGCTTTGCGGAGCCGCACCTTGGTTGCCATTCTTCCGAGCGATGATATACGATGAAGCAGAGATGCCTGTCGAAAGAGCTCGTGATGGCCATTAGAGAGGTACGTCATGTCGAGCTCCACACCTTCCAACAGCCACGCATATCGATGCCATTCGAGGCAACGACAACAGGCCATTTCTGCCGAAGAGAAACGAATCATGCGTCTGTACGAGAGCTCTTGTCCTTAAGCTGGGCGTAATTCGAGTATACAGGCCCGTAGGCTGCCAGCAACTCGCTCATTCACACGATCCCGGATTTATAGGAGAGCAAAAACCACTCATAGCACCATGTCCACTACTTAGAACAGCGCGCTTTTCTCACAGTACAAGGTCACTCCGGATGTCTTGCCCAGCGATGTCGGCTTGCCATACGAGTTGATCGTCTCGTGGCCAGAGACGAAGCTAGATAGACCCGCTGAGGAGCTCGACCGCAATCAGACTCAGCCCCAGCTCAAGCTTTCTATGAGCCCAGCAGTTTGTATCCTTGAGCCGTTGTGTTGAGACACTGATGCTGACTTATGATTCAAGCCGCCTAAGCCTCTGGAGAATCTGGTACTTATCATGACCGATCCTGTAAGGCACACCGCAACTCGCTGCATGTCCTCAAGCCTGACATATTGAATAGGATCTCATGATGAACAACAACACATACTTTGATCAGGTGCGACATTGGCTCGTCACCGACCTCTCTACGGGCCCAGACGGTGCCTTAAATATCGATCAAGGACAGGAGATCTCGCCATACCTTGGACCTGCACCACTGCCAAACTACCTGTACTCTCTTCCCCATCGATACGTCTTCATCGTCGCGGGTGGATCTGGTCCGGTCCGTATCACGCCAGAAGATCTATGAGAGCTGCAGAAGACGTATATTGCCGCGATCTCAGGAAAGCAGGACGAAGCTCAGGATCTGAAGGGCCGCTGGGGTTTCAACGCGCAGAAGCTCATAGAGCAGAAGGGCTTGAAGGCGGAGGCTGCGAATGTCATGGGGATGCATGGCACGCTTGCTAGTGCGGTTACAAATGTAGGGCTTATGGGTCAGGCCGCGGTCAGCAAGGTAAGCTCCTATCGCTCTCTCAAAATTTACGGTCGATTAACCAAACGGGCAAGGTTTTCGGAAAGTGAAGTCAGACGTGAGACATGTACGAGATAACGCGATGACGTAAACCTTTAACAGAACCCACAGTCATCCGAAATTATATCGCTATTCAACTCATCTGAGATAAATATGTTCTGACCCGCTCTGCTTGGATACCTCTCACTGTATTTATAAATCCTTTCTGATACAGACTTAAAGCCATGTCCAAGATATTTGTCCTGCTGCTACCAAAGTCGCTCAAACGTAACAGGACTCATACAGGAGTTCGTGCCTTCACCAGCAATTCATTAAAGCGAAGTACTGCATTCAAGGAATTCAACGGTCACAGAGGGAAGGCTACCGTCAAGCGACGATAAGCACTGCCAAGCTCGGTCAAGCTTTGTTCTCACCTTCCTATTGAGGCAACGCTGGCTCCATCCTGCCCCACTTTGGGACGGTATAGACGAGAGAACTCGCTACTGCATCCTATGTAGCCGGATACGAGCTCGCGCTTCACCTTTAAAGTCTCTCACATTTGAATTTTGCCTCTCTCATCAGCTATCAAAAACACAATGAGGACCCCAACATTGCTTTGCGCTTTGGCAGCTACTGGACTCGCGACACCTCAATGGTACGGCAGACGCGCAGCAGATGCTGCACCAGCTTATGCCGCTCATACTATTGACCAGCCGGTACGTTGGCCAATGCTGTGCTACAACGATGGAATGCTAATTCCCTCAGATCGACCATTTCCAGGACTCCAGCCGCTATGAGCCGCACACAAAAGACACATTCAAGCAGCAGTACTTCTTTGACTCATCCTACTACAAGCCCGGAGGACCAGTGTTCCTATACATTGGCGGAGAGACTAGCGGTGAAAGTCGATTCTCAAACCTTCAAACTGGAAGTGAGTCGACCAATTGCGAAATCTGGGTACTCCTGTGTTGACGTCTGCAGTCATTCAAATCTTGATGCAGCAGTTCAATGGTCTTGGGGTCATTCTGGAGAATCGATACTACGGGAAAAGCTACCCTTATAATACCAGTACAACCGATGAGCTGAGGTTTTTGACGACTGAGCAAAGTGAGAACAGCCCTCGGTATGCCCGACTTGCTTCCTGACGTGTGACAGCAATCGCGGATAACGCCTACTTCAGGCAGCATGCTACTTTCCCCGGATTGAACAGCAGCCTGAGCGGGCCTGACGTCCCATGGATTATGTACGGTGGCTCTTTGGCTGGTGCATACACTGCTTTCACTATGAAGACCTACAACTCCATCTTTGCGGGCGGTATTGGTAGCAGTGCTACCACTCAAGCTCTACTCGAATACCCCCAATGGTACGACACCATCATCAAATATGGCCCTTCGGATTGCACTTCCCGAATCGTTAACATCGTGGACAAGATCGACGCTGTAGTTCGATCCGGAGACAGGCAAGCTATCCAAAAAGTCAAAGACGTTTTCGGACTTGGTGCATTGCAAAGTCTGGAAGACTTCGCCATGACTATCGCATTCCCCATTGGCGGACCTATGAACTACCCCACGAACACTTGGCAGGAGCTCAACTGGAACGAGACGTATGGCTCGGACGACTTTTGGAACTTCTGCTCCAACGTCACCAACATCGACCCGCCCAAGAGCATCAGTAGCGTCGATACCTTGCTCTCTAACTACACCAATGGCGAACCCTGGACTGGTCTGGGCGGCTATGCGGATTATATTAAGAAGGCTCTCCTCCCAACATGCGAGAGCGGCCGCATCGATAGCACAGACAGTGGCTGCTTCGGCACCCAGAACCAGACTTTCTATGCGGACGCCACAAATAGCGCATCCCGCTCGTATCTTTACTCATCATGCTCAGAGTCAGGCGGGTATCAAGTCGCTCCCAAGTCCGGTCCCTCCCTGATTTCACGCGTTTTGCAGAAGGAGTACACCCAGCAGTGGTGTACGTGGGCCTTCCCCGCTGGTCAGCACAACAGCATCCCCAAGTCACCTGAGCTGCACTACTACAACAAATACGGCGGATGGAACATCAAGGCTGAGAACTTGGCTCTGATTGACGGCAGCACGGATGTCTGGCTTGACCTGTGCTATCACTCTGACCTGGCGCCGAAGCCGAGGATCAGCAGTGACAAGTATCCAAGCTATCTCATCGCGGGGGCGGGACATCACTGGGACAGCTACGGTATCTTGGACGTCGATGCTGAGCCGGCGTACATCAGAGAGGCGCACAGGTGGGAGATCAGGACCGTCACTAGGTTCCTAAAGTTCTGGGCGGAGAAGCACTGAGCCAAAATTTTGCGAAGAATGCCTCTGGTAAGGCATTTCCAGGCATTTGCGTAGTTGAGACCGAGCATAAATGCATCGAACAGTAGTCTTGGAGCTTAGGATTACAATATACCACAGTGAAACACATGACCGTACATTTCATCGTGAGAAACCTTTACCGAAACGCGATAACATTGCAAAGACCGGGTCGTGCGCAGGTCTCCTGACTAGCTGCGATCGGCATTCTTACCCTTCGACTTCATCTAACCTCCCTCATTCATCACAGTACTGACCCCATACATGTCACCCTTCTCACCGTCCTTGCCAGAGAAGATTGACACGCTGCTGCACTGAAGTCCCGAGCTCCTGTTACTATTGTTTGCCTCAACGTCCTCCTTTGCGTCACCGTTGGCCTCGCGTCCGTGGAACAGGTCTTCTGGGAAGGGGAAGAGAGTGCGACGACGAGGTGGGCTCTTCTCCTGAGAGTTCATCCATACCAATGCAGTGATATCCTTGCCAAACACCTCGATCACAGGCGTGACAATCGGAAGCGAGCAGAAAAGGACCACGTATGATGTGACACCGACAATGGCGACGTTGATACCGTATGTGAAGCCGCGTTCGGCAAGGAAGACCATGAGCCAGCTGCCCCAACTCCAGAAGACAAGACCGTGAAGAAGGTAGATAGTGAAGATGTGAGGGAAGAGGACGAGCAGGGGCGGGGTGGACAGTAGCCACTGGATGCAGGTTGAAAGCTCGACAATGGCCTGCATGCCGCCTGCAAAGAGGAGACCATTCAGGCGAGGAGTATAGTAAGGTGGGTAGCCTGCGTTTTTCGTGTTCAAGAGCGCTTCACCAGTCGCTTCGTCAGGGTGGATGTCGTGTTCGGCAGTCGCAAAGTTGAACTCCATCCAGTTCGGTAGCAAATTCACTGCGAAGCCCAACGCGACGCAGAACCAAGCGAAGGTGAGAATAGGGTAATACGTGCCTGGGCGTGCGTACAGATACTTCTTGTACTTGTAGGTGACGTCGAGATCAGTGAGTAGTAAACCGAGCCACAGGTACGTCCCCCAGGATCGTGCGTACCAGTGGTTCAGCATGCAGAAGATGTAGAATGCGATACGCTTCCATGTGGTCTTCATCTCTCGCACGATGATTGCACCGAGCAACACCAGCCAGGTTCCTTGAAGCTGGACTGCAATTGTCCAAAGCACACCTGTGCAGTAATTAAACGTGATCTGGGGAACGGCATTTGGGACAAGATAGATGAGTTCCAGAATCTCGGAGATGAACTGAACAAAGTTCTCGTAGCGTGTGACGTAGGGCCAAGTTGACCAAGTCAGGGACGGAATGTAGCGCAGGTACTTGGTCGCGCCGACATCGACGAGGAAGTACTCCAATAGAGCAATTGTTGCAACAGGAATCATGAGTCGTGGTGTTCGGCGTACAGCAGACTTCGCGATGTCCTCGAGCTTGCCCTTTCTCAGATAGGAAGCAGTGAGGAATCGAGTGGAAGTTGTGAAGAATACACCGAGCCACATTTGGTTCAGAATGAACGGTGCGACGATTTTCTGTGCCCAGTACTCAGACTTCGCATGTTGTGGAGCGCCTGGTATAACGATGGCGGGTACGAAGGTGAGACCAAAATGCATTACAGTGACAACTATGGCACACAACGCAACAAGGCCGGCCAGGTAGTCGATACGCTCGCGCGGTGGTGGTTGTGCTCTCATGCGAGGTGCTGGCAAAGCTGACTCTGTAACCGTCTCCATCCGTATCTTTTCGGCAGTCTGTTGTGAGCAACAGGGCAGAGCAATCGTCTGCTCAGAGCCCATGCTGTTAAGGTAGCCCTTGTGTCCTTTGACCGTAGACGGCAAAAATTCGTTTCTGGATGGTGAGGACAGATTGATCTCGCTCAAGGTTGGTAGCCCATCCTTACCAAGTTCCAAAGTGCTGTTGAATGGAGACAGTACATACGGCGTCGTAGCACGGCTGTCAAAGCGCACAGAAGTTGCGCGAGAACCTCCAATCGGCGTCGCAGACCCAATGGTACATGTGGCACCGCTGGGTCCAATTTGCTCGATGGTCAAGTCGTTCGACTCGTACTTTGACGATGTTGGTCGACTTGGTGCCGGTGATTTCTTTGCAGGATCTTCTGAGTAAATATCAGTGACCTCGTGCGGAGCGTTCTTCTCGTCCTGAGATGTGGTTGGTGACTGCGCTACAGCCTGCGGGGCTCCATGACCCGATGACTTGAGCTGCGTCATGCGACGAATGAAAGTGTGCACAAGGAGAATGGTCGAAAGTGCAAGGCAAGCTACGGAGATCCAAAGCGCCGGCATCCGCTTGATACTCTTGTGAGGATCTTGTTGCCACTTCTCGGTGGCCGTGTCGGCAAATGCTGTGGAGCCACGAAGAGTGGCGTCATCCATCGAGCATGCCTCGGCGACTGAGCACCTAGCGGTAAAGTCGTCGCGAGCAATATCGTTCATGGACGAGGAATTGAAGAACATTCGAGTCCAGCCGACCTCAGCAACGGAGGTCCGACCTGGCGGGCCCCTCATGGAGAACCGATTGCCGGTAGACCAATGCTTGAGATACACAGGTGCAGGCACTGAGGGCATGCCCTTGTTGTCCTTGTGCAAGATCTGTCGAGTGAGATTGCCTCCAACGTAGAAACTGATATGATCTCTTGTCCAGTCGATGCGATACTCGGTGAAGTCCCATGGATTAACACTCCCATTGCTAAGGCGCCCTTCCAACGTTGTGTAGTTGTGATCTGCAGCTGTGCCCTCGAGAAGTTCTGTATAGTTGATGCCAAGGTCGCGCGTGGTGAACTCTCCACTGACAAAGGTACCGATCCAAGCCTCAGAAGCATCGTTCATGTTCATGACGCTGAGCTCAGTGACTTCAGTCTCGTTGTACTGCCACATCATCGACATTGCCGAGCCAGCAGATGTGCGTCTTGGTGACTTGATCAGCGTGCGGAAGGAGCCATATTGAATATCACGTCTTGCCGTGCGAAGGCCAGCTCCCTGAACGATGTGATCCTCGGTCGGCGGCCTCAAAAGGAGCTTCAGAGAATCGTTGCTGAGTTGAAGGTTCGCAGGATCGGAGCCCTGGCGGTAGATGGCGTTCCAGTCCTTCTCGTACTTGTTGCTGTACTGTTCGGCGACGAACTCTGAAGGCAGCCCATCTGTTTCGTTGAAGTAAATGATGATAGAGTCTGTGAAGAGTGACCCTGTGGCAGTATCGTAGAAACCACATGTACAGTTACCACCTCCACCAGCGACCTCACTAGCTGCGGGTGCAGCGTACGCAAGAATGCAAGCTAGTAAAGTGAACGCAAGCATGCTGAATGAGCGTAGCGACACAGAGAGTTCACACCCGGAACAAATAAAGGCTCATTGAAGAATCAGTTTTCATGCATGGAGTGAACTTGCGAAGAAGATGGACGAGGAACTCAGCCCAGTGGAGTGGCGAATGAGCCGTAGAATGACGATTCAGGTCCAGTATAGGGTGGGAACAGTCTGGCGGACTAAAGAGGAGCCATAGTTTGGTGTGAGCTGGAACGATCAACAATCTGTCGGCAGTGAGGCCTTTTGCCTATCAACACCACTATACAGCCCCTGCCTGAAGGCCAGGATCGGAAAGCTATTGAACGTGTCGCTAGTCCTTCCATTCGCCGAGGCGGACGTTTACCAGCTCTCTTGGCGAATCCCACCCCTCGTTACACTGGATAAGGGGGTCGTCTAGGCGAGCGGTGTGCTGCGTGGCCTGCGGGTCAACAATGGCCAGGTGTCGGGAGAAATAGAAAGAGTGGTCATTGTCGGCAGGTGGGGCGAAAACAGCGTTACAGTACAGTAGCACCAGGCACGACTGGGATGTGAGCCGCCAAAAACGCCATCTCGCACGGTCCCTCTTTCTTTCTCTCGCACATCATCGACTTTCTATTGAGCCCGCCTTCTAACCATGCACCTTGACATCTGGCCGCACTGGCTCTTGTCCCCCCAATCAGGCTGTACTTACCAACCGAGCGTCATCATCACTATGCGCAATGTCGCACTACAACAGGGTAGCGGATGCGGGACTACCTGCAGAGCTTTTCGAGCCTGCAGGACGCGTTATCTTTCGTCAGATTCAAGACTAGGAACCAGACCCAGCTGATATTACACTGCAGTAGATTTCAGGGACAGACAACAGCAAATTTTGGAGTTGGATTACACTCGGCCTTCCCCCACGGATGCGCCCCACCGACGGTATGAAGAAGTATTGCCAAGATGCACTGAAAGCGACGATCAGAATTGTGCCGAAGAGGATCTTGCATTCTCGCACCTGCAAGATAGATAAGGATCTGTGTTGCAAGACGAGTGATAAGACCCACTCTTAGCTGCCATGCAGCTCGGTGAATGCGACGAGGAGACCGACCGTGAGAGCAGACGGGAAGTGTGCTGATAAATGGCTGACTCTATTCCGTCATCATTCACTTGTTTGGTACTGGCATCTGTTTTTCCTTCTGTTGGTAGTCAATCGTCGCTACATCTGTTATCAATTCTTTGCCGAGCACATCTGGTGCCCCACCCAGTCTCCCCGTACTTTCCAATCCAACAGCTTGAGTCGACTGCTGGATCTCGACACCTCTCGACAGTCACCATTCGTTCTGGTTGACGTTTCACTTGTTCCGATCTCCACACTCGTGTCTCTCCCTGCAGCTTCTTCGCAGACACCATGTCGCAGACCAAGGACTTCAGCATCGATATTGGCGAGTTTGCACCGGTCACAACATCAGTCCAGCAAGCTTCAAGGAGAGGACGAACAGCTGGAAATGTTATCGAGGGTGTGTCCTCGTTCTTATCAGCGTGGACCCCGTTCTGCCTCGTGGCATCCTACTTTGTGTTCTCTACATGCATGTACATGTACTGCAGCGAGGGCTTGATCGCTGTGTTCTGGTTTATTTACATGTGTACAAACTTTTACATCGCCGGAGCGACTGTTCTTGAGGCCTTCATGAGTATCACTCCCTGCCGCGAGGCAAGACAGATCGTCACTCAGGCTGAAGAGAAGGGATGGCTGTTCCCAACGGCCCACAGCGAGCTCCCCATCCTGGACCTCGTCATTGTTGCGTACTTGCCGAACGAAAAGGACATCATCATGGACCGCGCCATCTACGCTTTGAAACAGCTTGACTACCCTCAAGACAAGATCCGTATCAACATTCTTTACAACACTCCTGTCTCCATTGAGCCTCTGGAGACAGAGCTTCACCAACTGTCTCTCAAGTACCCCCATGCTAGGATCATCAAAGTAGCCAACTCTACCTCGAAGGCGGACAACCTCAACTACTTCCTCACCTTGAATACCGGCTCCGACGTCATCGCCATATATGACTGCGACCACTACCCACACCCCAACGGCCCTCGCTGGGCAGCTGAGCGCTTCAAGGCTGATGCTGATGTCGATATCATTCAGGGTCGATGCGTCATCTTCAACTCCAACGACACTTTCCTCACGAGTATGATCGCCGTTGAGTTCGACAAGATCTACGCCGTTTCTCATCCAGGACGCTCTGCAATGTGGGGCTTCGGCTTGTTCTGTGGAAGTAACGGCTATTGGCGGACGTCGCTGCTTCGTGACCTGAAGATGGACGACTCGATGTTGACTGAAGACATCGACTCTGCTCTCCGAGCGTTCTCACGTGGATGCAAGACGGTCCATGATCTCAACGTCACATCATACGAGCTGGCACCTACTACTATCGGTGCCTTCTGGAAGCAGCGTCTTCGATGGGCACAAGGCTGGGCTCAGGCGTCAATGCGGCACTGCAAGATGATCTACAATGACATTCAAAATCCGTTACACGAGGGGGTCAAGCGAGACTTCATAGCTAGATTTGGCGTTCTCTCGTTACTACTCATCCGCGAGGCCTCGTATTACCTGGTCACGCAATACACGTGTCTTGTCCTATCGTTCGTCATTGTCAAGTTTCCTCGGTCCGGCGGTGATCTGTCGAAGCTTGTCTACTTCCAATATCCAGTATCACAATGGCTGTTCATCATCAGGTATGCCAATCTCCCCAGCTTTTGAGGCCTAGAATTGCGCTTACATCCTCCGATAGCTTGGTGTGCCTGGTAGCCACGCTTTGGATCACCAACCAGGTCAAATCCGAATTTGTCTCGAAGAAGATGATCATCATGTTCTCGATCATGTACCCGTTCTATCTGGTACTCTCGGCGACGATCGGCCTCTACGGTCACGCTCGACAGATTGTCAAGTACAGCTCGTGGAACCCGACCGCCAGGACGTAATGTGTATCTTGTACTCGTGTTCTGGTAGTCCTTCAATTCATGTATATAGTTTTTGTACTTTAAGGTCCAGAATGTGAGCACTTTCCATGACATTTGGTCGGCATGTTGTCATCAGCAGTATTTTGTGCATGCATGCATCACTTTTCCACGCGACGAGCTTGATTGATAGACCAAGTCGATCTTCTTCTTGCAGAACTGTGCGCTTATCGGCGCACGATTACACGCCGCGTCAATGAGTTCCTATCTCTACTTTCTCGACCCGGCTTTAAGGCGACAGGAACTATCACTTCAAATTATCTCACCATGTTTGGCAATTTCGACGTCAACTACTATGGTCTTCGGCGAAAGTAGAGTCCGATGGCCGGTGCGTGGGCTAGTGTACAGAACCCCCATTAGCTGTTTATAACAGATACGCACAAAGGGGTTCCTTCTAATAAGACAAAAGTAGCCCACTTATTGGTGCGATACCTGTTATTAATCTCGGTAGAGGCTTCGACAAACCCTTATCCAATCCCTGTCTGCACTGGGCATGGGACTCTACTTTTGCCGGAGACCATAGTATCTCTGTTGCCGGAGACCATAGTATCTCTGTTGCCAGAGTTGGCCTAGATCGAGATAGCTTTCGGGCTCACTCTATTATGGATCCAACGTGGCGTAGCCAAATCAAAAAATCGATGAACTTCGCTTGGCTAGCCCTACAAACGTTGATCTTAAAACGAGACCCACATGGCCTCGGGATGACTTTGTGTTCGCTGGCGGAAGCACCCGAGCGCCTGAGCCAATGCCGGCCGTTTGCTTGTCCACTAGGAGCGTTTGGTGGCTTATGCACCCCTTGACACCTAAATTTGCATCGGGAAATTGGTACCTATTGCTCTTGACGTCTACCGGTAATCCACAAAATGGGTCCCGGCTTTTTCAGCCGCAGTGGTACAGTCTCGCTGTAGTCAGGGGTCCGCACCTATCAGATCCTCACAACCTACAAATGTACCTGTCGTTCCCCCAGCCAGCCTCCCCACACACAAACCTCCAACAATTGCATGCGTTGCAAGGAAGGTTTTGGGGCTATGCGAATTCACCAATGAGGAGTTCAAGGTATACCGCCAAGCCGATCAACATCGCAAGCTCCCGAGGTCCCGTCACGGTAACATTGAAGATTTGGATCTGCCCGTCGAACAAATAACGCAAGTTTATGCTATCTCGACCAGAAAGTTCCTCCAACATGTCAGTCTTTAGCGTGCGCCAGCCCCACTAAGCATACTGGCGCGTATCTCAAGCAGGACGATGCGGCCAGAACTGCAATCAGGGTCCCCAATTCGCCTTGGCGGATATCAAACTGGTAGTCGAGCTTCGGGTAGCAGCTGAAACTGGGAACACCGTGCGTCGAGATGTTGTGCGAGCGTGACCGCATTATGCGAAGCCCTGTCAAGCTTCCGAGAACCAAGGGGTTGATCTCGGGTCTCCCCACGGAAAATCGGGGGTCAGCTTTGTCATGTGTAACGAGCGACACGTGTTTTGAAAACTCCTAGGCCCGTTGAAGGTCGTGCACAATTCCCTCTATGGTTGTTGTGTTCAAGAAAGTTGACTTTCTGGTCGAGGCATGCATTGACTGTCGTTCACGCTTCTTACCCACTATGAAGTCGCAACTCATATCCAATCCTTTGGCTTCGATCTTCAGCACTACAAGCTCGTTGTCGTCGACTCAAATCGCTTCGCAAGACTATCTCATCGGTCTGCGTGGTATCGTCGTTCTCCAGTCATTCTTGTTCGTTTTCTTTCAGGTCTTCCTCCCGACCGCGGTCCCGGACTCGAACAACCAAGATGGACCGCTCTACCAGATGATTCTCCGCAAGTCGTTCTCAGTCGTCTTCGTCAACGAGTCCTTGATATATTCCTGGATCATCTTCCTCTCCGCGCGCACAATCGCTCTGCCGTTCCTCAGCAACACGACCCGCGAAGTCTGTGCATCCAGCATCTTCCGCCGCGGTGTCAGGCTATGGCTGCCAACGTTCGTCGCCTTTTCGATCGCTGTTGCAGCTTTCACAGCCTCTGACACTAAGTACATCACCGACTTCTTCACCCGTACCGGCAACGTCTCCGCCGAGACACCAATGCGTATGCGCAACTTCCTGGTGTACTTCAACTCACTGTTCGACATCTTCTGGATCAATAAGCAGTACAGCGTTCAGGCTGCCAATAAAGCCTTCCCGTCCGGTACAATGTGGATCGTTTCTGTACTATTCCAGCAGAGCTACACAGTGTACATGACCATGATAATAGTGCCTTACACACGGCTGTCATGGCAACTCAAGGCGCTGATTTTCTTCATCCTGACAGCGTTCTGGGTCCAAAGTTGGGCTTGGTACAGTGTGACTGGTCTCCTGGTCGCTGATGCCGTGCTCAACATGGATCTCCAGGTCAAGTCGAGGACAGGTCTCAAGATCCGGAAGTGCAGCATACCGATGTGGCCATTGTATGCAGCTTTCGTCTTTACGGGCATCATATTGCAATTTCTATTCATCTCTTGGAAGCCGAGCATGCGCAACAACGAAAACCATGGGCACACGGGCTTGTATACTGAGGGCCTGCTCAACGAGGAGCAGGATCTTGACCAGCCTCTGGCTCGCGTTGACAATTACTTCTTCATGCTGGGGGCGATGCTGTTGATCGAGACATACGACATGCCTCGGAGATTACTGCGACTCAGTCCTTTAGTTGCACTTGGAAGGAGGAGTTTCAGTAAGTGATGGTGCAGGATTGTGTCCTTCAGAGCTAACAGTGTCGCAGGTGTTTTCCTCGTACAGCCCACCATTGTCTATACTGTTGGCATCAAGCTTTGGCTAGCGATGGATAATGCGGGCATGAAGAATGCGTTGAGTACGTTTGTAAGCTTCCTTGCCTGCGCATCTACAGTCGCGGTTACCTCAGAGGTCTTCTATCGAGTTATAGATCTCCCGAGCATTGCCGGGGCGAAGGCAATTTGGTCTTTCATGATCAAATAGTGCGAGAACATCTGTAACTGCGTGAGCAGTATCGGTCGGAGACTGTGATCAACGACTGTATTGCTATCTGTTGTCGTGTTGTGGTCTGATGTTACAGGAGCTCTCAGCTCTGAGGTAAGCGCACTTGCCCACCGGGCAGTACCTGCTACAATAGGATATCATGTGATCTAAGCCACGTAGTTACAACATCCGTATGTATATTCTGCACAGGCTCTCGTATTGTTCACGGCCATTTGGATTGGTGGCTACTGAACATACACGTAGCCTTTGAACGCTTGATCGTGATAGATACGACAAGATGATGAGGCATTCGATCCCTATCGACGCGTTTTCACTATTTGAACTTGACTTTGCTGTAGAATGAGCTGCCCTGTTTCTTGATCTCCTTCCCCATAGTCTTCCGGCCCCAGGCGCCACCTCCTGCTAACTGCGCAACGGCCAGGCAAATACCTGTGAATGGTATGGCCGTCAGGAAGAACCATCCATAAGTGTATTTCAGGGCGGAAACGCTCTCATTCATGCTGAAGAACGCGGAGACGAAGCTGAGCGGGATGAAGATAGTCGCTAACCAGGTCAATCGAGCCAGATTGTGGTTGTCCTCTATGCTTTGCTTTGTGTCTTCGATGTTGATCTCTGACGTTACAATGGCAGTAAGGCGGTCGATCCGGTCCTGTAATTCCTTGATGTTGTCCAAAATGCGATCAAAATCAGGTCGAATGTCTTCAAAGGCCTTGGGTTCAGTCGCTGCTGAAACTGAGGTGAGCCGCGCTGCCGCCGGTAAGGCCTGTTGCAATGCTTCAGTGACCATGTCTCGAAACACCGGGATATGACGTCTCCAAGTGTGTAGGCGTTTCAGAGAGTCTGCAATGAGTTCGCTTTTGGAGCGAAGATCGTTCTTCTCCTTCTCGCGAAACACTTCTGGGAGTTCCACCTCCCACTCAATCTGACTGACACGTGTCTTGACGTAGTCACAGACGATGAGCCATTCAGCACAAACAGTGTAGAGTGTCGGGTATGCTAAAACCTGCGGTCCAATTTCATGGACCAATTCAGCCTCGAACCAAGGGAATGCGGCGGTCGTTCGCACAATGTCCTTGTACCACGATCTATCTGAAGTTGGAAGTGGTGGTGCTCCTTGACCCATACTGGTGGTGGGCAGCCAGTTGGTACGGTCATGCCAAAGTGGTTTACCTTCTTCCATAGTTGGGTCCACCAGTACGATGCCCACTATCCCATCGCCACACTGCTTGTCTTTCCCAATCCAAATCGTTGTTCGCGTTCGCATGATGGAGACCACTGACTTTCCTATCAGATTACCCTTATTATCCTTAAGGACATCGCCCTGTGCGTCTCTTTGGACCTCGTCTTTATGAGCCCAGTGGTTATTGTCATTGTCCGGTCGTCTCAGGATATTCCATTTGTTGACCTCTTGTCTTCCATTCTCGTAGGATATTCCTGTCTTGTGATATCGAAGTCGCATATTTCGCAGGCGGAACCAGGAGCGCTGTTTCGTGCTAGCTGTCAAGCTCGGTGCTATGGCCCAAGGATCGCGAATATTATACCATACATTGTCTTCGATCTGCTCTCGAAAGAAAAGAGGGTCGACGTCAAATCTGGAGCCGAGTTGCTCGATCACCTCAGTCGAGAGATCTTCGACAATGAATAGTCGTAGCGGGGGAGCGCCCGGCGGATCGTGAGACAAAGCTGCCAAGGTTGTTTTCAGTTTGTCGGCCGAATCGATAGTGACGGGGACTGGCTGCGAGTCTTTTAGAGGCTTGTACTCGATGTACGTAACATTTGTCTTGGCGCGCCGGTCTTTCAATTCGGTCTGATTTTCAGGGAAATGGAGGTACCTCCAATGCAGTGGTGATGTTCCCACCTGCATAAAATCTGCTAGGTGACGCAATGGTCTCCAAGTACGAGACAGAGCCTTGACATGAGCCAGGTAAGGTTTGTCTCGCCTGTCATTTCATTAGCACAGCCGCGGCTCTGCACAAAGATGACCATGGCTCACAGGTCGTCGGTGTCCCAGGTTTTCAGCGTATCTTCATCATAGCAGGTTCCAATGTGATATGTCTCGCCATACTCGGCAGAATGTGGTATCTCTCTTCTTTGGCGTTGAGTGGGCATGTCAATTGTTGCAGGATTGCCATTCGAAACGATTGGCCGCGCCGGCCCCGTAGAAATCGATGCAGACTCTGAAGGCATGATCTTTTTGCTCTTGGCCTGTAAAGTTAGGAAGCACGAACGTGGCTCGCGACGGGACGACCCATCATATAGCCTTGCGCCATTAGGCGCGCATGGGGCCAAAATTAGGGCTGAGCGGCCAAGGCAACCCAGGTCGCGTGTGGTGTCAGAGCTCCATCTCACCACCGACACAGCAACACCGGTATCTGTGCGCAGCGCAAACATTGCGCACATCGTCTGACACCCATGATTATGGACCCGCGGTGGCGGCTTTTTATTCTCAGGCGAAAAGCCGTGTAGCAGTTGCTGGATCTATGTCCCCTCAAGTTAATGTTTGAGCCCCGCAGGCGCGCTTGTGAGCGCTAAAACAGTGGCTCTTGCCCCAGCCTCCCTCCCTGCCTCCCTCCCTGCCTCCTTCCTCCTGGATGTCACCACACTTTGACCAACATATTGTCGTCCGCGCAGCTGGTCGCCTGTCTCGGTGCGCGAAACGATCCTCGCAGCGAATTTCCGTCAATATGCTGTGCGGTTGATCACCATCTCTGCGAAGCGAACGACAGGCGAACGGCAAGCGAGCTGAACATCACAAATGCTCTCGGTCTTGTACCTGCCCACAGCAAGAATATGCGCATAATGAGGGAAGTTTTTCATATCTCATCTGAGATACTGAGAATACCAAACAACGACTCAGAGACTCAATTCGAGCATTGGCTATGACATCCCCCTCCTTCACATACGGCTCTAGTAGGAAACTGCTCATCAGCCTCCACACCTCCATACACCTTTTCCACCTCTTCTTCGACATCTCCAGTGTTTCCCAGGCGTTCTCGGAATCCCTCAACCACAGCCTAAATACATGCCTCTGTTTTCGTGAAGCCTCCGCGCGCACGGAAGATACTCTGGTTGTTTGCGAACTGCACGTTGCCTTTCTAGAGGTTGAATGAGATAGCTTACTTGTAACCACGTGGCTTAGATCACATGATATCCTATTGTAGCAGGTACTGCCGGTGGGCAAGTGCGCTTACCTGAGAGCTGAGAGCTTCTGTAACACAACAACACACAACACGACAACAGATAGCAATACAGTCGTTGATCAAAGTCTCCGACCGACACTGCTCACGCAGTTACATTACTTCAGCTAGGAAGTTTGGCGTGTCGAGCGCTTCGGCTCAGGCTTTGGTGATGGTTGGGATGTCGTTAAGAGTCAGGAAGGTTTTGGAAGCCGATGATTGTGCGGCGCGCGTATTGGACGATCAGATACTCAAAAAATGAGCCGGTTGTAAGCTGGTGTCGGAGAACAGGATGTGAGACATATGATTTGGCTCCGTCGCCGAAGCTGTTCCGCGTTGGAGTGAGTGAGTGGTAAGGTTGAGACACTGACTTCTCTGCAGGCCACGGCTCTGCTAGTGATCTGAGAAGGTCGGATCGAGCGCGAGCAAGTCAGTCTCATGAGCCTATGTGGCAGACTTTTGTAGGCTGGAGCACCAATCTTGCTCGCATCATATATTTTACGCAAGTCCTGGATTTGGTTGAGCATGAACTCTGCTGGCTTCCCACCTTACTGATTGTCCTGACGGCTGCGAACAGGCGCAATGTGCGATGCAACCCCGCCGGCGTAGGTGAAGATAATCTCTTCTCTTGTGTGAGTGGATACGACAAGACCGCGGGTGGCCTTGGAGCTGGAGACGTGGTGGATTTCCATGAGAGCTCTCACGTAGCTTGCTGTGAAGATCATGCAATGGGGACAGTTTTTGCTTGACACAACCTGGAGGCTTTCCCAAGCTCTTGAAGTGCTCCAGGGCGTTCTCTGTCTCTTCGAATAAGTTCGTGCGTCCAGAGTCTTACATCTCTTTGACTTTGAGGGGGGGCTTCATATCAACGTCGGTGGGGTGGCAGTTGACGTAAGAGCTGTGATAGTTCGAGATTTATTTTGTCACCTTTTTGGAAAGGATGTGATAGCTCACATCAGACTAACGTGTTCTACTGTAACGGTTGAGAGGAGAAGCAGATCACGTGTTGTTGGCGGTGGTCTGGTGCTACTTCCTCATGTTGTTGAGCACCTCTTACCTCAGCTGCATCACAAACACGTCATCAAAACAGACCCCGCAGCGAGCCTTGGAGAGCAAAGATACAAGCAGGAGAACAACACAGAGAACAACAAAATACACTCGTTATATACATTTGCCCTTGATTCCGCGACATATGCAGTATCTACCTCCCCTGCGCTTAAGACAAGCCGAGCCCTATTCCAGAACCCATGATTCAAGATCTACAATTGATGCCAGCTACTTGACCCTATAATCACGGCCCCAAGTGTCATTAGATGCTTCAGAGGTACAGAGCTGTGGGTCTGCGCTGGGCCATCCTCAAGAAGGTGGTGTTGCCAGTGTACATAGGCCATCCACTCGAAGCAGTACCGGTGCCGGTGACCAAATGAGGTCCGCCCGTAATCATGGGCATGCTGCCTGTACCAATCTCAAGTGGACCCCGATCTATCGTTGGCGTCGCCCCCGATGGCTGCTCAGTGACCTCAGGCTCAGACAGATCCTCAGCGGGGTTTGGCTCCTCGATAGGCTCTGGCTCGGGAGTCTCAGTGGGCTTAGCATTGTCTGGCCCGACTGGAACACAGGTCGAGAAGAGCGGCCATGTTTTCTCGAATAAGTCTTTCTCGAAAGAAGGAGCTTTGTTGACTTTGCCGGCATTGAGGTTTACATTAATGCCAACATCAGTGCCAAGTTGAACGCCAACCGTCTTCTGGCTGTTACAAACACCAACAGAATCGATGATGCCGGTCATCCTTGCTTCGAAGAAGGGTAGCTGGGCATCTACCGCAGCTTGGTAGCCCCATTCTATGCTTCGTTAGCAAACTTCTTCTACTCAGTGACACCTTTACTTACTGCCAAATACTTCGGCCTTGAGCTGAACACCAAGCTCACTCCACGCGCGAACGTTACCGTTGATCTCACCGCTGAAGACTGGTTCGACCTTCTCGAAGTCCGGTTCCCAGCCGCTGAAATTGTTCTCCTCTGGTTTGGTAAGCCTGACATCGACCTTGGCCTCGTCCTTGATCTTGGCTTTGGCACCCACGCTCATCTCGCTCGTGCCCTCAAGGGCCGAGGAACCGAGGTGAACGCCTATAGTGATAAAGGGGCCAATTTCGAGGATACCTGCAATCTTCAATGCCTGGACTGGAATCGAGATCTCCGGCTTCATGTCCCACTGCAGTTCTTTGCCCAACTTCCCGTCGGCACTGAGCTGCAGTTTCATCAGTCCGTTCACTCCCTGAGGGTGGATGTTGATTGTAGCGTCGTTGGGAATGCCCAACCAGTTTTTCTTGACGTCAAAGTCCGCAACGATAGTACCTTCTGTTATCAGCTCGAGATCGGCACTCAGTGCCATACCAGCTGTCTCTTTTGAATCTTTTGCGTAATTGAAGAGATTGCCTTTGAACGTATGCGAGATATCCATCTGAGTGCCATCGTCTCCTCGAGGCGCGAGATGAGGATGGGTTACGTTGGCAGTTGCCGGATCGACAAACTCGTGACCAAGGTTGAGGCTAAACGACTGCGCTATCTCATTCCATGGCTTTTCTTCCGCGGTGATCTCAGCTGTCAGTTTGGTGTCATCGAACTTGATGGCGCTGACGAGGTAGGGCGAGCGATTATCGCCTTTGTAGCACATATCGGGCTCTGTGACCAGCGTGAAGTGGTTGATGTCTGCATCGTCGATCCACTTCCAGGCTGATTTTGCGTACTTCAGAGAGTCTGTGTCACTGAACTCCAAGATCATAGGCTGTTCGGGCGTACCACAGCTGATTGACTTCATCCGCTTTGCGAAGTTCTCTATTGCGAGGATGTACTCGTCGTCAGTCTGTGCAGACATTGTGAAGTTTGCAACGAAGATGTTGTCACCAGCTACGACTTATCAGGCTTATGTGCAAGATGATTAATGTGACACGTACCATATCCACCCCAGAAGAATGTAGAGTGCTTAGCAGGATCGAAACAGCCATTCCCGGGCATCTCTCGTTTCTCGGAGCGGCCTCTCAAGAGCACACCAGGGTCACTGATAGCTTTCAGCTCGATTGAAGGCAGTGCTCGTTTGCCGAAAACATTTGGATAAAGCTTGCCAGGATCATCGATAGGGTCAAGATTGAAAGCAGCTACAGCTCGCTTGGCGACTGACTCGCCGCTTGGGTGATGGCCGGTACCCCAGGGCTTCAATTCCATGGCACTTGCTTCCAGAGCAAATGCAGTCGCCAATGCCAATATCAAAAAGCTACGTGAGTTGAAAGGCATAGTGTTGAGCTGCGGATCGAATCGAATAGAGTGGTTTTGTAACAAAACGTGAGACCTTCAAGGCCGTGCAAGAAATGTATTCAAAAAGAAGGTGTAGAGAAAACAAATATGTATGACTCGTAAGAGCTACTGTAAAGAAAGGATGTCTGGATAGCCTGAATGTCGACCTGGTGGCACCAGTGCAGCACTTCTATACTACGCAATTGACCGTCTCAAGACTATCAAACACATCGAACGTCTGCCATTAGCCCTTTGCACTGCCAAGAGACAACGGACATTTGAGGTCCGTCGTGCCTGGAGTCCACCGTTGGGTCAGCAACATAGACAGAGCTATGTGCTGTAGCGACATCATACGCAGATCCACGTAAGGGTCCGTAGTCCGATTGAGATAATCTTAACATCAAGCAACCTCTCAAGGCTCACTGAGCAGTCATCGACACCCAGTGATAATAGAAGGAGAGCTGCGCGGTGAGATGGTAGAGACCAAGGACCATAGATAGCTATAGCTGGGTCGACTTTGGCAGTAGTCTTGGCTATTTTCAGACACAGTCTCGCTAGAAAGGATGGTGATTGCGGAGACTTGCTGTGGTATGCATCTTAGAATAGCACAGCGGTGCAGCTTCGGGGTTCAATTAGATAACCTGAGACACACGGCGGCACTGTGGGTCTTATCAGGCAGCCATCGATCAAAGCATCAAATGTCGAGAGTTGGATTGAGCAGCGCGCGCAAGAGTGAGCATCGTCTTGGTTTCGATGCACGATTGACATATTTGTGTTGATGTGCAGTATGGTGATGCTGTGGAGAAAGGGACGGTGCGGGGAAGGTGCGACAGCGCGACGGAGCGCGGTCGCCGTCGGGGTCTTGGCCTCTCTGCGGCATGGTCTCTTCAACGCTGTTCTTCACTGCTACACAACACCTTGAGCGTCTTCAACTGCGCTTTGCTCATGTCAGCTGAGCCTCTGTGAGCAATTTCATATCTCGCAGATCATTTGTAATGTTTTGCGGTTTCACTACAGCCTGCATCCAGACCGTACGGCGTAGGCGCCAACATCGAGTGGAGATGAGCGTAAATGAGCGTCTTACAGCCACTCGTTTGCAAGAGCTCGGGAATCCCTTCCCTATCTCCAGTTGTTTTCCGATACTCTAGAAACTACTTTTTGATCCTGCCAGGCATGCCGGACATGGCTTGTTGAAGGTCGTTTTGCGAGCATGCAGCCTTGCAGCCTTGCGGCGAAGCAACCTCGCCTAGCACCTCCTCATTCAATTGTGCGGCGTTGGCATCAGCACAGCACGCATCCTGGTGAATACAGTCGATACGGTATCAATTAGCAACCTCAGGGCTATATGATTTGCTGTTCAAGTTGTGCACAGGTACGCTCGGGGTTCAGTCAGGTAGGTACGCCTGAAAATGTGGCGTTTCACAACTCCGTGCAGACCCAGTCGTCTTCACCACAAGGGGGCGGCGTAGTGTGGGGCTCGGATCATACGGTGAAGCAGAATATCTGGGGACATTGAAGCTGCTGTATAAGTTCAGAACGATGGTCTAGCAGACTGTCAGCCCTCAAGTCTCGCTCCTCAAGCTTCACACCAGCGATCGCAGTTGCATTCTCTCAACTTAAGCTTCACATAGTCTATCTCCATACACCCCATCAAGATGCGTTCCTCTACCGTTGTCGCTCTCCTCGCAACCTCAGCTGTTGCACAGTCGTCTAGCTCAAGCAAGCCCGAGACTGGATCTTCTGCGCACATCATCAACCCACTGGGCCTGCAGGTGTCCACCGTCACCATGCTTGGATCCAGCTCAGGCACGACCACCTATGTCAACTCTTGCTCGGATGCAGGCGTTCCTACTTCGTGGCTCTCCGAGGCCACGGCCGGTAAGCTATCCCGTATGTTGAACGTCTGTAACCAATTCTGACGTTAGAAGAAGCGTCCTCTGCTGGGTCTTCGGCCGCATCTGTGGCATCCTCAACGCGCTCAGTAGCGGAAACCCTCCTCATGACACCCATCGCTGCGCCATCAACGACCGCTGCTGCACGTCTCCGTCGCCGGGACGCCAACCTGCTCGATGGCCTCTGCGAGCCTCTCACAATCAAGCAGGCATCTGAGTATGCCCAGATTCAGCTGAAAGACCCTTCCGAGGGCGCCTGGACTGCTGAAGTCAACTGCAACTGGAAGGGCGCCCTTGGATCCGCTGACCTCACTTGCACTGCTGTTCAGAGCGGTGTCTTCGCGAGTGTCGTAGGTGCTCAAGGCACTACATCTGCTGTGCTCAAGGCGAGCGAGATTGCTGAAGCAAGCGTTATTCAGACCGTCGAGGTTGTGTCACCGGCTTCGAACTCTGCGAACCCAACAGCATCTGGAAGTCAGTCTGGCTCCACAAAATCTACCACCTCTGCTCCTGCGTCCTCTGGCGCTGCGGCTGGAGGCCCTCACCCCATAAGCGCGATGGCTTTTGTCGGTGGTGCTGCCGGTATCTTTGCTGCGGCGCTTGCCCTGTAAGCGCTAGCTGAGCGAGAATTTTGAGTCTGAATGGGGCCACGGAGGATGGGGTTGCATTTTGTAAGATCACGGGCGCGATTGTAGTGTGTTCGGTACAGGTTCACGGTTAGGCATGACTCGTTAGCTCTCATTTCTGCATCGGACGTCCCGCTGCTCTTCACACGAGTGTTCTTACTAATACATCCGCTTCACTGCTTCACGATCTATGATCCAATATTCAACGTGCATCACGTGCTAATCCGGCACTGTAGCGCTCATATCAATCCTTCAGTATGTTCAGCGTTGGAGTTCGGGGACTCCGATTCGATGGTGGTGGATCTTCTCCGCGTCCGGCTCCAGACTGGGGTTGTTAGGGTCATCAAGAGGTGGAGCCAAGCACGAGTCCACACGAGCGTGCCGATTTTCTTGGGAGAAGTACGAGATTGCCAAGCGTCGGCATATTACATACGTCATCCTCTTCTGATTGAGCTATCTGCATCTGGAAATTAGTGTGCCTATCAGACGAGAATGCTCCAATTACGGTTGAGCCGCAATCCGTCCCTGCCGTTTTACAAGCGCCGCAACACAGCAGACAGAGCGGCCATGATCAAAGTGAAAGGCACCCAACACGCGGGCGGGCTGTCTCCGCAAAGTTCTCCACTATAATGCTTGGTGGGGAACTATATAATCTTCGCCTGGGAGCCCAGCGTTGACCAAGAGACTTCGCTACCCAATCATTTCTTGTCAACTGCTAAGCAACTTCTTGTCAACCACTAAGCATCGCCACCCATGGCCGACGCAAAGGAAGTCGAGACCCTCAACTCAGGCCCACCCGGCTACAACGAGAAGATCGAGGATTCGGCTACGAAGCACAATGAGTTTCCCGTAGACACTGGTCGTCGCCAGTCGGTTGCTGTCAATATCGTCGAGAACCCGCTGAAGGTATGCGCAAACGTTTTGCGCTGAATGCAACACAAAGCTAGCTAAGCGTTGAATCACGTGCTAACGCGGTGCAGCGCGTCTCTCAAGAACAAGCTCAAGTCGACGCCGAAGCCTGGGCTGAGGCCAATGGCATGCCTGAACACAAGTCGCTCTTTGGCAGGGCAGCCTTGGTCGCGCGAGACCCCGATCGCTTCGAGCGCCTCGGTGATGCTCTTCCTGCTGATGAGCGCGATGCCCTGATCTACGAGCGCGATCACAAGTGGCACGGCTCCAAGATGTTGTGGTACTCGATCTCCCTGTGCGCTATCGGTGCCGCAACCCAGGGTTGGGACCAGGTAAGACTGGGCATCTGTTCACCTCAAACATTTACTGACACAAGCAGACTGGGGCCAATGGCGCCAACCTGTCCTTCCCCCAGGAGTTTGGTATCAACGAAGGTGCCAAGAACGAGTGGATTGTCGGCCTCATCAACTCTATTATCTTCTTGACTGCCGGTCTTATCGGTGCTTTCATCGTCGACCCACTCAACCACTGGCTCGGTCGCCGCGGAGAGATATTCGTCACGGCTCTCTGTCTCACGGCCACTCCTATCGGTTCTGGATTCGCCAGGACGTGGCAGGAACTCTTCGCCGCGCGTTTCGTGATGGGCATCGGTATTGGTGCAAAGAATGCCACCGTTCCTATCTACAGTGCCGAGATGGCGCCAGCCCGCATCCGCGGCGCTCTTGTCATGTTCTGGCAGTTGTGGGTTGTCATTGGCATCTTTCTCGGATTCTGTGCCAATGTCATTGTTAAGGACACAGGTGACATCGCCTGGAGGCTGCAGTTGGGCTCTGCGTTCATCCCCTCTTTTATCCTGGGCGTGGGTATCTTTTTCTGCCCAGAGGTCAGTTCATTCTTCACATAGGCTGTATGCCTCCGCTGACAGTTCACAACAGTCTCCTAGATGGCTCATGAAGCACGGAAAGATGGCCAAAGGTTTTCAATCAATGGACAAGCTGCGCGCCCACAAGATCATCGCGGCCCGTGACTACTACTACTCCAACGTCATCTACGCTGAGGAGCTCCGTGTCGCCGGTGACAGCAATTACTTCTCCCGTCTGCGCGACTGCTTCACCATTCCTCGCATTCGACGCTCCAACTACGGCGCCTCCACTGTTATGCTTGCGCAACAAATGTGCGGTATTAATATAATTTCCTTTTATTCGTCATCAATCTTCGAGCAAGTCGGTTACAGCGCCACAGAGGCACTTTACGCTTCCCTCGGTTACGGTGCGATCCAGGTCGTCTTCACAATCCCCACACTGTTTCTTATCGACACCAAGGGTCGTCGAACGCTGTGTCTCATCACATTTCCGCTGATGTGCATCTTCCTCCTAGCCGCTGGTTTGTCGCTCCTCAACAACGATGAGACCTTGAGCCGAGGCGCGCGCATCGGTCCTGTGGTGCTCTTTGTCTACCTTTTCACCATCATGTACTCTTTGGGCGAGGGACCGGTGGCATTCCAATACAGCGCAGAGGTTTTCCCCACGATCCACCGTGAGCAGGGCATGGCCTGGGCTGTGTGCATCAACAACACCTTTGCCGGTATTCTTGGCCTCACGTTCCCGCGTATGCAATCCGTCATGACGCAGACTGGTGCATTCGGTTTCTATGCTGGATTGAACCTGATTGCCTGGTTCATGATCTTTGCCTTTGTGCGTGAGACGAAGCAGCTTGTAAGTCGCCGCTCTCATCTCATCAGGCTTCCTGCTAACATGCTCTCAGACGCTCGAGGAGATCGACCAGGTTTTCTCGGTCCCGACCAAGCAGTTCCTCGGCTACGAGATGAAGGTCTGGCTTCCATACTTCATCAAGCGCCACCTGCTCCGCCAGAAGGTTGTTAAGCCGCCGCCGATCATCGAGAAGGCCGGCAGCACCGACTCTCTCCCCACAGCCTAGATGCCTGGGACGAGACGAGCGTGCTTGTATACGCTGCGCTGTGTGATACATCGGAATGTGTAGACCACATAAACGGATGGACTTGATAAATATAGACTCTAGAGTCAGCCTTGTGCATAACGGTAGATGCAGTTCGAAGAGCGAACTGTTACGACACCCCAACGATAAGGACACCCTTTCTCACTTTCGACCATACTTCTATCCCCGTAATCCCCTTCTAAATCCAAGCTTGACAAAAAGACACCAACTGCACTTAGAAATGTCGAATAAGAAGAGTCAGGTGCTCAAAGATACCACAGTCATGAGTTTAGTGTGGACTAGCAGACTGCTAAAAGGACCAACGTTCCTCGCCCAGCACAGCCCCGCCATCCATATCAAGGGTGCCCTCATGCTACCCAAACTTGTCGTAAGGTGATTCCTTTTGTGGTTTCTGTGCATGTCTGTGAAATTGTAATGGATGACTACACCATATGCACACCCACTTCAGCTACTCGGTTCTTCATGTATGTTGCAAAGTCGGACGCCATGCATTGCCCGCAAAGACACAAACCCGTCCAGCTAATGAAAAGATCCGCACTCCTTCAGCATCCCCGCCAACCGTCACCGCGTCAAACCATGCAGCGCCGACAACAGCATGACGCAGGAGCAACGTTGATCAACCCGGCAGAGGTTTTTCCACGAAGCTCTTCAAGTAACTGGAGTTTACAGAAAGCGGAGAAGGAGAGCAGGGGTGGTATGAGGGGGAGTACAACGAGGTGGTGTGGATTACTAGGAAGTGGATTGAGGATTTTATTTTTCATCAACACACTAATCGAGTATAGGATGCAGGCTTCGTGCATATCTTATATGAAGCGTGCAGTGTTGTGTAATGAGCTCGATTTACCCAGCATTGTACGTATGGGCGTGCTTATTGTACAGTCTCGATTCATCTGCAGTCCTTTCGACTCCTCACTATACCTTTTGGTTGTTTATTTATTTCATCGCAGAAGATTCCTGGAATACCAGAACTTCAAACAGATGTTTGGTTCTGATCGAGCCCCCGCTGGCTCTTGCGAGCCCAATGATGACCACTGAACTGGTCGACCACAGAGTGCTTGGAGTCTTTGAGTTTCTCCGGGGTGTATTAGTTGGTTCATTCAGCTCGTGCTGAGCAAGTAGCCTACGCTCAAGGTCTCTCTTCTTCTCTTGAAGTGCAGTGTTCGAGTTGCGAAGATTTCTACGCTCAATCTCGAATGCAGCGATCCCAGGACTTCGAGACGGTGTAGACTCACCAAGCACTGCATGTTCGCTGATGTGAACTGCATACATGGCCGCACCGACAGCCCCCGTACAGCTGTCGTTCTCGTTGTTGAAACCGTACTGGGTTCGCTTTGCTCGAGGGATGTCGATGTCTCGCTCGCTGTGCGCTTTGTCAGGTTGCTGGTCGAGGTGGAGATAACATTGTCCATGGTTGGTCGGAGCTTGCGGCACGTAACAGTGTTTTCAAGCTACCGTGTGTGTTAGCGTGTGCTCAGAAAAATCTTAGGAATAATATTGAGGTGTCTCACCGTCTGGACCGTCGTTCACTGATCCGCCTCGGCTCGAAATTGCATAACAGGAGGAAGAAAACCTCCGTGGTCGCAGGATATTGCAGGTCAAGTAAGGCGAGCTCGAAGGTTCACGAATACTGTATTCGTGCGCGTGCGTACCTTGGCGCCCAATCATCGGATAGCAACTAAGTGGAGGTGAGGAAAGGAGTTACGGAGCACCAACACCGGAATTCGCGGGGCTGGATGGATCCTGCGCTTCGTGTACACAGTTGAAAGATAATCTCCACGATCACATGCCTACCAAAGCAAGGTCATATTCGAGAGTATCCTAACTACGGCGTACTAGAATCTAACGTACGCCTGAGTGCTGCTTTTCTCAAAGTCACGCGACTGTTGCTGTATTCCGGCTCTTCGAGAAGAACGCACGCTCGCACCTGCTGTTAACTTAGTTTGCATACGGGCCGTATAGTCAGACAATCTTGCTAAGACACCACGCCAATAAGGAAGATGATTGAACAGGCGATGAACTGATATTCATTAATGGAAATCTACACATTCGGTATCAACTGCAAAGGTATCAACTACAACGCCATTTCATAATGGGCAATGAGTAATTCAGCTATCATCTGCGGTCAGCTACAACAGTTCTGTGTAAGAGCTGCATCTATACTATATCCTTGGAGTTGACAGCCTCGAGGTGAGTGTGAGCGCCCTTCTCAACACCATAGTCGGAGCCTGAGTCGCCCTCGGCGTGGAAGCTATTGACAGTGGTAGTAGCGAAGTGGCGGGCGGGCACCTTCTTCTCGAAGAGAATATCGAGCTCGGCGTAGGTGCGGCCCTTGGGCTCGGGGAGGCGGAAGAATGCCCAGACGAAGCAGACGAAACAAGTGCCAGCGTAGAAGAAACCGGTCTTAGCCCCCCAGTTCTGCGAGATATTAGTAGGTCACCTTGAAACAAATGATTGGATTGACTTACCCATGCACCAGGGTTGAGCATGCGGGGAGTAAGGACATTTCCGACGCAGGAAGCAAGGTTGTAGAAGTTACGGGCCAAGACAACAGTCTTCTGGCGGAGTCGAGTAGAGGGGATCTCAGCGACGATGGCGTAGCAAACGGGTCCGACGGTGATGTTGTAGACGCAGGCGAATGTAAGGAGAAGGGCACCGATAGCCCATTGAGCGCCCGTGTTACCCCTGTTGATGGTTCCACAGGCTCCAATGATGACGAGGATGGTGACCATAGCCAGATCACCGCAGATGTAGAGAGTGCGACGTCCAATACGAGGAATGAGAGCCCAGGCAATGAAGACTCCGACGGCACCGATGGCATATTGACCGAGAGACATGGAGAAGGAGTTCGACTCATCGAGACCAGCCTGTACGAAGAAGTATGTCGAGTTTCCGATGAGAGCGGCACCGCAGAATGCCTGAGTGAACCAGGTCATGCAAGCAATCTCAGTGCGGCGAAGATCGGTTCCGCGGAAACAATCAATGTAAGAGGTACCCTCGGAGACAGCCTTCTCGAGCTCGTTGGTGTGGCGCATCATAGCAATGGTCTCGTTCGCGTTGAAGTCAGGGTGCTTATCGGCGGATGTAAGGCGGTTGAGCATGAATTTGGCAGCCTCGTCGCGGCCCTTACGAACCAACCACCAAGGTGACTCAGGAGCGAAGTAGATACCGATGAAGATGGGGGTGGGCCAAAGCCACTGCAGAGCGTAGGGGATGCGGTAGGCCCACTCATCGGGACGAAGCGCAACGCCCTTGAGGACACCGGAAGCGAGGAACTGGCCAATGACCCAGCAGAGGTTGACGTAGGTGGTGAGGATGGGACGCAGGGGAACGGGAGTAACCTCGGCGGCATATGTGCAAGTAAGGGTCTGGAACACCCCCCATGGAACACCGCAGCAGATGAGACCGACGAGGAGCATCTCGACATTCTGGGCGAAAAAGACGATGAAGATGAAAAGGTTGACGGCGAAGAGAGCGCCCATCATTGTCTTCCTGTACCCGAAGCGATCCGCGATGTAACCGTTGAGGAGAAGACCAAAGAACTCACCAACGAAGGCACCGTTGGTGAGGCCGGATTGCCATGCTGCGGTGATTTCCCAAGATCCATCGGGGAGCTGGGAACCATAACGCTGCTTGAAAGCGGGAGCGGCAAACAAAGATCCGATGAGGACCTTGTCAAACCCCTCCATGATAATGGCGGTGGAGAGCAAGGCAGACCAAGCAACGGCCTTAGGGTAGAGGCGGATACCCTCGCGCAGAGACATCTTCTGTTCCATCTCTGTGGCCTTGCTGGCATCGTAGGCGACCTGCCTGTGGTCAGGCATGGCGACAGATAGCTTGCGCTGCTGGTCGATGTCGACAGCGACGACGCTGCTGTTGCGACGAGACATGGTGGCGATAGTGTAACGGAGTCGGTTCGAAGGCTGTACAAGAAAGAAGAAGAGAGACTTCAAGTCAACTAAGACCTCCTGTGTCAAAGCTCGACCTGGAACTGTGGAGTTGGATCCTGAGCTTGTCGATGATCCTCTCTGTCGGGTGGTCTTGAGGGCGTCTTATACAGTTGCTCCAGGTTCAGCGCGTGAGTCTCATGCCATGCCCATGCTCTCGCCAAGTGTGTGAATACCAATGGTGTGGTGAAGAGAATGACGCGGGGAGACAGGCGAGGACTGGAGGCGTCGAAGCCACGCCTGCTGCAATTCTGCACAACCTGATCTCCATCTGGGGATAGCCTGCTTCTAGTCTGGGGGAGAGGCGCCGACGGTCCAGCCCAGCAGAGAAGGGTCAGCGTGAAGCCGGGGTTCTGATTTGTCTGAAACCGGCCCGACTTGCCTTATACGGTCGCACGAATCGCAATCTGAGATCACGTGGGCTGCAAGATGTTAGCTCATCTACTAGCCGCCACCCCGGTTCCCAGCTCGCCGGTCTTCTAGGCTAGAAAACGGGCAATGCAAGGAATTTAATTCGCACGTTGTCGGCACGCTGATCTCGAGGCGTTCGTGTCACTGGTCGTGCCTTCCCCGCCCCCAGCCCAAGCCTCCAAGGCTTCCTTGCCTCGCTTAATTTCCCCCAGCTCGTCACCCCATGGGAAAGGATAGTATTTCGTAAAACGACACTCAACGGCATCAACCCTTCTCAATTTGAACCCCAAAACGACGGCCCGAGCTCTAGCCAATTACAATCCTTCCGAGAATCATCCCGTGCCTCACGTGCAGAGCCTCAGTAACAGAATGGATCATCAACTACAAGTGAGTATCAATCTAAACCTCCCAGTCTACTCCACTTCACGCCCCGCTGAAATTGGTTCAATGATATAAGAACTGGTGTTGCAAGCCACTTGTATATCGAAAGAAAAGCCTTGAATCGTTTGACTTTGTCCGTATATATTCAAGTTTCGATTGAACCTTTGCTTCTGCTCTTGCAGTACTTGCACTTCTTGTATTCTATCTTTTGATCACATATCTGACATGAACGTCACACAGAGACCTTGGTGGAAGGATGGCATCGTCTACCAGATCTACCCCGCCTCCTTCAAGGACTCCAACGGCGATGGTGTAGGTGATTTCCAGGGCATCATATCTGAGCTGGACTATATCCGCTCGATTGGTGTCAATACAATCTGGATCTGTCCCATGTACGACAGCCCACAAGTTGATATGGGATATGACATCCGCAACTACGAAGATGTATACGCGCCGTACGGCACGCTTGATGACATGCAGAGGTTGATCGATGAGACACATGCTCGTGGTATGCGCATCATCCTCGACCTCGTCGTCAACCACACTTCCAATGAGGTATGTCTCATATTCGCTGTAGTGAAAGAGTGAACGACTGACATACTACAGCACGAATGGTTCCTCGAATCTCGCTCGTCGAAAGACAACCCTAAGCGTGACTGGTACATCTGGCGCCCAGCCCGCTATGTGAACGGAGAACGCAAGGCCCCTAACAACTGGGTCTCGAATTTTACAGGCAGCGTCTGGGAGTGGGACGAGCACACGCAGGAGTACTACCTGCACCTGTTCTGCCCCGAGCAACCTGATCTCAACTGGGAAAATGAAGAGACCCGCAAAGCCATCTACAAGTCCGCGATGGAGTTTTGGCTCGACCGCGGTGTCGACGGCTTCCGCGTCGATACAGTCAACATGTACAGCAAGGGCGAAATGCTCGATGCCCCCGTCACAGACCCCGGCTCCGAGTGGCAGTTCGCAGGCTACGAGTACTGCAATGGCCCGCGTATGCGCGAGTTTCTCGGCGAGATGAATGAGGTCCTCGGAAAATACGACGCCATGACCGTCGGCGAGTGCCCCAACACCAAGGACATGGCCCGTGTGCTGGAGTACGTCTCGGCCAAGGAGAAGCAACTAAATATGGTTTTCCAGTTCGACGTCGTCGACGTCGGCCAGGGACCCTACAAATTCCAGACTACGCCGCGCAACTGGATTCTCCCACAGTTCAAAGAGGCCATTGCGCGAACGCAAGATTTGATCCGCGGAAACGACGGCTGGACAACGGTCTTCCTCGAGAATCACGACCAATCGCGATCTATCACACGCTTCACCTCCGACGCGCCCGAGGACCGTGTCGCTGGCGGCAAGATGCTGAGTTTGATGATGTGCGCTCTGTCGGGCACATTGTTCATCTACCAAGGCCAGGAGCTGGGCATGACCAACTTCCCCAAGACATGGAGTATGGACGAGTACAAAGACATCGACAGCTCAAACTACTACAAGATGGTCGCTCGCCGCACCAACAACGACCCAGCGGCGCTGGAAGCTGCGCATACATCCCTCCAGCATCTCGCCCGCGACCACTCACGGGTTCCGATGAGCTGGAGCAACGGGCCGACGAATGGCTTCTCGCCCCCGGACGCGACGGAGAGGCCGTGGATGCGACCGCTGGAGGACGCGGATGTGTGCAATGCGAAGCAGCAGCAGGGTGACAAGAACTCAGTGCTGGCGTACTGGAAGCGCATGCTAGGTGTGCGCAAACAGTACAGCGATTTGCTTGTGCACGGCGAGTACGATGATCTGGATATTGAGAACCGCGATTTCTTTGCCTTCACGAAGAAGTGGAAGGGCAAGAAGGCGTTCGTCATCTGCAACTTTACAGATAAGACGCAGAAGCTCTATGTGCCTAAGCAAGTCGACAACGTCAAGAGGGACTTGCTTGTCAGCAGCGTTAATGAGCCAGTGGAGGATGAGTTAGCTGCCTGGGAGGGCAGGATTTACTTGCTTGCGAACTAGGGGTTTGTGGATTCGGAGTATGGGTTCGCTTGGATATAGGATCCTTCATCTGGGGTATACATACGACAGTCATGGCAGAGCCAATTTGGAAAATTATCTGACACCCTCTACGACGTGCTGAAATGTGCCATAGACAGCCTCCTCGAGATGTGATTCCACGTAGCGAGCTGACCAACTCTAGTCTCTCTCGGGATCCCCACACCCCCAGTCTGCACTTGTCCCAAAGCTTGTCCGTCTGCCATCTCCTCGAGGCCCGCTGCCGTTTTAGACTGCGCTACTTGGTACCAGGGATCATTTGCGCAGGGGCTCTGCAGATCCAGCGGCAAATTTGGCGAGCTTGCGTTGCTGACCGCCTCAGGGAACATAATCTGCAGGCGCTCGAGCTTCTCGAGCAGAATACCCCTGCGCGTGGCATCCAACTGGGGCAGCAGCAGCACGAAATCGAGGATGAAGAGGAAGTCGTCGATGCGGAGAGATGTCTCTTCCAGCGTGGCAGCAGGGATGTGGATCAGCACATCGGCGATGGTGTCGGTGATCTCAAACAGCTTCTGCGTGATGGAGCTCCCATGCACTTCGATGTCCTGGCGGGACATGCTGGACAGCTGGTGGCGCAAGGACTGCGATAATCGGACAGGAAAGAGGAGCGACAAGCACTCCTTTGACGATCGCGACGAAAGCAGCGTTTGGCCCATGGCGAGCCGCCAGACTAGTGTGCGGAGCCATTCACGTGTGATGGTTAGGTCTGCGCGCTGCATCATGGAAAGATTTGCTAGCTCGAGCGCATCGGCTTCCGGGTCACCCTCGAGTTCGCGCGACTTGGCCTCGACCCAGGTACTAGTGACAGGACCGGTTTGGCCAGCCGCACCGAGCCAGCTGCTAAGAAACTCCGAGTCGAGTAGCCGGAAGAGTTTGATGATCTGATTGAACCCCTCATGAACCTGCGCGGGAATAGTGGGGTCGTCTTCGGGCAGAGTATAGAGTGGCAACATGATGGCCTGGCGGTAGTCCAGAATGGCCAGGAAGCGCTCGTGGATGTAAGCTTGCCAGTAAAGTCGCTGACGTCTTGATCTCTCAGGTGCTGACAAGTTTGCGACGTGCTCCGGATTGTCGATGCGGAGCAGCTGGATAGCGCTGATCGCATCCCTCATCCAGTGGAATGCTGCATCGCTGCCTTGTAAGCTCATAAGGCAGTTGTGTATGAAGATTGACTGCATAGCTCGCATTACTGATGAGCGATGGAGCTTGTGTGGTGGTTTCATCATGTCGATGGACAGGTCCATGAGGTTTTCGATCGTCTGCACCACTTCGTCTGTTCTTCGGTCTCCGTACCGCGTCAGATTGAGGGTACAGCCACCGAATGAATATATGAACGATCGCATCTCCTGATCATAAGTCATTGAGTTGATGTAGTTCCGTAACTCGTGCTCGGTAATCACCGGCTGCACAGGATAGACGCCTTCCATGTAGTCTGGTATGAGGTCCAAGAAGAAGGCTTTGCTATACTGTGGTGCGATGGGAGATTCGGGAGATGCTGGTCAGAATGAATACAAGCCTATCCTACTATACAACTCTGAACTGACAGGAAACGTACCTGAGTCGAATCCGTTGCGGCCGATAGCATAGGTAAAACCGTCGTATGGCTGAATATGCTGTCCATTTGCCGGCAGTATCGCTGGCGGTGAGATTGCATTTGAGTTGTTCATTTGGTTCCTGAACTCAGAGATGATATGTCCTCTCTTGCCCTGACTTCTGGGCTTGCCAGTGGCCGAGTACACGCATCTCAGGCCGAGGTGACTGCATTGTTGACATCGCTCCTGGCCGTTGCACTTCACCTTCCGCCGCTTGCACGCATCGCACGCCTTGGAGACTCTTTTCTGAGTTGATGAATCCATGGTAGCGGATCATGGTGTGCAGGAAAATGCTCTTGTTAAGATCTCTATGGGGTGCGTGTGACGAGGTGCGGGAAGGTCAGCTTGTGGAGTGCGGAGAAACCGGAGGGCTAGTGCTCTTTCAGCCTACCCTCATCCCTCCTGATTCGCTCGCAAGTCCTCACTTTATATTGACATCCAAGCAAGTGCAGGAGGAGCAGGTACTAGAATAATGCGTAGAAGCAGGGATGCATGTAACGATGGGCATGATGTTTGAACAGGCAATTCTAACGAACCCTGTCCATAATAAGCAGGTGCCGAGCATTGCGCCTTCCCGTTCACCACCACATGGTACACGCGTGAACGAGCGAAGCAAGGCAAATACCAGGTAACGGGTCATCAGCACAATCTCCACAAAATGCCATTGCACCTGAAACGACGCTGAAAGTCTGCACACCTTCAGCAGCCGCGTTTTGGCCGCGCACATGTGTAAGATGTTGCCGGTCAAGCTCGGCCGTGTGACTCGGAATCAGATGGAGAGGTTAGGACGCTAGGCGAGCAATTTCGCGTCATGATCTCGAAGTGTCGTAGCGTAGTGATCATCCCAAGATCAAGAGATCGCAGTGGTATGCTGACGCAGCGTGGATTTCAGTATTGTGGACATTTGCTGAACCACGGCGAACGTGTTGAAGAAGCAAGGTTGAAGATGTAGACTCGGTTGCGGAGGAAAACTGTACGCTTGGGAATGTGTGATTTTACAACGACCGCGTCGCTATGCTACGCTACGCTATGCTAAGATCAAAAGTAGACAAACCAGCCGTCGCTATGCAAATCGAGAACGGAGGGGCGAAAGCCAAAATGGTCCAAATCGAACTCAACAGTCGACCTCCCACCGAACCCTCAGTTATCGTACAGAATACCCTTCAGAATACTGCTGCCGGCGCCAGTAAGAGCATTGTCAAGCTCAATAGTGCCTACAGCACTTGCAACCCTACGATCCTCCACGACGACACCGGGAAACCCATTCGTCTTCCTGCCTCTTCTGCTTGGCGTACCAGCGTCAGCCACAAGCGAACCAGCCTTGCCCTCAACGGCCGAGACGAGCGAAAGCGTCTCTAGGCTACCGACAATATCGCGGAACTCGGTGCTAGTGAGGGGGTGAAGAACATTCTCGCGTCTGCAGAGTAACGTGTAGGCTCCGAACAGCTCTTTTATGGTTGGAGCGGTGTTGTGTAGTCTTGATGGTGTACTCAGGACGCTGTCACCGGCTGAAGCGCGCTTCTTCCGCTCCATGGCCGACAAAGAGCAGAGGACAGCCTTCTGCTGGAGGTTGAGGTTCTGAAGGCGCTGTGTGGTACCATTGCTGAAGACTGCAGCGGTAATCTTGGCCATATGGGCGATGGTAGCCCGAGGGGCGGTCTCGGCGGTGAGCTGCGCCAAAGAGGCCACAAGCGCATGCTGCGCTGTTTGCTTGGACGGAGGCCTGACCGCCGCTGACGAGAGATTGATGTTCTCGATCAACGGCGTCTTCGAGGGAGACGGTGTTGGAGAAGGTGTGATTTCGGCAGCCTTTATGGCATGTTGGTTCCGTGTGTCGGCCTCGATCAGGTCGATTGCTCTCCGACATATATCCAAAGCTTTACGCAGATCGCCCGATTGTGCAGCGACCTTCTTGGACAAAAACATGATCGCGGTCGGATGGATGAAGGGCAGTTGATCTGCTCCAGCTGGTTGTAGTGCCTTCAACTTCGAGGTGATGACCGAGGAGATTTGTTGTGCGGTGTATGGAAGGAATGGAAGAAGGTGAGGCTTCAATCCACGTGCCTTTAGTCGAGGGAGAAAGCGGTCTGTGAAGTCGAGTGCGTTTGCGATACCTACGAGGACCAAGCCCGAGGACTTATGTAAAGACCACTCGAAGATGTTGTATAGGAGATCGATGTCCAGCTCGAGCAGGTGGTCGACTTCATCGAGCGTGACAATATAGGATATCTTGCGCTGCATGAACAGTCGCCTAAGCTTCTCCATCTCATCTCCTTCAGTGATCTCTGTGATGTCCATAAACTCTTCAAGCAGTACTCTGTACATATCCACGGCGTTCTTGACGCTCATGCAGTTGATGTAGCCCGTCTTGACAGATGCATCGGTCGCGACTGCTCGGCACACATTGTTGACGAAGGCGCTCTTGCCGGTACCTGGCGGGCCCGAAACGTAGATGCATCCAGACTTCTTGCTCTTTGCCCTTGTGGAGACGAAAGTTTGGAGCTCGGCGCGCTCGGTGTTGCGTCCGAACAGAACGGTGGGTGCAGATCCGCGTGCGAAGACTTGGCGCGCTTCGTTGTAGACTGTGAGTGCTGTGCTTCGAGGTGTGCCGGATGTATGCGGTGTGCGAGGCGTCAATGGTCGGCCAGCGATGATAAGGCGTCGCGAGGGGGTGACTGCGACCTTGCTTGAGAGTGCGTCGCGGTGCCGAGGAGTCGAGGGCGTGCACGAGATCCTCTCTGGGGTTCGAGCAGGCACTTTCGCAGGCGAATTCTCTTTCGCAGCTGACAGTGGCAGGCGCGATACAACAGTTTTGGCAGGTGTTGCGCGGGTTCTCCTTCCGCGTTTTGTGCACGGCTCCTCCTCAGCGTCCTCGCCCATCTCCACATCCGACTCATGCTCGATGTGCGCATTCTGCTTGTTCGGTGTGATAAAAGGGTTCTCGTTTTCTGCTTCATCGAGGATGACAAACGCCGTCTGCCGTGTCGCGCGCTTCGAGATGGGAGTGACGTCTGCTGAGCGTGTGAGCTTCGCGTTCTCTGCGAAGAGACGACAAGAGCGCCAATAGTACTTACCTGGCTTTGCTGTGCGGGCAGAGCTGCGAGTCCTCTTGCCGAGAACTGTGGAAGGCATTTTGAATGTGAGGAAGTTGCAATGCGCGGTGTGGGAAGGTGCTCCTGAGACTAGATGAGGAAGGAGCTGCGCGGCACGAACGCGAAACTCGAAGCCGCGACGCGTTGAGCGCTACCGATTGGGCTAGCGCGCCTTCCCGCCTCACGAACCGCGACTTGGCCTGCTCCACACCACCTTTAGCGGCTGCTGCCTTACACAAGCTTCACTGATAAGTAAATCTCCACTGCCGTAGGCTTCATCCGCCCTTAGCGGCGCGTTGATCAAACCGTGCACTCACGCCAGCAGGCAGATGTGAATTTGATATCCGAGCATCCATGCGACGGGCGATACAAAAGATTAGTTGCAGACTCACCTGCACAGCTACCGTCTTCTACGACGATGGCGTCTGAGCATGGACTGACAGCGATTAAAGTATGCCACCTCTGGACAAAGCTCATTCGCCAATTCTGGAGAACTACTGACAGCTTCCCAGCTCCCCGGATTTGGCGTGCCACACGATGACTGGGGACAAGGCCCTGAAAACTACGCCCTGTCCATCTCAGCTGTGATGAATTGGGCTCACGATGTCACCACGATACGAGAACGGTGCATGCTATCCTTCATCGACAGCATATCAGACAAGCCGGAATGGACACGCAAAGTACACGACGAAGAGATTGTCTCTAAATGGAGGCAGGAGACGAAGGAGCTTGACTGGGCTGGGGTCGTACAAGGTGGTGATTTTTCAGACGAGATGTTTGCATATGTGGGTCGAACACACCCCGACCGTGTCGCAAACTAATGACTCTTAGTGCATCGAGGAACTACGCTATAAAGCTGACATGTACGAAAAGACTGGCGTTATGCCCGTGTTTGACGCTTCGTCTTGTGTTCTCAAGTCCGATGTTGCCATTCCTCTTGATCTGAAAGAAGCATTACGCAAGGCAGCTGCACCGCTCGAGAACGTTCCTGAACCCCAGAAAGACTGGCACCCGGGATCGAACGGTACGGTACTTGACTTAGTGCACCCTTCGCTCTTTCCACTCGTGTACGGACGTTCGCGTATTTTACCGGATTCAACAATAACCGTCAACAACAGTCTCTCCAATATAGGCAAAGATGTCGTGCTGCCATTCCTATAGGGTAAAACCGACGATTCAGGTCCGATTACAAGGACGCAGGGACATAATCACCCAGCCTTTACGCCGCTCTGGTCACATCGTTTCCAGTGGCTTCCATGCAACATCTCCTTTCCAGATGGACAGAACGCACGAATAGATTCGTACATTAACAATCTGCACCCTCAGGACCACAAAGACCTGTACCGTGTCATCGAGAGAATAGTCACCAAAGCTGTTCCCTTCTGGAATGTCGTGTACCAGAGCGTGCACAACCACGGAATGCTGGCAACTAGTCTCCGCATCAATTGCGATGAAGTCAGCTATAAATTCCCTGACGGCTACAATGAACAAGAGCCCGAGGGCTTTGACGAAAATGAGTCGGTTCTCTGGAAATACAACGAGAGCCAAAGAATCTACAATCTGCCAGAGCCCAAGAAGACGCCCGAACACGACATCACCATCTGCGACGTGGAAAAGAAATGGGACTTTCTCGATCTCGACGGCGAAAACACTGAGGGAAAGCCCATAGACAAGAAACTGCAGGTCATCGTTAAACTAGCCAACGTTCACTTGACCCCAGAGAAGCCAGATTACGAAGGCGGCGCCTGGCACATCGAAAGCCAGCTGAACGAACACATCGTTGCGACCGCGCTATACTACTACGACAACGACAATGTCACCGATTCGAGACTGCATTTCCGAACTAAGGTCGAAGCAAATCACTTTACCGACGACATTGAGTACGAGCAGAGCGACGATATTGGCTTCAGAACAATTTGGGGCATCGACAATGACGGGCAGGGTGAACAAGTACTCGGCAGTGTGTTGACGCGTGAAGACCGCTTAATTGCGTTCCCGAACGGATTTCAGCACCGTCTTGGGAACTTCAAGCTCGTCGATCCTACGAAGCCGGGGCATCGAAAGATTCTGGCGCTGTTCTTGGTTGCGCCCACGATCCCGATCATCTCAACAGCGAATATCCCACCACAGCAGCGCGATTGGTGGGTACGAGAAGTCAAGCTGAACGAGAGTCGCGTTGGTCAGCTGCCTGCGGAGCTGGTCGACATGATCGCCGAAGCTGTGGAAGATTTTCCTATTGGCTTGGATGACGCGAAGGCTATTCGTGAGGAGCTCATGGCTGAGCGGGGGAGGATGAATGAGGCTATCGAATTTGAGATGTTCAAGGATGAAAGGTTCAGCTTTTGTGAACACTGAGTCTTTATAGACCCGTACTATCTTTCGAGCGCTAGGTCGCCTGCTTCAAGCAAGACACTTTGGCTCGAACATGCTGTTGTTGGCAAGAGAGGCTTCGAGATTTGCAGTCATTCCACCCAGAAAAGAGGGATTCTGGTTGGCGAAAGTCTGATAAAGCCTTGTTGGAGCTGCCCGCACGTTACTAGCAAGTTTAAACAAGGTCTCTCGTTTGGGTAGCGCTCAAAAGAAACGAGCTTGTTCATAGTCCGGCCCCCTGGGCACGTCACACACACATGGCACTTTCCCATCCGGCACGAAAGCAGGGTGGATGTTCTCGCAAGGTTGTCTTCCAAAATCGTCGAGGGCAAGCTTTGATAGGTACGTCTTTCCGTGCTCAAAGCTTCGACTGGTCACCAACCTTCGCAACACATTCGATCTCAACATCAGTCCCTAGAGGTAATGCTTTGACAAAGACACATGTTCTCGCCTACCAACGTTAGCCCTGATGCCGAAAGAAATCCATCACCCAACATACCGGCTTGGGGTCCTTGAAGAACGACTCGTAGACCTCATTCATCGGCGTGAAATCGCTCCGCTCGACCAAGAAGATGTTGACTTTGTTCACCAAGTCAAGACTTGAACCTGCGCTTTCAAGTACTGCAGACAAATTCTTGAGGATTTGGCGCTGTGCGAGTTAGCATATCTCGCCCCGTGTGGAGTGTAGGCGGCGTACTGTTCGATCCTGCACTGTGCCTGATAACAGCGCGCCGATAGATGGGTCAACGCCTATCTGACCCGAGCAAAATACGAGATTGCCGTCGCGGATGGCTTGTGACAGGAACGATGGCGGCGAAGGAGCCTTCGAGGAGAGGATGGCAGTTCTCGTGTCGGACATGTTTGGCGGTAGAACTGGTCTTGTTTGCTACAGCTTAGACAACGTTCGATTATGCAGTAGTTGAATGTTCCAGTTTTTAGACAATTTTCACGCTGTCTTTTGTTCAATGCTTGCTAATCAGCTGTGGCAGAATGTTAGATACGGATGTTGATACCCCGCACGCCCTGCGCCTTACGCTACTGGTAGTGCGATAACATTCCGAACTCGGAGGGAACGTTCAGTGTCAAGAGGCAAGTCCAGTGCAATACTATCACAGAGTTTGTTGTATAACGAAACAGCAAAACATTGATCATGGTCGAGAAGTTCGAAAAGAAGCATGTTCCTGCATCAGAGCCTTTACTTCTTAGCATCGATGATCTGAGAGACGCCGCTTCCGCCAGACTCCCAGCTGGTGTTCGAGGTTCGTCGGATCCTTCCTGCACCCTTGCACTACTCAGCATGCGTGCCGTCGCAGGATCTACCGAAGGGTTCCACAAAGGGAGAAGGAAGAATGTAACTGACAAATACAGACTTCTACAACTCAGGCTCCACAGACCAGATCACCCTTGCGGACAACTCCGGGGCCTACAGAAAGTATAAGCTGCGTCCTCGGGTCCTCAGAGATGTCTCAAAGGTAGACACAAGTGTGGAGGTCCTTGGCAAGAGGATCGACTTCCCACTATGCGTCTCACCAGCTGGGATCCAGGCCATGGCTCATCCGGACGGCGAGCTAGCCACGAGCCGAGCTTGCGCAAAAAGGAACGTTCACATGGGGGTATCTTCCTTTGCAAATTACTCCGTTGAGCAGATATGTGACGCGTCTCAGGCCATCACCGCCATCGGCCATACCATCCAGGTGTACTCGATGAAAGACCGAGCGAAGCAAGAGCGCATCATCAAACGAGCAGAGAGCGCCGGCTGTGTCGCCATCTTCCTCACAGCCGATAGCCCGGTACTTGGCGTCAGATACAACGAGCATCACAACGACTTCCGGACTCCGGAGGGTCTGTCTTTTCCTATGCTAGAGAGAACGTCCGAGATGATTCGCGCTGATACGCACGATGCCGGGTTTGTGGGATTCAACAGTGACTACCACTCCTGGGCAAAAGAGATCCCGTGGCTCAGAAGTATCACCAATATGCAGATTTGGGTCAAGGGTGTTTTGACTGCGGAAGATGTGCTTCTAGCTCGCGAGTATGGCTGCGATGGAGTCATTGTTAGTAATCACGGCGGGAGGCAATTGGATGGCACGCCGGCGACTATCGATGCGTTACCAGAGTGTGTCGAGGCTGCCGCTGGTCAGATACGCATCCATATCGATGGAGGGATCAGATCAGGCCAAGACATATTCAAAGCACTGGCGCTTGGCGCAGAGTGCTGCTGGGTTGGACGGCCAGCTATCTGGGGTCTAGCGGTATGTTGTGATATCTCAGACATTACGAAGATCACTGACACGGCTTTGCAGTATGATGGCGAAGCTGGCGTATGTAAGATGCTTAACATTCTGTACACCGACTTTCGTCGTTGCATGCAATTGACGGGATGCAATTCGATTGCTGACATTAGCAAGTCGGCACTAGGCATTGCAAGGAAAGACGGCCCGCTGGCCCGTTTGTGAGACGGACTGCTTGTAACCATGGCTACCTCCAATGATATTGCTGCACAACCCGAGGCGATTCTCAATGTTACCAGTATCCTTCATCATGTCCGATGCTTTCCAGAATTACCTTCAAAGCTCGAAGACCCACCGCAATCACCCTTCCACGAACTCCTTCAAGCCGCATACGAATTTGTGACTCACCAGTCAAGGAAGTAGTCGATTCCGTCACTGAAGGCAGCACCGCCCACCGTTATATGATAGCTGTTTGGGAATACGCTGAGCTCAACATCCCTCAGTAATGGACTACCAGCGAGCTGTGAATAAAGTGTATCCGTGAGATTGGTCATCCTCTGCGGTACAAGAATGCTCTTCCTGAACTCAAACTCTTCATCTGTCTCCCTCCGTCTCTGTTTCGGGTATTGCTCGAGCCCGCCACGGCTGAGCTGCAACGCCGGCTTGGTACCGTTGCTCACGGATGTAGCGTTAGCTTTGAGCAGCGCGAGGAAGTCGGTGTGATTGAAGACGTAATCGCCGTTCCAGTACAGCGCAGGCGAAGCGGAGAGAAACGTGTCGAAGAGATCAGGTCGCACGGTCAGGGTATACAGAACGAACAAGCCGGCGAATGAATGACCGAACAGCGCGTCTCTGTCAAATATAGCGGCTTTGGAAACCTCTGTCTGTACCCATGGGTGCAGCGTAGTGTCGATGAAAGAGATTAGGTCGTCGGCATTGGATGGGACACCGGGGATCGTGGGAACTTGACAGGTAGAGCAGACTGGCGGCTGCATGTCGCTGTAGCGTTATGCACTGTAGGGCGAGTCTTCGATTGTCTCAGGATCGCCAATCGGTACGGTGATGATGTCTGGTTGGTTGAACTCTACTGGCCGGTGACCGCGGACCGCTTCGGTTGCTGGGAGGCCCTGGGCGTTGCCATCGAGGATATAACTTAGTAAATTAGCTTACCAATGCTTTAACAGAACACTGCCTTAGGTGGTGGGCAAATATGGCATATCATACATAGTCTCGACCGTGGAATTCTCAAGAGGAGTAGTCCAGTTCAACGGCCATGACAGCTGGATCTGGTACTCCCATGTTCCATTGCTCACACTCCAGAACCCAATGTTCGGAAGTACAGTCGCAGGGAAGGCCATTGCTAGAGGACCAAATGTCCATGCGCCGATCGAAGTGCTCATGCTAAGTGAAGATTGATGATCGCCTTCGGAAACAGCTCTCTCTGTTGATAAAAAAGGGCCTGTCACAAGCGACAGACATGTGAAGTCGCCAGGAAGATACGGAGGTCAAAGGTGGGGTAATATTTTTTTCCCGTGTTTGACATGAGTTGGATAGTGATCTTTGGCTGTTCCCATTGGTTAGAGGCCATGCAGCGATCCCAAAAAGGCTTGTACTTCGTAGTTACAGTAACTACCGGTAACACGTCAAAAGTTCGTTCGCACCTACATAGCGCGTCATTCCCGCGAACACCAATTCACCCATACTACTCTTACCTACCTACCCCCCCCCCCCCCTATGCCATCCCGAGTGCAATTACCGGATGATACTATGGAGCCGGCCTACCGGGACAAATGAGTCGTGTCTCAGCACTCGCGACCATGCGCTAAGTGCTGGCTCAAAGATGTTGATTGGGATCAGATATTGCGCGTGCAGGTGGTGTATCAGCTATTAGTGTTGTTGTGCTACATATTGTACAGCGAGTCAAGCTCTCTCTAGAAAGCTCCGCGTCCAGGAAGAGGATCGTTCTTCGGAGGGCAAGCCTTGTCATACGTAGTTGCCTCGAAGAATGTCGGCTTTGGGCTGTTGTTGTAGGCAAGTCCAACAAGAGTTTTGCCTGGACAGATGTTAGCATCATTGTCGAAACGATAAGAGTAGATCTTACCAGTCTCCTCGTAAGCAGGCCATCCGTACTGTGTCAGGCCCTTCTTTGGATTCTGGGCAAATGCCGCGTACGCTCCCTGAACGTACTTGATGGTAGCGTCCTGCGCAGCAGTATTAGCGAGACCTGAGTTGTCTGTCGCAGTTCCGAAAATAATGTTCAGGTCGACTCCGTGGTAAGTAGCGCTACCTCTGGGACTCAGACCAGCAGTTGAGTTGTACAGGCGGAGGTTCTCAAAGTCGCCGAAGTAGCGATAACGCCAGGTGGGCACGCCATATTGGATCCTGTACTTGGTCGAAAGTGCAACCGGGCAGGTAAAGCCGCGTTCAGTGAAGAGATCCCACTGAGCATTGGTGAAGTTCAGCTTAGCAGCCCAGCCTGAGATTCGGTACCATCCGTCTTCCTGGTCAGCATTGCCAGTCAAGAGAGGAATCTTAGCGAAGTTCCCGGATCCGGCCAAGGCTTGGTAGTCTGCGAAGACGGTGATGTTGTCTACAGTTGGGTGGAAAGTTGCCTGAGCCAGCGCCTGAGTAGGAAGCGCGGGAACCTTCGCAGCAGCGGCCAGAAGAACCGAGGTATCCTTGGTTCGAACACATGATAGTACAGTGGCGGCATCATCCTTAGGTCCGCCACAGCCAACTGTTTGCGAGACGTTGTACCACAGGGTCCCAGCATAATCAGGTGTGTTGGGCAAGAAACTGAGTGAAGTTCCAGACATGGGAATGAGTCCAGCGACGATTGGATCTTTCTTCCAGGCGAATGACCAGTAGTCTACACTGGCACCTCCAGCACTCTGGCCGAAAATGACAATGCGTGATGGGTCACCACCGAATGCCGCAATGTTGTCGCGCACCCACTCGACAGCAGCGCGGTGATCTTTGAGCGCAGCATTTGCCTCTACACCGGGAGCGCCTGAAAAGCCAAACATACCAAGGCGGTAGCTGTTCTTTGTCAGCCAAGCTTCATGCTGGAATATCTCTGGGTGTATACTTGGGCGTGACCACAACTACATCCTGACTATCAGCCAAATACTGACCGCTGTACAGTGGGCTGTGCGGACCGGGAATCTGGAAACCTTTACAATGCATCAGGAATCATTGTTGTCTTATACTCGCAACGAGATACTTACGTCCCCCGTGGAGGAACACCAAGACTGGCTTCTTTGCTTTGGTGTTGCCTGCGTTCTTGGTCCAAATGTTGAGCTTCAGGCAATCTTCAGATACAGGGTTGCTATTCTGAGCTGCGAAATTCTTCCACACACGCAAACCAGAAGGCTGCGTGAAGTTGGGGAATGCGCTGACTGGTGGCTTGTTTGACGGACAATCGCTGTTTCAGTATCAACATGAAATACACTAAATTGTCTGGAAGTACATACGCTGACTAGTTTCGTTAGCACAGGCCATAGATCGAGTAGAAAAGCAGTTACACACCCACTCCGAGGCCTCAAAGATAAGGTCTTGAGGCGCCACGTATCTCTTAGGGGCTGCGAATCTCAGCTCGCCGACTGGCGCTTCGGCATATCGGATGCCCAGGAACTCTGTGACGCTGGTCTTGTTCGATACTCCATGGCCGATGATTGTTCCGCCGGTGCTCGTTTGCACCTTTGGTTGCACTTGATCTGCAACGGCCGCCGAACCGAGCAACGTAGCTACGGCAGCGACGGTCAGAATAAGAAGCTGCATCTTGTCAGGTTGAATCGGCAGTGCTGAACTCGACCAACCCACGGCAGCGGGAGTACTGCACTCTTGAAGGGACGGCCCACGAGCGATCTAGCGGCAACCAATACGCTTTTTGGGAGACAGCGGGTGGGACTGGGATGCTACTCGCCACTTAGCGGTGACCGTGTTGCGGCAGCCATTCCGGAGTGCGGTAGAAGCTAGCGGGTGGTGGCGTTTCTCCCGAACCGCAGATGCTGTTGTCTGCTACAACAGCCAGTTCACGGTCAAATCACCAACCCTAACACGCCAGCCTCGCTGTCATCTCAGCTCCGTAAAGGCACGTGAGCCTCGGAAATATCGGACGCTGTGTTTCCAAGGCGGAGAGAAGGTTTATCTCGCTTCCCGTCAAGACGGGTCGACCGTTTCTTGATTCGCCTGTGCGGTGCGGAGACTTTTCCGAAATTGCTCCTTCCCACCATGATCGCAAGCTTTCCGTTTCCTCCGCTTGACAGCGACTGTTCCTGAACGCTCGAGTCCAGGACATGCACCGTTGAACCGGAGCATTTGTATTCAGCCTCGGCTTGAATGACACCCGATTTTGTAAGGGTTATCGCAGAGTTTCAGTCGCCCAATTCGAGGCTCATCCTGATCGACAGGACTAGGTACATAATGTTACAATGTAGTCTTCATCTCGGTGGCTATGCCGCAATGCGCCTGAACACGGGCTGTCGACCAGCGCGCTGCCGTGCTGCCGCATCCACGGCCACATTCCGGGAATAGTACGGAGGGGAAATCTCATACACATTTGCTTATTCGCTACGCGACTATCGTGGTCCGATATACCATGTTATGTTGCTTTCGCTTCGACTCTTACCAGCAATTGATCTGCTCCCGACCTTGCTCGTGCAAGACTAGGAGATAGTGTCCTTCGATCTTATATGAGAGAGAATGCCCATGATGCTTATGGATTCTCTGATGTCGCCCATGTCTCCTTTGGACTTGACATTTATGATACTGCCGGTACCCCACAACATCAACATCGAAGTTCGACTGGGCCTCAGCGATGACGACGATTGTAGGTCTTGGTACTGAGGGGCCTGTACAGCGAGGATGGGGCTTGTGGCTTACTTCAGTGCTCGCAGTTGCGATTGCTGCGGTCTTTGTAGGCGCGCGATTATTACAGAGGCTCGTCAAAAGAAGCGGCTTGGGGACGGATGACTACATGATCATCGCAGCATTGATCTTCTCGGGTCTGCTTTCTTTGACAGAATGCCAAGGTAGGTTCAGTTCAGCGACAAGGTATTTCTCAATTCTGACGCTTTTCTCAGCTGTTGTGTATGGTTATGGTCGACGTTGGAGGACGCTTGAGGCCGACACGCGCATGATCGCCCGGAAGTGGTTCTATGGTGCCAATATCGTGTACAAGGTCGTTCTGATGTTCAACAAGATCTCGATCGCCTCTCTGTACTACAGGATCTTTGCGGTGTCCAGCAATTCGTTCCGCGTCGCCTGCCATGTCATGAACGCCTGGATCGTGGCTTCTAGCCTCGCCTTCATCATTGCGACCATTTTCCAGTGTACGCCGATTTCTGCTTTTTGGGACAGAAGCATTCCGGGCTTTCGATGCTTCAAGAATGAGCTTTGGTGGATATCCTATGCCACTATACAGATCTCCACCGACTTCGCTTTGCTTTTACTACCTATACCGAAGATTGTAAAACTCTCTATGGGCCGTGCGGAGAAGCTCGGTATTTGTTTGATCTTTGGTACGGGTGCTTTGTAAGTATAGTCTAGGTAATTCTAGATGGCATATTTAACGGGAGGCAGCGTCACATTCGCATCCATCTATCGCGCAACTACAATTGCAGCATCTGCAAGCGATCCTGATCCCACCTGGGGACCTATTCCAGCCACAATCTGGTCAGTGATCGAGGCCAACGCGGGGATTGTTTGTGCTTGCCTGCCTATGCTCCGAGGTCCTTTCGTCGGACTGTTCGGTCCCTTCTTTGGTCGCTCACGGAAAGCAACAACAAAACCCAATAGATCTTACCACCTCACATGGCGAAGCGACAAGCCGCATGAATCTGCTGATGTCTCTAATCGTATACGGGGTGCCGACGATGCCATGATAGACGCTGAACGCGACAGCGAGGAGGGCTTCGTGACTATCAAGGCTGGAGCTACCATGCAGGCGAAGGAGTGCAGAGTAATCACGCGTGGGCGTAGTCCCAGCGGCATCCTCGTCAGATCAGAGTTCAGCGTAGACGACAATCTCGTCAAAACGACCAGCAACGGTGACAGGAGCACTGTCGCAAGCGTCAGCGAGGATAAGTCGCACGGCAAAGCACCGTACTCCCATATCTGACGCTTCAAGCATGACTGGGACGACACAACGTTACTGCTTTCACGAAAGCGACTACTTTCTAGGCCTCTCCCTTAGTTGATTGGCATGTTTTGTTTGTTTTCAGATACCCCTTCCGCTGAATCGATTCTGTTGGCTCATGCCATTCGATGACAACAAAAGCCGTTCTGCCTTTGGCCACAACCGAACACACTCACGGTCCCCAACGCCATAGAGGCCGGCTTGCGGCTGTTCACCGTCTATGATCGCCGGTCCGGCTCCTCAACCTAATGCACGATGTCTGTTGCATGCCCTTGGTAAATATTGGCGCTCCGGTGACAAAGTTGCAGTGAGATTCTCTGCTTCGAGGCTGCGAATCCTCTCGCAGCCTCCTGCCGACAGCCGGCAGCAAAGCATGCGTGACCAACCTGATTTACACGTGTTGCGCCACAGCATATGGCGGTGACGATCGACTCCGCACGCGGAACTAGGGCAGTGAAGCTTGTTTGGTGTTATAACACTAAGATCACGAATTGAAGCGCTGGTAAAAAGCCTTTCAGCAGTGATTGATCGGCTGCCCCGCACCTTCGCTTCTTGGGTGCAGCTTCTGCGCCACACTCAACGCAGCCATTGATCAAGCTTGGATCAGCTCCTCAGACGTCATGCGCACAGAAATTCGACAGATACTGCTTTAGCTTCGCGGGGAGCTATTTTCTGTTTATCTTTGAATCAATTCTCCTTCTTTCTCTGCGATCGTTCGAAGTTTATCACCACTAGCTGCAAAGCTGTAGCACCTCGCCCCACAATGAGCTCCAAAGCGACCACCGATAGGATCGAGGGCGATGCGCCTGGGCCGACAAAAGCGCAGATCTTAGACAAAGTATTCTCGCTTGCAACGCAGTTCAGTACTTGTGTCGAGGCCTTCAATCTCATCCATCCTTCAAAGGAGAGCGACCATGCGCAGAGGGTCGCGCTAGCAAAATTAGGTGTGCAGCAGAGCAGACTGCTCATCTTTGGCGATGCAGTCGGGATCTCAGCCCCACCTGCGACCATCGCCAGGCACATGATCCCAAGCCAGCCAGGAATCACGAACCCGGACCCACATCTTCCCGTAAACTTCGGCGTGAGAGATGATCGTCTAGACAACGACACCATTCATGAAAAGATCCGGAAAGCCTTGAACGAGATCGCTGGTCGCCCGGGCCACCTGTCAAGAGACGAGTTGATGGAGAGGTATGGCTTGAAAAGCCCTAAGCGATTCAACATGCTCGAGCATCCTGCATTGGACACGAACCGCATGGAGGCTTTCCGCGAGAAGTATGGATTGCTGCAAGACCTTGTCAGACAAAGCGGCGCTCGTGCAAATATCAAACGAAACATGAGCATAACCACAACCCATTGGACAGTCAAAGACACCGCCAAGTTCGGTGAGTTTGTCAAGGCTGTTCGTGCCGAAGTGGACGGGTTGATAGATCTGCTAGGCGTCAATGAGCAGGTTGATCGTGGAATGAAGAGCGACATCCGATCAATGGCATGGCATCCGGAACTTTCGGGCCCTATCATACAACAGGACTGGGAGAAGCTGCGCCTCATCCGTGAGGCTTGTGAGGCCAACTACCCACAGTACATCGAAGTTGCTGACAGGGCGCTACTGTACTTGACTGAGGAGCTCAGAGAGACGGTTATCGCAAATCGCCGGTCGTCTCTTGGGGCCTCCCCAATGGGCGGTGCAGCAGGTGCACGACGAAAGTCAGACTACGAGGTAAGAGCTCATCTAGAGGCAACCCAGACAACTCAAAAGAGAGGCTCGACTGGCCCGGAAGAGAAGACTGCTATTCAGTTGGCTGCGGAGGGTGTCTACGGTCCTCAAAGGCGCCCGAGTAACAGCAAGAAGAACAGCTACAACAGTCAGAAAGAGAAGCGACCCGGATGGCTCAGCGCGTTCAAGTTCAAGTCCTGGTCAAAGAGTCACAAGGCCGAGAAGGAGCAATCGAACAGCCTCCCGGAGGACCCGGTGCGCTCTCTATCTGTACCAGAGAACGAGATGCTGGACGTAGCTGCTAAGGACGGCTTCCACAGCCTTGAGCCCACACGATCCAAGAGTGTTGGCGAGATCCCAAGCGGACCAGCGGCACTGGATCTGGACTCGAGACTGCACAACCTGTCTATCAACGTAACGGGCAGCGTTGAGCGACAGGCCCCGAAGATATCAGTGGATAGCCCGAGTAGCGCGACATTCGACCAGAACGAGCTCGAGCAGATTAAAACTGTCAGTAGTGACGGCATGCAAGACTATGTTGTGCCTGCCACGACAGTGAACAGCCTGATCGATCGCCATGACATGTACAAGGGAATGGGTCGCATTGAGACGAAAGACATCAGGAACATTGCACATGTTCCCAGGGGCGGCTATGAGTGAGAGGACAATGAATTTATTGGAGTGATTGTGAAGTTCTGCGTACATACCAAATCGCTATGTTTTATCTTCCTGATTTCCACAGCATGTGAGATAACACCGAATATCACATAGATTGTCGAGAGTGAGGCAGCTGCACAAACTCGCCGGAGAAGTACCAGCCAATGGACCTCACTCCACGAGTCTTGGCGATTAATGTTGATTATGCGACCCCATCAGTGATCACCTTCCTAGATTCCTCTGCTCAGCTGCTCGAACTCTGTTATTTGTGATCGACTGCTGCACGTCATAAACACGTGGCTACCATGTGAATAGGCAGTCATTATCTTCGAGGGTTAAATGCTATAGGGCGTAAGGACGCACGGCAGATGGTTTTGCTACGGGACCGCCCGCGATCACACGGGATGGGCATGTGCTATCCGGGGTCGGCCATCGGTTTCATTGTGCTCAAAACAGACTGACATAATTGCCTACACACCTACTGAGATAGGTGACGAAACCCGGCACTTAGTACGGCAAGGCAGGTGCTTAAACACTAGCCCGTTCTTGCATTGCAGGCGAATGGCGTAATTATCACGCCAGTTATGCGGAGAATCGCTTGCATTGATTATTAGAAGAGGGGCAGGGGTTGAGGCTGCTCCTTCCTCTGCTAGGTTTTGATGGGGGTTCACGTCATACCGGTAGGTGCGTGAATCGCGTCTTCCACTCCCCCAACACCTCATGCTTTTTTGCCGTTCTCCTCGATAACCTCATACACAACTCGGCGCAGCAGTCAAACACAGCGATCTCTTCCATTTTGCATATATACATCAATGTCAAGTAGCATATCTGCTGCGCCTGGATTTTATCGGATGGAAAGTGGATCCTCCGATTTGCCGCCCACTCCATTTGGAAGCTCGTAGCGCCACACCAGCCCCAGCAAGCAACGACACGCTTGTACGAGCACTGCAGAAGGACCGATGCCGCTACGGAGCTGTTTCATTGCTCAATCCTCAAGGAAGGCGGCTGGTCGCTTCTCTAGGAATGCTGCGATTCCTTCGCGACAATCCACAAAAGAGAAACTCCCGTAATACGAGGCCCGCTCAATTGCCAATCCCGCCTCCAACGTGGTATTTTCGGCTTGTTTCCGTCAGCTGCAGATCCTTGGAGTAGATGCTCAACGCCTTGTTACCTGTCTTGACTGCATGTTTGGCAAGTCTTAGCGCAGGCGCCGAACGCGCCGCGATGAGCTGGGCAACACGGAGGGCTTCCTCAAGGACGTCTCCGTCAACGACTTTATTGACGACACCTCGCTGTTCCATCTCTCGAGCGGTGACAGGCAACCCAGTTAATATCATTTCAAGGGCCTAAAGACCGGTCAGTCTAAGCGCTCGGAAAGCAATGCAGGTTAGGACTTCAAAGGGATCACGTCGGAACCGATTCCGTACCTTCTGCTTTCCAACGGTCTTGCTCAAGCGCTGCGTGCCTCCCATGCCGGGTATTGTGCCTAAATTGATTTCCGGAAACCCGAATCTGGCATCCACTGCAGCGTAGATCATGTCGCACTATAGGTAGGTCACATCTCTGTCAGCTATTGCTCAGCAACGCTCGCCACGACGCTATCTTACGAGCAGTGCAAGTTCGAAGCCCCCGCCAAACTACCCATGGTTAGTAGCATATTTAAAGACGTCCTGTAGCGTGCTTACAGCAAAGCCTCGCACAGCTGCAATGATAGGCTTGCGGAAGCTGTCGACGGAATCGTTCAGATCCTTGAGCCACCCACGTTGGAAGGCTTGCGCTGTGGAGATGTGGGCCAATTCCGCAAGGTCTGCCCCAGCTGCAGGAACATGTTAGCAAGCACATTTCGATCCTGCGGATGACAAAGGTACCAGAGAAAGGCCCCTGCTCGCTGCCAGTAAGAATGACAACGCGAACCGATGCGTCCTTGTCCGTTTCGGAGAGTACCTCGATCAGTTCATCTATCAGCTCCTGCGATAATGCGTTGCGCTTCTCTGGTCGGTTTAGCTTCACTATGGCCACATTGCCCTCCCTGCTCAATACGATGAGCCCTGATTGTGTCATTGTGTCTGGCCGATGGGTTTAGATGATGTTGGATGCTATGAACGTTTCACAAGCTGAGGAACGCATCTATTTATCCTGTGCGATCTCATGCTCACACATACCCCGGGGACTTAGGAATCATGGCACGCGGTGGATCCCAGTCACATCCAAAACTACACGCGGTGCTGTTGCCGGAATTGAGATGGTCCCGCAGGATGTGACAGGTATTCCTGTTCCAACAGCAGATGTCTTTGGAATACGAACGTTGGTCTCGTCCGTGCCCAAAGGATGGATCACTGTTTGCGTACCCCGCTGAGCATCTGTGTCTTCACAACTTCTTGTCTGGTACGACTCCGGACTACACCCTGGTTACAATTAATCTAGATCCTGGTAGCAGCAGTAAGAGCAGGAAGTCACAGAATCAGCGATGATACACGAGCTGGAGCTTTGCCAACTCGCCGGCAGTACCGGAGCTGCTATATAAATGACATGTTGGCCGGAGCTACAGATGCAGTGCTTCATTTATCATCCTTCACCTGTTCTTCTTCGCATTGAAAGCCCTATGGCCAAGTTCAAGCATCTCGAGGGTCTCTCTGACCTTGCCCTCCGAGATCAAGATGCTCTTTCCCGATTCGGACAAGGCGCTCATCAACTAACTCCTCACTCGAAGGTTCACGAAGCCTTCGAGAGCAAAGTCGATGCTAATCCAGATGCACTTGCAGCCGTCTTCGAGGACAAAGTCCTCACATATCAGCAGCTGGACACTGCGGCGAATCGACTCTCCAACCATCTTCTCGCGTCCGGGTTGCAGCCAACGGAGCGAGTCTGCCTGGTAGTATCGAGGTCCCTGGAGATGCTCATAGGCATCTTCGCCATCTTGAAAGCAGGCTGCCAATACGTCCCAATTGACGGTGGCGTGGCGTCGGACAAGCAACTAGCCCACATATTCAACGACACCGCCGCGCACCATATCCTCTGCTTGCCTAGATTTCAGTCGCGCATCGAGAAGTTTGCTGGCCTAGGCGCGCACGTCACGTGTCTTGCTCTCGACGCTCACTTCGAGCAGTCGCCCGCACGGCCGTTTATCGATTGCATCTCTACTGATGGATGCTATGCTATCTACACATCAGGTACGATCTAGCACTCGTCAACACGTCATTGTCACGGCTAACATGCTCGTCAGGAAGCACAGGAACGCCAAAGGGCGTTGATGTTTCGCACGCCAACGTCACCAATGCCCTGTTACTCGAGCCCGCCAATCTCGGCATACGGCTAGGGTCCAAGGTCGGCTCGGTCTTGAGCGTGGCGTTTGACATGGGAGCGTGGGAGATCCTCGCGTGTCTCATGAATGGCGGCACTTTGTACATGAGAGGCTCGAGATGGGATGCCACACTGCGACAGGTGCGTTAAGATTCGCCAACACCCACGATTGCACCCTACTAAGTACCTGCAGATTGACACGTTGATATCGACGCCTTCCATCCTCTCCAAGTACAGAAGAGCAGACTATCTGAACATCAAGACGGTGGTGACCGGAGGCGAACCCTGTCCGCAGAGGTACGAGCTACAGTCCGAGCTGACATACGCCGAGTACTGACATGCATCTCTTAGTCTCGCAGATGAGTGGGCAGAAGGCACTTGCTTCTACAACATCTGTGGCCCCACTGAGATCACGATTCTAAACTCAGCGCATCGGCACACGCCGGGTGCTGCGCTGTCGATTGGGAAGCTGCTCCCCAACACAACATGTTACATTCTGGATGAATACGAAAACCCAGTCGCACTCGGTGAAAAGGGGTCTGCGTGGGTCGGAGGCGCAGGGGTAACCCGGGGCTACATCAACCTGCCGAAGTTGACATCAGAGCGCTACAAGCTCGACAAGTTTAGAAACGACGGGTGAGTCTTTGCTAGTGTCCGCGGTACACATACTGACTGTGTTAGGTCTGTGATGTTCAACACCAACGACATCGTTCGATGGCGAGAGGACGGGTCGCTGGAGACGTTCGGCCGAGGTGATGACCAGGTCAAGATCAAGGTAAGGAAAGCCATGTCTCGTTTTGCGCATCTTCTCACTCCATCCAGGGCTTCCGAGTTGAACTGGACGGTGTGTCCGCTACCATTGAGAATTACGACGGCATCTCAAGAGCCGCCGCGTTGAAAATCGACGACGGTCTGCATGCATTCTATGCCGCCTCAAAACCCATCGAGGAAGAGGATCTGGTCGCCGCGGTCAAACATGCGCTGCCCTACTACTCCATCCCGACGCGCTGGCACTTCGTCCGTGCAATTCCGCTCACCCCCAACGGCAAAGTTGATAAAATCGCTCTTCGCGATCTGGCCGCCGGCCGTCGCGGCCGAGCAGACTCTGTCACAACCATAACCACAGCCGTGCCGATGGATTCCGTTACGTCCGACGTCGGACTTTATCCACCCCCACTAGCTTTGTCGCACGGACAAAGTCTGGATTTCGAGAAGGAGTCAAGATCCGTCGCGACAGCGATCTCGACACCGACTTCAGACTCGTCGAAGAGCATCATTGACATCGAAAAGGGATCGGTCGCCGTCGAAGAAGGGTTCCCCGAAGTCGCAGATGCGCTGCCGCAGAAGCGCGGGCTGCACGGCCAACGATGGGTCCGACACAGGGCGTTCATCTTGTATCGGCGGTTCTTCTCCGTCGTGCTCATGGCCAACCTGGCTGTGGCGGGATTCATTCTGCACCGCAAGATTGCCCTGGGGCAACGGGTGCTGGGTGATCTCGCTACGGCTGCGGCGTCCAACCTCTGCGTGGCGGTGCTGATGCGCTCCGAGCCCGTTGTTAATCTGCTCTTCACTGTCTTCTGCTCGGTTCCGACGTGGTTCCCGCTTGCGATTCGACGACACTGCGCGCGTATCTTCCACATCGGAGGGATCCACAGCGGGTGCGCGATTGCGGCAACCGTCTTCTTCACCATTTTTACAATCACGGCTACGGTGGAGGTAGCCACGGAAGACTCGTCACAGAGCGTCTCGACAGCCGTCCTGGTCCTCTCGTATCTGATCATGGTTCTGCTGATCGCCATTGGCTCCCTGTCGCACCCCAGCATCCGCGCCAAGTACCACAATATGTGGGAAACGAGCCACCGCTTCGGCGGCTGGACAGCGCTGATCCTCCTCTGGGTCCAGATCTTCCTCGCATCCACAGATCTTAGCCCCAACACGGCTCCCTCGTCAGCCTACCTCCACTCGCCTCCGGTGTGGCTGATCAGCGTCGCCACCGCAGCCGTCATCTTCCCCTGGGTACACCTGAAAAAAGTGCCCGTCCGCTCCGAGGTGCTCTCCAGCCACGCGGTGCGGCTGTGGTTCGACTACACGACACCCGTAGTCGGCACCGCGGTGCGGCTGGCGGAGCGCCCGCTCGCAGACTGGCACGGCTTCGCGACCATTACAAACCCCGTAACAGCTGCAAACCCGCACGCGACGGGCTTCTCGCTGATCGTGAGCCGCGCGGGCGACTTCACCGGGCGCCAGATCGAGCGGGCGCCGTCGCACATATGGGTCCGCGGGATCCCGACGTGCGGCGTGCTGCGCATCGCGACGCTGTTCCGGTCCGTCGTGCTCGTGGCCACGGGCTCAGGCATCGGCCCGTGTCTGGCCGTGATCCTGGCGAAGAAGGTGCCGGCGCGGATCCTGTGGACGGCGCCGAACCCGGAGCAGACGTTTGGCAAGGAAATCGTCGACAGCGTGCTCGATACGGATCCGCATGCTGTCATCCACAACACGAGGACCATGGGCAAGCCGGATATGAGTCTGATGGCGTATCGGCTGTGGAAGGAGAGCGGGGCCGAGGCGGTGTGCATCATCAGCAACAAAAAGTTTACGACCAAGGTGGTGTATGATATGGAGGCGAGAGGGATTCCAGCGTACGGGGCGATTTTCGATTCGTAGATGTCGCACGGTTACGACAGGGCGTTGGGCGGTACTATGTTGTTTGAGCGCTGGTGTTTGGTCTGCAGGGTTCGATCTTTGTCATGTCCATATCTTGTTGTCGTGTCGTAGAACAATGCTGTAATCACGTCATGCCTTGAAGGCGTGTTGTGAAGCTCGGGCCGATGCCTGTATCCTCCAGGCTGCCATCTGGGAACTGAATGGGAGCTGCTTTGCGCAGAGGCGGCCATGTCTTGACGCGTCTTGACGCGACTTGACGCGACTTGACTCGTTTGTTGGGTGTGGAACCAGCAGCATGTTCAGGGCGTGGACGGGTTCGCGTCTCCACCACTAGTGACTAGCGCGTCTCCACCTCAGCCCTACAAAGTCACGCCGCGGAAAGTGTCCTCAACTCGCTCGTGTGGCTCCGTTCCTCGAACACCTCACGCATCATGATCCAGGATCTCCTGCAGCGCCTGGCCCGCTGGCTTGACCGGCCGCTATTCCCCTGGAAGAAGCTGGTCGTCGGCTTCTCGCTCGCCGAGTTTGCGCTCGAGAACTGGCTGCTCTTCCGCCAGTACCGCGTGCTGCAGCGCACGACGGTGCCCAAGGCGCTGGACAAGGAGATTGACCAGCAGACTTTCGACAAATCCCAGGTAGGCAATGTGCAGCAGGCGGCGGTGAAAGTGTGCAGTGCGGCTAACAGGTCCAGGCGTACGGCCGCGCAAAGGCGCAGTTCAGCCTCGTCTCGGCTCTCTTCAACCAGGCCAAACACATCGCCACTCTCTACTTCAACGTCTACCCGATCCTCTGGAGCGTCGCCGGCTCGCTCGTGGTGCGCTATGCCCCGGTCAGCCTCTCTGGCGAGATCCCGCGCTCGCTGCTGTTCATCTACCTGATGACGTGGGCGGAGACGCTCGTCGGCCTGCCCTTCTCGTACTACCACCACTTTGTGCTCGAGGACAAGTACGGCTTCAACAAGATGACGCTCAGCACGTGGGTCGCGGACATGGTCAAGGGCCAGGCGCTCGGCCTCGCCTTCGGCATTCCCATCGGCAGCGCGTTCCTGGCCATCATCCGCAAGACGGGCCAGAGCTTCTTCTACTACCTGTGGGTCTTCATGCTCGGCGTCCAGATCCTCGGCATGACCTTGTACCCGATCCTCATCGTGCCCCTGTTCAACAAGCTCGAGCCGCTCCCGCCCGGCACGCTCAAGGACGCGGTCGAGGCGCTGGCGACGAAGCTCAACTTCCCTCTCGCCGAGCTGCAGGTCATCGACGGCAGCAAGCGCAGCGCCCACAGCAACGCCTACTTCACGGGCTTGCCGTGGATCGGCAAGAAGAAGATTGTCATCTTCGACACACTGCTCGAGAAGAGCTCAGAGAAGGAGGTCGAGGCTGTGCTGGGCCACGAGCTCGGCCACTGGAAGATGAACCACACGTCGCGGCTGCTGTTCATTGCCCAGGCGCACCTGTTCTACACGTTCGCGCTGTTCTCTGTCTTCATCGACAACCGCTCGCTCTTCGCCGACTTTGGCTTCCACAGGGAGCAGCCGAACATGATTGGCTTCATCCTGTTCAACGAGATCCTGTCGCCGACGGATGCGCTCTTCAAGCTGGGCATGAACTTCTGGACGCGCAAGATGGAGTACGAGGCTGGTACGTTTCTCATTGATTCATGGTGCCCCTGGGGCTTCCAGCTAACTTTTTGCAGACGCCTTTGCTGTCAATCTCGGCTACCGCACCGAGCTCGGTGCTTCGCTGCTGAAGCTGCAGATCCAGAACCTGTCCTCGATGGACGCCGACTGGTTCTACTCGTCGTTCCACCACTCGCACCCGATCCTGACGGAGCGCCTCCGGGCTATGAACTGGTCCAGCAGCGAGAAGATTACGTCGGAGAAGGCCAAGGACGAGGACAAGGCGGTGAAGGCCTCGGGAACCGAGCTGTAGGCGCTTTTGGTGGTTGGACCTATGTTTGGACCGTAGAAAAAATGCAATCCCTGACGCCATGCGGATGGTGTCGTCGCTGCACCTCAGGCGTCCTCCTTCCTCTTCTGCTCTTTTTCCCTCTTGCGCAGCGCATCCCTCTCCTTCTTCGCCCGCTTGCGCGCCTCCTTGTCCAGCGCCTCCCCCCCGCGCTTCCCGCTGGCCTCAACGCCCGGCTCCTCGCCCCCCTCGGCCACGACATTCGTCCGCTCGCCCACCTCGCCAATCTCAGTCCCGCCCTGCTCCCGCTCATACACGTCCTTGTCCTGCCACTCGACTTCCCCACCCGTCTCGTCTGCGCGCGTCTCGCCCTCGCCCTTGCCCTTGCCCTGCCCTCGTCCGGTATATCGCTCCTCGACCTCGGCCACCTCGGGCTCCGGCGTCGCCTCGGGCTCCAAAACCTCGCCGCGCAGCCCCGCCGCGACGCGCCGCAGGTTGTGCATCACGACACCCCCCGCGGGCCCGCCGTGCGAGCTGAAGGATACCCCCGTCGGCGTGATCAGCGCGTCTGGGTGCAGGTGCGCGTGTGCTTCTGAGTGGGTGAGGTAGGATTGCAGTATCGTTGCGGCGGTGGCGGTGGGGATGGGGGTGCTGGATAGCAGGCGGTGGGGCGGGGGCGTCTCGGCTTGCATTTTGGTGGTGGGGGTGGGAGTATGAGGGTGGTGAGGGTGGTGAGGGTGGTGTGGGTGGATTGGTGTGAGGGTGGTGGAACTTTTTAACTAGCGCCGTTTTCCTCGGAGGTGCTTTGAGCACACCGCACCTCACCGCACTGACTGCACCACACCGCACCGCTGCATCGTCGCACGCCGGAAAGACCAGCGATGAACGCCCTTCGCTGCCTGCGCGGCCTCGCGCCCGCGCCCCTCAAGCAGTACGCCTCCAGCTCCAAAAGTACGACGGACGCTAACAGCCCAGGCTCCGCAACATGTCCCTCCTCACCGCGCGCCGCCCGCTGCTCCCATCCTGCTCGCCATCCACGCTCGCGCCTGGCGCTCTATCATCAGCCGCCCCCTCGACACCATGCTCGGCGACGCTAGACGTGATGGCCAAGATTTCGGCCTCGCCGGCCTTTGCGGGCACGCAGATTCGCTGCGGACCGCGCGATACGTACAACCCCTCGCATATTGTGCGGAAGCGCCGACATGGCTTTCTGAGCCGGTTGAGGACGAAGAAGGGGCGGAAGTTGTTGATGCGCAGACTGGTCAAGGGACGGGGGAATCTCAGCCACTAGAAGAGGGGGTGCTGCTGGACGGAGGAATCGAGTGAGGCTGTACATTACGACTGTACATTACACAACTACTGCCTAGACAACACCCTCTCCAGCTCCTTGTCAACCTTGTCCATCTCCGTCAAGATGGCCCCAATCGTCGCATCCCTCGCCTTATCCAGCCTCCTGAGCACATCAAGCCCCATCTTCCCGTACTCCACCGGCTTCAACAAGTGAAGCGGCGCAACCACGTCCCCACTCAGCGTCGCCTTCTTATCCGCCAACAGCCCCCTCAGCGCCGTGATGCTGCGATCCCTCCGCTCCAACTCCTGAACCAGCTCGCTCCTCCTCGCCTCCTCGCCAGCCCTCTGCTTCTTGCTCCGCTCCTCCTCCCCCGCCGCATTGGTCGCGACTTTCCACTTCCAAATCGCCTCCTTGGCACACTTCTCGATGCACGTGAACCGCACAGGCCCGATGTTAGTACCGCCGTACCAGCGCGCTACCACGACGGCGCCCTCGGCTTGCGTGTCGTGCAGCACGCGCGCCAGACGGCCGCCGGCCCAGGACTCGCCGTCGTCATCGTGAGCCGTGTCGAATAGGTGCGTTGAGGAAGTTAGCGTTTTTTGCCGCGAGCGCACGCGATATGCAGATATGCGGTGTGTTGCGCTGAGGAATTCTGGGAGCCGTTGCAGTGCGGTTGCGCTTAGGGTTGGTGAGAATACGGCTTTGAAACTTGATGTTTGCTCAGTGATTTTTGAGGAGTGGAATGTGTCTGGGATGCTGTCGGGGTGTGCGCGCTTTTGCGCCATGGAGGTGCTGTGTTTGTGTGCTTTGGTATTGTTGTGTGCTTTGGTATTGTTGTGTGCTTTGGTATTGTTGTGTGCTTTGGTATTGTTGTGTGCTTTGGTATTGTTGTGTGCTTTGGTATTGTTGTGTGCTTTGGTGTAGTTGCGTGCTTTGACATCGTTGTGTGCTTTTGTTGCGGGTGTGGTGACGTGGGCCTGGTGGTGGTCGTTGGATGCGTGAGTGGGAAGGCTTACGCGGGTTTTGGGGAATGTCGAGCCGCGACGCGCCGAATGGTTGCGTTCAAGAGGTGTTTACATCAGTGTTTCCATCGAACCAATCTCATCGCCATTTCGGCATCGCAATATGAATTCTCTTGAAAGGCAGCGTCGTATTTGAAAAATTATGAGATGCGCTTGCACAGTATGAAAGCGCACCTGGCCCGGCGGCACAGGTCGTGTTGGCCACCACTTTCCACAGCGTCTTCAACGTTTTCGAGCTATTTACCGCCGCCAAGGTAAAGGTGCAAACCAGTGAATACCGGGGCATGCTGATTTACTCCGCTCGGTATCTTCAGGTGCATTTGGAGATACCATCTTGAGACTTGAACACCGAATACCGCCATCTGGTGAACCTTTCATCACCTGCTTGGATTACTTGCGACTGGATTAGAGGATCGTAATCAAGAGCAGGTTGCTTTGGATTCGTAGCAGCGGCCATCAGTACCTTCACTCGCTCCAGAATGTGCGCCTCACCAAACGTCAAGCAGTCTCACTGACAGGATGGCACTTTCACGCTAGCCACTCGCAACGCGCATATATATCGCAAGGATCCACGGAGCCTCCCCCCGCTGCCTACCATAATCGGCGTCGACCCAAATCGGTACAAGGCATCTCCCACAAGCGCGGTCTGATCAAGAGGGTAAGCACGGCTCTCTTCTCCACATCACCTCTTCCCTTCGATCCAAGAGACATCTATCTGTACGGCACGCTCTTTCGAAAACAGGATCACGATTCACATCCAGAACCACAACGCTTTCTCCAAATATTCATCATGGGCCGCTTCGAAACTCTGAACGCAGATACCCAGGATCTAGTCAACTGCCTCCTTCCTGCGCTCGCTTCTGCCTTTCACGTCGACTCCGTCCTCGAAATTATCCCTGAGGACATCCGCATGCGTGCATGGGACTGCGAGCGCCGTGACCACATTAAGGACCAGACTGAGAGCGATCCTCGCAACTGGGGCGTCCAATTCCTCAAGGATCTCAAGTCTATTGCACGCCTGAACGGCGGCAATCTCAAGGAGTTCCAGGACCGTCTCAGGGCCAAAGTCGACACGCACGAGGCGAAGCACCCATGGTGCCGTCTCAACGATATCAAAGACATCAAGAGAGATTACGAGCGCCCTGATGAGCCTGAACCGCAGTCTGAGGCCGAGTCGTCCACGTCATCCATCGACTCGTATCTCGAAGAATTGCACGAACCTGAGTTTCCCAAGGGTACTAAGGGTGGTCGCAAGCGCAACCACGAGATTTACGAGACCCGCCTACAGCTTCCTCGCAAGCGTAGGTTGCAGATGCAAAACCGATGCCATTTTTGATCTAACATCTTGCAGAAGGTCGTCTCCGCCGCGCCGAGGATGGCACGCTGTACCGCAAGGAGAAGCACGCAGAAAAGCGGAGCAGGATCTCCGAGTCCGCCGAGCGCAGCACTCCGGGACGCCGCGCCAGCAGGGCTATCCAGTCGGACGAAGACGAGATTGAAGAATTTCGTACCGGTCCCTTGCGTGCTCGCCCCCGTTTTTCTGTCTCCACAACTCCAGGCGCGTTGGCTCGCTCTGACATTGCAGAGGCTGTGAGCGCGTCCAACGAGCCTCTCGAAGTGCAGAAGCTACAGGCTGAGCTCGAAGTCGCCGAAGCAGAGCTCCGAGCTGCTCGCCTGAAGTACCAGTACATCCAGGCAAAGGAGGCCACCGAGCGGAGCATGGCGCAACGAGTGGACTAGAAGGTCTCCGCGCGCTACTGATTTGTCTTGTAAAAGGACGAGATGTACGACAATACTAAGGTGAGCAAACGGTAACACGACGAACACCTGCGACTCGTCCATCGGCCATCGTGCGCCTAGTGGTGACACTCGAACTTTGGAAGTATCTACTACGGGCTCGTATTGTAGTTGTATTTTGCTTTCCTTTCTTTTCTGCGGTACTGTTCACTTTCACGGATTACGGGTTCTCCTACTGTGATCGAAGCTGTCATCAGCTCAGCAGGGGGGGCACCAAAACGAACGTCTTTCGCTTTCTATGTCATTCCACTCAACCTGATCTACACTCGATACCTTCAAACCGAATGTCGACCTTCTGTCTCCGCGGAGTTATATTCGCGTTTGTCCCCTCTTCTTCTCTTGGTCGAGCTGGAACCGTTCTCATGACTTGTAAGCAGTTTAGCCCCACACCAGGCTTACTTAGCTCGCTCCGTAGCAGTGGTAAGAGTACCAAGCTTTCCAGCGGTGCGCTTCTAAAGGCTATCGTGAAAACTTTCGTGATGCGTTTGGCTTGGCGGCGCGTCTCGCGCCTTCCTCCATTAAAGTCACAACAAACGCCTTTCCTCGCACCCCACTTTCCTACCACCGCTATTTCCGCCCAGTTGATCACGCCTTCCCTTTTTGCTTCACTGTTCTCACCATACACTTCACGTTACATCAAGAGAAGGATTGATCATGTCGGATAACCAGGTACACTTCACCGACTGTCATTGTTTCACTAACTCTTGACACATGCGCGCCGTAGTACTCGCGCAGCTATGCTAGTCGTATTCGTAATCCAGCCGCGTTGCACTTGCAGACCGCCAACTCCTATGCGGCCCTGGTGGCAACTGCGGGACCAGAACATGACGGAAGAAGCTCCTCTTCGGGCTCACTACCATCATCTGGCAGCTCTGCTTCCCGCTTCTCCAACAGTGAGAGAGCAGTGTTTCTGCCAGCTCCGTCCAGGTCGCAAGCTCAGACTTACAACAACTCGGGAACGGTACAGCAGCATGTGAGCCTGACTCGCCTTGCATATTGTTTTCTCCATCGGACCGAGCTGACTCTTCTTTCCAGCACTACGGCTCACCTGAGCAGACCCGCGCCTATGGTTTCGGTTTCTCCAGCACACCAACTCACACCGGCTTTGCTGTGCGCGCTGCCAACCGCGATGCCCTTCGCACTGCCCGTCATGCTCCCACAAATTCGACTAGCTCCGTCATTTCCGTGGCTCACAACTACCATGCTCCCCAACCTTCCTCTCTGGCTGGCGTGCCTGAGTCTGTCGCTGTCCAGGAAATGGCCCTCCGTCAGGGTCAGCGCGACACCGCCAGCGCCTTCAACGAGGTACCTACTAACCCGTTCGCGCAGCAGTTCGACCAGCTCTGGGCTTCATTCTACAAGCTCGGCAAGGATTGTGGTGGACAGCGCGCACCTACCCCCGACAACCCATCGCAGCAGAATTTCGCCTGGACTGTACTGATCAACCCGTACACCCAGTCTCTCAAGAACCCGAATGGCAGTCTCGACCCTGCCTGGACCAGGAGGATGATCGTGGTCGCTCTTGATTGCATGCACGAGCTCATCCGCATCACCTGTCGCCGCAACAACGGATGGGATAAGATCGTCGCTGATATACCTCTCCCTGCTCGAGAGGCCCTGGTCGCGTTTCCTGACCTTGCTGCGGAGTACGAACAGCTCAAGCGGGATGCCAACGAGGCTCGCGCAGGAGGCCGTCCTTACGGCTACTAAGTCACAGCACTGGCTCTTGGTGGAAGGAAATTTTGTACGCGGAGGTGTCATCAAAGCATCCTGGAGGACTTATGCTTCATGTACCGCATTGCGTTGAGAAGATACCATTGGAGGACTCCCGCCCGTGTCAGAGCGCTCTGCTCCTTACGTTCGTCACGCCTAATGATGACCACAAGGCGTTTTTATTTTCGGCGTTTTTCGGATTTTCATGTTGCCGGCGGCAAGCACGGGCGTTGCGGTGTATGAGGCGTTCATGGCGGGCTTGTTGTTGTTGGTGCTGTTCGATGATGTTCTACAATCAACCGTGTGGAGGAGAAGCCTGTATCGAGACTGCGTGTCCACTGAGATGTTGCGAGATGAAAATGTAAATTACCGTGGACCCGTTCACCTCAAGCTTGATCCCCTTGCTGTATAAGTTCCCTCCAGAAGATTTTCAAGACTCACACCTTCCTCACCGGCTTCGACGACGCTCTTTACGTGTCAATCAATCGTAGGACCAACTACACAGCTCCAGGTACGCTGGGTGTCACTGCCGAGGTATATGATCAGCAGAGCACTGGGATCTAGCAAGATGTATGCACTGTCGTGGACTTTGATTGATTAGCAGCCAGTCCATCCTGTTTAGATTCTTACTGCTGGTTTGACGCGCTCGTAAGGGGAACTCTTAATGTGCACCCCAGTAAGTTGTATCGTGCACCCCAGGACGCTCAATCACGGTATACCAATGCAGCTAAGACGTAGATAGCTGAATAGCTAGTTTACTGTGTAGATTAGATCTCAGGGAGCTTCTACAGTCTTACTTAGCATATGCAACAACTTTAGCTAAGGACTTAGCGCACCTTGGCTGCCGTGGCCACACACAGTATGCGTTAAACGTGAAGATATCTATCTTAACTCTTGTTATTTTTATTACTTATACGCGTTGTTATTTTTTTTTGTCTCTAACAGTCCTTTACTGCGACTAGGAGGTCTCTAATTGTACTTGCTGTCGAAGCTGCGTGGCAGCAGCCAGCTCTTTTACTGGCACCTTAGCCGCTAACTTAGCCACTGCCACTCCCTATTAATATGTGCATCATTATTGTGCGATCGCGACCTCTTGCTCCTCCGCAAGGCTTAGTATATCTGTTGCCTAGCTAATGATAGTACAAAATAGATTCAATACAAGTCTCTACTAAGCCACAGCATACTTGGCTGCATTGAGTGTACTGGGGTGCACAACACAAGTTACTGGAGGGCGCGGTAAGTTTTCCCGCTCGTAAGGTGCAAAGCCCGTGAAGCTCACACTCCCGCAAGGCACAGTGACAAATTGAAGCACACACATGGTCTCTGATGTTATACAAGGTCTACCGCTTAGCAGCTTCTATAACTTCTATTTGCAACCTGCATAAGCCTTGTCTCGTCGCAGCTCCCATTAGATCCCTAGCCCTCAGGACTGCAGCGCTCGAAAATCATGCTACAAGCTTCACAGCTCTCTTCTTCTTTGGAGCTCCACTTCCTGCATCGCACGCGTTGACGTCTAAGCCTTACCTTGACTAGTCCTTACCTCAAGAACCAACCTTAAACCAGTTGTAATGTTGTGATGAGAGTGCAGTGCTTTGTGACTTTGGTGTTTCTTGCCAAGTCTTTAAGCCTCGCTTAGCACGGATGGTGTGGGTGAGGGTGTCCGTAGGGTGCACTGGGTGAGTCCGGATACGCCAGGATATTGGTGAGACGCACTCACTACCCGGGCTGTTGCTGTCAGACTACAGATGCTTGTTTGAAGTCTGACCGATCCAAAGCAGAGGACCGCGCTACCGCAGCTTCTGACTCGCTGGATGCCCGCCGCTCCGGCGCAGAGTAGCAGTCCTGGCTGAGGGGTACTGCAAATGCTCCCATGCAAGTTGATGCAACATGCACCCGTCAGTGTGCCGACGCAGTATGTTTCTCATCGCGCACGCGACACGTGGCTTTTGGCAACGACGAGCTCTGTCGCCTCTCCCACGCTAGTGTGATGTGCGTGCGGCTCTGCGTGACGTCTTGTTCAGCCGCTTGGCTCCGCTCCTACTCAAGTTCCCAATAGCCTCTACGCGGAGTTCTGGAAGCACTGTCGAACGCACTATCGAATGTCTTGCACATGCCGACGGCCCGAATGTAACAGAAACTCCGAACTTGCCAAGTTGGGCTCTAGACTGCAATAATTCTGGCTCCGCGGATGCTGTTACTTGTTGCATTGGTAGAAAGATTGTCCTCCTTGGAGCGAAGACCGTGACAAGCCGGCCAGGATTTGATTGCGCGTGCCTTCAGGCAGGTTTCGATGTAGGAAGGAGGCTGCATTGCATCTACAACAGTGCATTGTATACCTGCTATATCCTTTCTACACCGACCTATATCTAATTCCCGAAGTCTGGCTCAGTTTGTGGATCTCGGAGTGAGCCGTGCAGCCGAACGTTGCGGCAATTGCCCCATGCGGCAAACCGCGGAGTAAGACTACTGACAGACAGGGCAGACCCAGGTTTTTCGACTCATATGCACCAGGACAGGCCCATCACGAGGCGTTTCGCGACGGGGCTATTCGGGTACGGCACAGTTATCAGTAGGAACCAGGTTTCCCCGCATTTGCAGGAACATGACCTTGTTGTAGGCAGCATTACACAAGAACAACACAGCCTGTGAAAGAAAATCGTATCGCACAGGATTTTAGAGGCGAACTTCTACAGTTTCGTGCTTATGTTAGATCTCTAGACTTGTTGTTGTAGTGTTATGTTGCAACAGAGAGGAAGGCTTGTTTGATGTTCCTAGCAGATCTACTCTTGTGACTGTGGCGTTTTTGGTCATCGATCGGCCCAACAGGCGCAATTTCGGTGCCGCGAAATCGGAGGTTTCCAAGCAGAAGCCACACCGTCATTGCTGGGCATCGTGCTTAGCAAAGCTTCTTTTGCCCAGCCTATGTAACGTAGCCCACCGCGAGCAATTCTGTGCACCTGGAAATTGTGTGCGCTGAGGCTGCAATGGAGGCCTCATGGACGCGGGTTTCGCGCTTCTTCGCGACTTCCCCAACGCAATACGAGTTACCCGCGCCGACTCTAAACAGTCGCAACTTGCGCGCTTGATGGAACCTTGACGTGCAGCATGCCCACGGCTCTGCTCGAAGACGTTGTGGGTAGACGCAACTTAAAAGATGGCGGGCTTTGTGCCGCAGCGGCGACTCCGACGCTAGTTCATCCTGGTAAATGTTGGGGTCATCCCCGTGGAGGTCAGCATATACCGAGCTCAACTCCACAGACGCTAAGTTCGATCAAGAGCAAGCCACTGCAGACAAGCTTCATCGGCTCCGGGCTTAATTCGATCGCTTTCGTGTTGTACAACTTCAGGTCCTACAGTTGCCATGCGCGATCAGGAATGTTGTTGAATAAAAGGCTGGAAGAGAGGCTGGAGTCGTGCAGACATTCGTAGGGCAACTCCTCCCAAAAACGCGTTGAGGCTGTCAGACCACAAACCACAAAGTTAGCCGTGTGCAGGGAAGACTTGATGCTAGTCATTTCCTTTCTGGCCTAGCCTTCATCGTGGCCTGCCTCGCTAGCGTGTGCGCGGACGCATTACTGGACGCTTGCATTTCGTTCTGAGGTGAGGTGATGAGGATCAGACCGCGTGGTCTGGAGACCCCTCATTTCTTACCGCACCGACGGTTGCATAAATACTCCAAGCTCTCCATGTGTGATGATCAACCAAACCCCAGCGTTCTCGCTTTGGATCTTTCATCATGGCTGACAACCACGCTAAGCTACAAGTTGAGCGACAGGATGTGTAAGCTATACACGCGTACCTTGGATCCAATGAATTAGTACTGACTGCTTGTAGCGTTCACGAAGAGAAAGGTGCTGTCAACGCGACCAACCCACAAAGTGGAGTGGTATCTGCGAAGTGAGCCGCCTTTGTCGATGTCAAGGTCATCCCTTACTGACATGTCACCAGAATTCAGAACCCACTCATGCACATGAGTGAAGAAGAATGCCTTGCAGATGTCAACGGTTTCGCTAAAGAGCATGGCTTCGAGGACATCCATCCCCTGCTCGTCAAGGGTGCGCTTATCTCGCGCGACCCCACCAATTTTGCCACCGTGCCTGGCATGACGGAAGACGAGAAGGTGGCCATCGCAAACGAGACGCTCCACAAGTGGCGACAGCCCAAGGTTCTCTACTTCACCATCATCCTGTGCTCTGTCGGCGCTGCTGTTCAAGGATGGTAAGCAAGACCTCACCGTCATACGACAATTCGCTGATGATGATGACAGGGATCAAACTGGCTCGAACGGAGCTAACTTGTCTTTCCCGACCGCACTTGGTATTCCAACCAAAGATGACCCAAATGCCGAGCGCAACCAGTGGTACCAGGGCCTGATCAACGCCGGTCCCTACATTGCTTCTGCCTTCTTCGGATGCTGGTGCTCGGATCCTCTGAACAACTTCTTTGGGCGTCGTGGCTGTATCTTCGTGTCTGCTATTTTCTGCGCCCTGTCCCCTATTGGATCGGCTGTATCTCAGAGTAAGTCTTCACAGAATTCTGCAACAACCAAATCTAACGGTGAATAGCATGGGAGCAGCTTTTCGTTACTCGTCTGCTTCTTGGTATTGGTATGGGATGCAAAGGCGCTACAGTGCCTATCTTTGCGGCTGAGAACGCTCCTGCTTCCATTCGTGGAGCTCTTGTCATGACATGGCAATTGTGGACTGCCTTCGGCATCTTTCTCGGAACCGTCGCCAACTTGGTTGTTAAGGACACCGGCGACATTGCCTGGAGGCTGCAGTTTGGCTCAGCCCTTATTCCCGCCTTGCCTCTCCTGGCTGGTGTCTTCTTTTGTCCGGAGGTATGTGATCATCTTCACCGGGCATTCTGTCAACACGACTGACTCGCAATCTCTAGAGCCCCAGATGGTACATCAAGAAGGGCAAGATGCAGCAAGCATACACATCCCTCAAGCGCCTCCGAAACACCGAGCTCCAGGCTGCCCGCGATCTTTACTACATTCATGCCCAACTCCGTGCTGAGGCAGGCGCCCATACTGTCAAGAACAACTACATCACTCGATTCACCCAGCTCTTCACTGTCCCTCGCCTTCGAAGGGCCACTGTCGCATCCGGCACTGTCATGATCGCCCAGCAGATGTGCGGAAGTAAGTATCACTATCATGCATGCAGAATCACAGACTAACATTACACAGTCAACATCATCGCCTTCTATTCCAGCACCATCTTCGAGCAGGCTGGCGCTAACAACACTGAGTCTCTGCTTGCGTCCATGGGATTCGGTATCGTCAACTTCCTGTTCGCCTGGCCAGCTATCTGGACCATCGATACCTTTGGTCGCCGAACCCTCTTGCTGTTCACTTTCCCTCAGATGGCTTGGACCTTACTTGCTGCAGGTCTCTGCTACTTGATCCCGGAGAGCAGCAAGGCTCACATCGGCCTCGTCGCTCTGTTTGTCTACCTATTCGGCGCTTGGTACTCTCCCGGTGAGGGACCAGTGCCATTCACCTACTCAGCGGAAGTCTTCCCTCTGTCTCACAGAGAAGTCGGCATGTCCTGGGCTGTCGCCACGTGCTTGTTCTGGGCTGCTGTACTGTCCATCACCTTCCCCCGCATGCTGGCTGCGCTTTCGCCCACCGGCGCATTCGGTCTGTACGCAGGCTTCAACCTCATCGCTCTCGTCATGATCTTCCTTTTTGTCCCCGAGACCAAGCAGCGGACACTCGAGGAGCTTGACTACATCTTTGAAATTCCTCAGCGCACCTTCATGCGCCACCAGTGCTTCACTGTTCTGCCGTGGTGGATTAAGACCTGGATTCTTAGGAAGAAGATCGGACCCTGCCCTGCCCTTTGGAGCTTTGAAGGTCACGATGAGAAGGAGCAGCAGGAAGCTGTGCGCAGGGCCAGTATTGCTGCTGCTGGCGAGGATCCGGCGCAGAGGAGGACTAGCATCACGGAGAAGATTTCTGGCAAGTTCTAAGCCATCAGCAAGGTCATGTGGAAGTGATATTGGTTCTTGTTCTCAAAGGCTGTATCGTAGATAATATTGCCCTAGTACGCAAATGGTACCTTACTTTGTTGCATTGATACCATCTCCCATGGCTGACTCCACGCGCCCTTGAAGCTTCCAGTCCCTCCCATTGCAGATGGAAGTCTTTGATCAAATCACCCTTACCGTATCTGACTCACCACCTTGGTAATGACTGAACAAGCGGCAAGCCCTTGTCCCTTCTTGCTGCTGACATTTGAACAGGGTTGCTGTAGCCGTCTCCTGGATGTGCAAAGGAATAGTATCGATATGCATAAGTGTGCTCGCCATGGTCCCATGTCGAACAACGCTTGCGTTTACAGCGCTTTGCATTCTCAATACAGGGCTGACACGGTGCCCCATTGTCACAAGCCCGTCCATGCGCATAGCATTGCGTGCAAGATACAACGTTGTGCTGACGGGACGAGACTGGCTCCTCTGTCTTTCGTTTCTTCGAGAGAGGTTCTTGGCGAGTATCGATCTGTGACAGACTGGAAAATGTCGTCAGTGTGTGCGCGTGCAGGAGGCAGATTGCTTACATGTCTTGGGTCTTCCTCGACTCAATGACTTCTACCGGAGTCGTATGATCGATGGCATACCTGTGCAGCTGCTTGATAAGACCCGCTTGCGCATGGTTCTTCTGCCTAGCTGTCTCCAGTTTTGATCGTAGTGCATTGGCCTCTGCGACTGTTTGTTTTTCTCGGCTTCCTTTAAAGCCTGGAGCCTATATTGTTCTGCCAGCTTATCATTGAGCATGCGCGCAGCTTCTTTGGTCATGTCTAGTTCTTCCTTTATATCGATATTCTCGGCCGACAAATGCAGCAATTTCCCATGCATGGTGCGGATGATGCGTACATAGGAGGAAGTAGCACGCCGGGGATCTTCTTGGAGCTTGCGGAGCTCAAGATTGAGCGAGCGGATGCCGCGATCGGAAGCGAAACCTTCTATAGGCCGTGCCATTTTGGTCTAGCAGGAGTATGTAGGTGAGGTGCTGTGGTTGAACTGTTTGGTTGTATGGGAAGGCCCGGGTAGAAGAGATTGCGATCACAACTTAATCACAATGCTCCCCGCCTGCTTTCACTCCAGGGTGGCCGCGGCACTTTTACTTGGCACCGTGAACCGATAAACGTTTCTGTTGCAGCCAAAATAGAGGCAAAATGTACATACATTTGCACCCCTGAATTGGCTGGTAAATAGGCATGATATCTGCTGCGACAGTTTCTGATTGACCAAGTGCCCTTGGTTTACTGTGGAGCCATGAGCTCTTCCTCAAAAGCCACCATCAAGGTGACAGTCAATGAAAAGAAAAGTAACCGAAGTCCATGACACGGCTCAAGACCGGCCTGAAGCATGGCCTGCGAGCACGCACTCTCTAGTTTCGGGCATAAACTCCGTAGTAAGAAAGGACTCCCGCATGTGTCTCGAGATCCTCGGGGTGCACCAAGGCCAGCAAGCTGACACCGAGTGATCACGCCCTGATGACCGATCCTTCATTCTTGGGGGTCAACTCCAGACCGAATACGCTCAAAGTCAGTCGATGAAATTTCTCCACACATGCGGTACCTACTCGTCACCCTTGCGGTCGTATGCTCGCAATCTCATGTAGGCGTAGGTCTGAGCCATCTCCGGGCCTTTGATTGGAAACAGTGACGTCCGGACGTAGTGACGGAAAGGCCGGGAAGCGCACAAATAGTTGAGAACAAAGATGGGGAGAAGAGGAGGTGATGTGGCGCAGTGCGCACGGAAGAGTTGCTGAATCTAGAAGCTAGCAAACTACCCTTGTAACATACAGCCGACAGCAGAAGCTGGATGACCGTGAGCACGCCCTGCGACCGGCCGAGGCTCACCAGAGTTTTCCTCTGCTGAGACAGGCGCTCAAAATCAGCGGTGAAGTATTTTGAAAGCCTCTTGTTCTGTATCATTGCAGTCGCACCCTTCTACTCGCGCATGAGGGAATACCAGAGGATCCAGGCTCGAATTGAGCGGGGCGCCATGCAAGAGGAGACAACCTCAGCCTGCATGGTCGACCGTCAAAAGTAGCAAGAAACGTAGCGCCCTCATAGCGGAAGGAAAGAGGGAATCTACAAGGTTAGAAAAGAGTGATAGGCCTCGATAAAAAATGTGAGGATAGGAGGGTGGAGAGAGTGGGTGACGAGGGTGGGTGAAGAAAGCAGTTGGAAAATAGATGTCGTGAAGGAAGGTTTATGGATGGGAATTGCGGCCTTTTATGCAAGCCTGGACAGCCTGCGCTCAGGCCAGCAGTGACTGTGCGCGGATCGAGATGCCGCGGAATGACGGTGAAAGTGAGTGCAAACATGAAAGGCCGGACGAAGTGGCGAATCCAGCTCAATCTTAGAAGGTTCTTGAAATCCCCAAGGAGAAGCGCAATTGGCTTGTATGCTCGTTCTCTGCATTTCGGCCCCTCAAATCGCGACCAGAGTTGATTCGGATCTAGCAATGTTCGAATGAAACCGTCTAGTGCACGATGTGTCAATGTCCGATCCATTGAGAGTGCTAATGTGCCTTTGTACAATTGGGAACGCCCGCGCTCGCAGGGTCGCGCTTCACTTCGACAACTTCAAGGCGTCTTGCACTGTGGGGCCCACTCCAAAGCGCATAGTACCCACTCGCAGATCTTCCAGCTTATTGAGCACGGCAACATGCCAGGAGCTATGCATGGTACGCGCAAAGATAAGGGATAACTTATTGACGAACTGCTCCAACTCCATTCATTTTGGAGGAGATGTGATTGGAGATAGCAACAAAGGGAGCAATGGAAGCTTGTCAGGATACATCAACAAATCCTCACCAAACATTTGCCATATTTATGGTGTGACGTAGATGCATTTTCTTAAGCCGGTGTAGCCCTCATAGTGGGGCATCGAGTGAAAGTGAGCGTGGCGTGGAACAAACGGAGCTGAAATTAAAACAGTCGCTTAGTCGTTGACTTGAATCATCAACCCTCGCGCAAGGTGACCCACTGAAGGTCTCAGACCGTTCGTTGACTGCCTTATACCCGAGACAGAACAGCAGTATGACCGATGAAACGATCGAAGCCTTGCAAGGCGAGATTCGCGCCCTCCGCCGTCGCACACACATTGTACAAGCTACCCGAGACTACGTCACTGCAGACCGGGGCGGTCATGCAAATGTCCAACCTTCTCAGGGAATCCTTGAACTTTACGAGCGACAACTAAGTGACATGGGCGACGCCCTGAAACAGTCGTAGATCGGATAGAAAGTCATGGCCTGGGAGAGCAATGAGACCTAAGCAAAGTTGCGGCTCATGCAAACATCTGGGAGTAGGCTTTGTCTTGAGCTGATATAACAAGAGAAAGAATTGGACCGAGCAGATGCGAAAGCAATTGCCCTCGAGGTGGAGAATAAGCAGCTTAAAGCTCTAACGGTGACCTTGGAGCGCTCCGCATCCCCTCCCGGTGTTTCAAGCAATGCTCGAACACTCTCCGCAATTACCGGTAAAGGGTCAAAGATGTTGCGGTGCAAGTCGGTCCGACAGACCTTGATCGTTACCTCTGTTGACTACCTTGGACTAGCACGTCTCAGGACATGTATATATGGTCGCCTCCTATCTAGCAAGCAGCTCAGCGCAGTTTCCATCAACTATACAGCGGCTACGTCTGCCGCAACAAAAGAGAGTGTATGATTCTCAGTAAGCATATAAAATCAACGCCTTGTACATCGCTTCGTAGGGAGATGCCGAGCTCGTCCAAGAGACATAAGACAGAAAGTCACCCTGGTGTAATACGACGCCCGGTCTGTCGACTCTGGATGATGAAGCCGAGGCACTGCCATGGTAGATGCTCAGGCCTGCGCCATCCACCACCAGGGAGGAAATATGGCGAAGTAATAGAAGCGTTTCAGGTGCAAAGAGCAGCATAGCGTTCCATGGATAGATGAACTCGGTGCCCCTGTGAGGATACTCAAAGTACAATAAAGTGACTTCGAAAGCATCATCCCACATTTTCGAGAGCGAAAGACCTCCTTACAGCGTTACCACCTCGCGCTAACGCCTACAAGGTTTCTCGAAGTGCTCCTTACTTGTGCAATGTCTCATGAGCTTGCGCGGACTCGGTTTTAGAGGTGTTCGTTTCTATCCAACTTTATACTTGCACACGCCGAGTAAGTGAGTGTCTTATGATGTGCTTCTGAGCATTGAGTAATGCTCGCTCACCTTTGTACCGCAACGTATATGCAAGAAAGGAACAACCGAGGCTCTCATTTGACCCGTTTCATACTACGAGTGATGGGACCCCGTCTTTTGGTATCCTCGACGTGCACGTCTTTGATTGCTTTTGTCCACTCATGCCTCCACTGCGCCCCAGAAAGTCTTGCCCTCGTTACCTTGCTTGACCTTTGCAATGCTCAGTTCATTCGCATCAGGCTGCATTCCCAGATACCTTTGCGCAACCCTCAACCACGACGCCCTTTCGGCTCGACTGGCCCCACTCCCCTCCCAGATCCAAATGCTCTTCCCTACATCCAGCAAGAAGACATCATCGCCATCCAAGTCTTCCCTTCCGATCCCGTTACCCTCCTTGACCAGATCAAATGCAAGGTCACCACCTGCATCGCTCAGCTTGAATAGCTTCTTGACCTCGCGCATAGTGGCAGCAGATACCGGTCTGGCGCACTCGAATCTCGTGCCGAATTCCAACTCATGGCCGCCGAGATAGTCAACAACAGCCTTGCTCCTCGCCTCTTCTTGACTCAGCACCTCAACATCGACATGCTTGGCAATTGTCAGATCGTTGACGACTTGCGCGGCCTTCATCTTCTCCATCGGTGAACACTTCTTGCCCTGCCAGACGAGAATCTTGTCACCCTTATCCAGAACAAACACATCACCCTCGTCCAGACTCTGCCATGTAGGTTCCACCTCATGCACGACGACTGCGTCGCGGCCGGCGGTGGGGCTGGGGTGCTTGAACACACGGAGCAGGGTGCTCATGTGCTCAGGTTCCTCATTGATCTCAACATGATTGAAGCCAGAGCGCACACCACCGCGTAGGATCTTCAGGCGCGGGAACAGCGCAGAAAAAGCGTCCGAGGGCGCAGTCTGCAACTCGCGATGCTGCGTCGCGGCGCCATGCAGAAACTCATCTAGCTCCACAGTCTTATACGCCGCAGTACCAGCCTCGTCCTGTGTTGTCGCACGACCTAGCCAGAAGAAGATGTCGTGGATCAGATGCGTTTCCGTATCGCCTCTGACTTCCTCGGTATGCAAGACGATGTAGGAGTCACCCTCGTGGAAGCTGCCGTACTTCTCGCGGGGCCAGGGTACAACTTCGAAGTCTTCGATGCGCCAGATGAAGAGCCCCGCTTGGGTGCCGATGATGCCGTTGTTCCAAGCTGGCTCGCTAGTCGCAGACTGGTACTTGACTTTATGGTCAATGTCGGAGTTGAGAAGGGCGACGTTTGAGTCTCGCCAATCGTATTCCTGCTGGTGAACGAGGCCTTCGTGTGGCGGCATGTTTGTACTTGATAGATTGGTGCAACGTAAGCAAGACGACTGTAAAGCTGTCAAGTTGAAGATGTGAGCACAAGAGGCTGAAAGTCGTTGTCAGGGTCTTGGTGATCGACAGGGTAGTAGGTCTGGTGGGGTCCTGAAACAGCTTACGTCATTGCTACCATTGCGTACCTAGAGGCGCTATCCAATGAGAAATGCATTTCATTGGAAACTCGGGCATCATCAAGTCAACCAAGAGTCTTCAAACCTGCAGTAAGCTGCAATTGCGTTTGGCGATCCAGATGTTGGTATCCGGCTTGCCAGCCATGAGGGATAGCCCAGTTGTCAATGTCTGGTGGGTCGCCTGGCATCGCGATGGTTGCGTTAGGATTACTTGAACCTTTCAGGTCTTGTTATTCATCTTTCGCCTCTGTGAGCTGTAGGGAAGCTTACGATACTTAGGTTTAACAGTCACTACCGACGGCTGCAGAGACTACAATGGACGCAAGATGGTATTGAGGACATCCTGACGCATCAGCGCAAAGCCCAGCCAAGTCGGCGCACAGTGCCAAAACCCCCGCCCAAATGGCTTCTTTCAATTCTGTGAAGATCCGCTACGAGTGATGGGACCGATCGAACTGTTGAGATCTCCATAGCTTCATCGCCTATAATCGACAACAAGAGAGTGAATATATCTCTTAGTCCGTGACCACCGTTGAGGCTGAGCGAGGAACCTGACGATTTACACTGTTGGACGAAGCTGCGGAGTCCCCCATATTTAAGTTTCAGTGATATGCCGGCGTTATATACTAGGGAGCAGTACGTCCACCGGCAGCAGTCAGCAGACCGATGAATGCACAGCCGAGGATTCAGGAAGGTGAGCCGCAGCGCGAAGCTGCACATACGGGGATAAACTAAGTATCAACGTCGACAGCTTACTGCATGCCGCTTGCAAGCCCGGAGAGGTTCACAGGCCGTAACACAGAGCTGGTAGAACGTGACAGCAGGCAAGAGGTAGACCGTACTGCAGTACCACGTTGTGCGCTATTCAGAAACAGAATATGTCGTGACTAAAGGTAGCTTGCAATAGCTAATGAAGCAAGTATAGACGCATGGAGACTCGACCTGGAGCCAATATGCGATTTTGGACCTTTGTATCATCACGAGTGACCGATTTTGGAACTCTGTAGACAGCAAGGGCGGGGGCTGGAGCAAATTACAACCACATGGTATGCGGCCAGCCTGGGGACGCCTCAGCTCGAGCGTCGTAACCACTGAACTCTTCTCGGTGTGCCGTGCATGTGTACGCATGCAATGTTGACGATGCGCAAGGCCAAGGACTGCAAAAAGCCGTTGTAAGGCGAGCGGGCTCGTATGGCACGATGTTGACCCGTCTACTGCAGCGACCAGTGCCATGGCTTCGTACTAGGAGGCTGGGGATCCCCGGGTTGATGTTGTGCATGCGCGCCTAAGCGGGGCTGCGGTGTGTCGGTGGCAGCCTCTCGTTCCCATGTGGGTACCAGCATGCTATTTGTACCACAGTAAACGTGTCTTGATTGGCGACGTGATATTCAGCGTTGAGCCATATCTTTAGACTAGCGCAAGCTACATGTCGCCGGGGAAGCGCTCCCGGTGGTAGGGGGATAAAAGGGTTTGTTACCTAGGTAAGGCTTAGCTCAAGCATCACATGGCAATCCATTCAGGCGGACTTGCCTTGTTGTGACGTGATCAGCCAGGTATCACAAGGGGACAACCGGTACGGCAGCCTGGGACACGCGCTTAGGGTAAGGTGCGCGTCCAGGAAGTCCTCCCGTTGGAGACAGTAAGCTGCGCTGATTGAGGTGCATGTCAGACCACGTCCTGTGAACGGTCATACTGCCTGCCCATGTATGATTTCCATGTATGATTGCTGCATATGTGCGATTGTGTCATGTAAATTGCAGACCTTGGTCGCTCCACATTATAAAGCTCTTGTGTGACGAGAAGAAACTCTTGTAGAACCTCGCGAAAAGCAACCCGAGAAACAGACGGATCTGCTGGTTCGGGCCGGAAAGTTTGGACTCGACGGAATGCCGCTATATCGTCCTTCCGGTAAGTGGGGACAAGAGGACAATGGGAGATAGGTATATTGAAGCCACTGCTGGGATAGGGGGTTGGTGAGAAACCTTGCATGCTCTCATGCTCAACGTCGCAGCTAACAGTGTTATCATGACTCGGACAACCCGGGAGGAAGTCAGCAAGGTGATGTTGGCTGGATCACCAGGATGGCCAGGCGTAATGCGTCGCTTATGTTCATCATTTAGGCATGAATTGGGGAAGCGAAGGGATCTCCGTCCATGGGGCGGGTGGTGTTGCAGCATGCCACCATGCAACTGGCCGTAAGAGGCGAGCAGAGCAAGTGAGGCTTGTCCCTGACCTGATGTTCCGCGGAACGAGTAGCGCAATGCTCAGGCTGCATTCAAGAAGGCGGTGCACACGGCTCGATGTCTCGCAGCGTGGACATGACGTCCTCCTTGAAAAGGCTGAAGTTGAGGCCCACCACGGCGCTGTGATTGGAGGGCAGCGCCAATCAAAAGAGGCTCGGTCAGGCGAAACGCAACGCCGGCGCTGTCGGCACACCAGATGGAACGCAAGACGCAGCCGACCTGCAACTTTGTTTGCTGACTTCCGCCTGTGATCGGTCAGGACTGAGGCAGCGCAATCCGAAGGCGGCCTACGGGATAGCATCGCCGCATCGCGGGTTGAACGTTGCCAAGTGGGCAGGCACGCTAGCCGAAGTGGGCGGCACAGGAAGGATCAGGTCAGCAACGCCAGCAAGAAGACATCTCGATGCGGGCAGGGGATGCCCAGAAGCAGTTTTCGCCAGGGAACTACGATGTGAGCAGCGTTCGAGGATTCATAGTCTGAAATCGCTGTGATGGTTCCGACGCGGCAGTGGACTGACTGCCTCTTCCAGACATCCCCTCACATTCGGAGCGTCCCGCGGCATGGGCGAGTCGGCTACTGCCGCGCGGAGCAGACTCGCAGACATGGTCACTGCGGGCAGCGGATGAGGGTCGAGTTTCAGGTGGTGAAGGAGAAGTGTGCCGCTGCTGTGAGGTGCAGCAGGACGGTGTGTGCCCCTCGACGCGCAGCAAGCGGACGGTGCGAGGCGCAGGACGAATGTTGTAGGAGAGCAGTGGCCTGCGCGCCGATGCCAGCCAGGCTGCGGCACGACACTGCACGCAGGGCGACTCATAGAGCCAGCGTCCGCGAAGGGAAAGTGCGGTATGTCCATCCGTGTGCCGCTCGCCTGACCAGCACCGCCCGCCCCTGCGGCCGGCCAAACTGCCCCATACTCCTTTTAGTAGCGCGCGGATGCGCCGTGACTGCTCCCGTCGGCGCTGGAGCCAGGCTAACCCGGCCTAAAGTATGCCTTGCATCTGGATGGAATCACCTCGCAGGAGTGGATCCTGCACACGGCATGCTCCACAAATGAGGACGCCCGCGCAGCGCCAGAGGGCCTGTTGGAGCCAGCTAAGAGCTAGCCAGCAGGGAGTTCATCCATCGTCTACGCCGCCGAGCGGAGACTCCAGAAGGACGGAATGTCAGGACCTTGGACCTTGGACCTTGGACCTTGGGCCCTAGACCCTTCGCGCCTGCCCGTTGTAAGACTTGTACCTCCTCCTCTTGTGCGACCGTCGCCCTCCACGCTGCCCCCATATCAAAGCTGCCTTCGCTGCAGCTGCACTCGACTTGTAAAGGACTCATGCCCGCCATGGCTAGCGACTGGCCTCGCGATCCTCGCGCCTACGGATCGTCCCAGCACACCGAGCCACCTACTCCTGTGCGAACCCTCCCCAGCGTCGCTGAGCTGCTTTCGACACGTCCGTCTGCAAACGGCACCGTTCCTGCGTACCACCACCGTCCCGAGTACTTCCACGCTCGATCCACTCCCCCAGCTGCCTCTTTGCCCACGGCCACTGCTTCTGCGACGGCCTCATCGTACTGGAGTTCCGTGAACCACCGCCAGAACAGCCCTCCAGTCAGGTGAGCAGAGCCCGCCCTATTGGCCACAACCTTCTGTGAACTGACCCTGCTCTCCAGCCCTACAGAGCAGCACCCACCAGCAGAGAGTGCCAGGGTCTACCATCCGCCTGTTCTTCGACGCCAGCACCCGCCAAAGGCAGATCCAGTGCACAGCGCTTCTCATTCGACGGTGCAAGCGCGCCAAGACTCAGCCATCGACCAGCACCGCTTCGAGACGGGCAACGACGCTCAATCGTCCAAATCTAACAATTCTTATTCGCATTACAGCCCAAAGGACGACCAACAGAGGCTCAGTACCTACCATCCTGCCTCATCTACTCCAGCCTATGCCCCATCTGCTGCCCCATCTACTACCCCATCTACTGCCCCACACCAGGCTGAGACACTTCCTGCTCGCCATCACTCCAAGTCTGTGTCTGCAGGCGCACCTTACTCGGCAGCGTCACCGAGGTCACATGAGCTCAGTCCAGAACGCATCCTTCCCGTTGACATGACAAGCGGCTCTGATCCAAGATCCAACATCACTGGACCCTCTTCCCTCCCTGAACAGTTCTTTACCCAGCAAAACAACTTCGGCACACGACAACAGCGCTACAACGTCAGGTTTGCTGCAAATTACACATCTGAGAATATGCCACCCTCACAGAAGTCCCGCAATGAGCCACCAACACCACCCTCTGCGCCCGCAGTCGTCGCTGAGCCTGAGCAGCCAGGGAGTTCTCCGGTCCCTGGTCCGACTACAGAAGAGCTCCCCACACCAGCGTCTCATGGAAGCACTCGCCATGTAGAGCCCCTGCCAACACGGCCTTCCAGAGAATCTACCAGAGAACGTGGAGATCGTGAGCCTTCCGTCGAGCGTTGCGCTGGGTGCAATGAGGCATGGAGACGGCCAATTCCTGATATGGACAGCGACCAGATTGCTCCTGCTCAAGATAATACTGAGTACATAAGGCTTGCAGGCAATCTGATCGATCGACTGCGCAACGAGAGAAAGAAGGCTGATGCTGCGTACGATGAATGGAAGTGGCGCCACAGCCGTTGCTACTGCCAGCCAAGCCCGTATTCCATCGGATCTGTGGATGATTCATCAAAGCCCACAGCTGCGTCTCCTCAAGCCGACGGAGCAACAAATGGTCATAGTGCCACTACCAACAAACGCAAATCCGAAGTTCCGCATGAACCGCCGTCCGCATCGAAGCAGCGAAGATTATCGAACCCTAGCCCGGCACCAGCGGTCCGAAAGCCTGACTTGTCCCACGTCTCGGCATCTTAGTTACATCTTCTCTTCCCTTTGGCACACGATCTGCATATGCATATTGATTTGGTGTTGGTTTTGGTAAAAGGAGGACATCCGTTATACCCCTTTGATTTTTGTCTGCAGGTATCGTTTTTGGACATGCACCTTGTCGCTCTACTTCATAGATACGGAAGAGCGCCGTCGATCGGCGTCACCGCATCGGCTCGCACGACTTCGCTATGCGGTATTCTTGCATGGTGTCCCACGAAAGCCGCTGAGTCCTCAATATACCTGTGTCTTTCTCAATTCTCTCTTCACAAGGCCTCTTACGACTCTCTTGCCCTAGACGATCTACACTTCGTCGTCCAACTCGGACCTTCTACACTCCATTCGTATCCAGCACGAGGCTGGAATGACGCACCATGTACTGTATCACGCCGAAATTCCAAAGCATTCCCGACCCCAGCAATTGTGCTCGCGTCGCGTCTATTGTAATCTCCGCGCTTGACAAAGCTGTGAGAACCTTGTCCACGCGTCGATGACTTTTGGGACCGAGGGGTGAACCGAGCTCGGATGCGGAAGGGTGCTCGTGCGTCAGCGCAAGCGTCCAAGCGGCCCGTCAACGAAACTTTACAATATGCCAAGCGGGTCGACGCTATTTGCACAGAGTTCAACTAGGTATCGATCCCCTGAGCAGCAACTGGCGGTCCTTGCGTGCTGTTCAACGGAAGCTGCCCAATTCAGCTGCAGGCTATCGGCGCTGTCTCAACGAGAACCATCCACATACTGGAGATGCAGCAGCTCTGCTCATACGGCGACAGGATTATTCTTGTTGACCAGTCAGACCGGCCGGACGCAGTCTAAACGCACTACAGCATCACTTGCATGCAGCTAAGCTGCCCTTACATCCCTTTGGATTAATTTGGCTTAGCAATAGTAGTCGTCGAGCGGGGCTACCCGGACCAAGCGCACTTGGAAATGTAACATCAACGAATCACAACATTTCGCTCCCGCACCTTTTCCGACTGGATGGAGAGTTTGAAGGTGTTGGGAAATGGGCAATTGGGTCTGAGAGCGAGATACCGTAGTGTCGCGGTAGAGCGCATGGAGAGCCGACACTCCCCTGACTCCTGAGCGAACACATGTAGGGGTCACGAACAATGTCTGTCGTATGTAGGCCAATGCTCAGCGGGCTGGCGCCCATCCAGAACTTCTGGATTTCAATGCAGCAATACAACCCGCGTATCAAGCTGTCATTAATAACGGAGATGCCTCTCTACATCGCGATGATCTCACTACTAGCCTCACCTTTCACGCTTCTCATCAGAAGAGTTGCCTCAGCTTGTTCTTGCAGATCTGTGGTTCGTGCAAGACCGACCGTCGGCTCTCGGTCAATCCGCCCGGCAGTTTAAGCCTGGACGAGTAACCAGCTCGTCCAATTGTTTCCAGCAGATTGGCTATTTGGCATTAACAGCATTTGTATGCCCCAGCCAGATGGCTATTCATAGATGTCGATGGCGGATGAAGATCCGTTTGGGACAGGTCGCCTTGTCGATGGGTGACAAGCTTCGAGTTGTGTCGGCGTTTTAACGGTTTGTGTGCTGACCTGGATCTTGGTTGGGTGCGATGGTAGCGGCCGTCACGAACCCGCAACACGTATTCGGTCCGTAACGTGACCTGCGGGCTAGCGCGACGAACGAGCCACACGTGAAATGGGGTTCATCACGGTTAACCGGCGTCGATGACATCAGCGAAGGCCTCTACATGCACAATCGCTGCTTGACAACAAAGATTAAACACCTTGCACAATGAGATGCCACCACCACTCAAATTACAAAGCCAAGTCAGCGCTCGGCGCGGACAACGTTTCAGGGTCTTGGAATCGGAAGAACATCGCAAAATCAAACTCCTCAATTTGCATGACCGTCCAAAACGTCGGACCTCAGGTGCTCAATGCTCAACTCGTATCTTATTCCGTATTCTGCAACAAACAAATCATTCCTGTGGCTTACGGTAGAAAACGGGGCGTATGGGCGGTTAAACCGCTTCCCCATCTTGGCGACGTAGGTGTGTGTTCTGGGGACTGCACGCAGACAATCTCGTTAAAATCAGGCCATCATGCCATGCGCAAACAAAGGATTGTCTGCTGATCTGACTTCGCCACTGTCAAAGCCACCGAAAGTTATTGCAAGCGAATGGCGGCTGGCGGCATAGCAGACAGGCGGCTATCACAAGCCTAACTTGACAAGGAAAGGGCACCACTTGCCATCCTAAGTAAGCGGTGGAAGCGGGTCCCCGAGACTCGGTACAACGTCGGTGCTATGAATGCAGGAGCTGGCAACGATTAACCCTGTGCAGTACTATGAGGCAACCCTGTTCGACAAGTTACTAGCGAAAAACAAAGAGAAAGACGAGGCGGCGGGATGTGAGGATGCACAAGCAGGATCACTACTCGCCGGATTCTCCTGCCAACGGCTGGACAGCATAGGTATACCTACTGTACATAGCTCTCGCTTCCCCCTGCTCAGCTCATCTCAACCTTACATGCGATGGGAGAGCTGACTCAACTCCACACCGGAAGGCAGTACTCGTCCTAACCCCGAATCGAACGCCGCGGCTGAAGGAGTGGTAGCCACCAAAGATTTTACATGGTCGTGGGTACCGCGGCACAGAAGAGAGCTTGAGACGGCGGTTTGCCTCGTGTCATGCCATCGAAACACCCATCTCCGCAAGGCTTGAAGTCTTAGCTCGCGTTGAGACTCGAGCATGTAGGGCGTGGCCTGGATGTTTCGGAGGCTGGCACAGATATCCTGCACGCAGGTCTCGTTCAGGAAAGAGTCGAGTTCATCCGCGGACATGACAGGGTGGGTCAGCAAAAAGGGAGACGTGTCAGTCTAACGCTTGACGTGCGGGATCGGGATGCAGATCAACACAGGGTGATGTCGTTACCGCGGTCCAAATCGTGTGGACAGAAGGCACGTGACCAACCTAAGTCGCAACTCGATCACCATGACAATGCAACCTACGAGTGTAACAGCAGGGCATCTCGACATTCAGGCATGGTCGTTTGCCATCGTACTTGCAATTATCGAGAGGCCATTCACCGCTTATGGAAGCCGAGGCACACAATCTTTTAGACGTCATGGACGATGTCACAACATTCAGGCAGCCATCGCAAATATCTCCTGCAGCAAGAGGCAAGGTGAGCAGTATGTGACCACGCTGCGTTTCGGCAGAACTTCTCCTAACTTTCAAACAGGGGCTGGTCAGGCTTCGATGGCGTCCAAGCCAGCACCCAGGTCAATCCTTCGGACAATAATGAGTCGACAGCTTTGTTCAATGGCAGAGCCTCTTCCTTTACGATAGACATCACGATAAGCGCGTCTCGGAAGCTATGCGGTTGGCTTACGGCAAAAAGCAAATGAAAACGTAGGTCCGGCACCCATGGTCATTGGCTGGGGAGGTTAACCGGATGCTGTGTAGCTTGTTATTTCGCTGCACCTGCATAAATGGCGAGGTGGGGAGTTTAGTGTCCCACTCTTTTTTTTTTCGCTGTTTACTGCTGGTCGGTAAGGCAGCGTAGAGAACCCGTATACGTTTCGAAGGGCATACACAAAACTTGCTTCACCCGGCCTTGAACAGTGGTCACAGAAGCAGCTGGCGAGCTCACTTGGCACAAACAGCCACCAATTGTAAGGAGTTTAGTTCTCGCTTTCGCGTTGGGAAACGCAAGTCATGGTTGATGGCGAGACGCCGATAAATGAAGTACTGCAAGGAGCTGAATCCTGTCAATGGATGGCAGATGTGATTGCGATCAGCCTCTGGTTCTGTTGCTTGTGCGCCGAGACTCAGGCTCATGCGGGTCGCAATGACACGTCTTAAACCTCAACGCCTTCGAGGCTTTCCTGAGGGTGTGAAGCAGACTGGTTGACACCTGACAGTCATGCAACGGACTGTGCATCTGACAGACTGACGATTGGCGAGCAAGGCCAAAGCGGAAGGCTTGACTGGCTGCGGCGCGCTTATCGACCTACACTTCCTACTCTCGCAACGCGTAATCAAGCCCGATCTCATCGAAACTCAACCTACGATTATCTCCCACTTTGCATCACCTTATACCCTCGATCCCTGCCGGTGCTACGTCCAACACCATGGGACCCCCAGATTCCTGAAGCTTTCCCGGGCTGGCCTCTTCTGCGATGGGCCGAATCCTCAGCACCATCGAACGCCTCGCAGACGCCCGTGGCATGCCAATAATTTCTTTTGCTGCGGCCTCACAGGCCCAGCAGCGCTCGCCGACCGCGCAAGTCTCAATCGCCCTCGCGGTCGTGTGCCGCATCGAATCGTGGTACTTCGACGGGAAGGCCGGGAAGGACGTGGATCGAGAGTTTTTCCGCCGCCCCACTAGGGCCGCGATCTGGAATCTGGCGATGCGATCCAGGTTCGGCGATTGATTCAGATCTTGGTAGATGGATCGATTAACATCTTCTGCATTGATGTGGCGTATTACTTTGCGCGGTCGGCACCGAGCTTTTCTGATTGGGTGGTACAACTCTCCGGCAATGTGCGCTATTGCCGGACATGTTGGGAAGGTAGGTGTGTTTGCTTTTCCTCCGGGCACCCTGGCTAGAGGATTCGGAATCAGAAATGCGTTGGGCACGGAGACGCAAGGTGTGGGGCGCCATGATGCTGAACATGCATATGTTAGTACACATTTCCGCATCTCGGCGAGCTTGCGCAGGGCTGGATCGACGTGAGATGCCACACGGCATGTGGAGGATCGAGATGTGACGGCGGTGGGTTTGGGATGATGCTTGTGGTTCGGGAAGGTCATAGTGTAAGAAGAAAGGATCAATGGCTCCTCCGGGGGAGCGAGTCTGGGTAGGCCTGTACCGCCTTGAGAAGACAAGGGGTACCTAGCAACATGGATCTTGACAGGAAGTCTGTAGCCGCAAGGAAGCCTTCTCCCGATCGGTATCTCTTTCGGCTTGATAGAGTCTCTACTGCGTTGCGCAAGGAACGTTGCCGATATGCGCGAGACAAGGCCCGCAGGGACAGAGCTACGAATGACTCAGACCAAATACCACGATTGAAACATCGCGTCTTGACAACGTCTCGCAGAACACCAGAGCAAACGTGAGACTGTCTGGACAGCTCATCGCCCGTGAGATACTCAAAGTGCAGTAGCCATCATGGTACTCAGGCCATTCAGCTCAATATCTAGATAAACAGCTCTCAAAAACCCTTAACTACACCTGGCCGACCAGCCTCACTATGACACGAAAGATAGAGCCTGACGATCACTATCTCACACCTACTTCACCTACGACAGAGCAATATAGTACTCTTTCCCGGAGTCACTCCACCCGTGAGGAGCAACACGGACAATTGTACGCCAACGTGTACGGCTTCGAATGCTGCGAATGCTACCACATCAGCATAACCAACCCGTGTCCTAACAACAGCTGTAGCAACCCACACGACAAGGAGACTTGTCCCGACTGCAAGCTCGTCGCTGATAACCTGTAAGTACACACTTTGTCCATGCATGAGGACATGTCGGCTTCCGAAAGAGTATTAGTTGTGCTGGACACACTGGCACGTCACTCCGGAATGTCCGTGGAAGGTAGGTGGGAGACCTGCATGCCTCAACTCCATCTCAACGTCGATGTATTACACACAAATAGAATCACTAATAGAGAACTCTTCCACTGCTCCTCAAAAATCTCCACCGTAGCTTTGCCACTAACATCCCCAATCTCAGACCCGACACGTGACGCCATTGAAAAGAATCGAATTGCTATCTCCAACATCTCTCACAGCCTGTTTGATGCCGTTCGCAGTGATCAGCCCAATGCGATGATATCGTGCCTCGCATAATATCAACCGCATCGCTGTTACACCATCACGCTGAGCCCCAAAGTAACAGCAGCCGCTCGAAATTCTCATCCTTTCATCGATTCTCTCGATGGACCGAAGTCGAGCAGAGTAATGGTATCCAGATAGGCACCGACACACTGCCGCCGCGTGATAGCCACTACCGGTGCGGCAAATAGCAGTCACCAGTCCGTCGCCCGAGTTCCAAAAGACTTCGAGTCCCGCTGCGATCGTGGTGTTCGCATAGCGTCTGACTCAGTGGAATCTGCAGACGCGACTATGGTGGCCGCTACACGACACATGACGTTGGGTGCGAAACGGTTCCACTGAACCAGCAGCCGTGACGGCAGCGATGAACATCGCGGCGGGAAATTTCTGGTCTGAATCGGTTGGGTTTGTACTTTTGCCAGTCGTTGCAAGTGCTCTTGTGTTTTCGTCTTACAGGAACAGTTTATCTCACCACTCAGTCGCTCCGCTCCTCAACGACGTCGACCGAGCACAGCGCCCTCGCGCCCAGCAGACGGGACGACGCGGATCCTCACGTCACTTAGACTATGAGCTGTGATCAATGTACTTCTGACGGGCGGGAGCGCATCGCTGTGTTGGTGAGGGGGTTGATGTTGTTCTTCTCTGTCGCCATCTCCACCGCCATCTCCATCTCCACCTCCCTCTCCATCTCCATCTCCATCTCCATCTCCATCTCCATCTCCA